GCATGATACACACAGGAGTAAGCCACCTGGGGACCCACTACCTTCATCTACGAGGGAGGAAGCAGTTACATCCCACCCACTACCTGGTAAGGGTTCCATAAAACAAACTGTAAGAACTGCACAACTAAATGCGGTGCTTCACAAGGCAGGCAACCTTTTATCAAAGGCCACAGCCTCGCACAAGCAGACATACAAGTCAATCTGTAAATTATTGTGATGTCAGTAATTCCTGGTATAACCAGTGTAGTTAATATCCAACACTTTGCTCAAACATCCTAGGACACAAGGGGAAACTATTACTTCACACTGGAAGCAGTTTAATGCTGGCAGTGAATGCATTATGGAAATTAAATCAGAGATTATCTGCCTGTGCAGGACTGCATGACATTTTTGTTTGCTTTGCCCTTGGATCAGTTAGGATTTCTCTTTACTTCTTTCAATCACCCAGACACAGAGGGAGGCCAAAAGAAAACTAATGATATGCACCAAGACGAAAGAAACATTACTGTGCTAGGATTAAAATTATACCAGTGAACCAGAGCCAGGAGTTCTTAAGGTAAAGGTTCACAGAGTTTAAGCGTCCTCTGCAAATACCAAGCCTAGGCTTTAAGCAATACAGCAACTCACCTGCTGACCCCACGCCGACTTCAAAGCCTGGAATGTCTCCACGTTACCACTGTTGAAGGCATAGAGCGTGTCGATCAGCCACTGCCGGTCAGTGTTTCTCAGGGACTCCAGAACAGGGTGCATGAGCTGCAGACACCAGGCAGGAGAGCGTCAACAGGGTAAAATCAGTTCCTGATACTCAGTAGCTGAAACAAAGCAGCATCAACTTACCAGCTCCCCAAAGTTATAAACACCCTCTCCCAAGAGCCCTGCCAGCCCCAGCGTAAAGGCTCTCTCCTGCTGCTCTGATACTGGAAAAACACAAAAAATATAGTTTGGATGAAGCAGCAGTCTAAGCCCCATCAACCCCTCCCTCATCCTCTGGTCTGTGCCTGTAGTAAATCCCTCCCAGCCCCTCCTCTTATCCTGTCCCAAGACTGAAATTCAGAAGTCTGCAGTAATCACAGCAGTAGCACAAAAAGAACACTTTTCAATCTATAGTGAAGATTTTTGGGAACTAGAAGAAACCATCCCTCTGGTGGGAGCACTTTTCCCCTCCTGTCACATCAACGCAGTTTAAGAGCGGAGTCCTACTCAGCCATTCCTCCTGTGGGTTCCCCCTCTTTCTAGCCAGATCCTGGCTCAACTACAGCAGATTCAAAATAACGTTGAGAAACCCTGTTCTCTGCCAGTGCATTTATTTAGATTGAAGTGAAGGAACAGAGAATGAAAACTGGGACTCTCTATGCTTGGCAAAGGAGGAGTTACCCGGCAGATCTTTAACATCAATGCATCCCAGAAATCGCAGAGCATCCTTATAGTAAGAGGCGTGGTTCCCAATCGTCTGGTAGTACTTGCTGGAGAGATCATAGAAGCGGCTGTGAACTGAGGTCACCCCTGGGAGATTGTTGAGCATCTCCTCAACCTCCTCAATGGTCTCCTAGGGAGTGAAAATCTGTTTGTTACAGGTGAAGGCATAACTTCATAGGCACCCATGCTCCCAGCCTTCTCATTCACCACTGCAGGCATTACATCACGCTTGTGTGGTCCAGAAGTAACACCCACTCAGTAGTAAAGCAGATGAGACCTCAGCCAAAATACTAAAAATAAAGCAAGGGCATTCTCCTTTTACATAGTAGTTAGGTTAAAAAAAAAAAATCCCAAAACAAGCAACCCTGCTGCTATACTAATATACATACATGTATACACATACTTTACAAATGCCCACCAAACTTTGTACTTGCTCTAAGAGACATAAAGCTGCACCACATAAAAAATCTCATCTTAGCTTTAAGAAATGGTTCTAAAAAAAGCCAAGAGATGAAAAACCCAACACGCTTAGCACAGGACCTTGTACACTAACTCAGTCATGATTCACAGCTTGCCAACAAGCGGTGTGTACACTGATGAACCCGTGAGACACTCCAAGCTGCCAACTGGAATATATCAAGACATTTTTTCCCTCTCTTCAAAGCTGCGGTGATCGGCTGCAGGCCATCAACAAGCAACAGCACCTCAAAGGCTGTGTGCGTCAGAATCTTACTGACACTTCAGAGGTTTGGCCACGGGTATTATACACACATTTTTATGGCCTACCAGATGTAAAGCAGAACCGCAGGTCTTCCTGGAAATCTCAGGAGCTGCAAATTTATCTCCTCCTCAGTCAAACCCGAAACACAGACACAGGCACGTCCATGCTGCAGTAACTGCTGAAGTGTGTCACAGTGCTCCAAAGCACCCAAACACTTGAACTACTCAAGGCATCACCTCACCTTGGTGACCTGCAGGTCTCCAATGTTCAGCTTGAGCGCCCCGATGGCCGTTTTACACAAGATGACAGCTTCATCACTGCTTTTTACCTGCAGTTACAAAGATACGTGTTTAGAGTGTTACCCTTGCAGCCAGGTAGGCTCTTGAAACCTAGACCATGTTGGTTGCACTGCATTTGTTAACGCGCTCCTGCATTGAAACACAGAGCTGCTCACTGAGGAAAGGAGTACATGTTCTCCAGCATAGGTTTCAACGCACACATCTGTCTCTCCAGCTGTACCATACATGCTCATATGCAAAGTGATTCCTGTAGGTGAACTACCAGAAAGAGCAATTTCAAAAATACCTTTTCTCGAGTCTTTTCCAGAAAAGTAAGGGCCACATTGGGATCTGAAGTAGAAAACAAACAAAAAAAAGGCAGCAATATACAGGATTCCCATGGAACTAAATCTCAGCCTAGAAATACATCCTTTTACTGGATTCATGCAGACTGGAATATATTTTTCCTATAATGTATTGCTCAACCTTCAAAAGGTGCTATGATCATAGGCCAGGCTTTCTGCTCCCCAGCTTTCTCTAGCGAAACAGCAGACTTGCTACTCCAAGTAGCAGCAATTTTTTAAGCGTTTGAGTTAGTACTTTCCCTTCTCCATACACCAGAAAGACAACAGCTCAATATTGAAGATTAAGCTGTTAACTATTAGCCAGTTAAATTTCTTGGGCATCAGTTGCTAAAAATACTTTAAGTACCAGGTGAGGACACTTACCTGTCATCTGTCTGACTACATGGAGAATGATCTCTACCAGGGACAGAGGGTTCACCCTGGAACAAAAAAACCTCACTGTCGGAACAGTCTCAGTCAACAGTAGTTACCTAAAAAACTTGAAGGCAAACAAACTCACCTGTGTTCAAACTCACTGATGAAGTTCTCATAAAGCTGTAGGCACAAAGATACCAACAGTCAGGGCAAAAAAAACCATTTTGTTTCAGCTATGACACTCGCTTTTCCTGTACTCCAACTCATTTTTCCAACAAAGTAGTGGGCATCCAATACAGAAACATCTACACTGTACAGAATCCAGGAGCCCAAAACTGCACATTTTAGATAATTCTATCTCTGCAGTCTCCTTCCAACGCAAGGAGTGATTCAAGAAACTCACAGGTTTGTAGGGACTACGACACAACACCTCCCTGCCATGGCTGGCCTGGTGCGTGGCTTCGGTTATCACTGTACAATAAGCACAGGCCTGAAGCTTTCAAATTTCTCTTTGCGCACACCTGGAAAAGTGACTGTCCCTAGAAAGCCACAGCTATTTAGCATGAATATAACTAATTCCTGGGAAGCTGAATTTTAACCTAAAAACACAAAGGAGGGCAAAAATACATGATTACTTGCAGCATACAGAGAACACGTGATTCTAGACTACGCTGTCATCTTCACAAATGGAAGAAGCTCCCAGGCAGTGGGTGAAGGACCCACTGAATACCCCGAAGCATTTGTGAACACCCGACAATCCATCCTATACTTACAGTTGTAAGCCCCTTGTTACAAAAGGGAAAGAAAAAGGCTCCTCCTGCACCCCCACCCACTGAAAAAATCTTAAGTGAATTAAAGGATCATTTTGAAGCTTCTAAAATTGACACATTTCATTTTAGCAGAATTCTCACACACCAACCAAACCCTGCACACTCCCATTTAATGCATAAGCCCCAGAAAGCTAAATTCATCTAGTTTAGTAACTCTCCAGAGTCATGTCAAAGGCTGCTTATTTTTCACTACTACGAAAATACCATCGCTTGTCTTTGCTACAGAAAGATAAAGCCCCAGGGAACAATCGAGCACTTCACCTTGATGAGTCCATCTCCTTGGGCGAAGCAAGGGTCCTGAACAAAGTCCAAAACTTGCAGAGTCAGCTGGTGCCAGAGCCTTAAGAAACAAGAAGGTCATTCAGTGAGTTCGCGCTTTACGCCGCATCCCGTATGTCACACCCCGGCGCTGCCGAGCCCACCCGTCTCTGCGGCTGCTGGGACTGACAACGGAGATAAATCAGGAGAGGAAACCGGTGGCAGAAGCGGCCCCCCCCCCCCCCCGACCCCTCACTCAGGGCGCTAACCTACAGCAACCCCGGGGAAAACAACGTGGCAACCGGCTCCCCCATTTCGCCCAGCTGCGTGCGCGCCGCCTAAACGACGGCAAAGCTACAAAACGGGGAGCGGGAGCAGCCGCCCCCCGCGGGGGGAGCGCGGCCCAGCCCGGCTCGGCGTGCGGAGCCCCGCGGCGGGGCCCGGGAGCGAGGGCCGGGCCGGCCCCGCCGAGGGCAGCGGCCCGTTCCCGGGGCCGCGCTCCCACAGCACCGCCATCCCCCCACACCCCCCGCTCACTTCTTGTTGTAGAGCTCCTCCAGCCGGTGCCACACGGCCGCCTGCCCCGGCCCCGAGCTCTGGCTCTGCTGCAGGAAGCCCGGCACGTCCTTCATGGCGGAGGAGGGGGCGAGGATGAGGAAGGTGAGGAAGAGGAGACAGCAGCTCCACCGCACCCGCCCTAGCCGCCGCCGGAAATGCACACTCACTTCCGGCGCCGCCGCGCGGGGCACGCTGGGTACCGTAACGCCCCGCGGCCACCCCCCCCCCCCCGTCCCGCAGTAGCCATGGCAACGCCTTGGGTTTTGTATGTTTTCTTATTTCTTTTTTCTTTTTTTCGTTCTTCCCCCCGCCCTCCCCAAACAAACACACACACCCCTCACCTCCCGAAACGGCCCAAAACGGGGAAGGGGGAGAGGAGCGCGGGCGGGCCGTGGAGGGCGCGGCTACTCGGGGCATTACGGTAGCGGAGCGCGGTCGCGGGCATGGAGCGGCGCGGCGGCGGGCTGCTGGCGGCGGGTAAGGCCCGGGGGGTACCAAGGAGGGTCCCGGGGGGGCCCCGCCCGCCCCTCCGCCCCTTCATCCGCCCCTCCGCCCCTTCATCCGCCCCTCCGCTTCCTCGCAGCCTGGCGGAGCCTGTGGGAGCGCGGCCCCCGCCATGGCGGCGGCCCGCGGGGCCCGGCCCGGTCCGGCCTCCCCGGGCAGAAGACGGCGCGGGCCGCACAGTCGACGCTTCCATCCCGGTAATTGCCGTTTGCAGACTGCCGGGACCCGGCAGCGCTCCCTCGGCTCCTCGCCCTCCCCGGGCCTCTCCCCGCGCCGGCGAGCGGCTGCTGCTGCAGGTGACGGTGACCGGTCTCGGCCCCATCTGTGCTCAGCGCTGGCCCGTTGCTCCTTCACCCATTCGCCGTTTACACGTGGAGCTCTCCCAGGACAGAGCCCTCGGCGGGGAAGCAGAGCAATTAAAATGTCCGGGCTAACCTGGGCAGCGTTGTCCCAGGGTGACCGCATCACCCTCTTAGGAATTTCTTGGGACACAGTCAACAGTCTTCTGTATCCCAAGAGCCATGTAAATCCACTGAGACTTGTGAGTCCCAATGCTACTGTTCCCACAGCCACCCTATCCAAAAAAAAAAACCCTCACGAGGGTACCAGTGATGTGGTATTTTTGGACCAGTGTACGAAAGCGCAGTGACAGGTATCTGGTCCTGGGGTACAGATTAGACTGACAGTACTAGCACGCAGTCCTGCCAATTGAAGAGCATTCTGGAAAATTCTTGGGGTGGTTTTCTCCCCAAGTGCTTTCCAGCTGACGCTGCTGTCAGTACATTGCCTGTTGTGCTTTCTCTCTGTTCCGAGCAGGATCCAAGGGACCAGGCCCTTCTCGTTGTCTGCTGCTGCCAGGGCCCTTCTGGGAAGGGGCAGGTGGGGAGGCGACGGTGGGAAGCAGCAGCTCACTCTGCAGGAGGTGGCACAACTGATTCGGCAGCAGGAGTGTCGCCGGGTGGTAGTGATGGCTGGCGCTGGGATTAGCACCCCCAGCGGCATCCCGGATTTTAGGTAATGCCTCCTCCATCGTTTCATTTGTCCTTTTTCAGTCCTGGGAGGGCCAAGATCTTCAGCTTAGGTAACGCTGGTGCCAGCTACTCCTCTCACCCCTCCATGCTGTTTATCCGTGCCAGGCTAGACTAGTCTCAGGAGCTTCTGTGCCCACTGATCCTCCTCTCCAGCCCAAGGCAGGCTGGCATCACTAGTCAGACTTTGGCCCCGCTCTTCAGGATGGTTAAGTCACGCCTGTTGCTTGGTTCTGTGGCGGCACTCCCTGCCCCACCTCAGCTCCCAGAGCAGGGTGGCACAGGCTCAGGCTGCTCCACCTAGAAAAGAGCACGGCCCTTCCCTCCCTCGGACAGCAGGCACACCTCTGCAGCCAGGCGAGCTTGGGGTGGTGGTGGGATGGGGATGCGAGGCAGGTTTTCCTGTGCAGAAGTAGTTTCAGCTGCTCTCTTGACACACGATGGACAGCGCAAAGCTGGAGAGAACCCAAGGGCCCGGCTGACTGCTCTGTCATGCCTGGGACTGGCTCTGGGGTGGGTGGCACCTCCTCCTGCATTCTGACCCCCAGCCCCGCTCCCCTCCCTTTGCAGGTCCCCAGGGAGTGGCCTCTACAGTAACCTTGAGCAGTACAACATCCCTTACCCAGAAGCCATCTTTGAACTGACGTATTTCTTTGTCAACCCTAAGCCCTTTTTCACTTTGGCCAAGGAGCTCTACCCTGGCAACTACAGACCCAACTACGCCCACTATTTCCTGAGACTCCTGCATGAAAAAGGGCTCCTCCTGCGCCTCTATACCCAGAATATTGACGGGCTGGAGAGAGGTGAGTTTTATCTTCCCCATCTCTCAGCAGCAGAGTGCCGGGAAGAGGTGAGGGTGAGGAGCAGAAGAGAAGGCAGGACTGGGGAAACGCCCAGTGAACATGGAGTTCCTGGCTCAGTCACCTCACACTGAGCTGGCCCTCTCCCACGTGCTGTGTTCCAGTTGCTGGGATCCCACCCGATAAACTGGTGGAAGCCCACGGCACCTTTGCCACTGCCACTTGTACGGTCTGTCGAAGGAAGTTCCCAGGAGAGGACTTCAGGGTGAGTGGTCACAGCTGGGCATTGATACATAAATTAGTGCAAGGAGGAGAACCTGTTGCAGGCCTGGTATTTAGCCCTTGGGGCCATGAGGTTTTATTGGAGGGGAGCAGGCTTGGGGCCCTGTGTTGCTGTGAGGACGGGCTGTGGTTTGGACCCTGCTCGTGCAGGTACGTGCTGCCCTGTAACGAGTGGTGTTGTGTGCTCTTGCTTCAGGGGGACGTCATGGCAGACAGGATCCCTCACTGTCCTGTCTGCACGGGAATCATCAAGCCTGACATCGTGTTCTTTGGCGAGGAGCTCCCGCAGCGCTTCTTCCTGCATGTGACAGACTTCCCCATGGCAGACCTGCTTTTCGTCATCGGAACGTCCCTGGAGGTCTGCGACTAAGAGAACCCCTGCTCCCAAGAGAAAAAGGCACACAGAAAGCAGGGCCCGAGGGGACTCTGGAGGAAAGAGAGGGTTTAGAGGAGAAAGCGAGAAACTGGGCTACCGAGGTAAAATTTGAGGTGGCAGGGCAAGAAGTAGGGTGCATGCACTCCAAGAGACCCTCTGAAAACCTTGTGTGCCCCTGGAGAGCAAGAGGGGAGCTTTGCAGCTACCTGAGGGAAGGCCGCGGGTCACTGGTGACAGCCCTAACCCGTTCAGAGCTGGGCGAGGTGACTCCACAGTGGGAGAGCCCTCAAGCACAGCGGTTACAAGCTTACGGGGGCGGTGGATTCGTGCCCGCCGTGCCCCTCAGCAGGCGACCCTCTCCCCTCCCCTCAGGTGGAGCCCTTTGCCAGCTTGGCAGGAGCCGTGCGCAGCTCCGTTCCCCGAGTCCTGATCAACCGAGACCTCGTAGGACCCTTCTCTTGGCAGCAGCGCCACAACGACGTAGCCCAGCTGGGGGACGTGGTCAGGGGCATCGAGAAGCTGGTGAAGCTGCTGGACTGGACTGAAGAGATGCAAACGCTGATTCAGAAGGAAAAAGAAAAGGTGGGAAGGGGCTCAGAGCCCTGTCTCCCTCCCTCCACCCCTTCGTTCCTTGTGCTGATGGGGGGAGCAGGTTGGTGCTTGCTGGGGTTAGACTTGTGCCATGGCCACGCCTGCAGTCTGCATTCGGAGAAAAGGACCACAGAAGAGTGCAAAAAGGTTAAAAAAACAAACCAAAACAACCCTCAGTGCTATTTCACAGCGAAGGTACCATAGAGCGGAGCGGTGTGTTGCTGAATGTTTCAGTGGTGCAGAAGGAGAGGATGTAGATCTGCCAACCTCAGATGAAATAGGAGGAATGTTTTTCTGGTCAGTGGCAGAAATAGGTAATAGTAACAAAAGGGAGGCTCTAATTGCATTATGTCTGAGACCAAACAAGGTGCTGCAGTGGCCAGATATGCGACTGTCAGCAAGCAGCAGGCAGGAGTGAGGGTGCTTGGTCCACCTGACAGCATTTAATTATTAACTAAAGATTTGATTTTTTTCCCCTGATGATCATTTATTTCTCTGTGCCATTCTTAGAGCTGTAATCTTTTGAGAGCTTCATAAGTGAGAAAGTATAGGAGAGCAAGTTCTTAATTACTTTGAATGTAATGCTAATGTTGATTATAACATTACTTTAGACCTGCTGGGAAGATTTTCTCCTTTTAGCATCAAACACTTTTTTTTTTTTTTATTTAAGCAGAAGGTGTAACTTGTGGGCTAGGCCAACTCTTGTGCTTGTGTAAATGGGCACAGCTCTGTTGGTGGCAGTCAGGCTCTGCCAAGTCACCATTACAAGCAGCCAGTATTTTTAACAGATACACTGACTGTACGTGACAACTGCAAGCCTAGAGAAAATCTGGCTTCAAGATTCTGATTTTAACATTCAGGTTGTTCTTGCTTTCATCAGATTATGGGGAAGGAATGAATAGGAATTATTAGTCTGTTGGTCAGGTATTTCTGGTATTTCATTACAAGCCATGGTGCATTTGTATGAAATCAACTCTTGGTTTCATGTTTGTGCTGCTCTGAACCACTGATGGATAAAGCTGATGCAAATGTGGTAAAGCATGAAAAATAGACTCTTTGCTCCAGGATTTTGGTGCTAGGAAGTATTACTGGCTGCGCTAACCGGGCCTGGAAGGTTTGAAACACCCTCGCAAACACTGTGTGGTCTCTGTTTTTAGCTGGATGCAAAAGACAAATAGGAGAGCTGGCTCCCTGCTGCTGCTGAGCGACGTTCACCTCGAGGAGGAGACCTCATGCCCAGCGCAGGCAGAGGAAGGGATGGTGGCCAGGAGCCGTGGCAGAGGCCACCCGGCCCGCTGCGGGGGGTGCCTGTAGCTCAGTGAAGCCAAGCTGGGCAGCCCCCATGACGGCAGGGAAGCCCAAATGCCGAGCCACAAACTGGTTCTGCGCATGAAGGCTTTCCTACCTGAGACTTCAGAACAGTGGATCAGCCACCGAGCACTGTTCCTGCCTCGGAGAGGCACCCCCGGAGGGGCTTCCTCGTCCCCGGTGCTGGCTCTGTCCCCCCCGCCAGCGCACCCTCTGACCACATCCAGCCACGAGAGCTTCACCAGGACGTGGCCGGGAGCCCGTGGGCTTGTGCCAGCACATCAGGCGAGCCGTGCATCTGCAGCTTGCCCTTTGGGCCTCCCTCTTTGAGCCGTCCAGCCCCAGGGACCCCAGCAGGGTTTGCTTCCTGAGGAGCAGGAGCTGAAAGTTCCATGAGGGCCAGGCCTTAGGGCAGGACGCTCTGGAGTGAGTTTTCCAGCTCCCCACACTGGACTGAGCATCTACCTACTCCTTTCTCAGCTCCTCCTCAGATACTCTCCTCTTAGTCATGATCTTCAGCTGCTGCAGACTTGTAGTGTTTATTCTTCACATGGGATCTCTGATAATCAGGGGACAAATGCTCTCAGGGTGGGGAGGAGGCTGCCCCCCATTCCTATTCAGGAATGCCAGCTGACAGTGCTGGAAGAATTTTGAATCACTATAGTGTTAATTATTTAATAATAAAAAGGTTCTAATTCTTTTGCTGATGTCACCTGAGGGTTTTTCTGTACACTTCAAACTTTCCCCAGTTTTCAAACACATGCTGTTCCCACCACCACTGCTCCTTTCACCTGCTTTTTTTTTTTTTTTTTTCTTTTTAACTTTAGAAAAGTGCCTTTCATCCCTGTAAATGCAGTCCCAGGGAGAGGCAGCCCCAGTGGGAGTACAACAGTAATGTCCCTCTCCTTCCCAGATGTGCCCTAGCAGATGTACTTTGCATATCACAGGTGTAGCAGAGCCTCTTCCCTGCAACAGGGCATGAGTTTCATCCCTCCAGCACCCAAATTTGACTGTGGGGATTGAAGTCACAGAGATGGCTCCGGCTGACCCATCTATTTATCACAGCAACTCTTCTGGAGGCAATCCCAGATCAGTACCAGCTCCAAACAAGCACAAAATGCAAAGTGTTTTATGCCATCATTTTGTTACTATTAATGCTAAACAGAAAACCTAAGCAAATAGAATAAAAGCATCTGAGCACACAGCTGTGTCACTAACACAACGCTGGACTGCTGTTTTGGAATTGGACACCTAAAAGCTCTTCTCAGAGCAAAGCCAGAACCTGTAAACACTGTCTTACAGCTACCTGTCTATATAATTAGAAGTGTTTGGACCCAATACTCACCTGCTATAAATCAGACCAGCTCTAGGGACCCCACGGAAGCCTGGCACAGCTACTGCTAATGCTACAGGAACCGAGAGCTCGGTGCCCATGTCCTAGCTGCTTCCTGGAAGAAAGGTTTGAACCAGTTCCCGTTCAGAAGAGCAGACTCGTTCAAAAACCCAATTCCAACCTCCCTGCGTGCTCCCCCTCACAGCCGGGCCCAGCCCGGCTGGTGTATTTGTGCAGCCTCAGGAGAAGCCCAAGGGCTGTCCTCTCGCCTTGCAGAGCACCAGAGGCCTCGTGGCACCTCGCTTTACACTGAAAACTGTGGTGAGGCTTTTAAGCCGTACCCTGTTTATAGACTCTCACTCCAGAAGCACCCTGTGCCCACTGGGGCTTTTCAAAGCAGGGCCTGACAGTTGCAAGTCAGGGTTTTAAGCACGACAGAAGATTAGAATACAATAATATCAGAAGCACTGCATTAAAAATACACCCCCTCACTTCTCCTTTTGCATGGAAAGCTTCAGAGAGCTTTAACAGCTGGAAAGAGATCAGAGGTCTGCATTTTCACACAAGTCTGCAGTGGGTTTTTTTGCTAGTTATTAAAAAAAAAAAAAAAAGAAAGATGCAATTGGCCTGAAAACTCAAACTGCAATACACTGAAGCTATTCTCATGACAGAAGCCCATCTGCGAATCTTAGTGGGTCAGTTTTACATAAATATTGTATACCCCTGGGAGAGCCTGGAACTTTAACCACGACTACTAAAAAAATGCTTAAGAATTCTGAAGAACTAAATGAAGCATACCTTCAGCTTTTCACATCACAGAAACCATCCACAGAAGACAAGGCCCAACTCTTAAAAACACACAGGCAGGAACACTCGCAAACCCTCCGCTCGCCTCCACTGCACATCTGCAGCCTCCCCACACCCAGATTTTCTGGGCTCCCGACACGGTGCCCCACTGCAGAGCCCGGCCAGCCCGCCCTGCACGAGTCAGGAATCTCAGACAACCCACGCAGCCAAGCAACCGTCAAGGCTGGCTCACGTCCTGCAAAGGTCGAGCGACAAATCCCTAGTGCACAAACAGAAAACAGAGCTGCCGTGCGCCATCTTCAACCATTACAGAGCGTTTGTAAAGGAGATGAGGAACAGTCCTGTAAACAACTACATGTCGTGAGACCCAAGAGGTCGAGCTAAAATGGTTTTTCAATTCTCAAGCTTCAATGCTTACTTTAACTTTGGGATGCTCCATTTGGTTATATTTGGTGGCCCAGGTGCAGGGAAAGGTTCTAGCTTAACTCCAGCTTAATGCTACAATTTTACCTCCTAAATAAAACTGTGAAGTTCAGGGTGATCAGAGTAGAACCATGTGCAGTCAGAAAAAGCCAAAGATATTTCCTTAGTTGCTCAGAGCTATCTTGATGAATCACTACCATGCGCCCATTTGTCAGGTTTTCTTTATTCTAGCATCACTTCTGCATTCCTACTTGTGATAATAAGTTTTGGAACTCTGGTACATGAGACCAACTAGAAGATTTTGTTTAAAACAATTTTCTTTAAAAAGAAAAAAGAACAAAACAGGAAAAAAAGACAAATCTAAGCCACAGCGAAGGACAGGACCAACAGCAGCAAAGGACAGGACCAACCATGCCGTTTGTATTTGTTTGATGCAAACGGCAGTTGACCTGTGAGAAAGCCAAGGCAGACGAGGCAGCAGCAGACAAAGCACAGATTTTGGCCTTTCATTTGGGAAGCGCGAGATGGGGAAAGGGTAAAAAAAAAACAAAAAAAAAAAAAAACCACTAAACTCCATGGGACCAGGAACACTGCACAGTGCCAGAGGCTGAATATCAGAGCGTTGCTAACAGTCACCTGCGCGCTCCCCTCCCGCGGCCGACGGGAATGCCGAGGCTTCACGCAGAGGCTGCACTCGCCTCCCCTCTGCGCTCACGTCCACACCCGCACACCCACACGCTCCCTTGCGCGCCGACACCGTCACGCTCGCAGCCGCACGCAGCGCGGACACCTACAGCTGCCTGCTGAGCCAAGGGACCAGCTGTGCCCAGACACCCCGCAGGCACTGCTCCCCGAGAACTGCCCCGGATACCACCCCCTGCCTGCAGCCCCACATCCCCCCTCACACCCCACACCACCCCCCGCCTGCAGCCCCACATCCCCCCTCACACCCCACACCCCCCCCCGCCTGCAGCCCCACCGTCCCAGCCGCGTCCTGGGGGAGCGGCTCCCCCCACACGCAGCCACCTCCAGCGACACACGCGCTGACAAGCGGCCGCACGGTCATCGGCACGTACACGAGACGCTCCGCAGATTGCTGAACCCTGATGGTGTGACAGGAAGATCCACGCTCCCCCCCCCCCCGCCCCCACCATCCTTCTTCCCAAACATGATGTATTTAAAAATAAAAAAAAAGTCTTATTGGAAAGTCCTGGAAGCAATTCGCAGTATGAAATCCTCAAGGTTGCTGAGAGGAGAGACCAAGGTGGAGCCAGGCCATGAAGACCCTCTGGAAGGAGAGGCGGTTGTGGAGCTGGGAAAGAGGCAGGAGGCGTTCCTTGTTGTGGACTGTGAGAGGTCCAGCCTGGACCCGGATCCCACAGGGAGAGTCCCGGCCCAGTACTAGCCTCTGGGTGTAGCACCAGTTCTAGAGGGAGAGCGGATGGAGGCTCCCCAGCTCTGCGAGGCTGGGGCGAGAGGTCTGGATCAGTCCAGCCCCAGGTCCGAGTCGGACGACGACCTCTCGTCAGCCATATCGCGGATGGCGTTCTCCATGGGGGCCAGGTTGCCGCTCGGCGTGATGCCCATGGGCTGGATGACTTGCTCTCTGCAACCAGGGAAAAGGTAACACAAATTTGCAGCAGACAGCACAAGAACAGACGGGTACTACAGCAGAAACGTGGCGCTTGTGGAAACTGCCCAGAGGCAGCCCAGATCCACCCCAGGCCACCACTAAATCCCTCTGCAGAGAAGTGGGGGACAGTTCTAGCCATAAAGCCCCCAGCACGGCGAGGCGATGGCTGGAAGCACAATCCACAACAACTTGCCACTCTCAGGTTCCCTGGAATAGGCTCAGTTTTAGGGTCCTGCTGTGTGGTACAGGATTGCCAGAGGAAAGGCAGCGCTGGCGTCGGTGCTCCTCTCCCTCTAACTCACGGTGGAAATACACGCCTTAAAGGCACTGCCCTCTCCCCTCCCACCCTTGGGGTGGTCTGAACTCAGCTGGCAGATGCTGGGTTCCTCTGTGACACCTATTAATGATGGATGAAAGATGACTGGAGAAAGCACTCCTGCAGGGGAAGGGTCTGGTGGCACTGGCTGCCATCTGTCCCCAAAACGCTGCTTCCCACTGAGCAGCCTTGCCAGGACAGGGGCTGCCGTTCTTACTGAGCACCAGGCCAAGCCCCGCGAGGCAGCAGGGGCTTGGAAACACAGCACGGGCATGTAGAGGAATTTCACAGTATGCCATTGTGCCAAAAAGATGTGCGGGCCTTGCAGCTCCTGCCCCCAAACATAACAGGGCCCAGATTAAGGAAGTATTTCCCCATGTATCCCCCCCCCACCCCTCACATCCCTTCAGTTAGCGGTGGCCTTGGGAATACGTTCAAAGAAATGTCTGTGATAAATGTAAATCAGACACAGAGGTGCTAATGCAGACATGAACATACACAATTTTCTAGTACCTGGATAATTTGTCAAACATGTTGACTAACTTCATGGCTTCATATTCCTTCTGCTCTTCAGTCATCCCTTCCATGGGGTTGGGCAGTTTCTCTTCAACACGTCCCGTCACAGGGTTAATGCTGCAAGAAGAGTGAAGCCGGGGCAAAGGAGGGAGGTAAAGCAGAGGAGTGACAAAAGGGCTGTTTAAACATCTTTGCCTCAATTGAGCAGAGGAACACAACGGCAAGGCTGGTTGTCACTGCTGCTTGTCTCGTTACCCCCAAGTGCTATCGCAGCACAACATGCTGCTTCCGATCCCTCCCATTTCTCGATGTGGGCAACATCCCCATCCTGCCAATTCCACAGGGCAGCTTTATTCCAGGTGCATGAGGGTGAATGGCACTTCCGCCCTCTCCTTAAGTCAGGAGGCAAAAAGCTAACAGAAAAAGAAAAACCTCAAACCCCAACCTGTAGCTCACATCAAACAGGATGCTAGAAAGTACAGGACCCACAGCGGAACGCAGTCCTGAAAAGCACCCTGCATACCCCTCATCCTTGAGTTACTGCCACCCACTAGCAGGCAAATTAAAGAAAAAAAAAAAGGAAAAAAAAAACAACAAAAACCAAAACAGCTCACTCCAGGGCTCTGGAGACAGAGAGGAGTAATGGGCAATTCCAACCCCGCTGCAAGAAGGGACCACCCTTACCCCAGCACACAGTAAGCACCTGCCACCATACTGAGATATACAGATGCCAAAAAAGGCTAAAAGACGTGGATTAGAGCAAGATATACTGCCATGGGCACACCGTGAACAGGTCTGGTGCAGAATGGGCTCTGGCTGAAGGAACCTACTTTGCTCTAGAGCCTGTGCCCAGCTGCAGGGACTGAATATAGGCACTGGTGACCACCCACACCGTGAGCAGCTAGCCACTGAGCCACTTCCCCCAAGGAACAGGCAGAGAGGGTGGAACAGGACATCAAAGGTAAGGGTGAAACTGCTAAATAGCACAGAAGGAAATGTGCACGTGAAAGAGCAGGACAAGGGAGATGGCAGGGGGGCAGGTGAAGCAAGGGACAGAGCAGGAGTGGGAGGAATGTGTAGGAAGAAGGGAGCAGACTTCTTTACTTGGGCTTTGCCTCTTTGTACTCCTCAGTGTCTGTGTCTTCATCTTCCGAGTACTCTCCCTCTTCCCGACCACCAGCCATGAGGCCTCGTGCTGCCAGGAGCCCAGCTGCATTCCCATAGCCCGTGTACTTCACAAACCGCGACACTGCCAGGAGAAGGGGAGAGACACCACCCTGTGCTTCCCCTCCTGCCTCTCCAGCCCCGTCTGCTCCCGTGTGCCCCAACAGCAAGATCGGTGCAAGGCCACGAGATCCAGAAATGCCAACGCTTATTTGAGCTCTGGCAGGGAGCAAAGCTCCCACGCTATGCACCAGGAACGGCAGGGACAACTCGCACGGGGTGGGAGTCTGAATGCAGGCCAGGTTGTCTGCAGGGTGCTGGGGCGTCCTCCAGCAGAGCTTTCCACTCACCGCTGGCACAAGAGACAGCAACTCCTTCCCACAGAGCACTTGGATACTCTCCACTTTTCCCTACTTGGTGCATCTGGCCCAAGGGAAGACAGAAGTTCCTGTGACTGCAGAGGGTCACCCATCCCACGCTCTCCAGCTTGCCCAGAGAGCAAGCTCCAGGACTCCCTGTCACCAAAGCCCACAACAAGCCCCTGCAACTCACCGCTCTCCTTGCAGAGCACGAAGAGGAACTCTGCTGCACAGTGCTTCACGTCGGTGTCGATGTGGGTCATCAAACGCACCAGCTTGTTCCGCAGCAAGTTGCCCACCTCGGGCCGATTCCTCACGTCCCGGAGCGGAGGCAGCACCTACAAGGCCAGAGAGGGGCAATCAGAGGAGCTGGAACAGCAACAGCAGGTCAGGCAGGGGAAAACGTACGTGCATTTTACACATCAGCTAAAACCAATAAATCCACAGTGTGGGGGATGTGGAAAAAAAACACTGTGGGTACCAAAGGCCTCAACCACCCAAGTATCAGAACCCAGCAGAGAGATAGAGGAGGCCTGTTCAGAGGATGGTAATAACGAGGCATTTTGCTGTTCTCCTCTCAGTGCAGCATCACCCAACTTTTGGCTGCACTACAGCGTACCTTCGCCTTCAGGAACTTCCTCGTCTGGCGGTGAACTCGGGCACTCTCAGTCAGCAGGTTCAGCACAGGGGTCAAACTCTCCTTCAGCTTGTGTCCCTGCAGATGCATCCACAAAATGAGCAACACCTTAGTCACACTGAGCTCAACTTGTCTGGCTTGTGGTGGAGAACATGAGTACAGACAGTCGGGGAAACAGATGGACACCAAAGCTTTCCGGCCTCTGCTACAGGAATTTCAGCAATTCATCACTCCTCAAACTGCACGGTTTTTCAAGCCCTGCTCTGTGGCACGGCAGTGCTAGAAATACTTGTGTGTAAGGCATCCAGACCAGAGAAGTGCAGCAGTAAAATTTGGAGGCCCTTTGGGATAACTCCAGAGACTGAAAACCACATTCAGCTTGAAAATAATGCAAATTCAGGCTTCCAGAAGCTGCCCACCGGCCCACTACCGAGTGAAACAGAGCACCAATACTTCAATCACCCAGCTAATCACCTACTGTTCAACCAATCTCACCACCTGCAGTCCATAAAGCAATGACACAGTCAACTTCCCAGTGGACAGATGTTGTTTCAGAACTACCAACCATGACAGTTTTGCCTCTGCTAAAAACTGCCCCTTCTGTAAAAGGGTATCTCCAAACTAACCATGCCTTGCTGGTGCTCCTGGGGCGTTGGCACTGGGATTTTCAAGGCCACGTGTAGGCTGAAGGAAGACAAGCCGTGGCAAACTCACACAGAAGCCTCACAACTTACCCTGTCAAGGCGTCGCTCTAGGAAATCCAGCAGGATGCTGACTGCATCCATGTTGACACCCATGTACTCAAGTGAGCCTGGCCGGACTTTTGGGGTCAGGAGGACATCCAGACATTTCAGGGGCAGGTTGCCCAAAAGGTTAACCGTATGACTAAACATATAAAAGAGAAGAGAACACCTAGTGATGGATCTTTGTTCACAGAAGTTCTTCAGCTATCCAGAAATTAAGGTTTGTTACTAACTTCCAGAAATGTGAGGACCCCAAGACCCAAGTTGTCTTTGGACTGCACCCCAAGCTTCTCACACCACTACAAGTGACTAAATTAAACTGCTTTTTGGGTAGTTGAACCATTTGCTGGGAGTCCAAACAGACTTTAGTGACAACTGAAAAACCATGGATCTTGACACAGAGGCCAAGTAGGAACAATCAGGGTGGTCAAAGATCTTTCTCTAGGTCTCCTGCTGCACCACTCCTCCTCACCGTGGTGGTCGATGCAATGCATTGCCTAGGACTCCTCTGACTACAGTCTTCTTGGGGACAGGATGGTGTCACCTGCTTAAAGCTGACACCCCTGGACCAGTAATGCTCAGAAACATGACACAGGCAATTTCTCACAATGCCTCAAGAGACAGTCAGTCAACTAAGGCCACTCCATAGACTCTTTAATTAAAGTACCAAATGTCTGCTCTGGAAAGCTGCCCACCAAAGTGGGCAGCACTGCTGAGAAGGCCTGACACAGGATAGTGAATATGGCCCATGGGGTGAGGCAGGCCTGGAGAAAACAGTCCCTGCTGTAGGCCAGGAGGCTGTGGCATTAGTGCACATAATGTGGCTGTGGGAAGGGCAGGGCTATTTGAGTTCTAGCAGCATGAGGAACCTGCAGACCAAACCAAAAATGCCTGCTTGTCAGCAGTGACCTTGGCAATCGTCAGAAAAGGAGGATGTTAATGCCAAGGTCAGGCAAGATCTGCTTTGGGGAGACTTGTTTCTAGTGAAGATCACGACTTAGTTATCCAAAGACCTGTGGAACTCCTCTGTTCGGTCCTCTCCATCAGCAGAGATCATGAGGCAGTGGCGCAGGAGAGCACCCAAGTGACGGTACAAAGCAGCATCTTCCTGCCCCCAGAACAGAAAATGAAAACCTTGATCAGGAAAGGGGATCCTCCACATACCAGAGCCTGCTACCCCTGCAGCCCACAGCCCCCTCCCTCCCTCCAGCATCCTGATAACTGACAGCAGGGTGTTTAAGTGGAAGTAGCCTCCTGATTCACCTTCTGATGTCACCACAGTCTTCCTGCTGCCCAATACCTTTCCCCTCACTCTACCACACTGTGTCAAGGGCTGGAAGAGGTCCCAAAACAGGCCCATGGATTAGCCAGAGATGTTCTCCATCACACCTTCTTTTGACCTTTGTCCAGAAGGTGAAGGTACCGGGCCACACTCAGAAGCGAGTTATTTAAGGGCTCCACTCTCCCACTTGCACAACAAATCACGTCATTAAGAAGAAAAAATACCCAACTTTTAAACTGTAATGCCCTCAACGTCTTAAGGGTTGATAACGCATTGGATAGAGGTAGTGCTCTGGAGGGGAAGGTCTGGACACACGACTCTTGCTACCCTCACACGTACCTGGGGGCTGCACAAGGGCCGGTATGTAACAGGAGGAAATGCAAGCGGAGGAGAAACCCCACAGTCAAAGCACAGCCCAGAGACATGCAAATGCAGCGGGGTGAGACACCCCAGGAGCTTACCTCATCCACCTCCCTCTTGCTGGAATCAAAGGTGATATTGAAGAGCACTTTCAGGATCTCCATGGCCCGTTCTGTTTCCTGCCGAGGCAAAGGTGGGAGAAGGCCCTCCTCGGTCGCAACTTCGTAGGGGTCCATCCACTTTACACCCAGGGTGAGCTCCAGGGTATCTGTCATCAGGCTGATGCCCCGGAGCTCCTGGGCTAGCTGCTGCCGGATGTCCACTCTCAGCGCCGTCAGCAGGAACAGGAGACGCAGGTCAAAGAACTTGACCTCGTGAGGAAGGCTCCTCTCATTGTACAGTTTGATGCGCTTGGCCAGCCCCACCACCAGCCGGGCTTCAGCTGTCAGCTCCTGTGCCCTAGGGCTGCTGAAGACAATGTTGCAGAGACATTTGAGGGATTCCAGGATTACATCCAAGTCTGGGACCTCCCGGATGAGCTCCTCGGAGTAATCAATGCCCGCATGCCTGGAGAGGGTCTTCAGGCCTTCCCTGGTGGTGAAGGGCTCAAGGCAGTATTTGTCCCGGGACAGGATGCGGATGCTTTCCAAGCAGGTAACCTGGCAGGACGGCTGCAGCTCTCTTTCCAGGAACTTGATCAGCAGCTGGGCCATTTTCTGTGCAGTTGGAAACAAGTAACACCTCACGCACCGACACTTCACAGTGCTCCCCCACCACCCTGTCATGCTCTGCCCAGGAAGACGGGAACATCATCTAGGAGATGGGCCTGCTAACAGCTCTGGTGCAGGCATGTACTCAGGAAGCGTTTGGCTGCGGCATCTGATCCTGACCCAGTTCAAGCAAGGACACCCAGCAAGAAACAAAGAACGGTTGGGAGAGGGGATCAGAGGTAAGGGGAGAGTATCAATAGGCAACTGCTACTATTGCATGTTTTAGCTTCACCCATGGTTAGGATGGTGGCAGTTAACACAGTTCACCCGACACCTGAATTAAGCAAAGGGACTGCAAGGCAAAAACATCCGTTATGGCTTCACTGAGGAGCAACAACCAACTAGACAGCAGCTCTCTACTCCTGCCCAGAGCCTTAAGATTAGGGAGGCATCTGCTTTGGGTGCTCTAGAAACAGAGTGAAAAGGTTGATAGACGCATCAGAAAAATCACCAAGGGAGGGTGGAAGGACCTAAACGAGGTGAGAAGAGCACATGATGCCCCAGGGAAGGAGGTGAAAAGACCTCAGGAGATTCAAACAAGTAGTAACTCCATAAACATCAGTGCTGTCAGGAGACCTACTAGCCCAGATCCTCAGCAGGTACGGGCTGGCAGAGCTCCACTAACACTGATTCACAAGAGCTGAAAATCTGACCCTTGGGGCCAACAGCATCGTGCATGACAGCAAGCAACGGAGGAGGACAAGAGCAAAGGCAATGCTTCACATGAGCAAGTGAAGCAGCACTTCACATTAAACTAGTAATCCACTGCAGAGATGTTCACACCTTGGTGGTGTGGTGGTGGTGAGGTGAAGCCTCACTAGATCTCTCTAACATAACACCACATCAGAACACATCTTTCCATGCGTATTACAGGAGCAAAGGAATCCAAGACTGCAAGGTTTGCTATCACTCAGTGTGACTGGCTTAACACAGCCTAATCAGTTATGCTTCATAATAATAAAAGGACAGAGAGGATGAATGAAGAAAAAATGAAGTTTAGTCCTTAATGCAAGGCTGGCAGAACTGAACATGCTTTAGCTCATGAAGTATGCCCCACAATCACACCCCTGAGAAGTGAGAAAGTACAGTCATTCCTCTTCACCTTCCGTTCGAGGAGACGGAGATACAGGAGGTTAAGATACAGTCAGAAGTAAAACCAAAGCCTCTGACTGACTGAGGTTAAAGATATCTCAGAGCATGTACCCACGGCTAAACCTCCAGAAGAACTAAGCACCGGGAACTAGATGGTGAGGCTCAATCCATATTTCATGACATACTCCCCAAAAGTGGCATACCCCAAGGCTGTGTCTGAATTCACAGCCTGTGCACTTGCCCAGCTCAAACAGCAAGTCAGTGCAAGGCTAAGAGCTGAGACCTTGTGAGATCTGGTCCTGCGTGTCAGGCTGTACCTGGAAAAACTTCACACCAGCATTACCCAGCAATGGCACAGGCAAAAGAGGTCTCATCCTTGTGGGCCTTGTGGCCTGGTCCACACTCGCTGTGCTAACACAGGCATTAGCTCAATCAACCAATGAACTGGACCACAAAACCAATCCAGCTGGAAAATTATCCAGGAAAAAAAGTTATTCTTTAGGCAGATCAGCCCACTGACCACGTGCAACCATGCAAAGGTCTGTCCTTGCATGAAAGAACTGCAAGAATAGAAATGAACAGGCAGGAGTGTTTCTTCCCATTGAATGCCAGATCATGCCAGCTTAAAGTATCTGTTAATATACAGCCTCGGCCAAACCCTGCAGCTGGCTGACAGCAAACCCACTTACACTCCAGGGCCCTGCATGTTGCTGTGATCTTTGCCTAGCAGATTCGTGCCACAAACATGAAGGATCACACTTTTTATAAGCACGTGGCTGAGACTGTGTGCACCACGGAACCCAAAGGGCTTGCTAATGCTGGAAGGATGTTGACCTTTATCCTAAAACACCAACTACTGATGGAAAAAACAGAGCCAGATGCTCTGAGCACACCACTCCCTGATCAAGTTAATGAAAAAAACACTCATTTCTTTTCCTGTAGGAGCTGCCACCACCAAGCCCTGCTGAACACAACTACAAAGCAGCAACAGAAATACACATCCAACTAGCAGAAAAAAGCAAAGAATGCCTACCTTCCTCTCTTCCCGTTCCTCATCATCAAAGGTGAAGCACTGAGATTTCTGGGGGGGGGCAAAACAAAAACACAAAGTAAGCAATAGATTAAACATCCACAAAACTGCTTCCCCAAGCCAGGGGTGGGCCATTCAGCTGGGAAGCAGCAGGTCTGAAAACATACTGTAAAAGCAAACACATCTTCTCAAGAAGAGCCCCCACGAGCACAGAGGCAGGGAATCAGCACAGCAATGGGGGGCCACAGTGCTCAGAGGGGTTTGTGGTATCTGTGGTGTTTGTAACAAGCAGCACAAGCTGCTGAGGAACAAGATAAAAGGAAAACTTCCCTGCCACTGAGCTTTTTGCTTCAGTCCTGCTTTTTCTTTCCAACACTGTTCCTACCTAGGCAACTCCAACTACGTGCTTCGCAGCTAGGGGAATTAATCTGGTTTAAAAAGCACGCAGATGGACCACACTGCCAGGTCTGAAGTGCTCTCCTTGACAGAGGTCCCCGCCATTCTGCACGCCCTCATTTCTCTTTCATCCTTGATGAATAATACCCATTTCCTTCTTCTGCTGGCTCCACAGCGGAGGCTGAATGCCACAGGCCAAAACTGTGCCCATCTGACCAATACACTTATTTTTAAATACTGCGGCAGTGAAGTGGGTATTCACCACAATCCAAATATCCCATAACAGCCAGTAATTCCTCTGCTCAGTGACACCATCAAGCTGTGCCTACACATTTCTCCCTTTAATATTTATTGTTCCTGACCAGAAAAAGTACTGTCTCCTTGTTACTTGTGAAGACATCCTTGTGGTTATTGAGGTCATGTTCTTTAAACACAAAAGACCTGATATCTACACCTCCACCATGCCCCTTTCATTAATAAACAGTCCTGCTCTTTGTTCATGGGAAACATTTCTGTATTTCTCACTGTTGTGGCTGTTCTTCAGTGGACAGTCTCCTTTCTGGCTACACCTGCTTCCAACAAACTGGATAGCACAGGAGAACACAGGCGCCCTGGTGAAAAGCAGCACTTTCCAGTGAATGATGCAATTCTCATTTACACCAAGACAGCTTTTGGCCCAAGCTTTGAGAATGAAAACATTTAAAATTTATAAGACGCTAATTATCTATTTATAGATACAGCTAGACCTATCGCCAGACATAGATGGATATAATGGTATCATAATTCTTCCATCACTTTCTTAGCGCTCACTGTCACCTGAGTTACACTGCTTACACTTACGGAGCTCCTCAGTTAGGGTAATTAGCGTTACCACAATCAATCACTCTCATTCTCCAGAGTTATTCTTCTCTTGAGTGACTGCAGTTCACAGATAACCCATCTGAACAACTGAGCTCCTCTCCCACAGTATTTATCACCTTATGAGTTGTCTAACTCTATCCGATTTCCCGCCCAGCAAAGCACAGGACTGACTGTGCTGAGCTTTTGGAGGCCGCAGGCGCTCCCCAACTCGCTCACTCTACTAACGTCATCTCCCCTGACATTCGCTGCCTTTTTCACATGCTGCCAATTCCCGTCTGCTTAAAAGCAGACAACAGAGTTTGCAGATTAACTGTGCCACAGTCACCAAGATCCCAGGGATGGCTTTGGTCTTTCTAGCCTAGAACAAGCCGTGATGGACAACACAAGACCAACACACCGCTTGAGAACCCTCCGGCGAGGCGGCAGGACAGCCGTACTCCTGCAGTGCCGTGCCAGGGGCTGCCCTCTCGTGCTGCAGCACCGTGAGCTGATCCGTGCACAGGCTGTTGCACCACATTATGAGGCGCTGGCGGTCCAGTCCTGGATTCGATGTGCTCTGCAGACAGCCGTGCCACTTGTTCTTTCCCCATCGCATCCTCTTTGCAGGCTCCTGTAATCTCATTCCTGCATGCTTTTGCCATATCTGTGGTTTTGCTTTAGCTGTAGTTTACTACCGGCAATCAAAAATCAACTGCATATGCAATAGTGAATTAAAATATATCCCCAGAAAAAGGATACAATACCATCAATTTTTACAGTAAAAAAAATATGCAAGGAAGTTGCTGAGTTTATTTGCAGTTTCATAATCCTCTGATTGCTCCATTTCTTCTAGACAGGCTAGCAAAACCGCTGACATTCTCACAAGTTTCCTACGCTTGATATACTGACAAAGGGTCCAGCTGGAGGAATTCAACAGAAAATACTGTGGTTTGATGCCTCAAGCTGGGTACACATCAAACTCTGTTTTTTCTCCTAATTTCTCCAGCATTACACCTGCTGTAGATGATGTTAATCCTGTGGGCTGTCTTTAACACAGACCCCACTCCCTCTTAGCTAATATCTCCCCCATTTCAAAACTTACCGCTGGAAATAGTTTCACACTCTCCCTCTTGCACACTCATACAAAGTATTCACAGGTTTTTTTCCCTGATGGCTTCCCACCTACTCAAGAATGGTGCAGAATGAGTCAGAGATCTGCAGGGCCAGCCCTACCGTGGTGGAAACCCTCTCAAGGAGATTTCCCCAACAACCACAGTCTATTTCAAAAGGGATATACCCCCAACAGATAATCTTTTGCCACTTTAAGTCTAGAAACACTTCCATCTCTGCTTCCCAACCATTCTTCCTTTATATTCTAGATTCATTACCTACTTCTTATTGTCAGCTTACAGACAAGGCACCTGTAACAAATTCCAGCAGCCTTTCCCTGTCCAGCTTTAGTGATCTTTTACTGGCAAATCACAACCATCGTTTAATCTGGATCTCCTCCTCACACCTCAGTCTTATTAACTCCACACCTTGCCTTAACATAAAAGCTCCTCCTACTCTGTCTTCACACTGATGTTTATTTCCCTGCCTAGGTTTTACTTGGGATCTGGATAGTAATAAAAAAAAAAAAAAAAAAAATCCCTTCTACATGTTTTACTTCCATTATACAAAGGATCCAAGACAAAGAGAGGCTGCTTAGCTGCTTCCTAGGAAAACATCAAGCAAAAAAACATCTGCAAGTAAAAGATGAAGCAGTCTGTAACATTTTTATGGCAGTATCGCACAGACAGATGCGCTCAGAGACAGACAGACTGAGGACAGACGGATGGCACAGAAAGCCCACAGCATGGTCAACCTGCTCCCAGGCTTGCAAACAGCAGCTGACATCGGGCAGAGGTTTGATGCTCACTCACCTCCTGGTTGTAGATCTGAAGCACCCTGAGAACTGTGTCTTGCTCCCCACTTTCCACAGTGGCTACCACAGCCCCGAGCTCCATTATCTCAACAGTTCAGCTACAGCAGGAGGTGAAACTGGGAGGAAGGGCAGCAAGTGGGCTTCCAGGGCTCCTGAATAACAGTGATGCAAGAGGACCTCGATGTACAGATATCTGAACAAGAGAGAGAAAGGGGTGGGGAAAGGAAAGAGGGGAAAAAAACAAAACACACACAAAAAATAAGTGAAATCGCTCACGCTGTTGTATCCATAAAAGTAGAGCAGATGGATAACCTGAGTAAACCAGCAGCCAGCTTCCTCTCTCTCCCTCTAATCCTCTTCTTCCTCTCTTTGCTTTTCAATGTTTAATATATGCCCTCCCAGTAAAGCACTTAGGGAAAACCTTCCCCCCACCCAGCCGGGGATTAACATAGAGCAGATAACAGCAGCTCCCTGAAATAGCTCTCTGCCTCCTCCTCCTCTGGCTGGCCTGATTTCTGTTACTGCACAGAAGAAAAAAAAAAAAATATATATATATATCCAGAAGCAATCCTTTGGAGTAAAAAGGGATGGAGTGGAAAGCCAGACAGACAGGAAAGCATCCTCTTGTCTTAGGGCGGAGCTACCATTTAGGGTGGTGAAAAGAAAGAGATCATTAGGATTTTGTTGCAGCCGCTGCTCCATGCAGTCAGTTCCAGAGACAGGCTGTGCATGAGATTATGGCAGATACACTTGCACAGGCAGTAAAAACGCACGCACAGGGGATGGCTGGCCTCCATGGCTCAAATCTTTATACCATTACAAAAGATAATGTGCCTCATGATAATAACGTAAATGAGCAGATGCACATAGAGACATGGATGAAGAGATTATTTTAGACACAGGCACAAATTTAACAGCTCATAGAGCCATGCAAGTCCACAGTGCTGGAAAAGTAACTCCTCATGGTGGAAAATCTAGCAAATTTGTGAGCTCATACACCAGTTTAGACTCTGTGTAGCTACGTACTGTGTTCTGCAGTATCACCAAGCACGAGTCGTACCCAATTACGAGAAACCATGCTGACCCTGGGACCTCACCATGAGCTCCCAGGGTTTTGGGAGATCCCATGGGAGCAGCAGGTTATCCATCCCCTCCTGCCCCAACACAGTCAATAAGGGTTTTTTCGGGACCAGGGGCAAGCCCCGCGTTTTGGAAGAGAGAAAAGAGCGAGAAGTGGATCAGTCACCCGGGGCAGGCAGCTGGGCATCCCCAGTGCCGAGGGGCTGGCCGGGCAGATTCCCCTCTGCTTTTTGGGGGAGAAAGGCAAGCACAGCTCGCAGCGTTTGCCACGCTCCCCCCACCCTACCCCCTCCAGCTCCCTCCTCACACTGCTACCCCCTTCCCCTACCACCTCACTTTTCAAAAACCCCTTCAAGCCATTTTTTTTTTTTTTTTTTTTTTTTGGGCCCCAAAAAGCCGGGCGAAGCGCTGGCGGTACCTGCGGCACGTAGTCCCTCGGAGGCGGCCGGGCCGGGCCCGACCCCGGCCCTGCCCGGGGACACTCCGGGCCTGCGGCCGCAGCAGCCCCGGCCCTGCCCGGGGAACGGGAGGCAGCCGGGCCCAGCGGGCAGCGCAGCTGGGGCGGGGAAGGAAGCGCCGTTACCTTCCTCTCCGCCGCCCCGGCTGCCTGCCTCATTTCCTGGCCCCGGCCCTCCCCCGAAGGCTCGGCGGGGGCGGCAGCGGCGCCGGTGCCACCCGGGAGCGCGGCAGCTGCTCCCCGCGGCGGGGGGAGCGGGGAAGAGGAGGAGGAGGGCGGCCGCCATTTTGTGGAGGCGGGGGCCGGCGCGGCTCCGCCCGGCGAGGCGGGGCCGGCGGGCGCCATGGCGGAGCGGGGCCGAGGTGAGGGCCCGGCGGCTGGGCCGGGGGTTCTGGCCGCTGCCGCGTGGGCTGAGCCGGTGGAGCGGGAAGGGGACGCTCTCGCCGCCATTTGGGAGCCGCCTGCCCAGCGCCTCCGGGCGTAGGCGAAGCCCGCAGAGCCCTGAGATGCCCGAGAGGAGGAAGCGCCCCGGCTTTGCTCGTTTTTTCCCCCCCCAAAATCGCGTGCTGGGGCAATGCTGGAGGCACCTCCGGGGCACGGAGCCCTTGTGCCGCTTCGCGCTGCTGGGTGGTAGCGGCGGCTCGGGGCGCGTGTCGGGGCTCCTGACCCGGCCCGTTCTGGGGGAAGTTTGGTGTGTTTTTGTCGAGGAGTTTGGGAGCGTTTCGTGGCACAAAGCCCACGAAGCCATAGGTGCGAGGAGGCAGCTGTAACAGCCTTCGTGGCGAGCCAGAGACCCGCCAGGCAACAAGCTCGCTCTGCCTCACCCGCCGCGTTGGGTGAGCAAATAACAGCAGTGCTTGAGTCAGGGCAGATGAACCATTTTCCTCTTTCTTCCCCCCAGGTCAGAGTCCGAGTGCCATGGAGGATATGCTGGATGTAGAAAATAAGCGTATGGCAGACAGCCTAGCCAGCAAGGTCACCCGGCTGAAGTCGGTGAGTTGCCGGGTTCGCGTCAGGTGCCGCAGCGAAGGACGGACAGACGGACAGAGCTTCGGTTATCTAGGTTGTTCGCGCAGCGTCCTGCAGGAGATGCAAGCCTGTGGTCAATGCAGACGGCTCCCTGTGTATTAATGACTGGGTTGTTGGTGATATAATGATTAACGATCACTTGCAAAATGCCAGGGACAGCCAGAGGTTTAGCAGCAGCATCCTATGGGAATGATGTGGTTTTCATGGCACTCAGGGAAGGACTTTTAGGCACAGAGAGAAACATAAAAGCTGCACAGAGGGACATTGCTAAGCATACCTCCTCAGGAAAAAAAGTCACAGTAAAAACGCAGGTAAATTAGTTTTGAAAAATGCACATATCTCTATGTAAGTGGTATTCTTAAAGCTAGTTTGCTTCTCCTGTCATCAGATACTTTGATTTAGAGCTTAATAGAAGTCAGTGACTCACCTTGTAGAAGGGAAGGATCTGAACTCCAGCTGCTGTGTCCCAGTGTTGAAGTGTTCCTGCCCTATATTTGACAGGTTCAGGCAGTCTGGCTTTATTTTCAGTGATGCAGAGCTGAAAAAGTTCAACAATCTGAAAACAAAATGAGAATGTTGTTCCTCTACCGAGCAAGCCTCTATCTGTCTATGTAGGAGATAGAGAATAGTGGCTTACTTTTCTAATGTGCATGTCAAATTTTACCGGCACTAGATGTGTTATAGGTTCTCTGTGCATTTGAAGTTCATTAATACCCATTTCCTCCCTTACCCTTTGTAGCTGGCTCTGGATATTGACAAAGATGCTGATGATCAAAACCGTTACCTGGATGGCATGGTAAGGAACCAATGCAATGTAAAAAGCATGATTTTTTGTGCTGGCTCTCAGCAGTTACCTTAACTGTGAAAGTTTAATAGCAGTTCAAAAGTAACAGACAAAGTTAAATCCCTGTGGTCAGTTTGGCAAACCAGGAAATGTAACTAAGCCCGTATCCAGTGGACTTCTTGATATATAAACACCAGATATTTAGCAGCTGCTAGCATCACTTTGTCCAAATGGGCGATACAGTTGGTATCCAGCATCAGGAAAGACTGATGTAGGACAGCACACTTCAGAGATACAGATGGAGATTACCTTCTTACTGGGATTGAAGAGCTGCCTCCTGTGGCTAATGCTGGGAGATGGGCCTGTTCCTCAGCTGCTCTTGTGATGTTTGGTATTGCTGTATAAATCTGTCAGGGTTACTCACTGTAACACCTGACACACAGACTACCTGTCAGGACTCTGTAGTTCACTGATGTCTTTGGAAGGAGAAAAGCTGATGCTCTGGGTCCGCTCAGGTTGTCCGGTGCCCTGTTCTGTTATCTTTCAGACACACAACAGCTGATAAAACCAAAATTGTTTTCCAGAGTAATCTGCCTCTTAAGATTTGGTTGCTGAAGGAAAATCACAGTGCACTGGGGAAGGGCCAAAATAGCACATTCCTGTAGCAGAGGGGTTACCTGCTGAGGCTTTTTAGGAGAAAGGTAATTTGTTTACTGAATTGTGAGAAGAAGGGAATCCAGCCCAGAGATTTAAGAAGGAGATTAGCACCATAACACTGGTGCTTGGAGTGCTTTTTCTGCATGTGCTGGATGTTGAAGAGTGGGTGCGTGGAAGCAAGAGAAAAGATAATTGTAGTGTTGAAACAAGTTGAGTCAAAGGTGTGAGCTCAACTTGGAAGCTTAATAACAGTGTATGCTGACAGTGTTGGTGTGTCTGAAATGGATATTTGCTCAGCCTGAAAATTAGGAGAATGGTGAATCAGAAAAAAGGTGTAATGGCAAAAGACCGTAAAGGAAAAGCCCTCAATCAGCATGAAATTGTGCTTCTGTTACAGAGAACGTTTTGAAGCATTTCAGGAGCAGAAGTTCCAAGTAGTTTGTGAATAAGGAAAACAGATCAGGAGTCAAAATAAAAATACCTGAACTGCTTTAATTTGAAAATCATTTGCCACCCTCTGGTGGAGTTGTGCGTGCATGCCGTCCCATGCTGAAGAAAAAATAGAACTGATGGCAAGAAACTGCACCATTTTCTGTGGTTGTGAGCCTGCCCCGGTGTACATTAACAGCACTAACCTCAAGCAGGGGCGTTTCCTTTGGATGAAGCGTTTACTTGTAGAGTCGCTGTTAAAAAGCTGTTCCAGGGAGAACAGGCTGCATGGGTACAATTGAACAGTCCAGCAGCAGGCAGTTTGTCCCTGTTTTTAAAAAGGGGAGGTGATTTGTTTTACGTTTGGAACAGACCTTCCCCTGTCTTATTTGTTTCCCTGTTTTGAGCACAGTGGGAATGGTGTGTCTCCTGGACCCTGAGCACAGGAGGTGGGGAAGGACCTTCTGAAAGAGACACGATGGGCGCAGAGAGATGGGCAGCTACTGTGCAGGTCCCTCTGCAAATGTTCTTTAGCCAGGATGTGGGAGATTATTCAGGGGTATCATAATCTGTTTATAATGCCTCCATCTTAATTTTCTTTCCCATTCAGGATTCAGATTTTATGAGTGTGACTGGCCTACTAACTGGCAGTGTGAAGCGTTTCTCCACCATGACGCGGTCCGGGAGGGATAATCGCAAGTTGCTCTGTTCTGTTTCAGCTGGACTGATTGTTGTTTTCTTCATTCTCTACTATCTTGTGTCCAGAGCAGGGACTTGAGCTTGTTCTGCAAGTTATACAGAACAAAAAACACGATTAACAGACTTATTCAATGCCTATCTCAGTCTGCCCTGTGGTGGAGTCTTTGAGATGTTCCTGACTGACCTTCCAAATAACTTTTCTTTACACCAGCTTTTTGTCATTGTTCTGGCTGGTCTCAGACATCACTTTATAAAATGAGTATGTTTGATCCTAAACAGATTTTCATGTGTAACACAATTTGATGTTGTTAAATGTTTACGCCTTTAATTCTTGCCTTGTCGTCCATGTCTTGCGGCCTATTTTTAAGGGCCATTTTTGCATTACCTCCCTTTCTGATAATGGGTAGGAGATATGTCTTGTGAGGAGATATGGCTGACAAATCCAGAGACTTGTCGATACTCAAAAGTTTAATAAGCCAGCTGAGCTTTGGAAGCTGTAGAGTTTAGGATGCCAATTTATGAGATTTGGAAGTATGAATGTGTGGTGTACATTCTTGTGTGGCCACTCAACTTATAACTGGTCTCAGTTTTCCCTTGACTTGGAGACCTGTTAACGTCATTGGTGTCCCTGGGTTGAAATGAAATCTGTGCTGCTTTGAAATGAAATTAACAGTAGATCTGGACCCAGATACTCTCTAATTGTTGCAGTGAAATGCTGCAGAGGAGCAAGACTATTTAAATGCCAGTTTGGTCTTTATCATCCTTCTGTGTAAAGCTGGGGGTGAACCCTGCAAGAAAGGAGGGCCAAAGTCTACAAGCCACATTGATTTACACATGTATAGTATCTCCCGGTACCTTCCCACACACTTGCAATACACTCCCCTAGAGTACTAAATCAGTGTGAGGAAAATCTGATAGGAAAAGGTCCAGTTAATTTCAGTTATTATGGTACCCTGGTATTAGAGCACTTTGGGAAGATGTTGTGCAAATAAAAGCAGAGGTTGAGATCAAGTGAAACTCCTGAACGGTACTGTTGGGGTGGTGGTGGTAGGCCAAGGAAGGATTTGATCAGAGGGTTGATTTGTTTATTTATTTATTCACGTAGAAGGTAACGTAAGGAATTCTTGCATCACCTTTCATCGTGCTTTGGGGATCCCTGCCTGCAGTGCTTGTGTGAGATGTCTGGCAAGGCACATCCCCACTGGTTTTGTTTACGAAGCAGTCATTCCCGATGAGCATGCAATGCGTGCCAGATTCCCTCTCCCAAGGTGGTACATGAAGCTCTGGGAGCGCAGTAGCTGGGAACTCCGTCTTCCCTTCACCGTCTTTGCCTTGCCTTGGGCTGATCACTCACTCCAGCTGTATGCTAACATAGCTGAATTATTTAAGTCTGCCTGTGATTGAAGTAAGAGATTTGCAGCTTTAAAAATACTGGGTCTGTTGGGAGAAAGAAAAAAGAATTTAAAATTAAATGCTTTTTCTCTCTTCAGACAAACCTCCACTGCCTGTTGTATAAACCTTTCACTTTCCAAAGCAGCTGAGCAGAGCTACAGTGTTTCATCTTGTCTGTTTTGTGTACCACCTGCTCATATATGCTGCTTTCCCTTGCTGGAAGTCATTGCTTATTTGTGTCTCTTACCTTCCGGTAACAACCACCTCTGCAGGACTGAAGCATTCCTCCTCTGATTTTGCTGTCTTTCTCCTCTACAGCAAGCCGATATTCAGCAGTGGCTGGATGTTTCCTTTGGCCTCCCTCTTGTACCCGTTAGGAATTCCTTTGTCCTTGGACTAACCCAGGTCCAGATCTGTAAATGGACTCTGTTGTCCTTTGTTCCAGCTATACCAAACTACTCACAAAATACTACCCTAACTGGATTAGGTGTCTTTTTTTTCCATATTTGTGAAAAAATATGCAGGGAAGGCAAGTAGAAAGGAGGCAGCAATAACTTTCTCTGGTTCTTCTTGCTGCTTCTCTGGTAAGATGTTGCAGCTCCAAACTCTATTTGGAAGAATGATGGGTGAATTAATGGACTTTGTTTTGATTTTCTGAAGCAGATCACTTCTGATGAAAGGCCACTGGAACAGCCTGGTCTTCATAATGGTGGTGGTTTGGGTTTGCTTTTACTGTTGTAAATAAAGCTCTGTTTTTAGAATTTTTTGCTCAAGTATTTTTTCCTTTGTGCTTACATGTTAGCAAGGCTAACTGCCAAGATGAAGTCACTCAGTTGTTCTACTTGAATGGTAGAGAACCTGCTTCTGTGGGGCCCAGTTTCAGCGTTACCCCAAGAAACAGCCCATCTTCAGTGAGCTGAAATACGGAGCTATGAGCAGAGCTGCCCTAGCTCGGAAGGAGCTGGTCTTCATTGCTCTGCAAGATCTGACGGAGCCATTTCAGAAAATAACTGGTGTCTCCAGTATTCTCTCTGAACAAGCGACACTTCGGAAGTTGAGCTGCAGGGGAGAACTGTCTTTAGTATCTTTCTGTGTTGGTCTTGGTACTAAATAGTCCAACTGTTAGTCCATGTTTGACTTGCCTTTGGCCTTTCTTTGCAAAGGAAACCTCTTCCTATTTTTAATGCTTTGCCTCTGATCCTTTGAATTCCTCTAGAACTCAAGAAAAGGATTTTTTAAAATACCTATTTAATTAACCTCAGGAATTTTAAACTGAAGAATTGAAGTTAAAGGTTCTTGAATGTCAGGGGAGTTGTGCCTCGCTCTGATTCCCACCCCAGCACAGCCACGCACTTGGAGGCAGCATTTGCAGGACCCTCCTCCTCCTCCCGCTCCCCGCTTCTCCTGGCGGGTGCCAGTCTTGGTGCCTTCGGGCCTCAGCACACGGGGCCAAGGCTTCAATGCACAAAGGAGGCAGCGTAGGCACTGCCTGGCAATGAATTCCATCGGGAGGGATGACCTGTGTACAGTCTAATTTCAGGAACCGCCTATAGCACCACGTAACCATGCTTGACCCCCTGACACTCAGAGCCACAACATTAGAAAGTTCTTGGAAAAATCGAGTTAGAACATGTAACCTGTAGGCATGTTGCAAAAGAATCCTGCGCTGCAGTGAATATGCTGAGGAAGTGCAAAATCAGAGAAGGAAGAATTCATAATAAGAGTTATTCACAACGGCAGTAACACAGTAGCGGCACACCAGGGTGCAAGATCAAACATAGAACAGCAAGAGCATCGGGACTTGCTCTCTTCCTTCAGCATTTTCTAAACATCTAGTTATTGGAGTAATTTGTTTATTTTGGCTTCAGTGCTCTCCCAGAGTCCTAATATTACAATGTTTTTTCTGAGGCATAAAAATTAGAGCAGATCTCCCTCACACACACACACCCCCAGCTCAAGGTGAATGTACAAAATATTTGGGGGTGTTTTTATTGAAGTGGTAGCAAACCAAGAGCTGGAACTCGCTTGCTCAGGGCAGTTTTGCAGCGCTGTCTAAAGGTGCATCCCCGGATCGTTGCACGCAGAGGGACTTGCACTGTTCCTGACTGCTGGTGCCACCATTAACGCGAGCCAAAGCGCATGGCCTGCAGCCGGGATCGCTGCAGCGACCATGAAACGGGTTCTTCGGTAATGACGGGACACGGTGAGATACCGACCGTGATCGCCCTCTGAATCCACGCGCTCCCAGCGGTTCACTGGGATCATTAGAACGCGGTTAATTGCCTGAAGATGGGATTGCAGGTCTTGGGGCAGCCGGAACAGGGAGGGAGACCCCACAAACAGGACCTCGCTGGGGAGGACCGGGGAGGCCGGAGAGAAAGGGTGCAGGGGCGGGCAGGTCGCACCCCAGCCGTGTTTTTAGGAAGCCCCTGACAGGAACGCCGTCTCGTCCGCGGTGCCCCCGGCCGCCATCACGGGCCGCGCCGGTTGCCGTGGCGACGGGGCCGCCCCGGCGGAAGTGACACAGCGGGGAAGGGCCGGAAGTGGCGGACGGGGCGGCGATGGCGGAGGTGGAGGCGGCGGTGAGCGGGGCCGGCGGCAGCCCCGAGCCCGGCGGCGGCGGCGGCGGCAGCGGGTGGCGGCGGCCCCATGGTCCGCTCCAGCGCTACTACGGGCCGCCCGCGGCCGAGGCGGCCGAGGCGGCCCCGGACCCCGCCGACATCAACGGGCCCCACTTCGACCCGGAAGTTTTCCTGACCAAGGTGACCTTTGACACCGCAGTGACCTCTCCCCCCTCCACCCCTCCGGGGACCCCCCGTACAGGGCGCTCTGGGGACCCTACGGGGGCCCGCAGGTCCCTTGTGGGACCCCTTGAACGGGCCCTGAAGGGATCCAGCTGGGCGGCCCGTGGGCCGGCCTCAGGGGCCCTATAGGGATCTATAGGTGGCCCCTCAGACCCCCCTCCCCCCCCCCCCCCCATGACCCTCAGGGGACCCTGGAAAGGGACTCCAGGGGGACCCTATAGATCTTCTTCCATAGGGGCTCTTTAGGGTACTGTATGTTTCTCTGTGGGGACAGTATTGGGGCCCTCTGGAGCAATTGGGAGGGGACTGGGGGCAATTAGCTCTCCAGAGCGGGCAGTTAGCACTCCTGGGGGGCAGCTGAGGATCCCAGGAGAGCCCCGGAAGGCAGAAGGAGGCTTTTGGGGGACATTTCTACGTCCTAGGAGGGACCGGGGGGGTGGATTTAGGGGGCTGGGGGGCAGTAAGGGCTCTGAGGGGGGCAGCTGGCGATCCTGGGAGGGCACTTTGGGGTTCAGGGGGTGGCTGAGGGTTCCTGAAGGGTTATGGAGGACAGTTAGGACCCCGGGGTGGGGTGGGGGGGCAGTTGGAGGCTCCAGGGGGTAAATTCGGGGACTGTGGGGAGGCCCCACAGTGGGACGGCGGGGGCGGGGAGCGGGGGGGCATTTGTACCACTGTTGTCCCCCTCCAGGTGCGCAGTGAGTGTCCCCTGGGGCAGTTGTTGGCCCGTGAGGCTGCGCTGGGGCGGGAGATCCGTGCCCTCGACAGCGACATGCAGACGCTGCTCTACGAGAACTACAACAAGTTCATTTCGGCCACCGGTGAGCGCCCGGTGGGAGGGGGACTGGGGGGACCTGGGAGTGGGGGGCAGCCGAGGGACCCGGGCCGTCCGGCTCCTTCTCCCCAGACACCATCCGAAAGATGAAGGTCGATTTCCGGCGCATGGAGGCAGAGATGGATGATTTGGCTGCCAACATGGCCGCCATCAGCACCTCCAGCGCCCGCGTCAGCGCCGCGCTGCAGGACCGGCACCGCCGCGGCGCCCAGCTCGCCGGTACGGGGAGTCCGGGGCAGGTCTGGAGGTTGGGGGGTGCCCTGAGGGGTTAGATCGGGGGGTTTGGGGGGCAGATCGTGGGGTTGGGGGGACACTGGAGGTCAGATCTTGTAGGCGGGGGTAGATTGAAGGGGGTTAGGGGGACCCTGGGGGACAGATCTGGGGGATTATGGGGCAGAAATGGGGGGGTGGAGGGCACATAATGGAGGGGAGGGATGAGAGGCAGATCCAGTGGGGTGGGGAGACCCCAGTGGGGCATATCTGGGGGACTGGGGGCAGATTAGAGAGGGTGGGGCTTGAGGGGCAGATCTGGGGGAGTGAAGAGACCCCAGAGGGGCAGATCTGGGGGGCTGGGGGTAGATAACGGAGGGTGTGGGTTGAGGGGCAGATCTGGAGGGTGGGCAGACCCCAGGGGGGGCAGATCTGGGGGACTGGGGAGACCCCATAAGGGCAGATCTTGGGGGCTGGGGGCAGAGATCGGAGGGTGGGGGTTGAGGGGCAGATCTAGGGGGTGGGGGGACCCCAGCGGGGCAGATCTGAGGGTTGAGGGGCAATTCTGAAGAGTGGGCAGACCCCAGGAGGGCAGATCTGGGGTGTGGGCGGACCCCAGGGGGGCAGATCTGGGGTGTGGGTAGACCGCAGCGGGGCGGATCCAGCTCCTGGCCCCACCGCCCTCCTTGCCCCCCACTCCCCCCCTGCCCTGCTGTGCCCCTGACCCCCTGCCCCCCAGGGGTGCAGGCGCTGCTGCGGAAGCTGCAGTCGCTGGTGGAGGTGCCGGGGCGGCTGCGGCGCTGGGCGGCCCCGGGTGCGGAGCCTGCACGGGCCCTGCGCTGCCACGCCCGCGCCCGCGCCGTGCTCCGCCACTACCGTCACCTGCCCTCCTTCCGCGCCATCGAGGACGAGAGCCACGCCATCATGGCCGACCTGGCCCAGCGCCTCCGCGCACGCCTCCGGTGCGTTCCCTCTGGAGCCTACTGATGCTCTGGGAAACAGCCCTTGGAGGGGGGGGTTCACTCTGGAGAGTAATGATGGCCGTTCCACTAAACAGCCTTCTTGGAGGGGTGATGGTGGTTGTGGTACGTTTACTCTGAAGCCTACTGATTAACGGCTGCAGGAGACAACTTTTCAAGGGGTCAGGGGTGTTAAGTCTGGAGCCTAATGATAACAGCACCCAAGAAGCATCGTAGGGATGGGGTCATTTACCCTGGAGCGTACTGATAGCAACCCCAGGAACCATCCCTTGTGTGGATCACTCATGGAGTAAGGGGAGTCATTGTGACCACTACTGAGAGTTTTTAAAAAGTTATGTTGTACGGGGCTTTTCTCATGTGTTTATGGTAAAGGTGTAATTCTGGAACCTACGGAGGAATTTTAGTGATTGTCACTATTACTGTAAATTCTGGAACCTCTGAGGAATTTTAGTGATTGTCACTATTTTTGTAAATTCTGGAACCTCTGAGGAGTTTTCATGGTTTTCACTATTGTAAACTCTGGAACCTCTGAGGAATTATCATGATTTTCACTGTTATTGTAAACTCTGGAACCTACTGATGATCTTTAGTTTGTTTTATATTACTAAATCCACTGTTAACTTTGGAATATGATGATGCTATTAGGTATAGGTTTTTTCCCTTTTGTTTTTTGAAATACTGCTTACTCTGAAGCCTACTGACAACTCTTATTGCTCGCTCCATGTTTTCTTGCCGTGCCACTGTTCACCCCCGAACCTCCCAGCATCCCCAGGTAACCCCCTCGTCTCTCCCACCCCCCAGGGACGACACCTTGGACCCCAAGGAGCTCACCGAGTGCGTGGAGATGCTGTTGCAGCTGGAAGAGCCGCCTGAGGAGCTGTGTGAGGAATTCCTGAGCCACGCCAGCGCCCGCCTCGAGGCCGAGCTGGCAGCGCTGGAGGCCGAGCTGCCCCCGGCCGCCCCCTCCGGCACCGCCGCCACGCCGCCCCCCGCCTCCGACATCCTCGACTTCGTCGACCGCGGCAGCTCGGCCTTCGTGGGCAACCTGTGCCTGCTCGCCGCCTCGTACCGCAGCCTCTTCGAGGGGCGCCCGGGGGCGGGGGGCGGCCGCCTGGAAGCCTTCGCCGCCGCCCTCACCGCCCGCTACTTCGAGCTGTTGGAGCGGCGGCTGGCGCTGGAGCGGGGCCTGGGTGACACCTCGCTGCTGGTGCGGGCGCTCGACCGCTTCCACCGCCGCCTCCGCGCCCTCCTCGAGCTGCTGCCCGCGGCCGGGGCCGAGGCGGGCGCGGCGCTGGTGGCCCGGGCTGCGCGCGAGCGGGTGGACCGCTACCTGCGGGCGCTCCAGACCTTCTTCCTGGGGTGCCTGGGCGACGTGCGCCAGGCGCTGGCCGCCCCCCGGCCCCCCGGCAAGGAGGGTCCCGGCCTGCCCGACCTCCTGGCCACGCTCGCCGCCTCCATCCTCGGGCAGCTCAAGGCCGTCCTGGCCTACGTGCAGCTCTTCACCGCCAAGGACGTCGCCTTCGCCAGCCTGCCCTACTTCAAGGTGGGCTGTGGGGCGGTGTGGGGAGTCGTGGGGGGTGGCGTGGGGCAGTTTGGGGTGGCGTGGGGCAGTTTGGGGGGGGGGGGGGTCACCTGCGGTGGCATGGGGCAGTTGGGTGTCGCTGGGGGTGGCGTGGGGCAATGGGAGTTGTGGGGGTGGTGTTGGGGCAGTTTGGGGTGTCGCTGGGGGTGGCGTGGGGCAGTTTGGGGTGTCGCTGGGGGTGGCGTGGGGCAGTGGGAGTCGCTGGGGATGGCATGGGGCAGTTTGGGGAGTCACGGGGGGTGGCATGGGGCAATTTGGGGGGTCACCTGCGGTGGCATGGTGCAGTCAGGTATCGCTGGGGGTGGCGTGGGGCAGTTTGGGGAGTCACAGGAGGCGTTTGATGGGTCAGTGGGGAAGTTTGGGGTGTCACTGGGGATGGCGTGGGGCAGTGGGAGTCGCTGGGGATGGCATGGGGCAGTTTGGGGAGTCACAGGGGGTGGCGTGGGGCAGTTTGGGGGTCACCTGCAGTGGCATGGGGCAGTGGGAGTCGCTGGGGGTGGCTTGGGGCAATGGGAGTTGTGGGGGTGGCATGGGGCAGTTTGGGGTGTCGCTGGGGGTGGCGTGGGGCAGTTTGGGGAGTCACGGGGGTGGCATGGGGCAGTTTGGGGTGTCACTGGGGATGGGGTGTGGCAGTGGGAGTCGCTGGGAGTGACGTGGGGCAGTTTGGGGGGTCTCTGGGGGTGGTGCGGGGCAGTTTGGGGAGTCGCTTGGGGTGGCGTGGGGCAGTTCGGGGGGTCACAGGGAGCGTTTGATGGGTCACTGGGACAATCTGGGTTGGCACAGGGTTGTTTGCGGGTTGCACAGGGCAGGTTGGGGTTCACACAAGGCCGCTTGTGGGAGTCACGGGTTGCACAGGGTGGTTTGGGGCCCACTGGGGCACTTGGGAGCTTGTACGGGGTCATTTCGGGGTTTGGGGGGCCCCAGGGTGGTATTTTTGGAGTGTAGCCCCCCCTTGTTTTTGGTCACAGGGGGAGTTCTGCGTGGAGGCGGTGCGCGAAGGGCTGGTGGTGGCCTTTGTGCGCTGGCTCTGCCGCACTGCCCGGGGCTTCGCCGATGGCCCAGCGGAGCGGGGGGCCCCCGCAGCACCCCCGGCCCTCCTGCTGCTCCTTGCACGGCTCTGCCTTGACTATGAGGCCACCACTGTCAGCTACATCCTCACTCTCACCGATGAGCAGTTTCCCCCCCAAGTGAGCCCCCAAAACTGCCCCAGTTGTCCCCAAAATGGCCCTAAGGAGACCTTGAATGTCCCTCCCCAAGGTGTCACAACATGGCTCTGCACCCAGCATCCACTCGGGACACAGTGGTGGGTTCCATGGTGTGCGTGGAGGCGTGGGTACCTTCCTTCTCTCTGTGTCCCCCAAAACACCCCGGAGTGAACCCAAAATGGTCTGTTTGTCCCAAAAATGGCCCCAAGGGGGTTCCAGATGGCCCCGTGGGACCTCAAATGGCCCCAAGTTCCTCTGTGGCCCCGTGGCCACCCAGGTGTGGTGGTGTGTGTGAAGGTATGGGGATCTTCCTTCTGTCTTTGTGTGCCTCCAACTGTCTCTGAGGGACGCCAAAATGTCCATGAGTGGCCCCGCTGTGGCCCCGTGTCCATCCAGGATATGACCCTGGTCCTTAACCTGTGCCAGTGTCTCCCACATGTCCCCAGGGGAACCTCGACGTGTCCTCGAGGAGCTTTTGCATGTCCCTAGGTCCCCCCAGATGCCCCATGGGTGTGAGGATGGCAGCGATGCTGCCACAGGTGGGGTGGCCCAGAGAGCATCCCGTGTGTCTCCTGATGTTCCCGTCTCCCCAGGACATCAGATGTTGGGGGCACAGGGGCCATCCCCCCCCCACACACACATGTCCCCATGTCCCTTGTATCCCCCAGCCCACAGGGGCCGGTGGTGGCAGCGCTGTACGCGGAGGGGTGGGGGGTGTTCCTACACGTCCCCACACGTCTCTTCCCTTGCACCCCCAGGACACGGGCCCGGCGGTGACACCGGGACCGGCGCTGTGCGCGGAGGCGCGGGGGGCGGCGCAGCGGCTGCTCGACCACTACGTGCAGGTCCAGGGCGCCGCGGTGGCGCAGATGCTTCGGAAGAGCGTCGAGACACGAGACTGGCTGGGCACCGTCGAGCCCCGCAACGTTCGGGCCGTCATGAAGCGCGTGGTCGAGGACATCACCGCCATCGACGTCCAGGTTGGGGCAACACCTGGAGCCCAGAGGGGCTGGGGGGTGGGGTGGGGGGCCTGAAGTCCCCTGGGGGATCCCAGAGGGTCCCTGGAGAGGCCCTGAGGTCCCCGTAAGGTCCTTGAGGACTTTAGGAAGTCCCCAGAGGGCCTCTTCAGGGGTCCCTGAAGTCCCTTGGGGGGGTCCCAGAGGGTCCTTGGCAGACTTGGGAGTACCAGAGGGTCCTGGGGTGGGGGTTGAAGTCCTTGAAGGGTCAAGAGGGGATGCCCGAGGTCCCCATGTGGTCCCTGAGGATCTTTGGGGGGTTGCAGAAGGGTTTGGGAGGGTCACAGAGGATTTGAGGTATCCTGGGTGGTTTTGAGGAGGGTTCCAGAGGGTATTTTGGGTGGACTCTGGGGTGGCAGCACTGAGAGGGTGTGGTGCCGCAGGTGGGGCAGCTCTTCGAGGAGGGGGTGCGGCGGGCACAGAGCAGCGACTCGAGCCGGCGCGCCTTCTCCGTGTACAGCAGCTCGCGGGCCCCCGGGCGCTACGCCCCCAGCTACACCCCCAGGTCAGCCCTGTCACCCAGGCCACCTCTCGGCCACCCCTGGGCCTTCCCTGGTCACCCCGCACTCCCTGTCACCCCTGCAGAAACTATGACATCTTCCCCGTGACCCTCTTCATGTCCCCAAACTGTCTCGTCTCTCCGTGTCCTTGACCATCCCCACGTTCCCTGACTGTCCCCACATCCACTGCCCATCTTCATGTTCCCCTGTCTTTGTGTCCCCAAACCGCCCCTGCATCCTCTGACCATCTCGGTGTCCCCATCCCCATGTCCCCTGGCAGTCCCTGTGTCCCTGTCCCCACATCCCTTGGCTTTCTCAAACACTTGCCTGTCCCTGACTGTCCTGCTGTTCCCATCCTCAGTGCCCCCATGGATACCCACCTGCTCAGCAACATCCAGAAGCTTTTCTCCGAACGCATTGACATCTTCAGCCCCGTTGAGTTCAACAAGGTGAGGCCACGGCGACACCCCTGTGTCCCCAAGGTCCCTAAACTGCCCACCTTCCTGGCTGCCACGTGTCCCTGGTGTCCCCATGACGCAGGTGCTGGGTCCTAGGGGGTCCCCAAGGAGCTGATGACAGGGGTGTTGCCACTGTCCCCTGATGCGCCCCAGTCCTAGGTGTCGGGACGCAGGGGGTCCCTGTGGCTGATGACCAGGGCGAGGGTGTCCCCGTGTCCCTGTGCTGACTTGACTTGGGGCCTCCCTGTGTTCCCAACAGCCAGGCCCAGGGTGTCCCCATCCCCCCTGTGCCACGTGTCCCCCGTGTCCAGGCTTGGGAGTGGCAGCTGGGACAAGGGTGTCCCTCGTGTCACCCACATGCCCATGCTGATGAGACTTGGGGCCTCCCTGCACTTGAAGAATCCAGGCCGAAGGGGCCCCCGTTCCCCCGTGCCACGTGTCCCCAGTGCCCCCACATCCCGTGTGTCAGGACTCAGGAGATCCCTGGGGACTGGTGGCCAGGGTGAGAGTATCCTAGGAGCTGATGGCCTGGAGAGGGGTGTCCCCAGTGTCCCCACAACCCCGTGCAGATGTGGCTCGGGGCCTTCCTGCCCTGGGGGCATCCCTGTGCCACGTGTCCCTGCTGTCCCCAGGTGTCGGTGCTGACGGGGATCATCAAGATCAGCCTAAAGACGCTGCTGGAATGCGTGCGGCTGCGGACCCTGGGGCGCTTCGGGCTGCAGCAGGTGCAGGTGGACGGCCACTACCTGCAGCTCTACCTCTGGCGCTTCGCCGCCGACGAGCGGGTGGTGCAGGGGCTGCTGGACGAGGTGGCCGCCAGCGCCGCCCACCGCTGCCTCGACCCCGTCCCCATGGAGCACAGCGTCGTGGAGCTCATCTGCGAGCGCGGGTAGGACGTGGGGACACGGCGGGGGGCAGGGGTTGATGGACAGGACCTGGTGTCACAGAGCAGGGGGACGCGGGACGTGTCTGAGGTCCTGTTAAACATCTGGGGCCCGACGTGTACCCCGTGAGTCCCCACACATACATGGGGACACTCCATGCATCCTCCTCCCCCCCACAGCAACACACAAGGACGTCCCATGTCCCCACACACATCAACATTCAGGGACCTCCCCTGTCTCCACGCTGGGTCACCCCATGTCATCAACCCCCACAGCCCTGGTAACACCCCACATTGTTTCCCCCCACCCCAGTGCCAACCTTAACACGTGCTGAGACCCCACGTTGTCCCTACGGCCCCAGTGACACATCATGTCGTTCCCCCCACCTTGGTGACATCCCCTCGTGCTTGGGAACACCCTGGGCACAGCCCCTTTGTCACCCTTGGGACAATAAATAAAATATGTATGAGCTGTGTGTGGCATCCCCTGCCTGTGCCTGGGGTGGGGACGGGACACACCAGGGACAGACACCTGGGTCCTTGGGAGGGAGTGTAGGGGGGATGTGTAGGGATGGAGGGTGGTCACCAAGAAGCCCCTTGGCCACCTGCATCCCCGTGGGGAGGGGGGCATACCCAACCCTTTGCACAAGTACCCTTGTCCCCCGCCAAACCCTTGCACAAGCACCCTGTGTGCACCCAGTGCCTTGCACGAGCACCCAGGGAGCATCTGGCTGCTCGTACGAGCGACTTGGGGGCACCTCGTGCCTTGTCCAGCCCCACAGGAGCAGCCAGGGCCCTCCCAGCCACCTCTCAGCACCCAGGGCCTTGCACAAGTTTGAAGGGGGGGGGGGGGGGGCTGCCTCCCTGCACACCTCTGCTGGCTGCTGGGCCAGTGCAGCCCCTGCCCATCGCTGCCAGGGCCCCCACGGGGGTCCTGGGGTGCCCAGGGTTGAGGGGGGGAGGAACAGGAGCAGGGCCCGGGGCACGGGTAATGCCCTGGGTGTGCATCTGGGGAAGGGCTGAGCTGGAGAAGCATCCCTCTGAGCACCAGCCCTGGAAAAAGGGATTCCCCACCGCCGGGCTGGGATTCGGGTGTCCCCAGGGGTGGGCACAGCTGGCGCAGCAGCAAGTTGTACACGGAATCAAGTCCCCAAGCTGTCAAGAGTTGGGGTGCTAAGGGTCCCCCCCAGCACTTGAACCGCAGCGGCGCGGGCTTCCCACAGAGCCTCGGGCATGGGGTCCTGCACGAGCTGCAGGTGGGCATCTGCCCCACCCGTGACCTCCGTGGCTGCAGGGCACAGCCCACCCTCTCACACAGGGGGGGCAGCAGGTGGTGCTTTTATTTCCTCACTACCCAAATCAGCGGCAGTTCATTACACTAATTTCCCCCAGCTGAATCTGGTTTGCTCATTTCGCCCGTTTTGTCTCCACCCATGAGCTCTGTCACCTTGCTTGCTGCTGCCGCCCTGGTGAGGGTGGATTGTGGTCCAAGGTGAGTTTTGGATCCATTGCTATCAAAACTACTGCATTTACTTAGAAAAATGGTCAATGATTGGAAAAAGCTGCTTTTGGTTGAGGACATGATTCCCTCAGGTAATTCAGACTTAAATTGCTGACCCGTGTGTGTGGGATGTGTGTTGTGAGTGAGTCAGTAGATGTATGTAATAGTGTTGATTTTGTTTAGACTTTCTCCAAACAAGCAGCATCTTGTCCTAAGGGTAGTAAGGAGGAAGAAGGACTTTTATTTATAAAAAACAGATAACAGAAATAATTTTAAAACATCATCTGAATTTTATTTAGAACTTAAATGTTATCTCTAAAGAAATAAGATCTAAAATAGACTGGAAGGTGACAGGGTGTAGTACTCAGCATGCAGTTTAGAAAAAAAAAGCTGGCAGCATCCTGGTTCTCTCCATTTTTTGTATTTGTTGTTTTCATGGAGGCTTTGGATATGCGAAGCTGGAAGTCATGGAGAAATGTTGTCAGCAGCTGGGTCAAATATTTTGTTGGTTTAAGCCTCTGTCCGAACAAGCTTCTGAAACAGAAAGAGCAGTGAACGTAGTATGCCAGGACACAAAGCTGCAGAGAAAAGCCAGGCTCACCCAGGGTACTGGAGCCAAATCCTGAAGCGATGAGCTCTGGCAGGCCCGGGGCGAGGACCGAGGGTGCTGGTGCTCCCCGGGCCAGGGCCCGTCCCGAGCGAACACCGGCACAGAGCGAGCGTGTTGCACGCCCGAGTCCCTCTTGCTGTTACCTAGAAATTTTCCTTCATCTTGGCTCCATTCCTAAGAACACGCCTGCATGAAGCAGGTGCCTCTTCCACGGGGGGAGTTGGCATCTCCATCAGTTCTAGCCAGTAAGAAAAAAATCATTGTATTTGCTGTAGAGACCAGCTTTTGTTTAACAATCTCTCAAAGCACTCGGAAGCTTTGTGCTGGTATGCAGCCAAACCTGAGGCTGAGGGATGCTTAAGTTAAAGTATTTGGGTGCTTTTTGTCCAGAATCTGGTACAAGGCTACACAGTTATAGACATTTACAACAATGATAAAAAGAGTGAATTACCAGCAGATCAATGAGGGCCTTTACGTGCTTGGGGGAAAGCTCGTTGATACAGTCCTTTAATGCAGTCAAAGCAGCTCTAGTCAAATCATCGACTTCGTACTGAGAAATTGGGCCGGTGTAGAGCTGTTCCGCAGGGCCTTCGAGAAGTGTCTGGAGAAACCTGGGGACAACCTTGTGAGCAGAGCTGGCTCCTGGAGCGTGAAAGACCAAGTGGAGCGCAGTGAACAAACCTTTCGCTCGCTCAGGTTCGGCTTCTTCTACCCCTCAACCCCCTCCATCCCAGTAACGACACACAACTCACACTGGGGTTTTGCTGGGCGTGTTCTCAGCTCTGCGGGGTGTTTTTTTAAAGCTTTGAAAGAAATGGGCTGCCACTGCAGGAGCTGCGCTGTTGCACGGGCCCCGTGGTGGAATCCCACCATTATGGGTGAGCTGCTGCCTGCCTGGTCCTCAGCCCCCTCCTCGCCCCTCTGAATTGTCAGCATTCTAGATGAAAGTAAACTGAAAATGTTTCTGCATTCTTAATCTCTTTTCTTCAAGTCCAAATCTTGTCGCCATCTGATGTTGCTGCCTACACAACTGCCCACAAAGGCTGATTCTGAATTTATGCTTAACCTGCTGTTCTTCCAAGACCTTGATAGGTTTCCCAGGGATACTCATGCAATCTGATCTCCTTTCCATATTCTCGTATGAATGGTCTTGATTTATTCACTGAGCCTTGATTTGAAAAAAATAATCAGGTTTCAACGTTCCATCCCTTCTAGTAAAATTCTGGGGGTTTTTTTCTCCTTTAATTATCATCCCTGTTCTGAATTTATAAGATTTAATGTGAGAGTCACAATGATTAAAATCCATATTCTTTACCTGCTTTTATGAAATCACTTGGTCCTTCAGCTGATAACTTAGACTGTCTTATCAGTGTACAGCATATTCCTGATCACCCTGCTGTTTCTCTTACTCTAATTGCACATAACGATATTCTTGGTTAATAACCTCAGAGGAATTAATCAGGCTGTGAGTTTACCACTGCCCCCTCAACGTGTTGAATTACGTTGCCTCTGTTTTCATACACATTTTCATCTTCCGAGTTTACTGCTTTCTCCATATTTATTTTCTGTTTTCTGGCATTTTGTCATCAACGTTGCTTCTGATTAGGCACCTTTGTGAGCTCAGGAAGCCAAGCCTAGAGGTGATGTTAGGTAATGGTAGTAGTTACCCATCAGTAAATAACAGAGTACTGGTGGGTTCATTTTGCTTAAGGTTAAGTCTCCACACCTGAACTAGTCCCTGGAAGTAGGAGGACAGACGATCTAATCTCGTGTAGGTGCCTGTGCTGCCACAGACTAGCCCAATCCTTCGATTCAGAGAAGGGCCGGGGTGAGCACTCAAACACACCAGAGACCGAATTTAGTCAGATGAACCCAACTGTAAGTGTCCAAGCAAAAAAAATCTCAAGAGACCTTACATAAGCTGCTGTGATTAGTATTTTCTTGGAGGCCGGGTACCTAAATCTCCCTGTCATCACCAGAAGTCTGCAGTGGGAATCAAGGGAACATCATTTCTGCCAGCAGGGACACAGCACTCTTTCTCTGCAAATTTTAAACGAGGCATCAGGATGCTTTTCAGTTGCTTCCTAGAGTGGTTTTCACCAGGTGTTTAAATGGTGTTCTGAATAGTTTGAATACTTGGTGCAGAAGTTTGAGTTCATGGTTATTTTAAAAAAAAAAAAAAAAAAAAAAAAAAAAAAAAAAGTCCTATTTTTGTAATTGGCAAAACTTACCAAGGGAGCCGCAGAGCACCGTGGTGATGAGCAGAGCAACAGTCAGCTTCAGAGCGGCGCGTGCCATTTTCTGTACGTTGTGTGTTGAGCTGTGAAGGGCAGCAAGTGTCCTTTGCAACGGAGCGCAGGAGGGCTGGGGTATATATGTGGGGAATTGTGCAATGTGATGGAAGGAGCGGGCCCAGCAGGTCATGCAGCTGCACTAAAACTGGGTCCAGGTCATGCTTGTTTATGAAGTGGACCGGTGAAAAATGCGGGTGACCTCTGCTTCCATCAACTGCTGTCAGTGGACCTGGAACAGTGAACACAGTGCTCTGTTCGTGCGAGTTCGCGCTGACATGACGTGGGGGATGGATGGGCCTGGAGCTCGGCACGAGGGCTGAGATTGCTCTGTCCTGGCAAGATGCAGCACTGCGAAATCAGCGGGCAATAAACTGCATCGAGCCGTTTTACCCAAGGCACTTTCGAGCACATTTATTCCAGGTTTCTGATGTGATTTCATGCAGAACTGCCGCCACTTTTATTGCATAATTACTCTTCTATTGTTTTCCCTGTTTCTCTTCTGTAATTCCAATTCTGCAGGGACTGACATGTCTTTAAAAGCATCACGAACTGTGATCCATAAATTTATATGTATATATATATTTAAAAAAAAAAAAAAAGTAGCATGAATGAAAATAACCACACATTTAGGAATAATGAAGAATATCTTTAATAGCTTCTTTGCTACAGCTTTTCAGCTGCTCTTGGCCAAGTGTGCACTTTTGAGGCATGGAGAAATTGCCTCCATAAACTCCGAACTGGCAGCTGAATCAGATATGTTGATGATCTTTGCAATAATATCACAGTGTCACTCCTGAACTTAAAAAAAGTGAAGCACGTTTTCAAGGTCAAAATTAAGCGCCTGTGGGAGCAGCTGGAGCAACGTTCAGCACAAGTGGCTGATTCTTGAGTTGCAGACGTAGCCCTGCGGGCCGGCAGCCAGGAAGGGTTGGTGGCCCCCTGAACGTGCCCTCCCCGTGGGGAAAGCCCAACCGATTTTTCATTCTGTCCCAGGCTTCACATGGCTGGAAAAGCTCCTGGCACATGCGTGGACCCCATGGGAGCCCAAAGGTGGACGGGGCAAGGAGGTGGGGAGAGAGATCAGATCCATGGACCTTCCCAGTAAGATGCGAGCTGTTAATGACTGTGTGGCACTGTGTTCTGCTAACTTAGCAAAACCTACAACTACCCTGATGGAAGGGAAGCAGAAACGGCAGTGTGTCTTGGAACAAAATGAGAGAGGAGAAAGGGAGGGTCTTTTTGTGGACATGGGGATATCCTCCCTTCTGACTCCTTCTTGCTAAAAGAGGGAAGTGTGAGAGCCTCCCCTGGAAACGTCAGGAGATGCTTTCTGCAAAAGAAAGTGCTCTGCGTGGTTAACACGTGTCATGATCAACCCTCCTGGGGTTAGGATTTCATCTGATGGCTCTGGGGTACTAGGGAATGCTGCACACTCGGCATATCCTCGCTGTGAGAAAGAGGCAGTAGATTTTACAAGGCCACATCTTCAGCTGAAAAAATAGTGTAATGCAGTAAATAAAATGGGAAGGGGATGGGGTGGCTTTTTTGAATGATTCAGCTACCACACATACAAGCTATGACTGTAAAATGACATGACAATGCTATTACAAAGACTAAACGTTTCCCCCTATCTTCTTCCCCTCGCAAGCATCAGAAAAGTGTCTTATCTCTGAGATCTTACCTATTCCATGTGCAACCAAAAGCATTTGAAAGAAACACTTATCTTCCTGCTTTACCACTTGATCCCTTTTTGTATCTGTGCTGAATAGCTGTTCTGAGATCCCCCACCTGGATTCGTCCGCGTAGTCGTGCGTAACTTTATATCTCAGGTTGTTCTTTTGTCATTACCCCTTGTTTTTAGCAGAGGGTTTCAAAGTCCATCGGCACTCAAGGAAAATGTGATGAAGTAGCGGGGGGCCTGAAAGATAACGGGTCCTCCACTTCCCTCTTAAAACATTAAGTAGTTGGGGGGGGGGTGTCCAAAGCCTCAAGGGATTATTCAAGGACATAGTTTATTTTCAGATGGGTGTGAAGAACTATATAAACTGTGAATACCTGTGGACCTTTATATAGGACTGTAAAAATGTATTTTTTCAATTTTTTACGATGTGAAGTTGATTGTTTAGGTGACTACAGTACTGAAGTATGAAATTATAATATAAAATTCCTTCCTGAAAAATATTCTCATTAGTTTTTCATGCCATTTTGGGGGCAGGTTGGCAGTAAAGTCGTAAGCTGGCTTAGAGAGCGTTAACCAAGTCCTGAGATTCATTCTCCAGGGGGGTTTTCCCTCTCCTGCGGTTCACCAAGCATCCCCTGGCCACAGCAGAGAAGCGCAGAGGAGCCCTTGAACTCCCCGAGGCTGATAGTTAATGCACGCGAGGAGATGGGTAACAGCGTGGGTGTCTCGGGAGCTGGAATCAAAGTTCTGTGGACCGTAAGAAAATGTGGCAGACACAGAAGTGAGCAAAGCAGCAGCACCTACAGGCTATATTCAATTTAGGGACCAGTCCTGTGATTTGGACAGACGTGATCAGCTGTTGCTTACCTGGACCTCAGGTGTGAAGCGTTGGGTGCTGGAGACCCCTTGGCTGCCCTTGCTCAGGTGGGTGGCTCGGGAGGGGTTTGCAAAGGCCGCTGTTGTACCCTTCCCCTCAGTGCTGGGGTCTATTTGCCTAGGGTTATTTTTCCAATTTAAATTAGGAGACTGGGGGCTTCTCTGTTTTGTGCTCCAACAAGTCTGTATGAGTTAGAAATTCTTAGAGTACAGAAAAGCTCCTTCACCACTTTTTGAGGACAACCACAGAGAGGAACGAACAAAGAGCCGTTTGGGGCAGGCTGTGTACTGAGTGCTCTGGATAACACGCTAAAGCATTTCTCTGCAGCACAAGTGGAAGCCACACAGTCCTCGGGATGTTTTTATCTGTTGTAAACATGGAATTTCTTGGCAGAGAATTTCAGAGAAGGGGAAAGGGGTTTTATTTTCCTGTTCACGTAGAAAATGGATTCTGTTTAGGTCGGAGCGAGCAGAGGCTGTCGGCACCATCAGCCTGTGCATGGCAGGACCACGGGAGATGTGGGAATAGTGCTGGGAGCTCCAAGGGGTCTTACTGGCTGCTTGGCTTCAGTGTTCTTGCTTATTCATGGTGCTTTAAAAGAAAGAAGTATTTGGCTGTTGAAATAACGGGCATGGTGTCAGAAGGCATCTCCTGCAGCCTTGTACCTGTGGCTTTGCTCCCCTCGCAGCGTCGCTGCTGGAGGCAGCCCCAGCCGGGACACCGATCGCCTTTCGCTCGGGGGGGCTGGCCACCTGGGAGCAAAAGGACAGAAAAACATAGCAGAATTCCCAAAGCACGGGCTAAGTCCACGCTTTGTGTTGTGATCGTTCAGTTTCTAAGCTGCAAGTTTAAGGAATTCAATTTGAAAAGCTCCGAGGAGGTTTTACCACCAGCTGTCCTGGCAAGAGCTTGTCCTGATTTTTGCATCCCTGGAGTTGATCCCACTGGGAGTGAACAAGGGTGTCCTAGAAAATGAGGTATTTTTTTCATGTTCTTCTGGTTTTAAACAAAGAATGTCTATAATTCTGTTTTAAAAGAGTGTGAGTTTCAGATTTGCCTCAATTACTGACAAGCAGCTTAATAAGTTCTGTGATGAATGGGAGGGGAGTACATCCTTTCATGGCGCACGCATCCTATTATTATGTTCATGCTGGAACTATGACAGTAAATACCCCCATTGCCGTGACAGGGACACAGCAGCGCTGTGGGATGGTGGCACCGCACTCAACCCGTGTGGTTTTCTTGCTTTGAACATGTTCTTATTCTGAGCGTGGGCAATTCTCTGGGCACAGGTTGTGCAGAGAGCTTTCGGAGTGTCCCTCCCTTGGAGACGCTCCCTGTGCTACCAACAATGCTCTCTCCTATTACAAGTGATCTAAGGAAAGAGAGTGCTTGGCATTTGCTTTGTTAAAATTCTATAACATTTTTCTTCAAGAATGACTCCTGTTTTCATTGAGCATGACTTGGTAAATTGAATGACAACTGCAGTGGCATTGCACTTGTTCACCTGATAACTGTAGATGTTAGCATATATACATTTCAGTAGCTGCTTGTGTCACATGAGTTATACACTTGGTAAGGGCAATCTCAAAACAAATTATCAAATCCTACATTTTAATAAGATTAATAAACAAAGACATTTATTTTACTTTATTGTAATTAGAAACCTAAATTGTTTTGAAATAGAGTACCTGTAAATATAGTACCTTTGTAAATGTGGAGCTGAAAATACATTGTTAGCATGGCAAAAATAGATGGCTTTGTTACATACAGTCTAGGACTTTTTTTTTTTTTTGGTGGCAGATATTGTTTAGTGTGAAAAAAAGCTCAAGGTTCTCTTTGCAGCTTTGGGAAAAGTGATGAAAGGATCTCAAGATCTTGCTTACTGCTTTCATGGCTCTGCCCTGGGCCAAGTCACAGGCCGGAGCTGCTTGCGGGAGGATCAGACACTGCAGGCTGGATGCAGTGAAAGATTCCCCGCGTCTCTACGCTGTGTGTGACAGTATCTGTTTCATGACAGAGTCACACGTGTAAACAGGGACTGGAGCGTATCAGGGACATGTAAACAGGGACTGGAGCGTATCAGGGCCGTGCTCACATCTTTATGGCCAGTGTCTGCTCTGCTTAGAAGCTGATCTGTGAGGTCCCAAAGCAACAAGCAGCTGAGCGCGTCTGAATTTGTTGGAGAGGAAGGAGGTGGTGGAAGCACTAGCAAAACCCCAGGCTGGCCCAGTGCCTGCTAGAAAAGAAAAAACAATCTGGGTGTTTTTTCAAGAAATACCGAGAGAACATGAGGAAGCAAAGATCCGATCCAAAAGTGAAGATCTAACCTCCAGCCAGCTGGGACTGCTCAGGCTGGAGGAGACTCCAGGGGGATCTTGCACAACTGTACCTCGATGCCTGGAGGGAGGGCGCAAAGAAGGCAGAGCCAAGGTCTTTTCAGGGGTGCCCGGAGGCCACGGGCACAAAGTGAAACACAGAAGGTTCCCTCTGAGCACGGGGAAACCCTTTGTCTCCAGGAAGGTGACCAAGCACCGGCACAGATTGCTCTTGGAGATGCTGAAAAGCTGCTGGCTGTGGTGCTGGGCACGTGGCTTTAGGTGACCCTGCTTGAGCAGGAGGGTTGGACCAGCTGACAGCCAGAGATCCCACCTCAACCAGGCTGGCAGGTGGTGAATTATTCCCGTGCCGGGTGCGTACACGCTCAGCACTTCTGTTACTGAGGGGCTTAGTGCTCTCAGAAGGGGAGACTGCAAAAAATCAGCTGTCCTATTCCCCGTTGCCCCCCAAAAAAAGGAGAAACCTTCCCCTAAAAGATGTATTTGGATGAAAATAAGCTTCTAGAGTCCCTGAAAAGACCCGTGATGGCTCTGGAGATAGGAAACAGTATTTGGAAATATGTATCCCTTGGCAAGGACTGCTAATCTGGATTTTCATTGTAAACTACTTAACGTCATTCGGGGATTTGTCTAAAAGTGTTTTTCTCTTCCTACTGCTGGCAATATTGTCAGCAATCAGGTCACCGGAATCCATTTTAATTAATAATAATATTTGCAGGCTAATCCCTGAACAATCAAAAGATAAAATTCTGGGTCCAAACTGTGTTGGAAAGACCCCTATGTACTCTGGAGCACATCACGCAGTGTGCCAGCTCGGGGAAGCTGGCCTCTCTCTGTGTGCACAGAGGTGACAAATTGGGGACCGTGAGAAGGGGAGGATGCAAAAACGATAGGATTTAGCATCTGTTTCCTCATACAGCCTTTCCTTTGACCCAGCAAAGCTCCTTTTTTAGGGTTCTTGCCCAAGTGGCTTCTCAGCTGCTCCAGGCCAACACCACATTCCCCCCGAGGACCATCCCCATTTGGGACACGTGGGCTGTGCTGCTCCCCGGGCGAGGGAGAAGGGATGATGAGAAAGGCCTGGCAGGGTATAAATCATGAACTGTTTTGGCATTCCTGCAGCTTTGATTTTAGTCTTTCCACCATGAATAAGTCTTGAGATTTAGCGAGGATGTAGGGACAGATCTCTTGGGATACAGGTGATGCCATCACATCCGCCCACCAGCCTCTTCGCTGCCAACCCCTTTCCCTTCCCCACAGCACTACGGTGCTCACCAAGCCCTTGTGCCAGTCATCCCAGTGCCCCTGCATCCACAGGCTGGTGCTGCCAATGCTGAGCACACAAGAGCCTGTTCACGGTGAAGCCAGAGCTCATTTCTGAGCCGGGGACAATTTAGAGACCTTAGTGATGGCTCTCCTGTCTCCGGTAGAAAGAGAGCAGCATAAAAGAATTATGGCTGGATGCAGCCAAGAGTTATTTTCACATGGTCCTAGTGTTAAGACACAGGTAAGTTTTAATGAATTTGCTGCTGGTCATGAAAGTAGGTCATGAATGATATTTTGTGGGATAGTGTCTCCTGGCTGGTGCAGGTTGGATAACCTAGAACTGCTTGGCTTGTCATACAACGAGCTTGCTTGTGCACAATGACTCCTGCAGCTCCTCTTTGTGGGTTTTCCCGTCCTGTCTTTAGGGTGCAAAGACTGGTGGGACAGTTTGTGTCGGGCAAGTGGGCTAAGTCCTGATTTCTGCAGTGCTCTCCCAGCTCGGGGCTGAGCCAGCAGCACGGGCTGGAGAAAATGCAGCGCGAGACCCTCTGCAAACACATCTCTGGGGCTTTTATTTTAATTTCTAGGTGCACGCAACTTTTTTGGAACCGTTTTGCATGCTGTTTTCTGGTATCCTGCAGGCTGCTACTCACCCACAGCAGCTCACAGGCTGCAAAACGCTGGTCCTGGGTACAAGGCAGGGCTGTAGCTACAGAGAACGACCTTAGTTGTGGGTTTGAGGCTGCATCTGGAAGGCAACTCTGAAACCACATCCCTTGATGAGCCCTCAGAGCTCAACCTTCCTGCAGGACATAAGCAAATATCGACAACCACCTCAGTGAGGATTTTAGGCTAAAGGTGCACAAAAAAAGGCTTAGTAAACACAGTGTTCTCAAGGCAAGAAGCAGCAGAATTTGGCTTGACCTGCCACAGGGGGATTGTTCGTTTGTTTGCTGTTCTGGGAGTTTTGTGCAGAGCAAACAAGTGCCTGGGTGGACAGGCAGCACCTGGGCTCGGGGCAGAGAGGGTGAGGTGGAGAAAGTTACTCCAGGCACTTGGAAAGGGGAAGTTACAAGTAAAAATGAGAGAAGCTGATCTCATCAGGGCACGCGGCCTCTCCCCACTGTCCTTGCAACGGGGGGAGATGACAGACTCACACAGGGGGTTGGTGCTGAGCAGGGAGCACCTACACTGGACAGGGCTCTGCTCCTGGGGCACAGCCTTGGCCTCCGAGGGAGGATGGGGAAAGGCCTTAGCCCCAAGGAACACAGCTGCTGTGCTGCAGCTGCAGAACAGCCACATATGCTAGATTTCATTCAGAGGATAAAGGATAGTCAGATGGTTAATATAGGAAAGGGAATGCCAGAGTAAGTCCTAAGTGTAAATGGGCAGAGGCCATGGGAACTGAGCCTCAGTACAGCTTCGGCTGGGATGCCAAGCTCTCATGCCTGCTTAAGAGTTCTATTTACTTTAAACTTTATTTTCTTGCTAGATTTTCAGCACCTCTGAGCTCAAAGAGGATTGGGATCCCACCTGAAAACAAACCTGGAGAAAACACTTTGAAATGTTAGGGATCCTGAGGATGTGCTGAGAGGCTCTGGTTCATGCTCCTAGTCCTGGTCATGTTCTACTGAGAAGACCAGGTAAGAAAAAGTCCCTGTTGTCATTTTATGTTCTAAACAAAGCTGAACCACGACAGCTTAGCTCTGAGGGGCTAGCTGCTATTTCTACATACCTGCTGGAGTTCACAAGACATCATCCCACTCTGCTTACCTTCCAGGGTGTGAGTCTGAAGCATCTGACAGAAGCAAAAATCTCAGGTGATTTTGTGGAGACCAGCGGTATAAAATAAGAGTTAAATGGCTCAGAAGTAATACTATGAGCATTTGCATTGAGGCCTTCTTGAGGCCAGAATCTGTCTCATTATTGCAAGTAATATCTGATGGCAAAAATCACAGTTATAGATTTTAGCATTGTTACTAAGCTTAAGTGGCTGCTTGCTTAAGTGGTCCTTGAAGACTGGAAATGGATTTTCTGTTGGCCAGGAATCTACCCTCTCAACTTTCTGCCTGGCTGTTCAATTCCCAGTATTTCTTTTTCACAAGGTATTTAACACTCATCATGATTACAGGGACAATATTAACCACCACCCTATTTTCATTTTTTTTTTTTGGACTTGTCAGTAACTTGCAATAAACTGGTAGGTACTGGAAAAGACTCTAGTTTTCTACAGGTGCTTAGGTTCCTTAAATCCTTGGAGTCCAGGGTAAGGACGGATTGTTGTAAAACCCCACGGCTGTCCCCCAGTTCTGGGAAGGGGTACCACCCCCCCCCACCCCCCCCCCAGTACTACACCTTCTGTGCAGCCCTCGCTGCAGACGTGACCCACCTGCCCCCCAGGTGAACTGGGGGGAGGGCTGTGGGGGTCCCCTAAAGCCAGGCAGACCAGTCAGGCTGTTACACCAGACCTACTTCTTGGCGCCCCTGGCCCAGCACAGACCTGCAGAGCTCTGCTGGTGCCCAGCCCCTGCGCTGGCACGCCGGCCTGCCCACGGGGACCTGAGAGCCCAGCTCATCTCCACGCCTCGGCTCTGGAGAGCCTCAGATGGGAGAGCTCCTTCATCGAGCCAAAGCCAGGCTCAGCACATCCTCTAATGCTCTCATCAAGAATCATCTTTGTTTTTACTCGTTCTTTCTTGGAACTGTTTTAGGTTTGAGACCTCCACCAACTTCAAAGTTTGCCGTGTGGTAGCAACCCCATTTTTCTCTTTGGTATCACCTATATCATCTGGATCCAGATATTTTCTGTGACTCCAGGGAAACTGTATCAGTCTAGAAAAGACAATACGTTTATCAGTTGTTGGGTTCCCCCCCCCAATGAAGGGTTGCAAATTAGTGAAGGCCACTTGGAAAATACTGCTTTATGCTTGCCCCGTTATACTTCTCTAGGTATAAAATATCTGTATGTATTCTGCTGGGCACTAGCTGCAGTGACAGGTTAGGTGGATCCTGACATTCTGTCACCTATGCTTTTATCCAACTTTTCTCTAAGTCAGAACAGGCAGCAGACTATGAGAGCTGATAAGGCAGAATAATTTCTGTGTGCAACCAGGAATCCATCTTGGACAACAGCAAAGTAACTGGGTTATATGGTTAAGACTGTCTCCAGTCAGAAGCAGCTTCTAAAATCTGCCTGTGCACTATTTACCAAAATCCAGCCCCCAGGCAGGACGCTCACCTGGAGCAGCACCTCCGGGGAGGCCAGCTCAGGGTCAGGCTGTACCTGCAAGCACACGCACCTGGGAAAGGCTGCAAGGGCAAGCAGGAATAACAATGAAGAGAAATACCTGAAATCAAGAGTGAAAATATCTTTCTTAAGATCTTGAGGTTGTAATTTCCTGGTATTTCTACTTGGCGGTATTTTGTCTGTGTGTTTTTAAATACCAGGGATCCAGTTGTGTACTGGGACTGAAGTCCTCACTCCATCTGGTGGCAGAAATTCTGAATATTTTTCTAAAGGTATACAGGTAGTGAATTACAGGGATGTAGGTTAGTTCAATATGAATTCAAGTCATGTATTCCTTAGCAAAGACTTCTGGGAATATATCATATCAAACTGTCCCTCTTCCAATTTTCAGAAACAAAAGAAGTAAAACTAGTCATAAAATTCTGCAGGGCTACCAAACCAAAAATATTTTCTACTAGAGCAGTTTATAAGTTCTTCCTCCGCAGAACATTCCTATCTTAAGGAAACAGTGCAAAAAGCAACACAAAAAGACAGATTCCAAAATACTGTAGATTTTTCTAATAAGAAGCTTTGATGAATCCAGAAGAGAAGACCAGAAGAGACAATTTAACTCACTTTTTATCACTGTCAGACATTCAAAAAGCATTCAACTTTAAAGTTTTTGCCGTTTCAGCAAGCTTTCTTACAAAAAGGTTATGTTCATTCTGATACAAAACTCAATCTACAGAGGATCTATCAAAGCACAGTCATCTCAAGCACTGATCAATAGCACAGCATCTAGCAGTTGACGTATTTAAATATAAAACCCCACATCATTTTAAAGACATTTGCTTGCAAACTGTTCATTTACTATATGCACAAGGAAAGGCAGAAGTCTCCTTACTCATTCTAATCTCCATACAGTGATTTGGTTTTTTTTAAAGGATCAAGTTGTATGTACACAGAAACAGTGTTCTTCAGCCTTTTGCTTACTGAAATTGCAGCCATTAACACCTGCCTGTCTTTAAAACAAATCAAGCCGCAAAAAAAAAAAAAAAAGATGAATCTGAGGTAAGAACCATAGAGGTTGTCTAATTTGCAGAAGACAGACTTCCACAACAACCTACAGAAACTAACATTTCCCTTAAAATCTTCCAGCAAGCACTGTTGTACTGAGCCCTCTACTCTCCATACAGGAGCTCACTACAGGGAAAACACAAGTCTCTGCCATTTTCAAGTTAGGTGCAGAAAGAATGACTAAACCACCAAGTGCTCTTGGAACTGAAATTGAGCCGATAATTTGCTGGTAAGAGGAAATAGTTTTGATAACAGTCCATTTGAAACTGTCTTATTGAACACGAAGTGCAAAACAGGCCTAGAAATAAAACCAGCTTTGATGCTGAACAAATGTAACAGCCAAGGGGAAAAAAGAGAAAGAGGGATTAAGGTTAAACTCATTCTTTCAATCCAATCAATGCCACGGACATGGAATTTAAATTAGAGCAACAAAGTTCTATCAGAACCTCTGCACAATTTCTTTTAGCCTAAAACAACAAAGCCTGCTTACACTACCCTGGGTACTTCTGGAGACATGATTACACCGAGGGTCACATCTCTCTCCAACAACTGAAGAAAGGTCAATAAAATCCTCAGCATTTTTCAGCCTGAGCTGTAGGAAATATCAATCTAGCTTATGCACATAATTGCACTTGGTGTTGGCATAAAGTGTGTTGCTGAAAATCGAAACGGTTAAATCATTTTACAATTTGCAGGAGATGAAGACCCCATCTGCTAATACCCTGCTCCTGGGGAACGTCAGTAGTGCGTATTTGGATTTTACCCGAGATGCATGCAGCAGCCCTCAGCCCTTCAGGTACTCTGGCTGCAGCCACGCGGTGGGCACGGACAGTACAGACAGACTGACGGTCTGCTGCTGGCTGCTACCTCCAGCCCTGCTTGGCTGGGGAAGATTGTACAGCTTTAGGTGATGCACCCGCGTGACCTAAAGGTCTAAACCTTTTCCAGCTTAAAGCTGATGGTAGGAGGAGATGCATCTTTACGAGGCAGTATCTCCCAAAAGCTTGCCATTTTGTTTAACAGTGAGAAAATAAGCCCTGGAAACAGAAAATGCAAGTAAAAGGCCCAGTAAGAGCTGACATTTATTCAATGCTAATACCTAAAGATTTACAGATACTGAACAGTAACTCTTTTCTCACCTAGAGACAGAAATGCACACCCACTGCTCCACGAGAAACTGCCACTGCCCAGCTCAGTACTTTTTGAGGCCGTGTGGCAGACCTAGAGCTGGCTTGGCACCTGGGAACGGCGGGGAGCTCCACACAGCAGAGCTGGTGCGCTTGAAGTAGCGCGGCTTGCTTTTGTAGAAGATGTCCTCCAGCTTGGGGCTTGCGATCACCCCAAAGAGCGCGTCAATATTGGGAGGGTTGTAGTACTGGCGGATTACAGCTTGGCTAAGCTGATTCCCTGGAGAAACAAAAGATTACATTTTCATTAATTTTTTTAATTGAAATTGCCGCGCAGGCTGTTTGTGTGCAATGTGTCCCTACTCTCCTCATCTCTAATCACACTGAGATCACAAATGGGAGAAATCCTGCAGTATCTGATGTTTTAAAGCACCCTGTTTAAGCCTAGAGATTCACCCTAGATCACTTGGAGGGCGAATACTGCACGTACTGAATCCTCTCCAGGAAATAGATTAAGTTTGCAAGAGGCAAGGCTTCTCAGCTTTTTTTTCCTGCAGATTCCATCGGTTTCCCCACAACTTCTTCACTCCCTAGGGGTAGGTGGAATATGATATCATAGAACCGAGCATTTCAGAACCCGAGCAACAGCTGGTCTGAAACCTTGTCCACAACACCTGCCATTACTTTGCTTTTTAAAGCAAAATCAATGTCAAGCAGGCTCAAGGCAAGAGCACTAGTTCATAATGATTCTTTTCACACTGGCAAAATTACACTAGCAGCTCTGTTAAGGCACTTTAAAAGTGTATTTGTTTCCCCAACACAAGAAGATCCCCAGGTGGCAGAGGAGCCCTTGACTCAGCACTCCAGCCACGCTGCTAGAGATCAGTATTTTTAACTACAGTGTGCAAATAGGAGGATCTGGGCAAAAATCTTACACCGGGTCCTACCATCCGTTGGAGCAAAGGCGCAGTAGGGTTTGCTGGGGGATCTCAGGACAGACACCAACCCGCTAACACATACCCGTGGCCCAGGCAGGGATGGGCTTGCGAGGCTGGCTTTCATCGTCAGTAGAGTCATCGCTGTTCAGATCCATTCCATAGTTGTTTGGATTTATCAGGGGGGGCTTTGGATTTTTGTGGGCCTGTGGAGTCATCTGGTATGAACTGCAGGCAGGTGAGTTCTAGAAGACAAATACACCCCCCCAAAGGCCTTAGATGCAGTAGCACTGCTACACGCTGCTACGCTTCCGAGCTGCAGCGAGACCCCTGTCAACTACAACACCTCAATATTCCACCTCTTGCTTTATCGCACAATTGCAAAACCTCAAGTTTGGCAGTTCTAAAGTTTTGACCCAATTCTGACTTTGCGCTGCCTCCTCCTGTTTAATTGGGCTGCTTAATTGGCTACACGATATGAACAAGCCAGCAATAGATGCATTTAATACGCACACAGCCGTTCCATTCAATTCAAGCAAGGATTATATGGAGTTGTTACATCCTCAAAGCTGGAGCTGAGTAATGTGCTTTAAATACTCTGCAACCGAGATTCTGGGCTTGTTTAATAATGTTACACTGATTATTACCACGTAGAGAATATGCACATAATAGCTCAGAACAAACTGTACTCTAATTTTTATGGGAGCAGCATAACTGAGAAATGCAAGTGATGAAGAAAAACATAGAACTGCAAATTTCACCATCCATGAAATATCTCTAGAGTTGGAAACAGTTTTTCTTCCCCATAAGAGGCTGCCTTCACAGCTTTGTGCCCATTAACATTAACTTATATTTCACTGATTTTGCATTCAAAGATTAAAATATATAGCTTTGCAAGGAGATAAAGATCCATACATTTGTTTTCAGTGTTCAAGACACATACATTCACCTGCAGGTGGTTCTCAAGTTCCATCAGTAGTGAAGCACAAATGCAAAACTATTCCAGACTCTGCTGCCATCCTCTGGCTGTTTCCAGCTTTGAACTTAAATAACTACTCTAGCACCTTTTATGCCTGTGAAGTTCATCCGGTATTTAAAGAGGAGCAGCTTACAAAGCCAAGGCAACTTGAACAGTCATTGCCTTATCCTGACATGGAAACCCTGACAAATACTTGCTGCTTCCCTTCCTTCCTTTCCACTCCCCAAGTCATTCAAGGCCACCAGAAGTCAACCTCCGATAACCAAGAAAAAAACATTTATAGAATCCCTTCATTACTGAAAGGGAATATAAAAAACAGAGGGTAAAACTGCCCACTGTAACAGCACGTCAGTGCTGGAATCAAAGTTCTCTGATGTCGTCCCTTAAAGTTTCACCAGAGAGCAGAGTTACCTCTTTGTTTTCTAGGTGTTGTGTTTGGACTGTATCTTTAGCATTTTGTTCCTCTGGCAGTTTATTCTGTTCTTGCTCTTGCCTCTTCATCTCTGCTAGCCTCTGCTCCTCCTGCTGACAAGCCAACATCACAAATTAATTAATCTTATGAACTAAGCTACACTGTTAATCCAGAGATCAATTTTTGCTATGCAAAAAAAAAAAAATAATCTAAGCATCTAATTGCAAGTCTTTGTTGCTTGTGATGCTAAGAAGCACTTTGAACACAGTGAAGACACTGAACAAATGCAATGCAACAGTTCAAGCTTTCTTCGAAGTGGCACAAATTGACCTCCCCATTTAAGAGCATTAGTTGCCTTCCTCTGATAATGCAACAACCTCATGCTTTGAGAAACTTGCTACTGATTTTATCTTCATATAAACATCAGAGCCCAGTTGACCATCTGCAGATGGAAAAGTTTATGCTACTGCTCTTAGCCTCTCTTTAGACTAATAAAAAGTATTTTTAGAGGCCAAGTCATCCCATTGTACAGTAACCATCCCAAACAGGTCAAAATAATCTCACCCTACGAATGCTTAGTTCTTCCTACTGAATCTACAGGAAACCAAGAGGCTGCTAACTCAAACAGCAGACATCTAAAATCAAGTGAAATAAATCCCACCCCCTCAGTTGCTCCTAACAGTAACAACTACTAAAGTCAGACCCACGTGGCTCCACCCATCTGCAAGAAGAGAGTACGTACGTCTTTCTTCTCCATCCCCTTGTAGAACTGTTCTTCAGCAGCCAACACTTCCTTCTGCAGGCGAGCAGCCTTCTCCTGCTGTTCGCGTAGCCTGAGAACCAAAGCGACAGCCCGTTGCTCTCAAAACTACACTGGGGTACCCTCCCATCCAGCGCCTGCTGCAAACCCCTCTCACAGGTTTGCGGGGCACTCCTCAACACACTTCCTACATTACTGAGCCAGAATTTCTGCTCGGCAGCTCAGTAACCATGATGGTCCAGAGCTGTGCTGACAGCTCTTCGCTGCTTGAGCCTTTCACTAGTGCCCTCTGTTCTCGCTTCTTTTCAAAGTCCCAGCACAGAATTTAGTACATAAGTGGATATTATCTTACTTCTCTGCCTGGATCCTCTCCTGTTCCTTCTTCCTCTCCAGCTCTCTCTCTGCAGCCAGCTGTTTCTCTCTTTCCTGTTCTGCCTGCCTCTGCTCAGCAATCTTCCTGGCACGTTCCTGCTCCTCTTCCTTCCTCTTCTGCATTAGCTCTTTGTGCCGACGTTCCTCCTCCTCCTAAACCCAACAAAGCAGTTACTCACATTGTACAGGAACAGGCTCCAGAATTAAGGAGCAGGAACACCTTCTTTGACCCATGTCTCTAGCACCTATCTCTACACAGCAGGGAACAAGATGGGGCTGAAGTCCCAGTGCTTTCAAGGTAGGTGCATCATCTCTCCAGCCATGTCAGTGCTGGCCTTTCCCTGCCCACACGGTACCAAAGGGCCTAACGGTCACCAGGCTCTGGATCTCTGAGAGATGGGTTTAAACACAGATTTTAGTACTTGCCAATCCCCAATTAAGGTTTTTAGTAAGAATCTGTCCAGCACTGTGGAAGAAATGTGGGTCACAGCCACCCCCCAAGAGCTTGCAGCATATTGCAAGAGGAAGCAGGAAGCACAACACTGCAGAGAGCTTTAGGGACAAAGCCTCTCTGCCACACTAATTTTCACTCAGTTGGTTCGCGTTAGCGCTCCCAGTGGATTCCTTGCTTGCAAAGACCGTGGCAGATTGCGGCCATCCTAATTGCATGCAGGAGGATAGGATGGCCTCCAGCACAGACCTGCTGCAGTGCTTTTTGTTTCCTGGCCTCTTCATCATGCCTGCGCCGGGCCTCTGCTTCTTCCATTTTCTTGGCAGCTGCTTTCTTTTTGATCTTCTCTTCTGCCAACCTTTCTTCCCGCACCTATGACACACACGTAGCTAGCTGAACACCCAAGTCTCAGATGGGACAGTTCTCTGTGCATGTGAAACATCTCAGCAGTGTCTCAAAAACACAGAGCTCCCACCCTCTCATGGGGAAATTCCACCTTTTTTGTCACTCAGAGCTAATGGGACCTGTGCTTTATTTTATTAAAGTAATATTTAGGGAAATGCCCTTTTACATCTCCACAGGAAGAGCTGATCCTATTCCAGTATTTATACATCTAATACCACAAAAACCATCAGAATATATTCTCAGAACTATGAAATGAGAAAAGCAGATGGAGATAATTAAAGCAGACAAATGACTGCTATGATCATACATGCAAATAATCTGAAAGTCTCGATACAAGAAAGGGTCTGGAGGAAGTATGTTTATTTTCACCTCTTCATCTATTAGTCAGATGGGAGAACAACTTCAAACAGATAAAGCCTCAGGGCCATTAGGCTGGCTTTATCTGCCAGTTCTTCTCCCATCTGACAGAGCCTGAATAAAGCCCATTTAGATTCATAATTCTGGAAAATAAGAGTTTTATCTGCCATTTCCTGTAACCAAGAGAAAGGCAGTCACTCAGAATCATCAAGTTTCTGGAAGGATCTTTATTCAACCATTCTCCACGTCATTCTCTAGATTTCAGCAGCCTCAGTTCCTCTTTTTCTGGAAGGCACACATATGGCAGCATCTATACCTCAGCAGATGATTTATTCTCCCAAATAAATTCTATAGGTATATTGGGCCTTACCTTCTCAGTCTTCTCATCAAACAGAGCTATCTTCTGCTCAATGCGCCTTTTCCTCTCTTCCTCTAGTTGCTCTGCCCGTTCCCGAGCTTGCAACACTTTGCGCAGGCGCTCCTCACGCTTCCTATAGGACACAGCCCAACTTCATCATTGTAGTCCAGCTAGATGTGTTCCTTACAACTCAAATACAAGGCCAGATGCAGCTCTTGGGCAGCATGAAATTCAGTGAACCATATACACTATTCATTTAAACATTAGCAATATTTTTAAGCTCCATCTGAGTCAGAGGACTTAAGACAAAAAGCTGAAGCAGCAGTCAACTACGAAAGTTAACTTTTTATTAGCATTCTAGATAGATCCTGTGAGAACAGATACTGTCTGAGGTATGAGAGCAAGCCAACAAGAATTTTTGATGCATGTATGGACACTGCAAGATAAAAGACCTACAGGTGCAGAGAGAGCAGTCCAGACAAGGCAGAAAGCATATACTCACAGCTTTGCCTCTTCTAGTCGCCGTTTCTTTTCTTCCTCAAGTTTTTGTTTTCTCAGCTGCTCAGCTTCATGCTTTTTCCTCAGAGTCTCTAGCTTCTGTCTCTCCTTTGCCTGAAGTGGATTGAAATGTGATTATACCCACCTGCCAGGGCTTCTTTGTACTTCAACTTGCTCAGGGTAAGTACGGGCCCAGAGATAACACCAAGAAACTGCAGCCAGCACCAAGGGACTGTAACAAGGATGAAACAGAGCTCAGGTTGCCTGTGACGTGGTCAGGGATGTTTGGGGACAGATGTGATAGAAAACAAGGCAGTGGTGTTAATCTTAGACAGCAAGAGAAGCTGGGAAGTTGAAACAAGCATCAGCTCCTGAAGTCCAGGCAGCTTTCGGAGAGAGTGAAGGCAGCCAGCCCTGTGGTTTACGTTGGTAAAAAGAAGCAAAAAAGCAGAGCTAATGCTTGGCGTGATACTGACTGCCTGCAGCGAGAGCAGGGGACAGATGGTGCTCCAGGAAACACCTTGCTTGCTTCAACTCCGAGCTCCCACTGGCATCTTTGCTTCTCACAAAGCTTTATTTCATGGTGAACCACCACCATTTAGCGTGCTTACAGCTTGTTTCAAGCACGGTCAGCCCCATGTCATCTAGATGGAAATGCAGGGCATTTTCCTCATTTTTTTTTCTAAACAGCCTGAGTATATTGTCAATTACAAGAGCAGTATCCAGCCATCACTACAGTCACAGCAAACAAATTAAGACAAACTAATTTAATGCCAGCTTTGATACTGCAGATGCCCAATTATGACAGGCCTGGTCTTAATTCAAACCCACTGATAAGCACAGTGAAATATGCAAGTGATTTCCTTATGCTGGGCTCCATGTTGTAAATGACTGGTGTTATTAGTATCCAAACTGGCTAATTTAAAACTAACAATTCTATCTTATTGCTCTGGTGCTATTTAGTTATGTTAGGCCCCACGTGGAAAAAGTCCTGAGGGGAAATCACCTGCACTGGTACGAAACCTAAAATATAGCATCCAGTGAACTGACAGCAACAAAGGATGCACTAGTCAGAAGACTCTTACATCAGCTCCATCGCCAGTACAAACACTAATGTCAGCAGGAACATCAGCAAGATTGAAGCTCGAATCCTTCGCTACTGCCTAATGACAGGCTTCTCATCTGCTGGAGTACAGCAAGACTCTCTAAGCAGTACAACCGTGACAGCTTTAAGCAATACAAAAGTTCTGATATTAGGTTGCCAGATATAAGCTAGATGCAGGAAAACCAGTTTCTGCAGTATGCCCTCCTTTCCCTCCCCAACTCTCCTGCAAGTGAAAACAAGCCCTCAAACTACCTTATTTTGCAGGCAAGCTATTGGATTTTAGAAGCATGAGCAATCTATGCTTGGCATGCCAGCTTCTAGCATGTCCCTAGGTGCACACATGAATCTACACCCTTATACTTGCCCAACACTGTCTGGAACGGGACCTACAGCACACTGATTGAAACTGCTTTTCTTTGAACACTGACTTCTCTTCTGAGCTAAATACCAAATCTAAATGCAGGTCAGGTAAAAGTGAGGGCTGTCCACCAGTGGCACTGGTAGTATTCCTACCACAAGCCCAGCCCATTTAATTAAATAGTCATGATTTAAGGATCAAACTGTCCTGTGTAAGCAGAACAGAGGGAAAATCAACTCCCTTTGGAAATCTAGAACCAGAACTTATCCCATCCACCCAAACAACTACTCTGAGGTACAGGAGCTTCCCCTGTGATGCTGTAAACTTCACTGTGGTATTGCACAGAGGCACCTGCCTGCAAACAGCAAAGGCGTGGTATTTGTCTCTGCTGCTTGCCACAATTATACTACATCGATATTGATGTCTGTTAGATTTGGCATACTTGTCTCAGTGAACCAGCAGTCTCCTATTCAGGATAGGCTCATGTTTCTTCCTGCTTCAAACGTCTGAAAGAACCTCAGAACATCAGAAACTTGGATTTAAGAGGCATTTGCTCTGATCTCACCCATTAGAAAAGTCCTAGAAAAGAGATTGTGGATGTGCAGACTTCAATTATGTATGTGTGTGTATATATACATACACACACACTGCGACTGCAGTATTCAAAAATCCCCTTGGATTTTTATTTCCCAGTTTTAATTCCCGACTGTTACTTGCTAATACCACAGGGTAATGCTACAGTGGTAGAGCTTAGGGTCCAAATTAGAACCCTTTAGGAAGCTAATTAATCACAATAAGTGTAAACACAGCCTAAAGTTACTTCTTTGCTTAATATGGGTTGAACAATTTCTTTCACATCTGTGCTTTAACTTAGACACTCATCAGACCATCGGGTACTAGCTCACAACAGAGGTTTGTCTTACCTTGGGATCAGATTGGAGAGGAGTGTTGTACCTGATAAAAGATTTTATTACTCCATTTCTTCCCACAGAGCTTGGCGTCATGAGAAGCTGATTCTTCTGCACAGTGTGCAAAAACGTTTTGAAAGGACGTACAACCTGTAAGAGGAATGCCAAAAACGATCCTCAGGAGTGTGAGTAATAAACAGGTCTTGGTGAAGTACATCAGGGTTACAACAATCTTACTTTGCTGGCTGGAAAGGCAGAGGATGGGGTCTGTCTTCTCGGAGGAGAAAGCCCTCCATCTTCTGCTTGCTGATTGTCATAGCGTTCATCCACAGCTCTTTTGTAACTTGGCTTTCTCCTGTGAGATAAACACAGTCCATCACACATGGCAAATCCTGATTGTCACAAAGTAAGGTTTAAAAAAAGGTCATAAAGCTATCCTAGCTTAAAATGTATTTCATTGTGTATGTACAAGTAGTTATCCAATAAAAAATTTCTAATGTAATAGGAGATACGAATTAAATCCTCTTTTCAGAGGCAGAGAAAACCTTCATGAAAAAGTTTCATAGTCACAAAACACTGAAGTCATTTAACAATGCTTCAGCATTGAACCTGCTTTGGAATGGACTACATATCTCCAAAGGCACCTTCCAGCCAGAGCAATTCTACAAATGTACCTGGCACTCTGGGGTGGTTCCGGGGTCTCCCCCTTATTTAAGTTGCTTTCTGAAAGAAAATACAGTTACACAGTTAGTTCTAGCAGAAAAAAAAATCCCTTCCAACACAGCTTTGAAAGCAGACAACAGATTTAGCAGCCCACTAAATAACAAAAAAAACCCGCCATGAATTATGCACAGCAGGACCTTTCTTGCTTTCAGCAAGCAACCGCACAGCGCCAGTCAAACCTAGAAATACAAAATAAAGCCAAGCTGTCTGATCTGTAGCATGCAGTTTGCACTGATGCGATGCTATTGTGTTCTGCAGATACAGAGCAACTGCTTACTTCAGGAACGGGGTTCAACTAGGTCTCCCATAACCTGAAAAACATGCATCCCTCCATCTTCACTTCCATCTGCTTCCCAGGGTGGAAAATAACTCTAGCACAGAACTTCCTAGCTGCTAATCTCTTGAAACAAATCCTCGCTTGTCAGAGATTAGATTAGTCTTTCAAACTGGGCTCGCAAATGAACTAGCCAATCTTTCAAACTTCCCAGTCACCCTCCCCAAAAAGCAATGACTTTTAAAATTCTGCCATGAAAATCCTCTGGAATCTACCATTGTTGCCTGGCTCCTGCAGCTGTTCGTTTCTATTGATGGTTCGAGAGCGAAGTGACATTCGCGGACTTTGGGGATTCTGTAGAAAAAGCAAATGGGTTTCAGCACAATTCTCACACAGAAACAGCCAATTGCTGTTTCAAATCATGATGTCATTCTGACAAGGACACTGCAATATTACCAGAGAATGCAAAACTGCATGCATAGGATAAACTATTGGTGCCAGTACCCAGAGTGAAGTCCTAACCTTCAGCTGCAAAGAATACCTTGGGACACCATCCTGGCAAATTCCCTGATGTCCTGTCACCACTAGAAGCACAGAGGTTAACAGAACACAAGTAGCTGCAATAAGGGATACACTGCTTAAACTGAACAAACTCATAAACTATTAAGGACAAAAGCATTTCAAGTTGGAAATCTGTTTATGCTTGCTGGACTTCTGGCAAAGAGTCAGGCAGTGCGTATTTTACTTAGCGGTGATGAACGGACAACCAGGGAGACAGCAAAGACAATCAGCTCATCTCCTTGATTTATCTGTTTGCTATGAATGAGATATGCATTGCTATTTGCCGCCTTTGCACTTACACTGATACAAAATTCTGTTGCGATAATGGTTTTATATGCCTGTGAGAGAGGAGGCAATGGCTTTTGCAATCTGCACGCTGCCAGCAATGCAAGCATTAACTCCGCTCTGCAAACACGTGCTGGCCAGCGTGTAGGCTGGCAGACACAAAGGAGTTGGGAAGAAAAAAAGGAGTATGGAAACTTTATCCTCTCCAAATGCTTCTGCAGGGTCTTATCCCAAGGCTGGGTATAGAAAGCATCTTGTAGCCCAACAGAAGGACATAGACCTAATTAATTTGAGATCAGGCCTGAGAATAATCTGACCTTTAAGGAACAGCATGCATGGAGGTACTGTCTTTGTATGTTCCTATAGACAGATATTTTCTGGTTTGAGAAGGTTGCTCAGTCACCACATTTTCATGCGGTTCACAGCTCCCAAAGGAAGCCTCTAGCAGAAACCAAACCATGTTTTGTTTGCTGAGAAAACTGCTGATAGATAAGACAGACAGCTATGGTAAGGTAACCTGGTGACATAGGCTAAGAATGTGACAGGCTACGAGGTCCCACTCCCAACAGCAGTGGTATGAAAATAAGATGAGGATCAGGATACATCAAATGCACTACACAGACTAGACTATATTTATAAATTCATCAGGGTATGGAAACAAGAGATACAAGTCCTCTAATTCACAGATCTGCAAAGCAGTCTGTTCATTTTTCTCTCCTCCACATTCTCCCTTTAAGCTTTCCTACAATTGTAACTCAGGCAAGCTAAAAATCCAGAAGCAGTATTAAAACTGAGTTTATTTGAACTTTTGCAGCTCCACTGACAGGCACAGCCATAAACACATGTGTAAGCCTGTCCTTGTTTACAGAACTGCTTAAGGCCACTGAGCTCCACTCAATTCAGCCTGTGCTTACTGAAAATTACTCTGGACAAAACAGTGACATAATCCTGGGGTTTCTTCCTCAGGAGGGCAGTGAGAATTGCGGAGGGATATGTTTTGACCTGAATGATATTTATAAATTACTGTGGTTGTCTTAAGACAAACTGACATGCTTTGAATAATCTGCAGGACTAACAAAAAGGTCAAAAGAAGCTTTAAAAGTACAGAAATAGTAACAGTGTACAATCTCTGTCCAACTGAAAAAAGCTTCCCTGAATTATAAGAAGATTATTTATCTGTATAGATTCAGGATTTAATTTTCATACAACTGATCTCTAGCAAGAAGCTCAGAAGCAAGAGCCAGTAGGCAGGACTCGACTCTGAACACCAGTGATACCGAGGTCGGTATTCAGCACTGGTCTGCATCAACCCAGCATTTACATTTTAAATCTATTTATGCAAATTGACAGAGATAATACTATTTTCTAGTCAAAGCTAGCCTTGGCTTTGAAAGCACCTGAGGTTGTAACACCATACTGACAGAATACTGCTACTTGCATGCCAAATAAGCCATGGGTCACATGTGCTTGTTTTCCAAATAAAACTTCACTGTTTTTTGTTTTTCCGATTTTGGAACATTGTGATTAATCCAGACTTGTCAGTCTGACTTTCTCTAGTGTGCGTATCAGAACCAGGGAGGCTATAGGTAGGCTCATGCTCGTATGAGAGCTCTATACCTTCTTTATTCAAGTGCTAAGCGGCCCATTGCCCGAGTCCAGCAATCTGTGGCCAAAGCTTCCTAATTCCCCAATAACAAATGAGAGGCACATTCAACACATTTTGCTCACAAGTCCACACAAACAGAAATACTTTTAATCTCTGCCCAAATCTTACCAACTTGGAGGGGATACAAGATCCAGGAGGCGGCCTAGGAAAAAGAAAAAAGGCAGCCATGTTTAATAACATCAAGGAAACTGGGAAGCCACTTGTTATCTGCAAGCAGTGCATTTTACACCAAGAAAAAAAATCCTCCAAATAGGATATTAAGGATAAAGAAATATCTTAAAGTTGTCTCACCCAGTTTGGACAACTGTTTCTTCATCCTCTGGCACCTCTCCAGAGCTGGAGACTGCAGAAAAGAAAAAAAATGCCAGAGCTATAATGTACAGGTGCAGGCCAAGACTGTAGGAGCAAGGCACACTCCGGACTGTTGGAGGGGGATTTGCTCTGCCCCCACAAGTACAGGCAAGCTCAATATACCCAACTGGCACTAGAAAAATGCTGCCTGCAATCTTAATGTAAGAAAACAGATGTTTTCAATTATAGATGAGTTCAAAGTGCTATTCAGTGAGCTTACATTAACAGCGACTAGGTTTGGGCTGAGACTCATTTTGCAGGGCTGCATCCAGTTATTAGCAGTAGTTAAAACCAGCGTTATTTACAGCCTGAGAGCTGCTTCCTGCTGAGCATTCCAGCTGGCTCAATGGTAGCTAGCTTCTAAGTACCCGCACAGCCGGAAACCACTGTTAATAATTAAGACAGCGATGCAGCTTCAGCCTGGGTGGAATACACATGGGCACTTGGCACAGGCAGCACGTGCAGCCTGCTCCCGTACTTCCATCATCCTGTGACCAAAGGAAGCACAAACACACGCGCTGTATGTGGATCCAGTGCGAGACCTGCTGCATCGGAGACACGGCAGGCACACTCTGCAGGCCATTAGCTCGCTTTGAGCTTTTGAGCATTAAGAAGCTCAACTGGAGCTGCCTGAAACATCGTGGTTCCCTTCCTTACCCCTGGAAATTTTGACCAGGCAGAACAGTCATGTCAAGCAATGCAGAGGGAAGAAATAAAGCCTTCCTTAAGCCTCCCAGGTAACCCAGATCCAGACAATACGGACTTATTTAAACTGGGTAGATAAAGCTCCTTCAGTGCCTCTTCAAAGTAACAGATGAGAAGACTTCCCCACAGTTTTGGTTTTTACTGAAGGAGCACTCAGTGTGCTTAAACTTACACAGCGCTCCCCACCACCCTGTTACCAGCGCAGGAAATCCTGTACTGGGAACTGAAGTGCTCTGGTTCTGGAAAAACATTCAACCAGAACAGTAAAACTGGTATGGAAAAAAAATACTACAGTGCTTGTGCAAGTATATCCTTCTCCAGAAAAAATAGGATAACTCTTCAAGAAAAGTCAGTTTTATACAGCACAAATCCCACAAAACTAGAACACTGCAGATTAACACATTAGTCTTATTTCAGCTGTACTAGTTCTCACTTCAAACAGAAAAGTACACTGTGCACAAAAGCCAGTCTCTCTTCAAAGTCAAATTGTGTGGAAGAGGTTCTCTTGCATCATCTGCATTTCAGGAGCCATTTACTAGTCCACCATTTACTAGCCCTCAGCTTGAAAAAACAGTGAGGCTATATCCATCTCTGTGTTCTCCAGCACCAATTCCAATGCTTACATTCCAGTAGCACTTAAGAACATTTAAATCAGTTTGTCATTTGCTGGAACCTGCCTCTACTGCAAACTGTAAAAGTTTGGAAGACTTTTAATAAGTTTACAAAGTCTAACCTCAAAATTCCCTTCTCAAAAGAGGTCTAGAACTAGCAGCCAGATTCTGTTTAGAGTAGTGAGTTTGTGATAGCTACCTCATTTCCCAGAAAACTTGCTGGCCTCTGTGAGAACCCATAACCCTCCTTAGCAGCCACCTGCAGCAACACACCTGCCCGCCAGCTCCCTCCTTCGCTCTGCGAGCTGCCACCACAGAAGCTCAAAAGACATTTGGGCTGTTCTCCCAGATGATTTACAAGGCCAAATCCATTGGCCACAAACTAGCACAGTTGCCTGGGGCTCCTCTGTTCACAGGGGTCTCCAGGAGCCAGTTAGAACATCCATGCTTAAGTACAGCTTGTCTGGCCTAGGAAGCCCAGCTGCAGCACCCAGACTGAAGCACTAGCCCCATTATATTGTTTTCCTTCAGCAGTGGAAAGCAGTTGATGAACAAAAAGAGCAGGAAAAGCGCAAAGCAAACCCATCTGGTGACATTCAAACTTACCATCTGTGCAACTGGAGGACACAGATGACTTCCAAGCTGCCTTCTTCTTGACCACTGTCCTGGTGATTGATTTTCGGATCATACTTTCCCTCTTGCTAGCTAGTGAGTATTTCTCTGCCAAGGAGGTTCTGCGAGTCATGGAAGTTTTACCCATCAGACTTCTGCGCACGGAGCGACGGCTCAGCTTAGCGCCTGTTGGAGTCCCTGAGCTGTCTCTCGCGCACTGGGAAGGCTCCTTTTCAGACCCCTCTTGTACCTGAGCAGAGTCATCTACCTCCTCCAGCCTAGAGTCTTCACTTAAAATGACTGTTACGTTAGCCGCCTTTGATGTCTTCTGCTCAGATGCCTCCTTGCTTTCTCCTGCATCGTTTGCCTCGGGGGTATGAGGGACCATCAGCTCAGTGGCTGCAGGTACAGGCGACAGTTTGGCAACCCTGGTTTCCTTGGGAGAACCATCATCTGAGCTCAAGAGGATGGTAGTGGAGAGCTTCTCTGATGGTTTAGATGCACTGTTCTGGAGGTGTAGCTCAGCACTAATACAACTGCTGACATCAATTTCCTCTAAGGGAACCTGCCTTTCCTCTTGCTGCTCAGGGCAGGTCTCAGGAAGAACCTCTGAACTTTTAGCAGATGCTGCAGCCTGAGACCTTGTCACACGCTGAGGTGGAGAGACTTCTTTGGCCTCAGACCTGCTTAGTTCCAGGTTTTCTTTATTTCGGAGACGTTGAGAACATCGCGTGGAGGTTACCAGTTTGAGACTGCTATTCCTTCTTCTAGATAATCTAACAATAGAAACAGTGTGTTAGACTGGAACTGGATTCAGGAATAGACAGAAGCCCTTCCACGCACAAACAGGAAGACGCAGAAAAAGCTAAAACAGCTGGGACAAACCCCTCTAAGAGCTCAGTATACACAGAGCTGCAGAAAGAGGCTAACGTGTAAAGTGACTAACGGACATAACCACTTCGGAGCAGAAGAGATAACGAGAGGAAGAAACGCAGCGCTATAAAATGGAACCGAGGGACAAACGCAGCGCTTCCCACGAGCACCGCGGTGCCGTAACGCGCTCGGGCCGGGAGCGGAGCCTGCCCGGGGCTTCACCGCGATGGTGAAGGGGGGGCTCAAGCACACGCTGCGGGGGCGATTGTCTTCGGCAGCGGATGTTTCCAACCCCCCCGGAGCCGCCGGCGCTGAGGGTAGCCCCCCCCCCCGCCACACCTTCCGCCGACCGAGGGTGCTCCCCGGTTCCGGGCCCCGGCCCCCGCCTCACGGGCGGGCCTACCTCTTCCTGCCCGGCTCCTGGCTCTCCTCCGGCAGGCCGCAAAGGCGCTTCCTCCGCTGCCGGTTCTTCTGCGACGGCGTCTTGGGCATCAGCTCCGGCTCGTCGCTGTAGTAGCTGTGAGGGGAATGGGGGGGGGGGGGGGGCGGTCAGCGCGGGGAGCGGCCTGTAACGGCCTGGTGCGGGTGGCGGGGTGGGAGCGTCGGTACCTGTTGAACATCCTGATCGCCTCCTCCCGGATCTCCCGCAGCCATACCAGGTCGGTGTCGTCCACCTGCCGCAGGAACTCCGCCAACCGCCGGTTGCACAGCGCTGGCAGCAACGCCGGGCCCGCCATCACCGCCGCCGCCGCCATCTTCAGCCGCAACCGCCCGCCTAGAATTCAAACCTAGCGCCCGCCTCCCGCCCCGTCGACGTCACGGCCGCGTCAGCCTATCGCCGCCGCGCCGCTCCCCAGCGCGCCCTCCCCATTGGCTGCGAGGCGATACGGGAGCGCTTAAAATCGCCCTCCCCCGCCCTCTAGCCTCTGCGGCCGCGGAGAGCCCAGCGTGGAAGGCGGGACTCGGAGGGGCAGGCGGTGGGGGTTTTAGCGGTGGGAGAGTGATGGGCGTCGGCAGTGGCTAATGAGAGGCCGTGCCCTGGGGGGGCCTGCAGTGTGATTGGTGAAGGCTGAAGCTGTGTGTGTGAGGCGGTGGGTCTGGGGGCTGCGCTGCCCCAGGGGGAAGGGGGGCGTCCTTCGGACCCGAGTTTGTGGGGTTGTGCCCGCCGGGGGTGCGGCACCGAGCCCCGGCCCGCCCTCACGCCCCGCTCCGAGGCAGGGAGCGGGCCGGGGGCGTCGCCGGCGCCCCTCGAGCCTTCCCCTCTCCCTGTGTTCCAGGCGGGGGCCATGGCGGGGGCCGGCGGGCCCGTGCGGCTGCTGGAACTCTGCGGGCAGCGGCTGTCCCGCTTCCTCCGCGATGCCGAGCACAAGCGCTTGGTCTGGCTGCAGGAGGTGGAGGAGCAGGGCGTGAGGATGCTGGATAGGTAGGGGCTGCCCTCAGGGGAGGCCTCGCCATCCCCCCGGCGAGCCGGCAGGTCTGGGGGGGCGCTCCCCGCCCCCGTGGGCGCGAGGCTCGGTGCTCCGAGCTGCTGCAGGGCCCGCTCGGGTGCGAGGCGTGCTGGGCGCTGGGCCTCACAGCTGAGCAGCTGATTTCGGGTAGCTGTGTGTTCAGCAGCCCTCGGGCCAACGCTGCCAGGTGCTTTTTGCACCTTGTTCCTCACCCAGCACGCATCGGTGAGGGACCCTTGTTTTGTGGGCAGTGTTGCTTTAGGCGGCTAGGGGAAGCAAGCTGCATTTGTCTGTTCAACAGCAACTTCGGGGCTGAGCCTGAATTAATGCCCAAAACGCCATCACAGAGAAGACGTCCCAAGAAAAGGCAGTCCTCCTGCCTGAATGATGAAAATAAGGAGCCAAACAGGAGGAGGTGGGTGAGTCGGTTTGTTCTGGCTCTGCCACAGCGTTTAAGAGTGAAACAACAACTGTTTTCATGTACATGAGAACATAAAATAGCTGCTTTATTCCCTGAGTTAGCAAATGCATTTAAAAGGCCATGTTAAGATCAATCAGTGTTTTGATTCTTCTAAAAGTTGGGGATAGTCAGCTGGTTTCCTTCACTTTTTTTTTTTTTTTGTCTGATTAGAAACAAAGAATAATAAATACTCTATTTTCTTGCCTGTTTGGATTTGGGTTTTGTTTGATTTAATTTTGTTTCAGCAAGATTTTTTGGCCTGAGGTTGATAATGGTGTTCGTTCCCTAAACCTTTGTGCTGGTGCCTGAGAGATCCTGAAAATGGAGCTTGCTACCAGTGACGTTCAGAAGCGGAGTGTCCATGGTGGTTGTTTGAACTGGCAGGCGGAAAGGCTAAAAGGGATTAGCAGTGAAACTGAAGTGGAATTTCCAAATGATTTGCTTATAGCCAAGCCTAATTGAGGTTTTTAAAACTAGTCCTAAGTAGACAACAGTTGCCTGCAAACAGATGCCAAGGCAGGATGGTGTAGGGCATGATTTAATTGCATGTGTAGTCAGGGATGGCTGTGATGCTAATTAACTTCCCCGATGCCACTGCTTCATGGTAGCTGACTGTGTATCTGCTCTCATCTCATGGCCAGTGGAAAGGCAGTTAAGGTGCCCTTCAGAGCAGCATATGTTGTGAGCTGAGGGTTGGCATGCAGACAGCCACTGTAGCATGACCCAAACCTCATCACTGGGCGCACAGTAGTAAACTGTTTATGCGCTAAGGCACTTAAATTTTGATAACCATGGTGAGAAACCCACAGAATTTGGACAGGAAGAGTTAGAACTAAAAGACTGTCAGAAACCAGACATGGAGGATGGAGAGAACAGCAAGAATAGTAAGGAAGCGTGGGAAGTTCATGCGTGTGTGTGGTGAAGGAGGGCAGGAGAAGAAAATGTTGCAGCTCTAAACCGGGAGAGCTCTTAAGACATACTGTTAGTTTTCAGGTAGCAGCTGGATTGCTCCCCTGAAGAAGACAAGTCTTGCATGTATTTTTTTCTCATTTAAACTTAGTTTTGAGAAAGATCTGCTGATGCGACAAAATGCCTGGTCGTTCGTCAACAGGAAGTTCATGCTGCAGTTCAGCACGTTGTGCTCCATCCTGCAGGGTCAGGCCATTGTTGTTTTCCTTGCTCTGTTTTTCTCAGTATGTATTTTAAAACCCATTTCTTAGTGTGTTGTTAATTACACATTTCCCACTTGGTCTGGTTTTGTTAACTCTAGCAAAAAGTCCCTCTTCTTGCTAGAGGTTAGAATGAGGAATTAAGAGAACAAGTCTAGAAGGAGGGCAGAGGGTATCAACTTGAATACTGTCAGTAGGCCAAGTCACTGCTTGCTGGTGGTCATGCACCAGGCGGTGCCACACCTTGTTCTTACACCATAGTGGGTTTTCTTAGCTGTCTTTTCTCGCTGTTGCACACTTCCATGTCTGCTCTCCATTTCATCTTTGTCCCCAATCTCCACCCTTTACCTGGCTACCTCCGGGTCACTTTGGCATCAGAAGCTGCTTTCTTCTGGACAACCAAAGATGTCCTTTGGTTTTGGATTTGTTCGCCTGATCTCCTTGACTTGTCAAGTGCATGACTCCATCCTCTCATGGCAAGTTACCTAGTGCAGCAAAGAGGACTTTACTGCTCAAGTTCCCCAAGCATCTCTGTAGTTGGTGAGGTTTAACAGAAGCAATAAAGCTAGAGACAGACCTGATAATTTTTCTCGTAAAGAACAGTAATTTGAAGAATTCATGAGTCCTACAGGCATTTTTTTTGTTGCCTTCCTCAGGATTATGCTGTCAGGTACCACGTGTGTGGCAGCATTGCTGCTTCCCAGCCTGTTCGCAAACTCTAGAACCATGGATGTTTTCTCAGCACTTGGGTCCCTGCCTCCCCAGTGCTTGGGATGTGTTTTGTACTGAGCAGCACAGCCTTCTGTTTCTACCCGGGGTCTTGGAGATCTCTACAGGGTAGACTTCCACACAGAGTGACTGTGATATCTGTGATCCAAAATCGCCCCGTGCGTGGATGTCTGTACTTTGCTCGAGGCAGAGTGGGGTTGGTTGTACCAGTATGACTTCACTGTCCCCTGGTGTCAGCTCCCCCTGGGCCTGTGGGTTACGATCCACAAAGAGCAATGCGTGTCCTGTTACCTCAGCTGCTGCAGTTTGTGTCTGTACGATGCAACCTTTATTTGTGAATTCTAGCATGCCAGGCTGATAGCTCAGGTGGTGGCAGTGAGGGCAAGTGCCCTGCCTTCTTCCTGCCTATGGTATAGAGGTGTAACATCCAGCAAAAAAGAAACATCTTGCAGGCATCAGAGAGCACTAAGCAGCAATTTCTAAATTGTTCCAGCTAGATCTGCCAGAGTGCATCTGGGAGCTCTCAAGGTTCAGCTCCTGCATTTCACCAGTGAATAGACATGGGTTGTGAGGGGGAATGGTGGAGGGACAAAGCCTGCAGGTTCACTTCAAAACTTGTTGTCTGCTTTTGTCCTCTAAAAAATATTTGGGAATGGGAGACTTCTTCATCGCTTTGTTGAAAATTTTTTTTATTTAAGGTTGTCCAGAAGAAGAAGCAGCAGCAAGCCAGTGTCTTCCAAGCCAAGTTCCCAGAGGCGCCACAGCAAAGAACAATCCCAGAACCCCTGTCCTCAGGGGGAAGAGGTGTCCGTGGCCAACTGTGCAGTGAGGTCTCAGGCCAGTGTTAAAACCGAGCTCCCAGCACTGACTGGGAAACGGCCGGCAGAAGCACAAGCTCCTGTGATGCAGAAGGATTGCCAGGGCTGCCCTTGGGGTGCGGGTAGTGGCGATACCGTCGGTGAGGCTGTTATGGAGGACCAGTTGCCCAGGGGGGATGCAGCCACTGAGCTGCACGATGTGTCTTCTGTCGCTGCGAGCCCTGGCGACCAGACAGCAAGGGACGGGGAGGAGGCCCCCAAAGGAAGAGCAAGTACCTCCACTCCCAAGACTGCTAGAAATGCAGATCCTGCCGTGCTCCAAGGACACCGGTTTCCTCAAGGCTTCAAAAAAGTCTTTTTCCAGGACTCTGACAGTAAAATAACTACTGTAAAATCCAAAACACGCCGTTGCTCTGGCCGCCGAAGCTTTGTGGGTGGTCCCCACAGGAGTTCTAGGGCCTCCTTGGCAGAAAAATATTCACTAGCAGGCAAAAGAGAGAGCATGATCCGGAGGTCTATCAGCAGGGCCATTTCAAAGAAGGCAGCGGCACGAGAATCATCCTCTGCCTCCAGCAGAGTGAGCTGTAAGTTTCTTTCAGTTGCAGAGTGCATTCATTTGGCTGAATCAGCTCCTTGGCTTTGAGCTGTGGAGCTGCTCATCCGTATTAACTCTGTCTCTGACTTCTCTTGGGCTCCTTGTCGAGAGGCCTTGTGGTTTCCACCTGTGTGGGGTGCAATCTTCAGGTCCTCGTCTGCTGTTGGACCAAGTCTCAGGCCATGTTTTTCTGCAGCAGGTGAAGGAAGTGTCAGCTGGGGCATAGGCACAGGGACTGAAGGTTGGGTTACATAAGTTGTGGATGGGCAAAAAAAACAAGAGTGAAAGGGAAAATGCGGTCTGGCTGGTTCTAGTCACATGTGTGGTTTGGCCGATCAGAAGAGACTATTCCATTCCCAGGGGTGGGGCTTTAATTTGTGTGTCTTCTGCCAACTCCCTAAAAAATCTATAGGAACTGAATGTCTCCACCCCTGAAATTTGGCTGAAATTGGCAGGGGATCTTAAGTGCTTTTTGGGTGAGGGCAGAGTGGATGGACTGAGAATCAAATAGCACAGTCATTGTAGGAAACAAGATTCAGAAATCCAGGCTATTCCTGGTAGCACTAAACTCCTCATATCCTCTGTTCCCACTGCTCATGGGAAGGTTTTGCTATTTGGACTTTCTAAAATCATTTCTTGTGAAATCAGATTGGCTTCTAATAAAGCACTGAGGCCTTTGGTATTTAGTTTTGTCAGCTTTGAGTCACACTGTATCTAGGCACTTGTTATAACACTTTCAGCTAAGTGGTGGTATGGGGGGAATGAAATCAGCCTAAATCCACCAAATCGCTGCATAAAACCGTGTAGAGAGGCAGGAGCTGAAGTCAATTGACTGGGAAACGCTATCTCTGACACAGGCAAGAGCATGTTTGTGCAGCTGGAGCAGTCTGCAGGCAGAGGAGCTGCTGCTTCAGTTCTCTGCCTTCCCAGCCTACACCAGTTTGTCAGTGACACTCGAGGGAGGTGGTAGTGCTGGTGTGGAAAGCTGAGATGAGCAATCAGCGTGTTCCCTGGGACGAAAGCCTGCACAGAGACCTGAGCTCTACCACGCACACACTGCTGCTGTTGGGAAGCCTCACAATGAAATCTCCAAGCTGACTTATGTTTTTTTCCTTCAGGTCAAAGCGCCTTGGAGGTTTTTGTGGAAGATGTGACCAGCAGTGTGAGGTGAGGCTACCATGTAAAGCAGACAGGAAGAAACCACAGAAAACCCTGCACAGAAGTTATATGGGTTGCTTTTACAGTACAGACATAAGACTGGTTTTGTAACAGAGTGTTCAGGTGATGATGTCACCTGGGGCTGGTTGATATTTCAAAGTTTGTGCTGTTCAGGCACAGCCCATCATTTTCTGAAGTCCATTTCAGAGCACGGTGAGGTTCAGCACTGCACTAGGATGGGGTCCAGCCTAGGCTGTAAGGCCTGCTGAGGCTGCCAGCGGTGCCGCTGCCTGGTGTTGGCTGGCATCGTGTGAATTACATCCTGGGATTCCCACCTGTAACCAGCCTTCATCTGGCTGGTGGTGCTGGCAGGCGGTCAGCTGTGGTCTGACCCAAAAGGTGCACAGGTCAGAGTCGCTCAGCCTGAGGCTCACAGAGCTTCCTTTTTACCTACCACGTGGAAGTTCTGCAGAAGGGGACAAAGCTCATCAGTGTGGTGTCCAGTAATGCAATGGAATGGTCTGTCAGAAGAATTTACAGCTCCACTTCTGTGTGGCCTGGCAGAATCAGGCTTCTGCCTCTGGATGTACCTAGATTCACCTGCACTTTCTTTGGGGTCCCATATGCTGGCTCCATCATACTTTTATCACCTGTAACTCACCCTTTGGAGAGTTGAAATAATTAAAGTAGCTCTTCTTTTACAGACCTGGGCTGGAACAGAATCCCTCGAGTGAAAAGGTAAGTTCTAAGGAACAACCTACAAACTGTCTGGACATCTTCTTGCCTTTTGCTGGGCATTGCCACTGGGAGCAGGGAATGTGGCCAAGGATCGTTCTGTCCCGTCCCTTCAGGCTCAGCGAAGGGGCTGCCAGCCTGGACAGTGCTGCCCTTGTAGTGCTCAGGCAGCCAGTTAAGCCGGTTGGCGCTCAGGCTCCTGGTGGGCAGAGACATTTTGTGCCTTGATAAGGCCTCTTCAAGATGGAGCCTTGGAGGTGCTTGGCCAGGTTCCCAGGAGTCAGCAAGCTTTTGCCTCTCAGCGGAGCACAGTAATTGACTGTGTATTCTTAGCCCGACTGTTGCGTGGCTGGTTGGAGCTACACAAATCAGGAGGGCAGTTCACGGAAATGTGCTTTCCTTAGCCACTGAGGCTGTGCATGCAACAAGCTAGCATAAGCCTGCAGTGCTCGCAGGACAAAGAAACCTATCCCCTCCTCTGAGCTGAGGAAAACAGCTTGTGTGGTCATGTTGTGAACCAGCTGAGGTGAAAACAGCCCAGCAGAGAGGGGTGGGGTCTGCTTCAGAGCAGCTCCCTGGGGCTGCAGGGAGGCAGCAGCAGGAATGGGCTCGTGGCTCTGCTCTGGGTCTTAGCAGGGAGGGGAAAGCACGGCCTGTGTGCGTGCAGCCTCCTGGCATGCTAGGATGCTGTGCTGCAGTGACTTTTCCTGCTTGTCCTACTGTGAATATACCGTAATGGTACTTGAAACACCTAATGATCTCGTAGCCTGAAACACACTTGACAGGGACTTGTCTTTCAAGACTGGAGTATCTGTAGTTTGGAAATAGGTGTCTCCAAGGTGTATAAAAGCTGCTTGTCATTCTCAAGGCACTTTGACTTTGGAGTCCAGGTTCAGTAAAGCTCCTGCTCTGGTTGGGAAGTGCTGGGCAGCTGTCCTTCCTGCAGAGGCTGGTGTTTCATGAGCAGGCCCCTGTTACTGAAATGAGGCAGTCAGCGCCTTGTGCATCACAGCTCTAGTTGAGAGAGAAGCAGACCCTGGCCTAGCAGTTGGAGTGCAGTTGGAAGTGACTGGCTTTTTCAGGGCAGCATGTCCATGGTGGCCTTGTCCTTTGGAGCAACTGAGCTAAGAGAATGTGTGTTTCCCTTTCCTGCAGACTCCTGAAGACGTCCTCATTTCAAGCAAAAGTACACAAGCTGCCAGCCCTCCTGCACAGCACTTATCTACTCCTGAGCAGCAGGCAGGGAACAAGGAAGGTAACTTCGAGTTGGTCTTCCTTTTCTTGCACAAAGCCCCAGAGATACACAGACCAGGGTGTCAACATGAGGGTTTGTGGAAAATCTGGGAGTTGTGCTGAAACAGAACCACCTCTGACCAGTCAAGGTAGTGTTTCAGGTAAACTTTGGATCTCATGAAGAGGTGAGACATGCAATTAGATAAACAAGTACATCTTCTAAATGTGTCCAAGCATTTAGACAAACGCTGTCTTGTCTAAATTCAACCTGCATAGTGAGTGGGGATACTTTGAAATTAGATTGCTCTTAGACCTGGAATCTTCCATGTAGTGTAATGTTCTGTTAAAGTGCCTTGACAACCTTTTCCTCTGGGTTATATGAGGATTTGCAGGCCTTGTTTATTTACTGTGCCTTGAAGCAAGGAGAGGGAGAGAGTCAGGCTTTCTATTTATCCCCTGTGGGAGCTGTAGGATCTGATAAGCAGCTGTAGCTGGACTGGAGGGAAGAGTAGCCAAAGGCGTTTTGATGAGACAGGTTGTGCCTGTTCAGAAGGGTCTGTGTGGGATGTGTACTACAGCATGCTTCGTGGGGTACATGTACAACACTGATATTCCAGGTAGCCATCCAGGCTTCTGGTTTCTCAGTTTGATTACATGCCACAGGGCTCTGAGCACACGAGAGCTAGAGACCAGAACCAGGGCCTTGCAGGATGCCTTGCACGTGGTGCTAACTACAGGTTTCTTCACAGGAATCTGTGTAAATCCAAACAGTGAACCCCAGAACGTGAACCAAGAACAGCACCACTGTGCCAAGTCCCAGGAGAATCCCTCATGCAGCTGGTATGAGACATTTGCAAGGAGGAGGAATGAGCCAGTGGTCTGGAAGGACTCAGGCCTGGCCTTTTAAGTAATTTGTTTTAAAAAGCTTTGGGTGTTTGTTTCCCTACCATTCCCATCCCTCCTTCCAGTGGAGTTTTGAAATCTTCTTTGGCCAAACCTTGTCTCCTGGGAGTTCCTTGTGACTTCTTGAGCCTTGTTTGGGTCTGGGACCCAGGCCTGGCTTGGGTAGCAAACACAGGAGTTCATGCACAATCCAGCAAAGGGGACCAAGACAGTACAGTTAACTTACAGCTTAGATGTGACTGAGTGGCTCATAAAGGGGTGGTCCAGGAGTAGTTTCAGAAGGCAGTGTGAGTAGGTGACTGACCTATTTATTTTTATCATGTGCAAGCATCTGGAATACCTGACTTGTTTCCTCACTGCTTGTATTGCTGGTGTTTCACGTGAGATTTCAACTGCTTTTAGCTTTGCCCTCAGTCTCCTGTCCTGGTTTTGCTGGAGTGAATTTGCTGCGGCTGGTGGATGGGAAGGGGAGTAACAGTAATCTCTGTTCACGTGTATGCTTAGCACAGTGTGGTGGGTCGGGATCTGCAGCCTTCCTCAGGGTTGCTGCTGGATTGTGCCCTGACTGCAGTGAAGCAGCAGCACGTGACGGTCACCTAACGTGCCTCTTGCTAATGCCACCAGGACAAGAAGCTATAAACAGGCAGTGGGTGTTACACAGAATGGGCAACGGCCAGCGGGTCATGCTCTTTCCCCTTTGGATGACAAGTACAAGAATTCAGCAAACCAGACTCCACCTTCTTCCTCTCCAGCTAGGAAGGTGAGTGGGTGCCATGACCCTCTCTCCCTTTACCTGGCAGGTACTGACTTCCCTACTTCTTCCCTTAGGTTGTCAGACCACTGAAAAACTTCCTGCAAGCTGTGCAGCGAAACCAGCTGCTCGCGAGCCCGGGGCCCACAGGACGTGGGGGTGTCATAAAGAACTTCATCAAACGCAACACTTCCACCCGGCCTGATCTTAAGGTGTGTCAGAGTCCCGCCTTCCCTCGCAGCGCTGGAGGAGGGGATCGAGTCTGGGGGAGTGGCAGGAGTGACTGTTTGCTTAGGGAAGCATAAACATATTCCTAGTTCCATCTGTGACCATGGATCAGTGCAGGTCCTCGTAGCAAACTGGCCTCACAAATCTACTTCAGCCTCCCCAGGGAAGGGAAGGTGGTTGGTGTTGCTTTGAATCGCCTGTCCACACACACTATTATTGGCTGGGGGTCTTTGGCACCAATTCTTAAACCTTCCTGATATGCAGAGAAATCTCAGCTGCTCTATCTGCAGGCAGCAGAAACTTTTTTTATATTCTGGGGCTTTTGAACCATAGGAAAGTGGGAAGCTTTTCTCTTTGCAGTGGGAATCTGCCCTTGTGTCTTTCATAATTGGTGGCTGCAGGGCAGAAAGACAGGCAGTGTGGGGTCAGGCAGTGGGCGCTCTACCACATACTGGTAAGGAGCTGCAGCTAAGAACGGGGTGGGTGTGCTGTGAAGTGGGTTCTTGTGTTACTTCCAAGCCCTTAATCATTTTTATGCCTCTTCTCAACAGGGAGACTTTGTTGTAAGTAATGAGACCCTTAACGGTGGGGCTGGAAGATTACAACGGCTCTGCTTCTTGCCTCACAGGCACTGAGCTCTTCCCCCTCACGCTGGCATCCATGCAGCTCACTGTCCAAATAAGCAGGCCACGCCAGGGGTGAGGTGGCAGGATCTCTCTGCAGGTGTGTTCTGCTGGGGCTGGGAACTGCTCGGAAACCTTTTGGCCTCTAAGCAAGACTACTTGCGCTGCTCCTCCTCCCCTGTTCTCCCAGCTGCTGGAGTAGGTAACACCATCCCAGGCAAGGAGCATTTGCTACAGGTGGTTACCTACAGCAGGAGTGTGCTGCTCCTTGCCTAAACCTATTCTCTGCAGCTGAAGGACTGAGGTGTTTCCCTCCCATACCCGTGACTCTTCTGCTCTTATTAGCTGAATAAGCACTGTTGCCAAACCCGAGTTGTTTCTTCACTTCCCATCCCGGTGTGTGGGTGAATGACTTTGACAGTGGCTTCTTTGTTTAGCAGGCTGCCTAGCCTCTAGCTGCCTGTGCACAAGCAGCCTGAGGGTAGAAACAAGCCTCAGCAATTGGTACAGTCTGAACTCATCTACCTTCAGGAGAAGGAACGGCAGAGACTGGAAAGCCTCAGGAAGAAGCAAGAGGCTGAGGAACAGAGGAAAAAGAAAGTGGAGGAGGAAAAGAGACGGCGGCAGGCAGAAATGAAGCAGTGAGTTGGGCCCCTTCCCTCCTTCTCCTTCCCTGGTTCAGCACAGAATGGCCCTGGAGCCCTTTCTGGCCAGCTGGACAGCACGGCTGTACCCAGCTTTATGCCTCCCCCTCAGAAGGGGAATTTTGCAAATGATGCTGCCTGGGCACCCCGAGCCTTACTGTTTATGGCTCGTGGCAGCAAGAACTGCATTGGTGCAAAGCACCTGCTTGCTAATGTCTGAACTTAAACCAGAAGTGAGCTGGGGCTAAGCTCAGCCAAAGCAAGTCAAGCAAAATAACTGTTATTGCCAATTACCATCGTAAATCCCTGTTCCCCCATCATCCTCTGTGCTAGAGCAGACAAAGCTAACAAGTCCCTCTTGCACACACACTGCCCAGGAAGAGGGAAGAGCGTTTGAGGAAGGCACTGCAGGCTCGGGAGCGGGTGGAACAAATGGAAGAAGAGAAGAAAAAGCGGATGGAGCAGAGGATTTTACAGAATGACGAGAAGGTGAGAAGGCTGGCCAAACCTTGGACCCACTCAGTGCAGTGACATGATCTTGGTGAGCTGTGAGACCAAGGGGAGTGCAAACACGCCACTGCCGTGATACGTGCAAGCATAGGGTTGTTGCTGGTGGTGACTAATCAGGTGGTGGGTAAGTCTGCATCAGAGACACAAATTCTTTGTCTAACGAGGAGGCTTTTGTTCCCCATACCTCTGCAGTGCTTCTAAACATTCCTGTTCCAACACGCAGTGCTTATGGCGCTTTGCATTCAAGGAATGTGGCAGCATCCCTTGGCTGTCCTGCAGCCAGGCCCTGCAGATGAGACAGCCTTAGCTTACAGCGTGCTCAGTGAGCTGTTCACACAAAACACTACAGGCAGCAAAGCCACAGTGCTTGCAGGGGTTGCAAAGATGTGGTGGGAAAAAACGGCTACCAAGCATACAAGGGATGCTCATCACTAGTAGGCTTGGGTCTGTGTGTATTTATCACATTTGTGGTTTAAAGCCTTGTCTGGCCCTCTTTTGAGGACGGTTAGAAGGTGAAGGGCACATTGGGATGGGTTGGTGGTGGCTGCATGCAGACGGTGTTGCTGATTCTTTACAACAGTGCAAGTTCTGTGGGATTGAGGGAGGCTTTGTCTGACTGACCTGGAGCCCTAGCAGCCTTTGGGAGAAGGATGGTTGCTCATTTTGGGGGGGTGGACTTAAGTGACCTTTGGAAGGGGTCAGCCTTAAAAAACAAATAAATCATGCGCCTTTCAGCCTTTCCCAAAACCAGAGCAGCCAGAAGTACACCCAGCCCCAGCTAGTCTGCTGCTGCAGACATGCTAGTGCTTCTGCTGGGACTGAGAGCTCCAGTGAGGGAACCGTGTCTCTGGGGCTGAGTCAGCTTTCACGTCCCCAGTTCACGCTGTCGTCAGTCAGCAGCAGCACTGCAGGCAAAGCAGAAACCAGACACTAGAGCCCTTTGTTCTGCAGAGAATCACTTACAAGGTGGAGGCATGTATTTTGGGGTCCTGTAAAGGTCTCTGTGCTCCTTTCTCCTGTCGCTCCAAGCGACGGGTGTCTTTTGACATAGGCTGTCGTAAGTGGTGGACCTGGTGCACGAGGTTGGCGCTAAATCCAGTGCACGTGTGCTGCTTGCTGGGTGTTGGGCTCGGTCTCACTAGGACCTGGAATATCCCAGGCTTCAGCAGCAGTCCTCGTCCTCTGCTTGGATGAGGCTGAGGTGTGTCCTCGGGGGCAGTGAAGCAGACGTGTGGCTTTCCCAGGTGCGCACCTCTCAAGCGCGGGAAGAGAAAGCAGCAGAGGAATGGAGCAAGAGAAAACTGTCGAAGAAGCATGGGGAAGCTGATGCACGGAAGCAGAAAGCGCTGAGGGTGGTAAGAGCAACTCTAGGTCCCTCCTGCATGTGGAAGAGGAAGGGAGTAGCAGGGAACCCGTGCACTGTTCTGGCTGGACAGGGAGAGGTTGCTGCCGCTCCTGATGCAGGGGTTTTGGGGTCCATGCTGCAAGCTTTCTGGTTAGACAGTTGCTGCTGGGCTTGAACACAAGGGTTACCTGTGGGTCAGAAGGGAGAGACCACCCAACTGATAGGCCACTGGAGGTGAGCGTGGGATATAACTACTAGTAAGCATGGGATATAACTAGCACAGGTTGTCTCAAAGCAGTCGCTTCATATCCTCCCATCTTTCCTCACCTGAGCTGGAGGGTTACAAACATTTTCTTCTTTCTTCTTCAGGAGAAAGATGAATTTGAGCAGCAAGAACCACTGCAGAGGAGAGAGGATGAAGTGAAAGAAAAAAGAATGAAAGTCTTGGAACTGAAAAATCTTGTAGAGCAGCAACAGGTGGAAGAGGTGAAGGAGAGGTATTAGCTAGTTTCTGTCTTGGTGGAGGGGACTTGGCAACAGGCATGGTGAAGCAGCAAATATAAATAGTACTGCTGAAACTGGGAGGCTGGTGTGAGTGTCAGGCTGCCCCAAAGGTTTGGGCTGCTGAAGCAGGAGGCTATAAGAACGCTTGGGGGGGGCAGGCAGGCATGCTTTCCTCTATAACTAATTTGTAGATTTTTTTTTTTTTTTTTTTTTTCCCCCCCCAGGGATCACAAACAGCGAGGGAAAGAGAAGGCCCCCAAACCACAGCTGGAGTCAGCACTGCTTACTGAAAAAAACATAAAGGTGGGGAGTTGAAATGGTCTTAGAACAACTTCTCTGTTGTAAAACTAGTGAGACGGGGGATGCACAGCCTTATTTTAAGATCAGACTTGCTTTCCAAGTGCTGTGTTACTGTTTAAGGTTTTAACGTTGGCTGTTTTACTTAGAGGAACAAATAAAATAAAACCAATAATAAGCCAGACATCTTAGTGTAAGGATTTGGGGTTTGTGCAAGAATAAGCCAAATGTTGATAAAGTTGGGGTTGACTGTTTTCTTGTTCACAGGTGAGCCTTCTCAGCCCCATCACAAGATGGATGACAGCCATACAATGGCACTTTGAAGAATACCTCCAAATGGCATTCACTGATACTTAAATGAATATGGAAATTAGTAAGAGATTTTTTTTTTTCCTACTACATTCATTCACTGTATTTGGAGGATGTGATACCCATAACAAACTTCAGGTATCATATGGCTTCATGTAACTTCATTTGCACTTATACAAAGAATGTTACGGCTTAAAGTCAAAGCTGTTTGTCTCAAAATATCACAGTAACATTTTCCTACCACTCTCTACCCTTAACATCACTCTTTCTTCTGCCTTCTTCATTAGTAAGAAATCAAACCCCCGAATGCTATTCCCCTTAAGGATAAATTCCTCCTCCTGTATTTGCTCTTGCTGCTCTTACTCACTAGGTCCATGACATTCAAACTCCTATTTGTGCTATATAATTTTAATGAAGGACTAAATTCTTCATATGTTGCCAGCAACTGTGCTGGAGTGAGCCACAGAAAAGCTCCTTCAGATAAGAGAGAAGTTGGATGTAATTCCAAGTGCTTGTGGCTCTTGCCCTCCTGTTAGCTCTTCCCTACTGAGTAGTATGGGAGAAGAAATGCCTGGAAAAAAGTGGTTTGGGTTGAAAAGGAGCTTAAGCAGTGCAAAACCTCCCTTTGTTAGGAGGAAGGGAGCCCAAAAGAGCTGCAGCAGCTGCCTGGGCAGGAGGAGAGAGACAAGCAACCAGAATGCATTGCTGTGGCTCCTAATCCCTGGCTCAAAGTAGTAAAGGTGAGCATGGGCTCTAGAGACTTTGTTGATCTGCATCTGAGCAAAGATGGGAGTTGCTTTATCTATGAGTCTTGTAGTGTTTCTTTCTGTAGAAGACAACACAGAGGGACTGAGGATTTTTTTCAAGGCTTCCAGAAAATATGGCTCAATTCCAGAGATAGTCTGGTGGTTTTGCTTGGGTGAACATGAATGAAGAATGACTTAATTCTTGTTTCTTAACAGAAGGAAGATGGTCTGCAGGAGCCCCAGAAGTGGCTGGGAGTGGAGAAAAAAATCAAGGAAGTAGAAGCATGGACCGCTGCCTCTGGCACATGGCTGAGCAGAGCTGTAAAGGTGAGTTCTGCTTCCAGCAGAGCCCTCAAATAACATGAGTCTGTGGTGTCTAATTGGCTCCTGTGGTTTGGAGCCAGCCTGCAGATTTATTACCCATCAGTGAGGGAGCAGGAAATGAAATCCTTGAGTGTAGGCTGTTGTGGTTTAACAGGCATCTGTGCAGAGGATGGGTATGTCTGTCGTCTTGGGTGCTTGGCCGAGAGCTCAGCACCGGGGGAACCTGAAGGTAAAACGTGTTTTATCTTGGGAGAAAGATGCTGGAAATGGCCACAGGATGGCAGCACGTCATGAGGCGTCAGCTCAGCACCGCAGCCACCCTGAATCTGGCCCGCTGGTCTCCAGAGCCTCTGAGTTGGAGCTGCTTAAACCTGGTAACTGGAGGGGTGGAGGAAAAAGCTGCTCAATCAGACTTGAGCAGTGCCTCTGCCAGTAAACTCTCTTGTCCTGGGGCTGACTGGCTCCTCTTCTTCCTGCTCGACTTCTCCATGCAGTGACTCATGTCAGAGCTCTAAAGAATGAAAACCGGACTTGCTGTGAAACATGTGGAAAGGTTTGAGTGGTAGCACCCTGTGTGCAAAAGCCAAGTATTTAGACATACACGCTATGTTCTTCTAAGGATTTTCTACAAAAAACAGGAGGGGCAAAGGTTTAGAAGTAGTTATCAAGCTGCTGAGCACAGTGACAGGTTTTGTACTTGTGCTGATGTGTGTATATTTCTGCATTCCCTTAATGCAAAGTCCTGCAGAACTCAGGTTGCCTTCCTGGTTTGCTCTCCAGTCAGCACCTTTAGGCACTCCTGTGCTGCACACGACTGTCAGGCCTTCTGGTGATCCCAGCTCCGCAGCACAAAGCCCTGGGGTGGAGGGGGGGGGGGATCTCCAGGCTCTGTTTTGCGCTGTTCTGGCCCGCAGCTTCGATGTGAAGCAGAGCCCTGGCTTCCTCCTGGCTGCGGACTGGCTGGCACTGCCTGGCAGCTTGGAAGCTGCAGGGTAGGCAAGCAGCTGTTTGAGCTCTGCGGTTTGCAGTCCCTGCTGCAGCTCGGCCTTTCGGTGGGCCGTGGTTTCAAAGCAAAGCTCAGTAATAAAATAAAAAGCTGTAAGGGCTTTACCAAAAATCTCAACCCAAGTTACTTGTCAAGCAGAAATATTACAGGTGTTCCAGCTAACGTGTAGGTGAAAGGCTTCCTGTACACAGGCAGTTGACCTGTTTTTTGAACTAGGGATGCAAATGAGTGTGAATAGTGCATCTGCTCTAGGAAGTCTGCTGTCAGCTCTTACTTCTGGTTACCCCTCAGTACAGTGAAGTTCCTTGCCCAGAATGTGGCCTCGGGAGCTCACCTCTTCGCTCGTGGCTTGTGCTCAGTGTGAGGGTACTGCCTAAATACCTCTGCAGCATCTGGCTGTGGGATCCAAGCTGGGACTTCAGCACAGTCTGTTTGTCTTGCTGGTGCCAGAGCTTTGGGGTGCCTGCGAGGGCTCAGGCTGCATGGCTCTGGTAATCAGACTGTGCCTGCAGCTCCTGCTGTCTCGGTGGTTTCAGAAATCTATCCCCACACCCTACCTGCGGCTCCCGAAGGGCACAAAGCAATCCAGATCCCCAGAGGTAGACAAAAATAACTACGGGATGGATCTGAACAGCGATGACTCCACAGATGATGAGAATGACCCTCGGAAGCCTGTCCCTGCCTGGGCTGATGGTAGGTGCCGTTTGGTTCGGTTTCCTTTTAATTCCCTCCCTGGGAAGCTGGAGCTTTCCAGATTCACTTGGTGCAATCTCAGCTTCCCCAAAGCACCGTCCAGGAGCGTGTGAGGCTCGAGCAGTGCTGGCAGCTGCTGGTGCTGAGCGGCCGGGGGTGCTGGAGCTGCTTTACTCTTGTGCTGAAGTTAAAGTCCATGCATGTGTTTGGATCCCGGGGTGCCACGAGGCAGCCCGTCTTCCTGGAGTGACTTAAGCGCTGCTGGCAACCTGAGGATGAGTGTGGGGCTCAAAGCTTTGCAATGAGCAGGAAACGTGTAATACTGTACAGGTAATTTTGGGTGTGGAAGAGTCCCCTAGAGCCTGCAGGACAGTTAAAGGGCACCTTAAGCAAAGCACTGAAAGCTTATTTATAAGACTGCTTCTCTGATGGTTGTTTCCATAGGAGCTCAGCTTAATGAAGCCATTTTACACCAATACTATCACCCAGTAAATGTTGACCAAGTCTTTGGGCTAATTCCAAGCCCTAAGCTGGAGGATATTTTTGGCAAGAGCAAACCTCGATATTTCAAGCGCACAAGCTCTGCAGTTTGGCATTCCCCCCCTGGGACCAAATCTACCTGTGGCCCATCTTGCAGCTTCAAAAACTGAGAAAGTGCGAAGAAATGTGTTTTACAGCAATGTGGTGAATCAGTTTCTGTTTTCTTAGCATGCAGTGTATTTACAATTTTAAGCTTGCTTTTTTTCTACAAAAACGAAAATATTTAATAAAATCCTGTTGCAATAAACACTCTATCAGTGTTTGTCTCTGCTTCCCCCACCGTGGTGGGATGGTGCTTCTGGATGGCTGATTTGAGATCGATGGCTGTGGTTTCTGCAAGTGAAAATGCAGATGTTTGAAGACATGATATTGCACCATTACATACTCCCTCAGACTGCTTGCAGAATCTTGCCCAAGAAAGCTATGAAATTGCTGCAGGGAAGATGAAATGTTTAAGTCAACCTGAGGGGGTAATGTTGTCATAACCCATTCTGTACTATATGTATTTAACAATGCCTCTATCTGCAAGTAGTTTTCCTTCAAGAATTCTTGTGACCTCTTGTTACTCTGAGCCAGAACCTTTTTCCTGCCGCTAGAAAAATCTGCTTGTACAGTTTAAGCAACGTCTAAATGTCTTGTCACTGTTCTCTTCTAAGGGAAAAACGAAGCCCAGGCGCAGTGCTTGGTCCTTTTTTCTAGGAGACTTCGGTGTACAGTCTTGAAGAGGAGGCACGTTTATTTGGTGGTTGTGGCTTGGGGAAGGGTAAGTGGGGAAATTATTTCCTTAGGGCTCTTGGTATCCCTGGCTGAGCCCTCCCTGGGCCCTGCACACCCCGGGGCTGGGGGCTGCGTGGGGCAGCTGTGGAGGGGGCTGTGGATGGAGCCGGGGGCTGCGTGGGGCAGCTCGCACCCCGGCCGGTGCAGGAGCGATTAGGCTGGGCCCTGCTGACAGCGACCTTGAGGAGGATGTTCAGATGAAGAGGGGAAGTCCCCGAGTCACAGCCCAGTCCCACACTCGCCGTAACAACCTTTCCTTCCACTTTCTGCAGCCCTCTCGGGCCGCGCTGTCTAGCACAGCTGTGAGCACAGCGGAGCTCAGTCCCACCGGAGGACCCCCGCTCCGGGATCCCTGGTGCAGGTCTGGGGCTATTTACTTCCTCTGTGTGCTCAGGGCTGTGACCTGCCTCGAGGAGGGTCCCTGTCCCCAGCACTGGGCTGGTGCCACAAGGTCTCCTTCCCCCTGACCTTCAGGGGCAGGCTGCCGAGAGCCAGTGCAGAAACGTGGCCGTGGACCTGGCCAGGCCTGCTTACCTCTGTTCAGAGGAGGTTTCAAGCTGGTCGGAGTGGTTTTGCGGAGTTTGATGGGCTTGGAGGGGTTTGAGTAGTTTAGAAGAGCTTGCAAGTATCTCAGTGGAAGAGTCTTGCAGGCAGTTAGAGTTTTTGATGCCTCTCCTGCGCTCTGCAGAGCCGGTGACAGCAGCTGAGATGAGCTTTGCAGAGGCACGGAGCAGCTCGGAGGGCGTGAGCAGAGCTCTACAGCAGTAAGAGGCTGTTGAAAGCTGCTCGCCAGCAGCTCCATCCTAGCTGCAGGATTGCCTCCCAACTCCTGGGTTCCCCCAGTTGGAGACTTTTCTCTTCATCTTGGGTTCCCTTGTCATCCCACTGGATGACAGAGGGGCTCTCGGTGACTCTTGCTCTTCTGGCTGGTCTCCCTTGGGTCCCCCTGAGCTCTCTGGGGTTATCTCAGTGTCTTTTGGGCTGTCTGGGGTCCTTCCAGGATTTCAGTGTCCCTCAGGTCTTGCAGCCTCTCAGTAGTGTCACCCAAAGGAATAACTCATAAGACACATTGGACTTAGTTTTTACTGGAAGAGGCTGAGCCTGCTGGAGGGGGAGACACGCTCAGACTCCTGTGACCTCAGCTGTGCCCTGGGGGGGTGCTCCTGCCACCTCCTCATTGATGCACTAAGTGTTGGGGGCACTGACAGTGCTGTCCCCAAAGGGGTGAGCTGGCCCCACAGGTCGGGTGGTCACCTTGGTGCGTTCCCACCTCCCTCCTGTTCCCCACCACGTCCAGCCCAGCTGCACGCCACTCCTTCCTCTCGCCCAGGGTGCTGCAGAGCTGATTTTAGACTATGCGGCAACACCTTCACTCTGACTTTCTTGGAATTGCTGAGGGTTTTTTGGGGCCTTTGGCCCTCTGGGGTAGTCCTGTGCTTTCCTGGGTGCTCTGGGCTCCCTGGGTTCAGCTCTTGGGTGCTCTCTTGGATTTGGCTGGGCTTTCCTGATCTCTCTGGACCCCTCTTAGCATCACTTGAGCTCCCCTGGGATCTCCCTAGAGGTTTTTTCCCCCCAGTTTCTCTGAGCAGGTTTGGACTCTCTTGACATCTCTCACCAGTGACTTTCTCGGGTGCTTTCAGGGTGGCTATGTCACCTCTGAGTTTCCTTAATCCCCGTGGACTGTCTGGGGTGCTCCTGTGTTGCCTCTTTCCCCGGGCTCTCTTGGGCTATTTCAGGCTCTCCTGAGCACGGACTCTGGCTGCTCGCTGCCAGCTGGCTTCCGTCCCTCACCATGATCCTCAAATTACCTTGTTGGACATCTCCAGGGAGGCAATGCTTTCCGGGAGCTGGCTGGCCGTGCCTGGCTGCAGGAGGCCCGAGTCTTGCTGGCCGGAGGGAGCAGGAGCCGTCAGTCAGCGCCGTGCTCGGGGAGGAGGGAGCAGGTTTTGTTTCAGCCCCGCGCTGGCGCCAGCAGCACCCATCAAACCACAGCCTTGGTGTTCCGGCGAGGAGCCGGAAGCTCGCAGGAGGGCCCCTGCCCCAAACCACAGCGTTTCTGGTTTGGGGCGGGCAATCAGCAGAAACCGTGAAGCAATTTCGGAGAAGGTGAAATCGGCTGGTCCAAGGCGCTGCCAGGCTGCGAAGGGACCGGGACGGTCTGGTCCCCTGTGCACCCCCCACCTTGGGCATGGGGCCGGGGCTCGGCGCTGCCCCCTCTGTATTCCCGGTGCCCAGGGGGGGCTGCTGGTCCTGCTGCTTGCAGGGCTGTGACGGGGGCTGAGCCAAGACCAGGTTGGGAGACAGAGAGAGGTCCCTGGTGTCACCTCGGCAGCCGTGGGGATTGGGGAGCTCAGGATTGGGTCATGGGGGAGGAGAAGCAGCACTGTTCTTACCTGGGGTGAGAGCTGTGCTGGTCCCCCGAGTGACTGGGAAGTTAAACAGATTTGTGCTGTGCTAACCCCACTCTGCTCACCTGTGTGGTGGTGCTCCTAGTAGTGGGAGCGGGGGCCTGGGGAGGGCCCTGGGGTATCGCTGCTAACAGGAGCGAAGGGAAAGGTCGGGGCATGGAGAGATTTCTGGGAAGGGATCTTTATTTAACATGGGTATAGTGCAAACATTCTTCACATTAGGTGGCCGAAAAGGAGAGGGAGGAGACCTTCTTGGTAACTACACGGTCAGATAGAAATACAGAGACCCTCATCAATACACAAATCACAGTGAATAAAAACCTCTGCAGCCAAGGTGTGTTTTGGGCACTGCTGGCACCAGGGGGTAAACACTGAAGTTTCAGACTCATCCGTTGCCTCAACCCGATTTCCTACGGCCTCAGCTCTGGCCCTTCCCACCCCACCAGAACCTCAGAGGAGGTGCTGTCTGGACCTGTAACACACAAAACCCATCTCAGCTCCAGAGGACCTGCCAGAGCCTGGCCATGCCTGTCGGAAGGTGCTTTCAGCACTAAAAGCACCTCTCATAAATAGAGGAAACATCTCCCAGACCCCCCATGTCCTCTTAACTCATGTGCAAGTTCCGTCCGCGAGCTACCAGGCCAGAGCCCCTTGCTCAGGCGTATCCTGCTTGTCAAATGTATTCTACATTCAGGTTGGGTTTTACTTCCTTGAGAGCATGCAGCTTCTGTAATGTCTCCCCCGTTAATCCAGCTTTCTTCAGCCTTCAAAGAGGAGAAGAAAAGAGGTTAAATCCACCCGAGTTACTGACTGTTGGCCATGACATCGCACAGCCCAAAAAAAAGGACAAAAAGCAGCCAGGGTGGTTTTGTGGTGTGGTTTTTTGTTTTTTTGTTTTTTGTTTTTTTTCCTGGTGTTGTCTGTCCCCTGTCCTAGCTGGCTTTTTCCATTCCAGCGAGCAGAGAGCGCGGGGGCAGCGGAGGCTAGCGCTGGTCCATGGAGCCCTTTCGGGTGGGCAACCACAGCTCCAACGGGGCACGGGGCAGGGTCCTGCCCTGGCAGCCAGAGTTGGGCTCCACGGTCCCAGCGGTCACTCGGCTGGGCCAAGGCAGCCCCTCGACCGCCGCGGGCAAGGGGTTGGCACCCGCAGGGCCAGCCACGGGGCGAGAAAGGTGCCGGCACACGGCGCGACCCGCTCTGCTGCCTGCTTTGGGGCTGATGAAACACATCCCCCCACCCCAGGTTGTGCGTTGTCCCGAGACGTTACCGACCGCTTTGGGAAGGCAGCAGGGCTCATCACCCTAATTGCAGCAGGGAGCAGCTGGCAGGAGGCAGAACCAGCTCTGGCTGCCCTGCGGTGCTCACCATCCCGCGAAAAGGGCGCCTGGAGCAGCCGTAGCTGCGCAGAAAACCCTCCCCTGCTCTGTAAGGCAGGCTGGGAGCCGCGGCGGCGGGGCTCACGACGTGCTCGGTCTGTCCCAGTCCCCGTGGCCCGAGGAGCGCTGCAGCCGGGGCGATGCGCGGGAGAGCCCCGAGTCCCTTACCACAGCGTCCTCAGGGCGCAGGAGGGCTGCCCGAGCGCCTCGCACAGCAGCCGCGCGCTGCCGTCCCCCAGGCTGTTCTCGCTCACGTCCAGATGCTCCAAGCTCCGGCTGGTGCCGAGCACGGCGCAGAGGTCCTTGCAGCAGCCGCCGGTGAGTCGGCACTGCCACAGGCTGCCAGGGAGGCGTTGGGGAAAGGAGATGTTTGGACATTTCATGCACGGTCCTTCACAGCCAGAAACCTTCCTTGTGCTGCCTACCCACCCACCCCACGTCCTCTGGATGCCTGGAAATAGTTCCCAGGGGGGAGCTTGCTCCAAAGCCTTGCTCCAGGCCTCTTGTGAGGTCTCTGACACTGGATATAATCTTCCCGGGATGGGGAACATCCCTTCAGATGGGCATGGGCAGAGCTGAGCCTCCTCTTGACTGAGGTACCCCTTGATGATCTCTCACAACCACAACATCTAATTGGGGTGGTCGTTACGGAGCAAACGCCTACATACGTGCACCTGAAATGTGCTGGTGGATGGAATACTGCAGCTGGAGCAGCGAGCATACTGCTGCTTCCCCTCAGAGCGCTTTAAATCCTAGCTACCTCATCCGGGTGATAATAAATAATCTCATCTAGCTAAGAAATAAATAATTCTATATTTTTAAGCTGTTAGCACCCTGCCTATCGAGGCTCTTGGCACCCACCCGAAGATATCCGAACTGCCCTGGGGAGGGATGGTGACCAGCCATAGGGGAGTGTGTGTGAGAGGCAGATGGTCCCTGCAGAGAGCATCCTCCCGCCCGGGGACCCCCGGGGAGCCCCTCACCTCAGCGTCCGCAGCCGGCAGGCAGGATCCCGCAGCCCCTCGCTCAGCCGCCGCACGCCCCCGTCCCCCAGCTCGTTGTCCCCCAGGTGCAGCTCCGTCAGGCTGGGGCTGGCGGGGAGCACCGCGGCGAGAGCCCCGCAGCTCTCCTCCGTCAGCCGGCACTGCCACAGCCTGCACGGGGGGGACAGGCAGAGGAGAGGGGCATCGTCCCTGCCCACGGCCCCCTCCACGCCGACTGCGCCTTCGCCCCCGGGGCCGATGGGGAGGAGGACAGCTCAGCGGAGAGAAACTGCCGCCGCTCCCAAGGTACCTCACTTTTGTATTTCCTCCCAAATCTTGTAGGTTTCTCCTCTTTGACTCCTGTAGTTACAGGTGTGGGCAGCTCCCACAGCCCCCTGAAGGCACTGGCTAGTGGCGAGGGGTTTCTCAGGTCCCTCAGGACCCAGCAGCTGCCACCTGCCCCAGCAGAGCCCCATCTCCCACCCAGGGGCACCACAGCCCCCCACCCTTGGCCCAGCATCACCGCTAGAGCTCGGGAGCTTAAAACCACTGCCAGACTGAAGGGCTGCCTCACCCCTCTCCCTCCCCTCTGGCTCCAACACTGTTCCAAGCAAGGGTGCTGTTCACCACCCCCAGCGAGCTACCCTGCCTCCAGTGCCTCCACCAGCCAAGCCCAGACCCCTTTTCCAGGGGGGCTGTGCAGGTGGGGGGATGTTGCCTGAGCCCTGGGAGATGCTGCTGACCCTAGTTCTACCACTCTCGCCGCAGCCTGTTCTCCCACCTGGCTCTCTGCTACCTGTGTGCGTACCGTGGCTGAGATGGGGCTCGTTTGCAGCTCCAGAGGAAAAGTGGGCAAAAAGCACAAGTTTAAAAGCAGGTGGGAGAACCAGAGCTGTCACAGTGGCGGTGGCCCTGGTGAAAGACGGCACGTCGCCTTTGCCCTGCGGGTCTTAGGAGGGCATCCAGCGCGGTGCTGCGTACCCAGGAGCACGTTACGTCCTCTGAGAGCTAAGCAGTAACTGCTCTCTGCTTTTGCCTTGCAGACATCCCTCGTGCAGAGGCTCTCGGTGTCCCCCCCGCAGCGATGCCCCGGGGAGCCCCTCACCTCAGCGTCCGCAGCCGGCAGGCAGGATCCCGCAGCCCCTCGCTCAGCCGCCGCACGCCCCCGTCCCCCAGCTCGTTGTCCCCCAGGTGCAGCTCCGTCAGGCTGGGGCTGGCGGGGAGCACCGCGGCGAGAGCCCCGCAGCTCTCCTCCGTCAGCCGGCACTGCCACAGCCTGCGCGGGGGGACAGTGCCGCGGCTGAGCTGGGACAGCGCCATGGCCAAGCCAGGCTCAAGCCAGGCTCAATCCAGGCTCAAGCCCACCACCACCCCACCCCCCCGGCAGCCACTGCTCTCTGAAAATCACCCGCTGCTTTTTGAGCGCAGGGATGTGGTCAGGCTGGTTAATTAGCTCAGCTCTGGCTGGGGGGGGGGGGGGGGGGGAGCGACACGGCACAGCTGGGGCAGAGCAGCATCCTGCACTGCAATCCACCTGGCCGGCGCCTGCGGGGAGCAAAGCCAGCCCGACGCCCCGTACCAGAGCTTTTGCACGCTGCCGCCGGGCTCCGTGAGCGCCTCGCACACCTCCCGCACGCCGTCGTCCCCCAAGGGGTTGTCACTCAGGTCCAGCTCGGCCAGGCTGGGCACGGTGCTCAGCAGGGCGGCGAGGTCCTTGCAGCCGGCGGCCGTGATGTTGCAGCAGCCCAACCTGTGGAAGAGACAGCGGTGAGGCTGCCCGCTCGCCGGGGCTTCGGCCCCGCTTTCCATCACCCTGGGCCAGAGGAGACCTGGCCAGTGTCCCCTGCCTGAGCCCGGACACGGAGGTGGCTCTGCAGCGGGACACTGTTAGAAAAGAGAGGGCATCCCCTCTCCCCATCCCGGTGCACATGTATCTGGTGTTCACTGGTGTTTGCTGCTGAGTTTCCTTGTTCGGTATCCCCAGGTGCCGTGATGCTGAGAGCGGCTCAAATGTGCTCCAGAGTGCCAACCACAACCCAAACCTGCAAAATCTAAGGGACAAAATGACGAAGCGCAGCCGGGAGAGGTTACCCAGCAGCTGCGCTGGAGCGTGGGAATGCAGAGGTAAGGCAACCAGACAGTGTCCACTCAGCCAGGGAGTAAAGGTCTGGGGGCAAACGATTAATATTGCTTGAATGAGTGAGATTAGCCTGCCTCACTTTTGAAGCTTCAGAGAGATTCCCTCCTTCAAATCTCGTCGTCCAGGCTGAACATGGGGAAAATGGGAGAAATGAAAATACCCCAAAAAACAATGGAGGGGAAAATGCAGACACCACCAAGGGACAGTTCATCCCCTTCCCAGAAATGGTCCGTGAGTTGAATCCACTTTTGCAATTCTGTGTTTCTACACGGTGTGTGGCCAGCCCTGCCCCTGCCCGGGCACAGGGGCCCCAAAACACCCGCAGCTGCAGGGCAAGAGCCCAGGGGAAGGTGCCTGGAGTTCACAGAGACACTCACAGGCATGGAAACAGCGGGGTTTCCGGGGACAATAGCACAGACTCCTCCTCTAACTTCTCCATCTGTCTTCGGCACTGAAAATGAGTTTTCTCTCTTACTTTCCTACAGTGTCCTAGCAGAGATTCATTCATTTAAAAATGTGGAACTAAATTATAATGATGGAAAAGGCAATAATGCTTGTCACCCCTGTGACAAGTAGGTCTGCGATACCTCAAGCTGTCTTCGGCAACAGCAGCACCAGGAGATGGGCCTTTCTCATTTCTTTTTCTGTTTCCCTCCCTCTCCCAGGCTCCCAAGAAGAGACAAATGGTCCTGCCGCGTCCCAGCGCTGGCGATGTCCCTTACCGCAGTGTCTGCAGCTGACAGGAGCCGCATCTCAGCCCCTGGCACAGCAGCTTCACGCCACCGTCCCGCAGGTCCTCGTTCCCGGCCAGGTCCAGCTCCGTCAGGGTGGGGTTTACGCTGAGAACGGGGGCCAGAGCCCGGCAGCAAGCGCCTGTGAGCTGACACCGGTCAAACCTGCAAGAGAGATGCGGAGAGGAGCCCTGAGGCTTGGAAGAGCTGCCCGGCTGCGTGGACACACCAGCCAAGCCCTCGCTGACACAGCCACTGCTGCTGATGGCCACAAACCAGGTTGGTTTTCACAGGTGGCCTCCCGAGAGCCAGAGAGCCCATCCTGCCATGCAGCAAGCCGTGGCAGCACAGGGTCATCCTCCCCGTGCAGCGAGGAGATCCGGCCAGGCTGGCCGGGGTTCGCTTGTTTTCCCGTTTCGCCCAGCAGAGAGAAGCGATGTACCTTAACGTCTTTAATTTACAGCCCGATTGGTCCAAGGCTTGGCAAAGCAGGTGGATGGGTGACTGCTTCCCCTCCTCTTGCTGTTTGTCCCTGGAAACAAAGAGATGCATCTTATTCCTATTCCTATTCCTATTCCTGTTCCTGTTCCTATTCCTATTCCTATTCCTAGTCTATTCCTTAGTCTATTGCTATCCTAGTCTATTCCTATTCCTATTCCTGTTCCTATTCCTATTCCTATTCCTATTCCTATTCCTATTCCTATTCCTATTCCTATTCCTATTCCTGTTCCTGTTCCTATTCCTACTCCTAGTCTATTCCTTAGTCTATTGCCATCCTAGTCTATTCCTATTCCTATTCCTATTCCTATTCCTATTCCTATTCCTATTCCTATTCCTATTCCTATTCCTATTCCTATTCTTGTTCCTGTTCCTGTTCCTGTTCCTATTCCTATTCCTATTCCTATTCCTATTCCTATTCCTATTCCTATTCCTGTTCCTATTCCTAGTCTATTCCTATCCTAGTCTACTCCTATCCTATCGCTACTCCTATCCCTACTCCTATCCTATCTTATTCTAACTCTAGTCTAGCTGAGTCTATGTGTCTCTGCTATCCTATTCCCATTCCTATCCCGACTCCCCTGTTGCTCCTTGGCTGCCGGCCATGTCCCTGGCTCACACCGGTGTCCCCTTGCCGACGTGCCCAGCGTGGCGGGAGGACCAGCCTTGCCACGGGCCCCTCCGCAGAGTCATCGCAGCTCGCTGGGCTCTACGGGATTTGCCACTTTGCGGCTCGGGACCTTACGCACCAGTACGGCTGCTTGGCCGGCCGCGGGCCCACACAGTCCTCGGGGTCATCCCGCAGAAAGGAGCAGTTCCCCAGGTCAAGAGACTCCAGGTTGGGGAAGTTTTTTACGCTGAAGGAAAGGACCATCTGATCGAAGCGGTTAAGGTTGAGCCCACGTAGGTAGACCCCTGTGAACGGGTCCAAGGCGGTCACCACAAAATGCTCGTCCTGGAGCTCGTACAGGCAGTGGCAAACCTCCAGCTCACGGATCACGGCCGTCTCCTCCATCAGAAGAGCTAGGGCCGTTTTCTGGCTGTTTTGAAGCCATGCCAGTAATTCCTGCGTAATCCTGGGTGCAATTTTACACCCCATCTTCTCCTCCAGCTCCCTCCTGCGTTCCTTGTTTAAGAGCCCGAAGAGGAACCGCACAGTGAGCATGAAGTAATTCCTAGAGTTGCCGTAGCTCTCCAGCAGTTCCTTCACATCCCTGCTGGGACTGGCAGGGAGTTCCTGTGCCTCCCCTTCATCTTCCAGCAGGTAGAAGAGCGCGGCAAAAAATTCCTGGAAGCTGAGGTGGATGAAGCTGTAGGTGCTGACGCAAGAGATGTCCTTCTGGAAGAGGTTCTCGTTGAGGAGGAGCGGGAGGGCTCGTTGGTCCAGCGCGTACCCATGCACCTCCTCCTCCTCAAAGAGGACCTTCTGCTTCCAGATGCCGTTGGCTGCCAGGCAGCAGAGCCTCCTGAGCACCCTGGGCATGCCCTGCTTCACCTGGCCGTTCAGGGACTGGAGCAGGGCAGAAAGGTAAAGGATGTAGATCCCCGTCGTCGTCTTCGGGCTTCGGGTGAGACCTTCAGCACGGCCGAGCTGCTGCTTCATGACGGTGCAGACGATCCAGCACACGATGGGCACCAGGCACATGGTGAAGAGCGTCTCATTCCCTCTGATGAACTGGAAGGCTGCAGCCGCCTGCTCCGTGTTTTCAAAAAATCTGTGGAAATAATCCTTCCTCTCCGCCTCCGAAAACCCCAGGATCTCAGCGTAGCGCTCGCAGTCCAGGCAGTTGCCCAGTTTCTGCAGGGCGGCCGGCCGCGTGGTGACGAGGAGGGAGCTCTCGGGCAGGAGCCTCCTGCGGAAGAGGCTGCTCAGGGTGATTTCCACGGGCTGCTGCTCCCAGGGCTGGGAGCACAGCTCAGACTCGGGCCGGTCAAAGGAAAAGCGGAGCTCATCGAAGCCGTCGATGACAAACAGGAGCTTCTCTGGCTGCCCCAGCACGTCGGCGAGCGGCGGAGAGCTGCCGGGACAGCACTGGGCGATGAGGTCGGCCATGCTGGCCTGGCGGGTGAGGAGGTTCCGCTCCCGGCAGTGGATGTAGAAGACGTAGTCGAACGCCACAAACACCTTCTCGGACGCCCAGTCCACCATGATCTTCCTGGCCGTCATCGTCTTGCCCACGCCCGCAGCGCCCAGGAGCACGACCACCTTGGGGGTCCAGCCGTCCGGGCAGGGGTTGAAGAGGTCACCGACGGCGATGGAGGAGTTGGCTTGCTCCTTCATGATCTCCGCGTGCCTCCGCCCCATGGCCATGATCTCGTGCTCCCGTTGCTCCTCGTCGCGGTGCTTGTTGACAATCACCAGCTTCGAGTACCTGGCGTTCAGGCTCACGCCATCGCCCACCCGGGCGTTTTGGTCTTTCATGCGGCTGTACGCCTGGAGGACGGCTTTTTTGTAATCCCTCCGGTAATCTGGAAGGGTGGGAGGCCACCTCACGCGTCTGCGGACGGCGGGGTGAGCGGTGGCAGAGCCCCCTGCGCTTCTCCCTGCCCGCGCCTACCTGGTGACAACGGACCCAGCAGAGGAGCAGACCGCAGGGCTGGAAGAGAAAGGGGTGTTAGTGGGCAGCATCCCTGAGCCTCCGACACCCCCAAATCCTCTTCCATCTCCTCGTCCCTGGAGGAGCCCCCCGCACCCTGCCACGGGGACCCCCAACCCACCACTTTTCCCATAGCATCCTCCTGGCCCCGCACGCGGGCTCTTGCAGACACAACCCCCGGGACACGGTGCCCGGGACCCTGCGGGATGCCGCACTCGCCAGGGAGCCGCTCGGCCTCCCCACCTTTCTCTCTGCTTTCCCGGAGCAGCGCGGCGGTGTTGCGGAGCTGGATGTGCTCAAAGACGGCGATCGCCACGTCCAGGACAGCCTCCTTGCCGTAGAAATCCAGCATGAGGTTCTTCGTATCTATCCAGTCGGCTTTTTCCAGCCGCCCCCAGGGAATGCAGCTCACGCCTTGCAGGTTTCCACGCGCCAGCGCGTCCCGAAATCTTTTAAAATCTGACTCGGAGAGGTCTTCCAGGGCCCGGAGCAGCAGGTCCCCAGCGGTGCTCTGCGGGCTGCTGCTGCTTGGGGCGCAGATCCTGCTGTCATGCACCTCCATGGGGGACCCCCAAGACCCGGCTAACGCACGGTCCCGTGCCTGTGATGGGGGGGGACGAGGTTTGGGGAAAACATCCTGTAAGGACCCGTTGCGGCCCCGCTGCCCGGCCCCATCCCAGCCGTGCTGCCTCTGCCCCAAGGGAGCTGTGCCCCCCGCTGCCCCCCACCTCATCCTCCCTGCCCGGGGGGGGGGGGGGGGGGCAGGGCAAGGCTGTGGGGCTGGCTGCCCCCAACCAGGCACCACAGTCCTGCCTGCTGTGCCCCCGCCTGCTCCCTACCCAAACCATCCCCACCAGCATGAGCACGAGGGGCAGCGGTCCCGGGGCTTCCCACCAAAGCCTTGCTAGACCCACGTCCTGCCACGTGAGCGATGTCCCTCCTGGGAGAGCTGCAGGTCACCAGGAGAAAAATGTCCCCACCAAGAGAGCCACACCCTCTGGGAAAGCAGTGTTCCCATCAGCAGAGCGGTGTCCCCGCCAGGAAAGCAGTGGACCTACCAGGAGATCGGTGTCCTCACCAGGAGAGCCACCTCCCCACGAGGACATCCATGTCCCCACCAGAGGAACCCACGTCCCACGAGGGTCGCAGCCGGGCAGCTGGCCCCGCTGCGGAGCAAAACTGCTTCAGCCTGCGTGGGACCCGCCGTGCAGTGCCACCGAGCCCGTCGGCTTTGCGGAGATGACTGGAAACCTTCAACGTACAAGGCAAAACTGCGGCGGTGAGCTGCATGAGCGCGCCGATTTCCTGCCTTGCTTTAAAAGCATACCGCTGTTTCCTTCCCTCTCAGGTCAAGATTCTCACACTTCGCGACCGTTTTGCACCCCATTTGTTCCCCCCCCCCTTCCTTTTCTTCTCTTTTCTTCTGGCTCCTTCCTTCTCACGCTGCAGTGGAGGGTTCTGCTGAAGGCATGGAGACCCCGGCACCCGGCTGCGGTAACTCAGCTGCTGGCACGTCTTGCTCAGCTTGGGACATGCCGGCGAGCCAAAAGAGCCGTGGCTGGGCAAGGTGGAAGGTAGATGGTGGCTTCTCCTTGAAATTCATCTTGCCAGGGAAGGGTCTGGTCGGCTGCCCCACCGCCAGCTTCATATGCTGGAGGAGGGGGCTCGGCTCTCCCCTGAGTAGGGGCTCCTGCAGTGGGAACGGGTCACATCACGGGCTTTTTGCTCAGGCAAAGAGCTTCAAGAACTCAGGCTGCCTTAGGGGTGACACACCTAAAAATCTAGTGGGATCTGCCAGAGCTGCGGCCAGGGGAAGGGGCAGGCTGAGGAGAAGTCCTGAAAGTGAAATTCAGGCTGAATCTGGGCTGCAATCCCCCCCGCCCCGGGCTGTTTGTACATGCCTGGCAATGAAATCCAGCCGTAAGCAAACAGCCGAGAGCGGCTTCATTGGCACATGGGCCGGGACAGGGTACAAAAGCCTCTCGGGCAAACGTGGCCAGCGCTGCAGGGAGGGCACGGGTGGGCGGGCGAGTGGGGGGTGAGGTGGCTGACCCCCCCCCAGGAAATAATTTTACGGTCCCGAGCGAGGCGCAGACAGGAGTACGCAGGTGCAAATAGAAAAAAAAACAAAAAACAAAAAACAACAACTCTAATACTGAAACTGCAAAAATGCCTCTGAGGCGCTTGCAGGAGGTAACAGCGTGCAGAGTGTGAAAAGAAACCAAGAGTGGGTGCTGCCCCACCTCCAGCTCCTGCCCGCCCAGCGCTGATGTTAATCGTGTTGGCTGAGAAAAACTGCAGTATCCCAGAGGGGGGGTCCCACTGCCAGGGTTTAACCCCAGCCTGCAGCCCAACCCCACGCAGCCGCTCACTCCCAACCCCTCCGTTGGAGGGGGTAAGGAGACTCATAGGTTGAGATAAAAGCAATTTAATAATTGAAATAAAATAAATTTAAAGTAATAATGGTAATAATAATAATAGAAAATACAAACAGGTAATGCATGGTGTGACTGCTCACCACCCGCTGACTGATGGCCAGCCCATTCCCAGCCAGTGATCCCAGAGAAGAGAGAATCCTGAAACCACCACCCCAAGAACATGAGTGGATCCCTCCTCGATCCACAGAGGATGACACTGTAGGATATGGAATATTCCCTTGTCCAGTTTGGGTCCGATGCTCTGGCCGTGCTCCTGCCCAGCTTCATGTGCAGCCGTGCACGGGCAGGACATGGGGAGTTGAAAAGTCCTGGATTTCTTAGGAACAACTAAAACCACCCGTATATTATCAACATTCTTCTCATACCAAATGCCACGCTGAATTCAAACAGCAGCACAATCCTAGCTGCTAAAAAGGAAGGGGATAAAAAAAAAAAAAAAAAAAAAAAAACAACAAAACAATTAGCTCTATCCCAGCTGAAATGAGGACATGTGTCCTGTGCAGCACGAGGACAAATAACACAGGAGCAAAACCAGCTCAGCCGACTGCGAAACCTTCCAAAGCTGTAACATCCCACCTTGGTGTGGACACCCCACGCTCGACTCTAAAAGCCCCTTTGGGGTTGGGATTTCTACCACCAGCTCGTGACTAGGAGTGTCAGCCAAAGGAGGAAAGTATCTTGGATGGAGAGAGACCCAAAGCAAAGTCACACCGAGCCCTGATGCCGCCGGGATCCCGGCACGCTCACGGTTCCCTGAGTTTGACCCGTCTTGCAGCGATGGTGTTCAGGCTGGGTTAGATGAGGGCAAACTCAGTAACGGCTGGGGAGCATGAGGTGGGTTGTTTTTGTTTTTTTTTTTTTATAAGGATTGGTGTGATGTGTTGAGAGTGACAGTGGGGAAACCGAAGGCCAATCTGGTGTTATTGCCGAGACACCGGTGTCACGGGGGCCGGCCCAGCGCTCGCCCTGCACCACGGCGGGACCTGGCACGGGGCTGCTCAGTGCCCCACGGCTCTGCCCGTGCCCCACGGCTCTGCCCGTGCCCCACAGCTCTGCCCGTGCCCTTCCTCTGCCCTTCCTGCCTGCCGGGGAGGCTCGGGGCTGCGGTTTGGCGGTTGCCGCTTCCCCCCGGCACCTGAAACAAAACCTCTGCATCCCACGCTGCAGCCCGACTGCCCGCCCGCCTCGCTCCTCCGGCGAAGGCCGGCGGCTGGCGAAACCCCCCGGGGCCAGGAGTGGACCCTGGACCCTGAGGTGTCCCAGCTCTCCCCCGGCTCGCCCGGGCACGGGGAGATGCTCAGCCGCCAGCCTCACCCCCTGCCCCGTTTCACGCCTGGGTGCTGGCAGCCGAGGTGGATAAAGTGACCCTTATTTTCCTTTGAGGGGCTGCCAGGGGCTGAGCTGCCTATGGACATGCCGAGGGGGCCGGGGACCCCCTGTTTGTGACCGACGGCTTCGCCCACCCGTCAAAAGAAGAGGTGTAACCACTCCTCTCCTTTCCTCCCCCTCTCCCAAACGTGCACACACACCGATTAAACGACGGGGGCTATCAGATGCTGCCCGCCCTGAAAGAGATAAAGCCCTCAATATAAAGCAGATTTATCCAGCCAGGCTCCTCGGAGCCATCCCAGGGGACCGGGGGGAGCCCGGCTGGTGGCTGCCGGCAAGTGGGGCCGAGTGGGAGAGGGGGCTGCCTTACTGCCAGCGGCCCCCCCAAAGAAGGGAGGGGGAATTAAAATTGGAAAGTGGGGCTGGAAGCAAGTTCGGAGCGACCATCCAAAAAGCCAGCACTCTCCTGCCTGCGGTTTTGCCCCATCAGTGCTGTTTCGGTGGGGCTGGGGTCTGTGGGTGGGCTGGTGGAGGGCAGCCCCGTCTCCGGGGGGGGTGGGGGGGGGGCGGTGCAGCTCCGCCGGGGATGCTCGGGTTGCCAGCCCCGCTCTACTGCGAACAAGCCGCAGTCGGGGTAATTTGCCGGTTTATTTGTTGCCAATGTAGCCCAAAACACTGGCGGGGGGTGGAAAAAAAACAGCGCAAATAGATGCTGGGGAAGAGCTCTGCAGCCAGGCTTGGGGTTTATCTCTAATTATGTGTCTGCCTGAGCTGCAGCTGGCTCCTGGGATGTCTGGGCGTATTTGGCTCCCGGAGTTTCCCTTGAAGCCTGCTGGGAGCCCGGGCTACCAGCAGCGCCAATTAATAGCCACCACGGGGAGAGGCAGCCGCCACAACGAGGAGCAGCCGTCCCATGGGATGTGGGGAGCAAACAGCCCCCGGGCGATGCCGCAGAAACACCGGGATGGGGCCGGAGGTTTCAGCTGGGGGAAGGAGCAACTCCAGGAAAACAGCAGGCGAAAATTAGAACAAGGGAACCCCCCCCACCCCGACTGCGGGCAGGCTGGGTTTTGAAAGTGCCTCCTTTCTGAAAAATGCCACAGCCGTGGTGTTGCAACATTTTCAGAGCAAAACATGGGCACCCTTTTGATCTGAAACGGCCACTTTCATGGTAAAAAGCCGGCCGCAGGGATGACAGCAGCTTGCTAAAACCCGCTCCATCCCCTCTGCATCCAAAAGGAGAAGGGAAACAGAATTTTTCGGCTCACACGGAGCAAAACAATCAGTGTCAACCTGAGGCATTTTCCAGGTCCACGAGCAGGGGAAAAAAAAAAAAAAAAAAAAACAACACATTTCTGCTTTTAGCAGGCTGGAGGGGGTTTTGTGTGTGCTGGGTTAGGCAGGCTTTTAAATGAAAATGCAGCGTTCCTGCTGCAGCCAGCACCCCTGCAACCCCCAGGTCAGCGGGTCCCTGTGGCCTGGGTGCACTGGGTGCAAACATTTGGGTAACGTTGCGCCCGGTCGGATCCGGGATGCCTTATTTTTCCCCTCTGCCGATACGTAATTTGTTTCTGTTTTCAGAGGCCAGGAAACCCTGATTCACCCCATCCCACGGGGGATGCTTCCCAGGGCCGGGGGCTGCGGGGAGGGCTGGGGACCAGCCAAGCCTGTGGCGGGGGGGCAGGATGCCACCCTCTTCCCACTCTGTCCCGCCTGGATGCCTCAGGCATTGGGGTGCGGGTTCCCCCCCCCCCATCCGGGGTGTCCCCGGGGCGGGGGCATTTCTACCCTCCGCCGTCTCCATCGCTCTGGCGGCTCTGCATCCAGATCTCCTGTTGCTCAGAGATGTGGAGGCAGTTGCTAAGAGACACCGAAACGTCAGTATCTGGCCCTCAAGGAAAAAAAGAGAGAGAAAAAAAAAAAAAAAAAAAAAAAGAGACAGAGAAAGAGAGAGACAAGGGAGGACGAGGAGGAGGAGGGGAGGAAGGAGGTGGGGAAAGACCTGCTCCCATTGCCAGGCTCGGCAGCAGCCTTGGCCGTGTCTGTGGGAGCCGCTCGCCCAACTTGTCGGCCTCGAGGGCGAGGGAGGCCACCTGGGGACCCCCCCTCACCGCCCAGGCCCCGTGGCTGTGGGGAGCCCAGCCCCGCTCACCCCTGGCCTGCGTAAGTACCCCGGGGGATCCCCGGCACGGCTGGAGGGATTGGGGGCCTGGGGAGAAGGAGGGTGGCCGGGGCGGTGGGGTCTATGTATCCCCCCCCCCCCGGTAAGATGGGGCAGTGGGGAGAGGATGGAACCGGGGGGGGGGAATGGGCGAGGGAGGAAGGAGCAAAGATGGTCAGGCAGTGGTGGGCGAGGGCGGGCTGGGGGGGGACCCCGGAGGGTGCCAGGGAGGGGGGTTATCCCCATGGGAGAGGACGGGGAGGGCATCCCGGGCACCGGGCTGAGCCGGTGGCAGCGGGGGGGCTGGTAGGGGGGCTGGGGAGGGGGGCACACCCCCGGCTCTGGCCACCGCCGGCCAGGATGAGCTAACCAAGGTCAGCAAGGCTGAGGGGCTCCTTTTGGGCTGAAATCCCTGGGAAGGAGGTGGAGGGGGGGGTTGGAGGAGCGGGGTGGCCCTGGCACAGGGCGGGTGCGGGTCCCCCACATGGCCACCCTGGCCGCACAAGCCGCGGCCCACCCCACACCCCCCCCACACACACCCAGGCGTGTGGCTGTGGTGGCTTCCTCCTGCTCCTCTTCCTCGCAGGCAGCTGACACCGTCCCAACGCCCCGGGGCTCGCCGTGCCCCTGGCAAGGGGGTGTGGGTTCAGCGTGCCCCCCCCCGCCCCGGATCCCGCCGGGATGCCCGGAGCATCGCTCCGCTAGCTCGACGCCAGGCCCCTCTCCCCGCCGCCGCTGCCGGCGGCCCTTTCCCCGCGGCGGGATGGCCCCCGCCGCCCCGTGAGGGTCCCGGCTTCCCCTCCGGCGGGGGGGGGCTCGCCGCCGCCACCCCGCCATGCTGCTGGGCCCCTGGCTGGTGGCGGCGGCGGCGGCGGTGTCGGTGTCGGTGTCGGCGGGCTGCCCGGTGCTGTGCACGTGCCGCGGGCAGGCGGTGGACTGCAGCGGGCAGCGGCTCTTCTCGGTGCCCCCCGAGCTGCCGCTGGACACCGGCAACCTCAGCCTGGCGCACAACCGCATCGCCAGCATCCCGCCGGGCTACCTGGCCTGCTACGGCCAGCTGCGGGCTCTCGACCTGCGCAACAACTCGCTGGCCGCGCTGCCGGCCGGGCTCTTCCTGGGCGCCCGGCGCTTGGCTCACCTCGACCTCAGCTACAACAACTTCAGCGCGGTGGGGGCCGACATGTTCCTGGAGGCCAGCGGGCTGCTGCGCCTCGACCTCAGCCACAACCCCGGGCTGCGGCGGGTGCACCCCCAAGCTTTCCGGGGGTTGGCACAGCTGCGGGAGCTGGACCTCAGCTACGGGGGGCTGTCGGCCATCAGCCTGGACGCGCTGGAGGGGTTGCCGGGGCTGGTGGGGCTGCGCCTGGGCGGCAACCCCTGGGTGTGCGGCTGCGCCATGGAGCCCTTCCTCAAGTGGCTGCGGGGACGCATCCAGCGCTGCGCCTCGGGTAGGTGCTGTGCATCCCCCACCCCCCCCCACCCCGCGCCGTGCCCCCCACTTGTGCCAATGGTGGTGAGGGTGGGGGGTCCGGCGGCCAGCCCTGACACCACGTGTGTGTGTATGTGTGTCCCCCCGGCAGATTCGCAGCTGGCCGAGTGCCGGGCCCCCCCCGAGGTGGCGGGGGCCCCCCTGCTCTCGCTGACGGAGGAGAGTTTCCAGGCCTGCCACCTCACCCTGACGCTGGACGACTATCTCTTCATCGCCTTCGTCGGCTTCGTCGTCTCCATCGCCTCGGTGGCCACCAACTTCCTGCTGGGCATCACCGCCAACTGCTGCCACCGCTGGAGCAAGGCCAGCGAGGACGAGGACGTTTAGGTACCGACGACGTCCCCCCCCTCCCGGCCGCCCCGGCGGGGACACCAGACTGTGCCTTGTCCCCGTCCCCTCCCGCCGCCCCCCATGCCGGGGTGGCCCTCGAGACGCCCGCCCGGCCGTGGCGGGGGAGACTGGGGGGACGGATCCTCGTCCTTCTGCCCCAAAACGGGGAGGTTTTGCCCCCTCCAGGATTGTTCCCCGCCGCACCGTGAGCTTGGACCCCCCCGCCCCCCATTCCTGCTACCCAGGCGGCGGTTCGGGGTCCCATGGGGGTCCCACGGGAACCTCCACAGCACCGGTCAGTGGGGGCCGCAGCCAGGGAGCACCCCCCCCCCGCTTGGCAGAGACACCCCAAAAGCAGTGTGCGCTTTGGGGGACACCGGCCACCCTCCCTGCGGGAAAACCGAGGAAATCCCTGCTTTCAGCCCAAAAGCAGCACCGGTGCAGCCCCGCTGAATCCTGCCCACACTCCCCGAAAAACTGGAGGATGGGGGTGGGGGGGTCAAGCCTGGGACCCTGTGCCAGCACCCAGCTCGGCACCATCGCTCCCGTGGGAGGGACCCGGGGGACGCCTGCGCCTTGCTGGTGACACCGGGCCGTGCCAGGACGGCACCGGGGCGAGCTGCGGGCGTCCCCCGGGGGTCTCGCGCAGGTTTGGGGCCAAACCGGGCCCGGCGGCTGCAGGACCCCGTCGCCTCGTCCCTGCTCGCCGGCGTGGAAAGGTTGGGAGGCCAAAGGAACGCCAAAAAAAAAAAAAAAAAAAGGACAAAATCAAAAAAAAAAAAAAATCAAAAAAAAAAAAAAAATCAAAAAAAAAAAAAAATCAAGCCAACGACCCCTCTGTCCAGCCGGGGTGGCCGCCATCCCCGTGCGCGTTTCACACCGTCTCCGCGGCCAGCGTGTGTCAGGCACGGGAGTGGGGCTGAGGGGGGCTCAGCACCCCCCAAGAAGGGCCTGCCCGTGAGTTGTTTCGTTTTCTTGCCGCGTTTCCCCCCCCCCCGCGTGGAGGCAGAGTGTAAATGTGGGTGCAGTTTAAAACCAAACCAACCAAAAAAAAAAAAAAAAAAAAAAAAAAAAAGCAGAAACAGGGAAAAATGAGGCAATGTGCTGTCTCGGTGATGCCACCCCCACCGCTGAGCATCCCCCGGGGCCAGGCTGGTAGTGACCCCCCCCCGGGGGCGTGGGGGCCTCCGACGGGACACCCCGTGGGGCGGGGCTGCACCCACGGGGAAGTGGGGCCCACCGCCACTTGCACCCACGGCCACTTGCACCCCCACCGTGGCTGCACCCCCCCACACACCCCAAGCCCCGCGTCCACCGGAGGGCAGCAGCCCCCGGCGCTGCGCCCTGGGAAGGGGCACTTGGGCGTTTTTTGGTTTATTTTCCCTTTTTTTTTTTTTTTCCCCCTTTTTGCTAAGTTTGAGACATTCCCCCCCACACACCCTCTGGACGCCGAGGACTGGACGCGCGGCAGCTCCGGGGCTCCGGGGACAGCGGAGGAAGAGCGGCCCCCCCGCCCCCCCGAATCTCCTGCCAGACCCATTTTCTCTCTTTCCGAAGCAAAACCGCCCCGGCCCGCTGCGGGGGGGGCTGGATCCTGCCAGTGTCTGCCCGACCCGGCCCCGCGTGGGTGTCCCGGGGTGGGTGTCCCTGCGTGGGTGTCCCCGGGTGGGTGTCCCCACGGTACGGCCACCTCCCTCCCCACCGGGCTGGGGAGCACCCGGGCACAGATGCAGCCGCCCTGCCCTTTGCCTCACCCTTGCCCTCATCCTCTTTCTCCGTTTTTCTTTTTCTTTCCCTTTTTCTTTTGTTGCTCTTTGTCTTTTTATTTTAATGTTGCTCTGCCTCTTTATCCCTTTCCTTTCTTCTCCTTTCCATCTTATGACTTTTCTCTTTTTCTTTCTTTTTTCTTCTTTTCTCTTTTTCTTTTTTCTTCTTTTCTCTTCTCTTCTCTTCTCTTCTCTTCTCTTCTCTTCTCTTCTCTTCTCTTCTCTTCTCTTCTCTTCTCTTCTCTTCTCTTCTCTTCTCTTCTCTTCTCTTCTCTTCTCTTCTCTTCTCTTCTCTTCTCTTCTCTTCTCTTCTCTTCTCTTCTCTTCTTTTCTTTTCTTTTCTTTTCTTTTCTTTTCTTTTCTTTTCTTTTCTTTTCTTTTCTTTTCTTTTCTTTTCTTTTCTTTTCTTTTCTTTTCTTTTCTTTTCTTTTCTTTTCTTTTTCTCTTCTCTTCTCTTCTCTTCTCTTCTCTTCTCTTCTCTTCTCTTCTCTTCTCTTCTCTTCTCTTCTCTTCTCTTCTCTTCTCTTCTCTTCTCTTCTCTTCTCTTCTCTTCTCTTCTCTTCTCTTCTCTTCTCTTCTCTTCTCTTCTCTTCTCTTCTCTTCTCTTCTCTTTCTCTTCCTCTTTTTTCTTCCCTCCTTCCATCTTTCCCCCTTTCTCCCCTGCTCACTACACCCGGTGTGGGTGGGTGGGGAAGGCGAAGGGGGAAAAGCCAAATTCCCCCCCGGGTCTTTGTATGGAGCACATTTTATAACCGTGGACTTTTGTAAAACGGCAAGCACTTTTTCAGAGCTGAACGTCAATAATAAAGAGCATCAGCGCAGCCTGGCTCGGGGCCGGGGACACGCATGTGCAGCGCAGACACACGTGTGCAGTGGGGACACGCGTGTGCAGCACAGACACACGTGTGCAGCAGGGACACACATGTGCAGTGGGGACACGCGTGTGCAGCACAGACACACGTGTGCAGCAGGGACACGCATGTGCAGTGGGGACACACGTGTGCAGCAGGGACACGCATGTACAGTGGGGACAAGTGTGTGCAGCAGGGACACGCATGTACAGTGAGGACACACGTGTGCAGCGGGGACACGCGTGTGCAGGGCGGGGGAAGGCGGCGGCCCACAACCTGCAGAAGGCATCAGCCGTGTTTTTCCCCTCCCGGCGCTTCCTGTTATTCCTCCGGCCGCATCTCCCAGCCCCGGCGGGGCCCAGCTGTCGGCAGCCGGGTCACCTCCGTGTCACCTCACTCCCCGGGACCCCCCTCCCACCCCGGGGGGGGGACACGGGGGCTATTTCAACCCACCGGAGCGGAGAGGTCGGGCAGCAGCTGGGCCGTGTCCAGCCCAGGGGGGAGCCGGCTGGGGGCTTTGCCGGGTGGGGGCAGCCCCCATTGCCCACCCGTGTCACAGCGTGACCCCACTCGGTGCCGTCCTGCCAGCTGGGTGCTGGCAGCAGTGGTCATGGGGTGCCTGGTACCCCTCTGCCCCCCAGCACTGCCCTGCGTGTCCCCCCACACTGCCGCAGCCAGCCAGCCCAAGGTCCTCCCACCCATCCCTCCAGCTGTCCATCCGTCCATGTGTCCTTCTCCCATCCACCCCTTCAGCTTTCCATCTGTCTGTCCTTCTAGACATCCCTCCATTCCTCTATTCCGGCACCCACCTTTCCCTCCCCCCCAACACCTGTCCGTCCGTCCATCCGTCCATCCATCCACCCATCCACCCATCCATCCATCCATCCATCCATCCATCCATCCATCCATCCATCCACCCATCCATCCATCCATCCTTCCTCCCACATACTCTTGACCACTTGAACCTCCAGAAACACAGGAGAGAAAAAAAAAAAAAAAAAAAAACAAACTCTCTCCTTCCATTTCACCCAATTTCCTCTCTTTTAACTCCCACCTCCTTACTCATTGCCTAAGCTCTCTCTCCCCAAAGCCCCCAGCACTTGCCACAAGCACCTGAAGCTCTTTCTTCTCATAACAAGGAGAAAATTGGTCAGATTTTGGGTCGGTCACCCAGGGTTTGGCATGGTGGGGACACACTGGACAGGGACCACCCAAAATGCCCCCCCCCCAACACATCGCTACCTCCAAAAGCCAACAGCTCTCACCCCAATTATTTTCTCTGCTATTTTTAAGCCATGAGGTCTGTCGAAAGCTCCTCTGCGTGGTAAGGAAGCATGGCTTTGGCAAATCCACATTTTCCCAGCATAAATCGGAGCTGGACCCCCCTTCGTGGGGATGCGGGGTCTCCCCTCCATTTGCTTTGGGGTGGGATGTGTGAAGGCAGCCCAGAGCTGGGTTGTAAACAAAGAGGTCACTTCAAAGGGGACACCCGGGGACATCAGCCTGGCTTAGCACACTGCCAAATTATTTTGGTACCCCCCAGGTGGGATGCTTGGGAGGGGGGGTGTTTGAGCCTCCTGCTCAGCCGTTTGGTAGCTTGAAAAAGCAGCTCGGGGCTGGGAGGCTCCCTGGGGCATGGGGGAGCTGGCTTTTGTCCCTGTCCCTGTCCCCATCCGCACTGGCCGTGCCGCACCCATCTCTCCGTCTCTCCCCGCCGCAGCCCCACACACTTTTTGCTCCAACCGAAAGCCCCTGTGAGGAAGAACCTCCTTTTTTTCCATTTCCACGTCCCCATGGCTCATGATTTGGGGACATCTGGCCGTGGCCCCAGCCCCCAGCCAAGTCTGAACGCACAGCGGGCTGCAGCAAGCCAAAGCATCGCTTTTTGGGATTGGGGGTCCCCAGATTCACCCCGGGGGAGCCCCCCCCCCCAGCTCCTTGGCCTTCACAGGGTTTTCTAAGGATGCTCCCAGTTTTAGCAGGGTCCTGCTCCCCATCCCCCCATCCCGTGGTCCTCCGCTGTCCCCCCTCTATCTTCCCTCCTCATCTTTCCTCCACCGTGCTGCCGCAGGAAGGCAACACCTTCCTTATCTCCTTCCGACGGGTGGTCCGGGCCCCCGCTGCCCCTTCCCCCCCACCGGCTCCAGCCTTGTTTTTTTTTTCTGAAGTGTCCCTGCATTTCCCCCCAGAGACTCCTCAGCTAAACATTTCCCTCCTGGAAGGGAAAGGGAAATCTCCAAGAGGCGGATAGAAAGTCAGCGGCTCCCGTCTCCGCTGGCACTGAGCCCTGCAGCCATTTCCGCGCCGGCCACCGCGCCGAGGAGGAAACCGCCCTCACCAGCCCCCCACCGAAAAACGGGGCCCCCGTCACCCCCATCAGTTCTGGGTCATTTGGGGCTGGGGGAGGGATGGAGGGGTGGAGGGGTAAAGGGAGGGATGGAAAGATGAAGGAATGGGAGGATGGATAGACAGATTAGATGATAGATAGATAGATAGATAGATAGATAGATAGATAGATAGATAGATAGATAGATAGATAGATAGATAGATAGATAGACAGACAGACAGATGGATAGATGGATAGAGGGAGGAATGGAGGCAGGGAGGGAGGGAGGAAGGGACGGACAGATGGATGGATTGATGGATGGACAGCTGGACTGACAAATGGACAGACGGATGAGCAGCATCAAGGGGTCTCTCCAGGGCAAGCGAGCCTGGAAGGCACCTCGAATGTAAACATGCTTCTTTCCCAAATTTCCCTTCAGATGCAGCATTTCCACCCCCACCCCAGACCCCCCTGGCTCTTAGACCAAACCAGAACCCTGGGAAAACACCCCAAAAATCCCCACCCGGGGTGAAAAGAGACACCATAGGCTCCCAACCCCCTGCACTGGGCAGTTTATCCAAACCACAGCCCCCACCAGCCCCCTCCTCCATTTACTTCATTAAGACAAAGGACCGTCCCTGAGGAGGGATGACTCCGGCTGGGTTGGCTCCCAAAATTAGGTGGTGGCAAGCGGGAAGGTTAATGAATCCACCCCCCCCCCCTCGACGGGAAGCTTCCCAAGGAACCCAGTAATGATCCCGCATCCTTTCCAAGAGGGAACAAAGGCTGAGGAGACAGGATAGTTCATCACAAGTAAATGAAGGATGTAAATAACAAATAGGGGGAAGATTTATTTAGAGCAAAGCCTCAGGAAGCGGTGGCCGGGGAGGGAAATGGGAGAGGAGCCATTTGGTGGTTCACCAAAACCCCGGGTAGTGTGGGCTGTTGTCCTGCCCATCACCCAAACACACACACACACACACACACACACACACACACACACACCCCCCCCCGTCCAAACCCAAACAGTCCCTTGTCCCCATCCATCAGGTTTTGGGTCTTTAATAGCATCAGCGTCCCGTTTTCACACCGCAGGGGTGAGTCACACAGGGCTTGTTCTGGCCTCAGATAAGGAGAAAAGCCTGAAAATGAGATTTGGTGGGACAGGGCGGCTGCCTGATGCAATCAGAGCTGCTGGGGTGGGGGGCTGGGGCAGGCGGGTGCCCACCCCATGGTGACACACTTCGGGGTGGGGGGTTTGCGCACTTTTTGATGTTAAAACATCCCGTCACACTGCGATGCTTGGGTGCATCGGGATGGGAACGTTTGTGTCTCCCAAAGTGTGTGTTGGGGAGAGAATGGGGAGAGTTTGCCCCAGGCTTGAGCCCCCATGGGGGGGTTGGAGGGGGCCAGGGGTATCCAGGAGGGGACGCAGGCAGCCGTGGGGTACAGGGACACCGCATATTGCACGCACACACACACACATGTGCAACACCTCCTGCTCACACACACCTTAAAACCCAGCCGTACCCCCCCCGCCATCACATCCCGTCCCCCCCGCCCCAACCTCACTCCCCATCCCCTCAGAGGGAACTGCGCACACCCTGCTCCTTTTTTAACAAAAATTCATTTATTTGTCACAAAATACAAAGCCCTGTGGGTGCCGGGGGGAGCCGCCTCTGCCCGAGGGTCTGCCCAGCCCCTGCCTCAGTTTCCCCTTCCCGCCAACAGGGCTTTCCAGCGGGGGGGGGGTCCCCAAAGCAAGCCAGGCTCTGGGGTGAGGAGAAGGTGGTGGGGTCCCCCCCAAGGAGACCAGCTCGGGGGGCACGGGAGGTGGATGGGGAGAGGGGGCTGGGGGTGAGGGAGGGTCTAGGCACGGAAGAGCGTCTCCTGGGTGGTGGGGTCCAGCTTGCTCCCCGGGACCGGCCCCCCCTTGCCGCCGGGGGGGTGGCTGTGCCCCGAGGAGTAGCTGGCGGAGCGCTCGGCCCCAGGGCCGGGGGTCCGGCAGCAGAGGAGGGTGGCGCAGGCGTGGCGGAAACGGGGGTCGAAGAAGGCGTAGAGGAAGGGGTTGAGGCAGCTGTTGATGTAGGCGACGCCGGTGCAGTAAGGGTGGAGGTTGTTGAGGAAGGCGTGGAGGCCGCAGGACCACGGCAGCACCTCCAGGTCCATCAGGACGTAGAGGGTCTTGACCAGGTGGAAGGGCAGCCAGCAGCCCCCGAAGGCGGCCACCAGCACCGTGATGATGGTGAGCAGGCGCTTGCGCTTGCGGGGCCCCTCGGCCCGTTCCCGGCGGAAGTGGCTGGCCACGGTGCGGGCGATGAAGAAGTAGCAGGTCAGCATGACGGCGAAGGGGGCCACGAAGCCCAGGGCGGTGGAGGAGAGCCCCAGCCCCACCTCCCAGGCGCCCTCGGTCCCCGGGGCTGCCAAGCCCCCGTAGTCCATGTAGCAGGTGACCTTGGTGTCCCCCCCCAGGGCGGCCGCCCGCCGCAGCACCAGGGCCGGCAGGGCTAGCAGAGCGGCCAGCACCCACAGGGCCACCGTGGCCACCAGCCCGCTGACCCGCGAGCGCAGCTTGGCGGTGGCCAGGGGCCGGACGATGGCCAGGTAGCGGTCGAAGCTCAGCCCCGTCAGGCAGAAGACGCTGGCGTACATGTTGACGAAGACCAAGTAGCTGCTGACCTTGCAGGCGGCCGTGCCGAAGGGCCAGTGGTAGCCCAGCCAGGCGTAGGCGGCCCAGAGCGGCAGGGTGGCCACGAAGGTGAGGTCGGCGGCGGCCAGGTTGGCGATGAAGGTGTCGGCCGAGCGCCGGCGGTCCCGGCCGCCCTTGAAGACGGTCCAGAGGACCAGCCCGTTGCCCGCCGTGCCCAGCAGGAAGACCAGCAGGTAGATGGTGGGCAGCAGGGCCAGCGAGGGGCCCCACTCCGCGTACTCGCACTCCGTCTCGTTGTCCCCGTAGGCGTAGGCGTCCGCCGCCTCCTCCATGCCGCCGGGCTCAGCTCAGCTCAGCTCATCCCGGGCTCACCGAGCTCCTCCGGCCCTCTGAGCCCGGCCCGACGAATCCCACCGCGTTACCTCCCCTTCCTCCTCCTCCTCCGCCCTCCTCCTCCTTGATGGGACGGACAGGATGGATGGATGGATGGATGGGGGGGAGCCCCCCGTGGGAAATTTCACAGCTCACCCTCCACCCTCCATCTGGCTCCTTCCCGGGGGGTTTTACCAATCTCTCACCCAAGTGTCAAAGCGTCAACCCCCTGAGATAACCCCCCGTCCCCGCTCCCGGGGGGATTTCGGTGCGCCCGCGTTCCGTGCCGCGGCTCGGGGAAGAGGGGGCTGAAGGGCCGAATTTGCATTTGGGGTGTCACCTTCGGGGCGGCGCATTCGGCGTTTCGCACGGGGGTGCTGCACGCCGGGTTTTGCGTTGCGCAGGCGGAGCGTTGCACCGGGCGCTCTGCGTCGGGGCGGTGCTCTGGGCGGGGGGTCGCGTTTGGCGTTCGGGAGGTCGCATTTGGCGTTTTGCATTTGGCATTTTGCACTTGGGATTTTTCCATCTTTGCTCCCAGGGTTTTGCATTTTGCAAACAGTCGTGGCACCGGGAGAGTCCCAAATTGCCAGGGCCCTATTTCAAGCACAACACACTGGGGAGATCTTTGTGCATTTACCAAAAATCTGGGGAGGGGAAGCGCTGAGATTTCCCCCCAGCCCACAAAAACACCATTTTGCAAACCATCTTCTGCAGACAGCGACGAGGGGCCCTCCCTGCATCCCAGTTCTGTGCAGGTTTTGCTGCCCAGTAAAGGAGCCGAACGCAGCAACACCTTCAGCTGAGCCAAGAGAGAAGAAAATTCACCCCTAGCCCAAAAATAAAATAATTGGAGGCAGCAGGAGGAAGAGGGAAACTCCCCGCCGTGGCGGGGCAGGGCCGAGCTGGGGGACGGGGGAGTCCCGCTGGGGCTGAACTCTCACTTTGGGGAAAAGCACTGGAGAAACTGAGCGGGACTTTGTAAAAAGTAAAGTCTGAAAAGCCACGAACCTCCCAGTGGTCCAGGAAAGGGTGGGGGGGCTGGGCCAAGGAGCTGGAGCAGCTTTTTGCTGTCGGAATAGGTAAATCATGAGCGGAACGGGCTGCAAAAATGGAGAAGGTAAAACCCAAACGGCGGCACGGTGCAGGAACCGTGGGGATGGAGGCGGGGGGCAGCGGGTCCCTTTTCCCAGCACAGCGGTGTAAAGAAAGGGGATAGTGGGGCAATTTTGTGGCTGAAACGAGGGCAGAAGCTCAAGAGGGTCTCCAAAATTAGAAAAAACAAGCGGTAGAGGAGGGAGAGGGGCTGGGAAATGGGGGAGCAGCGGGAGCCCCAGAGGGGTGGGTACAGCAGCCCCTCAAAACCATCAGCCAAGGAGAACAAACCAGGGCTTAAGGGGCTGGAGATAATGAATAATAAAATATGCTAATGACCCAGGACAGACCCCTTGGAAAGGCGCACGTCAACTCCGCAGGGTGAGGTGCTAAGACCAGCAGGTCTTTGAAGAATTAAAATAAAAAGCTGCTAAAAATTGACACGTACATGTGATGGCTGCTGAATGAAGTTAAAACCCAAAGTTTGTTTAAAGAAGGGATGGACCCCCCCCCCCCCAAACCAAGCCTGACGAAGACGTTACTTAAGCTTATTAGCTAATAAATGGAATAAAAAAGGGAAATAAAAGAAATGCTAATTAGACCCTTGGTATTGCCAGGAACTGATACAAAGGGAGATGTTCCAGCCCGGTAACGAAGATCACTATTAATAACAATATCTCGGCTATTTTTGTCTTCTGTGGGTAGCGCAGAACGGGTAACCCTTCCCAGCCCCTTGCCGAGCCGCCGGTGATGCCGGGGGGGTTGCTGAAGGGCCCCCAGACCGCCCCCCCCCAGGCAGTGGGGATGGCCCCACTCATGAAGGGTCCGGGCGAATGGCCCTGGGGAGGGGGGGTGGGGGAGAGGGGGGGGGGCACGGGGTGTTATCACCCACCGGGGTGGCGGGGCTGATAACCAACACTGTTATCTGCAACTCGTTAGGCCGCAGGAATGCGGCTGGGGGTGCGGGGGGTGCGGGGGGGTTTGGGGCAGCAAGGGGCTCTGCAAGGAGCCCGTTTCGCCCCAGCAAGAGGCTGCGGGGCCGTCGCTCCAAATCCCCGGAGGTAAATCCCAGAGCTCAGTAGCCAGCGGCTCCCCGGGGACGGGGGTGCAGAGCTAAGCCCCCCCCCCCCAGCCCCGTGGAAGGAAGAGGTTGAGATTTGGCTGCAGGGGGTGGGGATGCCCGGACACCCCCCCACACACCCCCTGGCAGGAAGGGCAGCGAGTGGCCGTGGTGCGAGGGGGGATTTGGTGATTTCCTCTGCGGGTGGCCGCGGTTACTCACATCCTACCCCCGTTCCTACACCCCGTCCCCCGCTGGGTCTCCCTCCTTCCATCAGGCTCTGCTGGGAGAAACAACTGGGGGGTCCCATCCCGGGGGGGGGGGGGTGTCCCATCCCGGGGGGGGGGTCCCATCCCGGGGGTTCGTGCCCAAAGAGCAGCCGCGGGGGCAGCTCGGGTCACTGACTCAGCCAAAACCAAGGCGGGAGGGACGTGCCCGGGGGCAGCGCTGCCCCTTAGGGGGGTGTGAGCCACAACCCTGGGACCCCCCCCCCCATTCCGCCACGGCCAGGCCTCGCTGCTGCCATCCCGGGGGGGGCCGCGGCCATCGGCCCCGCGTGGGTGGGAGGGGGGCTGCTCAGCGTGACGGAAGGTTTGGGGTCGGGGTGGCATCTGTCCCCACTCTCCCTCGGCGTGACCCCCGCCCCCCCACCCCCACCCCAGCCAGCGCAGGGGGGGCAGGGAAGAGGCAGGATGGTGCAGGGGTGGGTGTGCGTGGCCGGTTTGCACACGTGGGCAGAGGTGTGCACACACGTGTGTGCAGCGAGTGTGCAAGGAGCTGCTTCCGCAGAGGGATGCTGGGGGGCGGGGGGGGGGGGGCAATAGGGGTGCAGGTACATATGGGGCACAGTGCATCAGCCCACACAAAGGGGTCTGCAATAGCTCCACGCACACCCCCTGTGCAAACACCCACGGGGATGTTTCTGCCCCCCCAGCCAAGCAGCACCCACGGGTGTCCTGGCGTGGGGCCCCGGCTGCGGGCAGAGAGCTCCTCCTGGTGGCAATGCCCACGGCAGCGTGTGTCCCCACCCCGCGAGGGCTGAGAGAAGAACCAGGGCCCCCCCCCCGAACCAATCAACAAAGTTTTATTGTCCTGTCAAAGTGGCACCAAAATCCTGACCTGTTGCTCTTTGTCTGAGGGTGATACAAGAGCAGGGGGTGAGGGGAAGGGAGGGGGCTCGCTGCCCACCCCCCAGCCCCCAGGGACTGAGAGGTGGGGGGAGGCAGGGGGGGTGGGGGGAAAGTGCCAGAGAGGGGGACGGGGACCCTGCGAGCATCGTACAAAGTGCATAGATGTGTGTGAGTGTGTCCCCGCGTGGGGAGGGGACCGTGGCCGTCAGCCTCTGGGGACGTGCCGGCCCGAGACCGAACCTGGAAGAGACACAGCAGGGAGAGGGGGTGAGGACCCCCCCGGGGTGACTCAGCCCTGGGGGTGACCCCAGCTGCAGCAGGCAAGAGGGAGGGGGCTGCCTAGGGGGCATGGGGATCCCCCTGCCTGCACATCCCCTTCCAGCTGTGCCCCCCCCCCCCCCCAGACACACAGTCCCCAGGCAGGGATTGTGGGGAGGGGGAGGCCCCCCGCTGTACCCCATCCCAGGCACTGGGAGGGTCCCATGTGGGTTGGGGTCCATCCCCCAGCATCCCCCCAACTCCCACACTCACCCCACTCAAGGCTTCTTCTTTTTCAGCTTCAGTGCCTGCAGCCAGTGTGGGGGGGAGGCGTCGGATCTGGGAGGTGTTGGCACGGCCTCAGCACGAGCCCCCCCAGAAACACCCCCAGGACCCAGACCGACCCCGGGGGCTCTAAGGGCTTGGCCACAAGCACAGTTTGGGGTGGAGCAGCCCGGGTCCCCAGCCAACGTGCCCTGGGAAAGCTGGGCTCAGATAAGCCCCCCCCTCCGGCAGCCACTGACAGCCCAGACAGCCCCAGCACCCCTCCAGATCCCTTTACACCCCTGAAGCACCCCAAAACCCCCATGCCTCTGGAAAAACCCACCTCAGCCCTGCTTTAGTGGGGCACGGACCTGGGCAACAGCCCCCCAGCACCCACGGCATCGGCCCCATCTGCCCCCAAACCCACATGCACACCCCTGCTAAGCCCCCCGGCCCGGCCCCAAGGCGCAGCCCCTGGCTCCCCACGAGGGTCCTGCACCCCAACACTCACCCTGAGGACTTCTCTGGCTTGGGGGGCAGCGCCAGGGGTTTCCCGCTCAAGCCGGGGATCTTGCAGGACTTGGAGCGCTGCACATGGGGGTCCTTGGCGGGGGTTGCCTTGCTGTCCCCCGGCGGTGCCCCCTCCTCGGCCGAGCGGTTTCGGCCCCTCAGCTTGGCCTGGGCGCAGAGGAGCGAGGTCAGGCAGGCAGAGGGTGCTCTGCCCCCTCTCAAATCCCCCCACCACCTCCTCCCCACGCCTCTCTGTGCCACCTGCCTTTGGCCAACCCCCCAGTCCCAACCTGCCTCAGTTTCCCCTCCCTCGCTCGGGGTCCCAGCGAGCCCCACCTTGAGGGCGGAGGCGTTGAGGCCGGGGAACAGTGGCACCTTGACCCCCTTTCCCGATGGAGACGCTCGCACCCGCCGGCTCTTGGGTTCTTCCGCTGCCTCCTCGTCTGAGGACGCTGCCGGGCGGGCTGGAAGGGGCTCTGCAGGGAGGACACGGGGTGCAGCGTCACCGTGAGACACCCCCGCCCCGGACAGACGGCCCCGCCGCCACCAGCCCGCGGCCTCTCACCTGTGGAGTCCCGAAAGATCCACCCGTCCCCGTCCGAGGAGGCCCCGGGGCGGAGGGCCGGGGCGCGGTGCCGGCGCTTGCGGCCCAGGCTGGCCTTGCTGCGGTACACGCTGCTGTCCAGGACCTCCGTGTCCTGCAGAGCCCGCAGGGACTGGTCACTGTACAGACCCCTGGGACCCCCACCCCACCCGCAGCAGCACCTGGGGGGGCCCTGAATCTGCAGCCTGCCCCTCAGGATAGGGGAAAGCCCCCATCCCCAGAGCAGGATGGGATCAGGGCCCCCAGACCCAGACGTCTCCGTGACAGCCAGGCTCTCCCCAGGTCCTGGGAGGGGGCTGGAAGCAGCCCCCACCCCACTCACCTCCAGGAAGGTGAATTCCTGCCCGGCGTGGTCTGTGGGTCCCTCGGGCTGAGGGGTGTCCAGGGAGAGCCGCTTCTCCTCCCAGCTCAGTGGTCTCTTCCCATCCGGGTGGTCCGAGGGGGCTTCTCCGCTCTCTGTGTCCGGCAGCAGAGGGGAGGCCCTGGGGCTCCGTGGGGCAGCGGCCGGCTCGGGGAGGTCCCGCTCCTCCTCGGTGGGGCTGGGCGGCTCGCTCTGGGGGGGCTCCGCCAGAGCATCATCCATGGGTGGGCTGGGGTCCGAGAGGCGGATGCTTCTGCTCGGAGAGACAAGACAAGACACCAGAGTTCCTCTGGCTCCACTTAAGAGAACCCCTATCCCCTGCCCCAAACCTCGCCTCCGTCAGCCTCCGGGGGAAACTGAGGCACGGGCAGGGAGAAGCGCTGCTCCCATGAAGTCAGGGCAGGACCCAGGTGTCCAGAACTCTCTCCTCTCTCCCAGGATGTCACACCAAGGCATGTGGCACCTCTGAAAAGTTCCCCCAAAGACTCATCCCAAAGGCTGGGACATAATTTGGGGACTGGGAAGGGCAAGGAGGCTGCCAGGCTCATAAGGGACTCAGGCCAACTCCCCTCCTTGGGGCAGAGAAAGGGGTCAGGCCCCCTGGCAGGGTGGGCACCTCCCAGGACGTGGCCAGGGGGACCCCAAGGGCAGGAGGAGGATCAGGGCCAGACAGCGTGTGGGAAGGTGTTGGCAGCAGGAAACTGCCCAGCTCTCAGGGCAGGGGGTGAGGGATCCCCGCTGCCTCACATGGGTTGACCAGGCTGAGGCCTTGCTGAGGCCCATGGGGCTTCGCCTCCCTCTTCCTGGGATCCTTATTTTCGGGCAGCTTGAAGGAATTTATCATTTTGGGAACCCCCAGCTCTGTAAATTTGGCTGAAATCAGGGTTCCCACATCGTGGTGAAGCATTAAGGGCATGGGGCTAATTCTGCCACTTTTTTGAGGGGCCAAGGGAACACCAGCAACCCCCAAACTTGGTACATGGCCGCCCACGTTGGAGGGAGACCAGCACAAGAAGCTTCAAGAGCATCACACCCTCCTGGATCAGCTCAGGACAGCAGATCCTGCTGGGACAAGGCAAAACCCACTCCCTCAAAACGTTCCCACTCCAGCTGTGAGGGAAAAGGCTGGGGAAGAGGAGCTCTGGCAGCCCGGGGTGGAGGTAGCAGGGCGCCCAGCCACGAGTGAGGCACGGTAAGACACAGCACGATGCCCGTGGCATCGCACCAGCACCCGACAGGGATAGATCCCTCCCCAGGGCCGCACTGCCACCCCCCCAGCACCCTCCTCACCCATCCGCCGAGCCAGCGTCATCTAGCAGGCTCTGCTCCCCGCCGCCGAAGTCCCGGCTGCGGGCCGCGCAGCGGGCGCCGAACGCGCTAGCCCACTCCCGGCGCTTGGCCTCGGCGTCGCGCAGCTCCGCGCTCCAGTCGACCGCGTTGAGGTCCTGGCTCCAGCCCGGCTCTTCCAGCACAGGCTGGGCAGAGCTGCAAGAGGCAGGCACGCTGCCCAGGCCCTGACCCCAGCCTGACTGGCCCGGTCCGGCCCCGCCGGCATCTCCAGTGCCCAGGCAGGTGGTGGCATCCGAGCTGCGGAAGGAGAGATCGCTGGGCCAGTCGCCCAGGGGCTCCTGCCGGCCCCCGGGCCTCACTGCACCAGCCCAGGACACAGAGGCATCGGGTGACGCTCCAGCACTGGAGGGATCTGGCACTCGCTCCGTCCCAATGATGCCAAATTGGTTGTGGCGCTCGGCTCCTCCGAGCTCTTCAGCCCAGTCCCTGCTATCGGTGGCACCATGCTCCCGCCGGTCGGTGCTGCCCCAGCCGGGCTGCGGGGCTGGGGCGTCGGGGCCACGGCAGCCAGGCAAGTCATCCTTCCCGACACCAAAAGCATCGACCAGCTCGGTTTGGCCGATGCTGCGCTCACCAGCCCAGCTCAGCCGGCCAGGACTAAACTCCCTTTCTTCTTTATCGGTGTTTGCAGAGCTGTACTCGCTGGCCCAGGCCGGTCTGCTGGGGCTGAACTCCCGGTCCTGGCTCTCCACGTCCCTGCTGCTGTACCCGTCATCCCAGGTCGGTCTGCTGGGTTTGAACCCACTGTCCTGGCTCTCCACATCCCTGCTGCTGTACTCGCTGGCCCAGGCCGGTCTGCTGGGGCTGAACTCCCCGTCCCGGCACTCCACGTCCCTGGTGCTGTATCCGTCATCCCAGGCCGGTCTGCTGGGGCTGAACTCCCCATCTCGGCTCTCCACGTCCCTGCTGCAGAACTCGTTGGCTTCAGCCGGTCTGCTGGGGCTGAACTCCCTGTCCTGGCTCTCCATGTCCCTGCTGCGGTACTCACTATCCCAGGCTGGTCTGCTGGGGCTGAACTCTCTGTCCTGGCTCTCCATGTCCCTGCTGCGGTACTCGCTATCCCAGGCTGGTCTGCTGGGGCTGAACTCCCTGTCCTGGTTCTCCATGTCCCTGGTGCTGTACTTGCTGTCCCAGGCCGGTCTGCTGAGGTTGAATTCCTTGTCTGGGGTCCCAGTGTCCCCAGTGCTGGATCTGCCAGCCCATCCCAGCGTAAAATCCTTCTCCTGGGTCTCAGCATCCCTGCTGCTGTATTTACTGGCCCAGTCTGGGGCGAGCTCCCTGTCCTTCATCTCCGCATCGCTGGTGCTGTACTCACCAGCCCACGCAGGCGTGGTCTCCCTGTCCCGGCTCTCCGGGTCCCCTGTTCCGTACCTGCCAGCCCAGCTGGGCTGCCCAGGGCCTGGCTCCTCATCCTGCTGCTGGCTGTGCCCCACACCGTAGCTGCTGCTCCAGTCGGCCTTCCCAGTGCCAGCCTGCTCCCTGCTGCCCGCGCTCTCCAAGCCGTAGCCTGTGCCCCACTTGGGTTTGCCAGCACTGAAGTCTTGGCCCTGCAGGCAGCTTTCCCCCGCGCCGCAGGATTTGGACCAGTCGCCGCAGCCCAGTCTTGTTTCTTCCATCAGCTCCGTCTCTTTGTAATCGTTGCCCCAGTCCCTCCCGGCAGTGCCGAAGGGCCCATCCTGCCGGTCCCCATCCTTGACGCTGCAGGTGCTGTCCCAGCTTGATTTGGTCCCAAATTCCCGGTCCTGCTCCGTCTCACCGGGCCAGTCTCTCTCCCTGGCCACAGCCTCACGGGTCCAGTCGAAGGTGCTGGTCTGGCGAGGGCTGCCGATGCCAAATTCGCTGCACAGGTCCTTCCGCGACCAGCCCAGCAGGTCCTGGGGGAAGAGGGTGAGAAGGGGGGAGAGGGGGTTAAAGCGGGGAGAGGGGGTGGCGGGCCCAACCCACAAAGCAGAGAGGGGACATGGAGAGGAAAAGCAGGAGGGACAAACCCTCGTACGCCTGTGGGACACAGCACCAGCAGGATCCCGTCCCGAGGGGCAGCCAGACCCCGCCACCTGCCCCCCCAGCCTCGGGACCCCCGGTTCCCAGGGTTCTCACAGCCGCCATCCCCACCCATCCCTCCCCAGCTCGCCCCAGTGTCCCCCAGCTCCCCACACCCCCTTACCTCCGGCCCCTCCGCATCCGGAGAGCCATGACCCACAGCGTGGGCCCCGGGCGACGCCAGCAGCTCCGTCAGCCAGCCCGGGTCGGGGTGGGGGTCGGGGCCCCCCGAGGACCCTTCGGCCTGGCCCGGCCCACCGGGGCCCTGCAGGCTCACAGGGGAGTCACCCACCGTGGTGGGATCCGGTGGGGCGGCCTCAATAAGGAGGCCGGGCTGGGGAGGGGGCTCGGGCTCAGCCGGGTCCCAGCCAGGCTCCGTCACGCAGAGAGGGGAGCGGGGCAGGGTGGCATCCTGCTCTGCTTCCCCTTCCTCCTCCTCCTCCTCCTCCTCCTCCTCTCGCTGGGCCACAGGACCCCCCGGACACGGAGCCCCCTCCGCTCCCCGGCTGCTGGCTGCCGCAGGGCCAGGCCCCTCAGACCCACTGTCCCCCTGGGAGTGTGGGGGGCTGGGGTCCAGGTCCTCCCCGTCCGACTCGCCCTCTTCAGAGAGCCCCGAGTCGGCCGTCTCCCGAATGGGGGACCGGGATGGGGATGCCAGCCGCCGTGCCCCCCGCGAGGGGAATGTCCACTCGAAGGACTGGGAGAGGCTCCAGCCGGACTCGCTGCCCAAGGATGGCTCTGACAGGGGGTCACCAGGACGGGGCAGGGCGCTCAGAGAGCCCCCCAGCTCCCCCAAACCCTGCCCCGCAGTCCGGGGCTGCAACACCCCCTCTGAAGAGCGCCGGAGCCCCGAGTCCCTGGCAGAGGGCGCGAGGCTGAAATCAGAACCCTCGGGGTACTGTGGGGACACTGGGGAGTCATCAGGTCCCTCGGGGTACTGTGAGGACACTGGGGAGTCATCAGGTCCCTCCGGGGAGCCTGGGGGACGAGAGGCTTTAGTAGGGGGCTCAGGGGGGGGGCTGGGGTGGCCTGGGTACTCAGGGGCAGCCTCAGGAGAACCAGGGGGGCAGGTGACTCTGGGGGGCAGTTCGGGAGTGCCGGGGGGGCTGGCAGTATCGGGGGATCCCTCCCCAGGAGTGTGGGGGGAGCCGGGGGAGCAGGACACGCCGAGGCGGGGTTCAGCGGCAGAGGAGGGAGCACCCGGGGCCTGGGTGGAGGTGGCCGAGAGCTCGGCTGGAGCCCGAGGCGGGGATTTGGGGGAGCCGGGGGCCAGGGTGGGGGAGCCGGGGGCTGGGAGCTCAGGGGGGGCATCGGGAGAGCCGGGGGCCGAAGCAGAGGGCTCGGCGGGCTGGAAGGGAGCTCCCGGGGCCGGGCAGGTGGGGGGCCTTGGGGAGCCGGGGGGTCCGAGGGCACCCGGCTGGAGAGAGGAGAGCTGTGAAAAGAACAGGAGGGGGGGAATGGGGCGGGGGGGGGGGGGGGGGTGTCATGTCACTCGAGAGGAACCTCCCAGGCATCACCCGCCCCCAAATCACAGCCCCCCGCTCCCGGCTGAGGGTCCCTCCCCACCCCAAACCCCAGGCAGGAGGTGCCCACGCTTCCCGCCAGCTTCCTGCGTGACTCAGCCCGGGCGGCTCCCAGCAGCCCTGCTCCCTGCCCCAAGCCCCCTGCCGCTGCCCCCCTCGCGCACCCAGACAGATGGAGAGGAAGAAATGAAGCAGGAGGAAGTAAAAACACCGCCCAGACTGGACCCCCACCACCTAGGAACCCCCCTTGCAGGCGTCACCCTGCCCAGCACTGTCGGGGTTAGTCCCCCACTGCAGAGTGACCCGGTGCTGCTGCCCCAGCTGTCACCCCCCACGTCCCCGTGGCCTGGTGCCCCCATCACCGCGGGGAGGGGAGAGGGGGGCTGGCGGGGTGCCCCAAAGGGCCTGTCCTGCCACATACCTGCCGGGTCACCAAACCCCAGCCGGTGACTCACAGCTGCTCCCTGCCCACGCCTCGGCAGCGGTGCTGGCACACGCCACCCCCTTCAAAATAACCTGGCCCCGCGCCCTGGCACCCAGCACGGGGGGCGCCCGGCACCCCGAGGAGAAAGGAGAGACACGCACCCCGCAGAGAGGGAGCCCCGGAGGAGACAGGAGAGCCCCGAAGGAGAGAGCCCAGGAGCAGAGCTGCCGCGGCGCGGGAGGGCCAGGCGAGAACTCACGTCACGGGGGGATGGCGGCCTCCGGCGTCCGCGGGGGTCCCCGGCACAGCTTGGGCCGGCTGGGGAGGAGCCGCTGCCAGGGAGAAATGGGGAAGGAGGATTAATTTCCCCCCCCCACCCCGTGTGCCTCCACTCTGCTCCGCCACCGCCCGGCCACAACCCACCCACTCCGGCCGCAGGAGGATGGGCTCGGGTGAACCGCAAGAGGCCTGTCAATCACTGCAAACCGTACCCAAAACCGGCACCGTGCTACCAGCCGGGTCGGGACCGCAAAGGGGAGGGAGGCAAAGCAGCCGCAATCCCCTTTCCGGAAAGCTTTCGGTCCTTTGGAGAGCGAGTTTCTCACACTCGGGTTTAAAATAGCCCCCGTCTCGCTCTCCCGGAGGTGCCCGGCTTTTGGGAGCGTGGCCAAGCGCTGGCTCTCCCCCAGGGCACCCTGCAGCCAGGAGTCCCCCACACCCACCCCCACCCTCCACGCTGGCATGGCCCGGTGGAGGAAAAAAAAAAAAAAAGAAAAAAAAAAGAAAAACAACAAACAGCAAAGATGGGGAAAAAGGAGCATTTTGCAGGGGGAACTACCCCCTCCCCGTTACTCCCAGCCTCGGGGCGGCCCGCCCGGCAGCGGGACGGGCTGGCTCCCTTCCCGGCCCCCGGGGGCGGCGGGAGCTCCCCAACCGGGACGGCCCGTTCCTGCGGTCTGAGCAAACCGCCCGGCGCGGCGGCAGTGGCCGCGGCCTTCCCACGAAGGCAGCTCAGGGCGCTGGAGGAACGCCGGCCCCGTGCCGCCAACCAGACCTCAGCTCCGTTATCCCCATTCCCAGGACACTCCCCGGCCCCTCACCTCGTCTCGGCGACCGGGTGCCCGTCGTCCCTCGTCCCCAGCTCGCCCGCCACGGGTTGGGGTGTCTGGCCGGGGGGGGCCACGTCCACCTCCCCGCTGGGACGCCTTCGGAAGGCAGTGAAGGTCTTGGAGCCGAAGCGTGAGGAAGGGTCGGGGCAGAAGGGTGAGAGCCGAGCCCGGTCTGGGCTGCCCGGGCCCTCCCTGCTGTCCATTTTGGCCAGGATCTCCTCCACCGTGGTGCCTGGAAATCGCTCCAGTTTGGTGGCCACCAGCACCGGCGTCACCTTGAAAGGAGCCGGGCCCTTGCGAGAGGGGGTCGGCGGGGTGGGGGGCACCTCCTCGCCAGGGGTCAAACCCGAGTCCTCAGCGGCTGCGACCGGCGGGGACAGGAGCCCCTTCCCGTTGGGGGTCTCGGGTGACTTGAGGGTGAAGGAGGGGCGCCGGAGGGGCCCCCCCAAGCTGCCCCCCCCATAGGGCTGGGGCCCTGCCAGGCGGTTCATCTTCTCGGCGGAGGGCAGCTCAGGGCGAGGGTGCCGTGGCCCCGGGGGGGTGGGCGGCAGGGAGGGCTTGGCGGGCACGGCCGGCTTGGGTAGCACCCGGGGTTTGGGGCGCACCGGTGGCTTGGGGCGAGCATTGCCTGGAAAGAAGCGAGGAGAGGAGAAACACTGCGCTGGGGGGGCTCCCTGGGCTGAGAACTGCTCCGGGGCACCCACCTAGCACCCCCAAGGGGGCTTTCCCAGCGCAGGCCAGCCCGGCAACCCCCCCGCCCCGCACCCCGATTTCCCCTGCTGGGACAAACCTTTCTCGGGGCTGCCGGCCACCAGCCCGGCCCCCCCGGCAGCGGCGCAGGGCAAGGCAGGGCGCAGGGGCTGTGGCTGGGAGGCCATGGCGAAAGCAGGGCTGGAGGACACAGCGTGGGGTCAGCCCCTGGGGAGAGAGGAAGGAGTGAGAAGCATTTTGGGGGACCCCCTTTGCCCGAGGCCGGTGGGTGGGAGCCAGCCTCTGCCGGCCCGTCCCCAGCAGAGTGCCACACCGGGCAGCCCTCTGCCAAACCAGTCCCCCTCCTCACTGCTGTTGCCCTCCATCCACCCCCCCGAGCTCCCTTCGGGCACAGCGTGCTCCCCCCAAACGCCACAGTGACACCCCCCTCTGCCCACACCCACCGTGTACCCCCCTGAACACCCTATGGCTCCTCTTTTACCAGCCCCACGTTAGTCGCCCCCACCGATCCGTGCCAACCCCCCGCCCCCCTCCCCGCACCAGTCTGCCCCAGTAACCCCCCCAGCCCCGGTTTGACTGTGCCAACCCCTCGCCCAGGCCCGAACGCCGCCTGCCAGCCCCCTAGCAGCCCCCACCCCGATCCCCGCGGGGTGCCCCGCTCACCTTCCCCACGGCAGCCGCATGTCCGGGGTGGGCCGGGGGGGGGGGGGGGGGGGTTGCCGTCCCCACGGGTCTCACGCCGCCGCCGCTCCCGTGACTCACCGGGGCTGCGGGGACAGGAAAAACCCGCTCGGTGCCTCCTCCCGGCCCTGCCCTCCCGCTCCCCTCCCCTCCCTTCCCCTCCCCGCTCCCTCCGGGCCCCCCCCCCCACCTCCTCCCCGCTCCCTCCACAGGGGACCCGCCGTCACGGCCACCCCAGCCCACATCTGGAAGCCATCGGGCCCCTTTCCCACCCACCCCGGGACGCGGGTCCGGCCCGTTGTGCCCCCCCCCCCCCAAAACCCTGGCGGGGCCTACTCGCGTCGCCGCGGCAACGAAGCCCCCGCTCGAGTAGCTGGGTAGGCCGCAGCCCGCGGGCCTAGGCCCGTCGCCGTGGTAACGGAGCCCCCCACTCGATTTTGGGGGGGGAAAAAAAAAAAAAAAAAAAAAAAAAGAAAAGAAAAAAAAAAAAAGAGATCCCCGCGGGGCCGGAGCGAGAGGGACCGCCCCCGCGGCGTCGGGCCCGGCGACCCCGGAGGGTCCTGGTTCCCCGGAGGCGCGACCCCCGCTCACCCGCCGCCGCCGCTGCATATTCATGAGCGCCCTCCCCGCCCACCGCCGGGCACGCCCCGGCACGCCCCGCCCCCTCCGCCAACCAGCGAGCGCGACGGGCCAGAGCGGTCCCGGCGCCGCGTGGCCGGGCGGACCACAGAGAGGAGGTGGCTAGAGAGGCGCCGAGCCCCGCCCCGGTGACACCCCGGTACGGGGTACGACCCCCCGGACCCGCCCCAGTGACACCTCCGCAGGGCCCACAGCCAGTTCACAACACCCCGACCCCTCCCCAGTGACACCCCAGTACGGCTCAGAGCCGCCCCGGCCCCCCCCCCCCCGCCGCGGCGCCGGTAATGCTGGGGGCTGGCGGGAAGCGGGCGCTGCCGGGGGGGGGGGGGGGGGGGGGGGGGGCGGAGCGGCGCTAATGGGATCAGGGACCCCCCGATCGCATCAGGATGGAGCCGGGGGCCATTAGCGGGGGGCTGGGGCCGCTAATTGGGACTGAGCTCAGCCCGGGCCCGGGTTCAAGGAGGCGGGGGAGGGCGGTAAGGAGGGGGGAGCCGGGCCCGCACCCGCCGCGGCTCGGCACCCACACTCACACCCTCGGTGGGGTTTTTTTATTCAATCGGAGTTGCCATGTGAACGGACCCAAAATACAAAAAAAAAAAAACAAACAAACAAACAAAAACAAAAACAAGGAAAGAGACAGAAACAAACCCGAGTATTTAAAAAAATAAATTGATGCGAAACAGGGCTGAGGTGGGGCCCTCCTGCCCCCACAGGGCCCCGCTCCCCCCCCAGGCACTGCGGGCTCAGTCGGGGAGGGGGGGGGGGGGGGCCGGGGGACGCCCACCCTGCTCCGGGCATCACAGCAGGAGGGTGCAGAGCAGCTGGGGGCGGGGGGCCAAGAGCCAGGTCCCTGCAGGGGTGGGGGGGGCGGCTGGGCCACCCCCTCCTCGCGCCGATCGGAGAACTCAAGAGGGACGGGGCTAATCCGAGCCAGACGCTGATTCCTCCGAGCTGGGGGGCAAGCTGGCGACCCCCTCCTCCTCCGAGTCCTGCGGGCAGGGGTGAGGTCAGGGGGGGTCGGGGGGGGCAGCTCCCCACCCCTCCCACACCCCACAGCCAGGACACGGTGATAGCTGTGGCCTGGGGACGTGTGTCACGCACAGACAGGCCACCTGCACCCTGAGGGATAGGACCCACGTCCCAGGGACAAGCCCCAAGGACCACCCTGAGCCCCCCCAGACCCTCCCCCGGCCCCCACCTCCTTCTTGCTCTCCCCCGAGGAGCTCTCGTCGCTGGAGACAAACTCCTTGCTCTTGAAGCTCTCGCTCATGTTCTTGGCGGGGGACTTGGAAGAGGACAGAGACTTGGAGCCAGCGCCTTTCCTCTCCACCTTCCCCTTCATCTGCTTCTCCTGCTTCTTCTTCTTCTTCTTCGACCTCTCCCTGCACACGGCGGGAGGGCGAGCAGAAGCGTTACCCCTCCCGGATGCCCGTCGCCCCCCAGCCCCGTGGCAGTGGGGGAGCAGCCTGCTGTGGGGAGGGCAAACTCACGCCTTGGAGCTCTCTGACTTGCTGCCCACGCTGTACTCCTTCATGGCCTTCTCATAGTCCCTCCTGGCATCTTCAGCCTTGCGATCCCACTCCTGCAGCACGACCACAGGTTTGGGGAGCTCCCCAGCACCCACCACCCCCATCGCCACCCTGGGCCGAGCCCACGCTCACCCAGCAGCTCAGCAGCCCCAAGGGCGTCCCGACCCCGCCCCCTCCGTGGAGCACCTGTGTCCCCAGAGCAAGAAAGACCCTGCCCGGCCCCCCCAGGCTCAGCTCGCCCCACCCACAGAGTGACCCAGGGGCCCTGTCCCCCCCACCTCCTTCTTCTCCTTGGACATGGCTTTCCAGAGCTCCCCGGCCTTCTTGGACAGGTCCGTGATGCTGATGCCGGGGTGGTCCGACTTGATCCTCTCGCGGCTGGCGTTCAGCCACAGCATGTAGGCCGACATCGGGCGCTTGGGCGCGTTGGGGTCCTTCCCCTTCTTGCTCTGGCAGGGAGGGAGGACACAAGGGTGAGAGGCTGGAACAGCACCGCTCACCGCAGACCGCGGGGCTGGGATCCAGGGGGGGCACGGCCACCCCTGCTCCAGGAGCGGGTCTGGGATCCCGAGGGGGCACAGCAACCCCTGCTCCAGGAGCGGGTCCAGCTCCCCACCACCTCTCACCTCCAGCTGCTTCTTGCGGGGCTTGCGGTCTTTGACGATCTTGGCTTTCTTGGCTGGCTTCTTCTCGTCCCGGTCGCTGTCACCGTCACCACTGGAGGAGCTGGCCGAGGCGTTGCTGTCAAACCTGTGTGGAGGTGCTTGGCTTCAGCGACAGCTCGAGACCCCCACCCCAAAAAGGTGAAGCACGAGGTGGGGGAGACATAGCAGCCACAAGCAGGCAGCAAGACTTGGCCCTGAACCCTCCCAGCCTCCAACAACCCATAATTCAGAGCCTTCCTGAGCGGAAGCTGTTATGTTCGTGCTTAACAGCTCTCAGGGGATTTTCCTTCCACGAACACGGCTCATCATTTTCTGACTTCCTGTAAATTTTAGGTACTCTCAGCGCCGCACAGCTCAACCCCACCGAGATCCACCTCCTCCTCCCCCTCCTCGGGCTGAGCCCGGCTCCCACCAGCGCACATGATGGCCCTTTGCGCCGGGGCAGAGGCGGCGATTCTCACCCGCCCTCTCCCCCAGCTCTGGATCTGAGGGAGCTGTGGCCCATCCTCCACTCCAACGGCTGAGGCCTCACCTGGGAGCCCCCCAGTTCCCCCCGAATGCCCCTCGCAAACCCTTTCCAGTTGTGCCGTGTCACTGCAGCAGCACAAGCCCAGAACCGCACCCGCTCCTCAACATCAAGTTCAGGCATTTATACGGCTGTGCCTTTTGGTACCATGATAAGGTATCAAATATCAAAATACCAAATCAAAAATTATACCACTCCCCAACGTTCACACAGCCCTGCACAACACCCCCAAACAGCACCTTCCAACTCTCCCCCCCTAGACAGATCCCTGCCCTGCCCCTACTCACTCTTCAGCCACATCATCATCCTCTTCTCCAGGGTTGAAGGACTCATCTGGAAGGAAAGCACCGGGGTCAGCTCACAGCGAGGCGAGGACGGACGGGACTTCGCTGGAGTGAGGGAAGAGGACCGAGGACACCCCCACCCCCCAGCAGTGCCTCACGCCTCCCCGGCCTCCACCCTCACCTGTCTCCTCCCCAGAGCCGTCGCTGCTGTCGTTGGCGTTCTCCTCCCGGATCTTGCCCTCCTCCTTCATCCTCTCCAAGTAGGCGTCGTGCTGGTCCTCATCGGAGTCGGCGTATTCGTCGTAGCTCTGCTTCATGCCCTGCGGGGAGAGTCGGTGTGAGAGCTGCCCCCCGCGCTCCCCCCAGCCTGCACACACCCCTTCTCTGGAAAATGCAACTCCTGGCATGCTCCTGGGTGGGCACGGCCCCCGACGCATGCATGGCACGGACGGGACACCCGCCACGTCCCCTCCTTCTCCCCATCAGGGCTCCAGAGAGAGGGGCAGAAAAGTTATGGGAGTTAGGGGGGGGGCCCCTCCCGCAAATCATGCCGGAGTTACTGGGTTTAGTCAGGGACCACCACAGCCATGCAGAGGAAACCTGCACCAGGAAGAGGAAGAGGAGAAAGAGGAAGGGATATCGCACGGACCTTTTTCCTCTACAAGGGCAAGGAGAGAAAAAAGAGGTGAAAAAAAAAGAAAAAGGGAAAAGCAGCAAAATTTCGGAGAGAAGACAGCCCCCAACCCTCTCCCAACCCCAGGCGGCGGGGCAGCTGTTCCAGCGGGGCATGGGGAGCCAGCCCGGCTCAGCAGGTACCTCCTTGAGGCCTCGGTTCTTGATGTTCAGCTTCTTGGCATTGACGAAGTCAAAGAGCTTCCCGTACTCCTCCCTGCGGGACAGGTGGGGCAGTCAGGGCTGGGGGGGCCAGCGAGGCCAGCGCCTTGGGGCACAGAGCGCGGCACGGCCCCGCGCCCACCTCTCTATGCTGCTGAAGGTGTACTGCGTGCCCTGCTTGGTCTCGATCTCGAAGTCGAAGGAGCGGGTGGTGGTGGTCCCACGGGCAAAGTTGACAAAGGAGATCTCGTCGAAGCGGATGTGCACGGGAGGCTTGTGCACATAGATGAAGCCCCGCTCCAGCGGGTAGAGGAGCCCCGAGCTGGCCTTGTAGGAGCAGGTGATGCATTGGGCTCCCGAGTGCCTGCGGGGGCAAACATGGCTGTCTGACACCCGTGGGTGGCAAACGCCCCCCTGAGCCCACCCCCACAGCAAGACAGAGCCTGGCAGCCGCTGCCCCAGCACGGATCTCAGAGAGCCCCTTCCCTCTGAGCGCAGAAGCGAGAGAGAGAGAGGGGCTGGTCATGCTGCCAGATTAGGGAGGGATCTCAAAGAGCCAGCCTCGGGCTGCCAGCCCAACAGCCTCTGCACCTCTCCCCATCTCCGCACCCTTTCCAGCAGCGGGGAGACCCCACATCCCACCATCCACACCTGCCCCAGCGCGCCTCACCCCTGGAAGTTGCCAGGCACGGTAATCTTGCGGTTCACCAGCGCCTTCATGACTCGGCTGACCATCTCGTAGAGGGAGCCTGACATGTTCTTGGTGAGCCGCCCCTCGAAGCGTTTCTCCACCTCCTCCCTGCATGACCAAAAGAGAGGGCAGCGCTGAGAAGGGGAACCCAGGAGGTTTGGTACCTCCCCCCCGGCTCCCCGCGGCCCCCGGATCCAGGGATGGGCTCGAGGATGCAGCCTTGAACTCACTCGTTCATGTTGAGGGTCAGGGAGATGTCCTCATCCTTGGAGAAGAGCAGGATAAGGAAGTGGTAGCGGGTCTGGCCTTGCTTTATCGGGGGATCCAGGCTGATCTGAAAAGGGGAGAGGAGGCGAGGAGCTGAAATCCCCCAAGGCTGTCGCTTGCCACCCTCCCCTGGGGGACAGAAGCCCCCTCGCCCCCCGCTCACCACAAAGAACATCTGCCGCTGGTCCTTGTGCGGGAGCAGGAAGAGGCGCAGCACGGTCGTGTAGGGGATCTTGTAGTCGAAGGTCTTGCCGTGGAGGTGCAGGAAGGTGGGGTAGATACGGATGTCGTACCGCCCGCGTGGCGTCAGGCACTGTAGCTCGCGGAAGATGCAGATGGCATCGCCGGTGGCCTGGATCACATCTGCCTTGGAGAGGACGTTCTGAGCGAAGGCCTGCAAGGGGAGGGAGTTACGGCTGGGCGGGGGCACCCAGCTACCCGCTCTGCCTGACCCACTGAGCCCAGGGCCCCCCCCCCGCTCACCTCCACGGGGTCCACGCCGTCCTCCTGGGTGGGGGGCACGTAGAAGCGAACCTCCATGAGCGAGACCTCGGCGTCATCGTTCTGGTGGAACTCCAGCGTCACCTCGTTCTTGCCCGTCGTGCACTGGGAGACGTTGCTGAGGGGGATCTCGAACACCGGCTGCTCCCCGATGTCGAAGGAGAGCAGCTGCCCTGGAGGGCCAGGTGCGCAGGGTCAGCACAGACCCTCAGCGTGCCCCTCCGTCCCTTCTCCAGCAGCAGCCCCTGTCCCCTCCCTCGGTCCAGAAGCGCCTCTCCTCTCCCCCCCCGGCTCCCTCCCAAATCTCCACACTCTCTCCTTCTGGCTGCAGCCCCAGAGACAGACCCTGCTCAGCCATGAGCGTGAGGGAACCATCTGTTCCCACATCCTGCTGCTCTCAGAGCAGGGAGAAGCATCCACCAGTTCCCCCAGTTCCATCAGGAGCGGGATCTGCCCCGCGCTCGCAGCTCCCACGCCGACCTTTCTTTTATGCTGACCGTTCCCTGCCCACAAAGCCTTCCCTGGGGATTTGGGGCCCTGTCGCGTTCCTGCAATGGCTAACGTCCTCGCTGTCCCTGAGGACACGGCCAGGAAGCGTGCAGCTGCCCAGGGGACCAGCCAGGTGCTGCAGCAACCGCTGCACTGGTGGGAAACCGTCCCAGCCCCACCCCGCACAGGGGATCCCTCTCCCCAGTAACTACTCACCTCCAAACCTCACTGTCCCCCAGTTCCAGCCCTTCACACACAGATCCTTCTCCGCCAGCTCCAGGCGGTAGTGGGCCTTGAAGAAATCTGAGAGTTTATCAAACTCCTGTGCCGGGGTGAGAAAGAGGGAAGGGCCGTTAGAAACCATCACGCACAGGCAGGCGCTGCCCAGAGCCCAGAACTGGGGCACAGCCACTCCCCAGCACAAGGGAAGCGGTGAGAAAAGGGGGGGTCAGAGATGCTCCAGGTGGGGTCAGCCCCGCCAGACGCAGGACAAGCACAGGCCAGCACGAGAAGAGCCGCCAGCCAGGGACGAGGACACGGCAGCAGCCGCGGCGCTCACCGATTCCCGGAAACCATCGTATTTGTAGACGTGGCCATTCTTGGTGAGCAGCTTGAGGCCGTGGCCCAGCGCCACGCGCCGCCACACGCCCTCGGCCAGCTCCGAGGCCTGGATGTTGTCCACTTTCCCCGTCTTGCTGTTCTTGAAGATGACGCCTTGGCGGCTCAGCCGCAGCCGCCCGTCGTTCTGCTGGGAGAGGCGGCCATGAGGCGGGGGGAACCACTGCCCCCCCGGGCACGACGGGCCCCTGTGACCCAGACATGGCACCTCCTCCGAGCACCGGCCAGCTTCAGCCCCCATGCGCTCCCCACCGCCCCGCCAGCACCCTCAGCACCACCCGCATTTTGGGGGCGATACCGCTACTGTCCGAGGGCTGGGGGGTGACCCAGAAATGCCCAATCCCACCGAGCGGGCTGGCCTCCCTTCTCCCCGCTCCCCGAACCGCTCCACAGCCCCCGCCAATGCCCCAAAACGCCTCAGCCCCCCTCCCTCCCACAGGGCGCAAGTGGGGGCCCCCCGGGACCTGTCCCCATCCCCCCCAGCTCACGCACCATGGATCCTTTCACCTCCTGATAAATCTCGTTGAACTCCAGTGTGTCGGCCATGGCAGCTGGGGGAGGCGCGGGCGGCCAAGCGCAGCAAGGGGCTCAGCTCCCCCCCCTCATGCGCGGTGACCCACGGGGACAGCGCAGCTGCGTGGGGGGGATGGGGGGTGAGCGGGGCCCGGCGCGGCGGCTCCCCGGGGGGAAGATGGCTTCCGCGGGGGGGAGGGGAGACTCGGCGAGTGCGGCCACCCCCGAAACCAAACCCCGGGTTGTCCCCCTCCCCCGCTCTCCGCACCCCACCGGGGCGCTGCCGCTTGGGGTAGAGCCGCCCCAGACCCCCCCGGGAACCCCTGCCCCCCTCTTCCCTGGCGCCCCCCCCGCTCCCCTCCCTTGTGCCCCCCCCCCCCCCGCCCCCGTAACCCAAATCCCGCCCCCCCGCTGCTCCCGGCTCCCAAATCCACCCCCCGGACCCTCAGCTCACCCCCACCGGGGATCCCAGACACCCCCCCCCCCCGCCGTCCCCCCCTTCCCCGGGGCTGCCCCCGCCCCCCCGGGAGACCAGACCCCCCCCGGGAGACCAGACCCCCCCGGCCCCGCTCCCACCCCCCCCCCCCGCCGCCACTTTTCCCGCCTGCGCAACACGAACCTCGCGCGGAGCCTCCCCCCGCCGCCACCGCCGCCGCCGGAAGTCGCCCCCACTTCCGCCATAGAGAGGAGCCTCTCTGGGCGCCGCCGCGGGAGGACCGCTCGGCCGCGGCGTGGGCGGGGCCATAGAGGCGCCGGGAGGACTCCGGCTAGAGAGGACGCAGCGTCCCGCGGCCGCCCCGCCATAGACGCGGGGGAGGCGAGAGCGGCCGATTCTCGCCTGCCGCGCTGCCCCGCCGGGCGCCATAGAGTGGCGGGAGACCTCCGGCCAGCCCCCCACCCCATTGGTCAGCGCTGGGTGATCCCCGTGACGTCACCGCGACGGCCCGGGGTGGGGGGCACCCCCAAATCCGAGGCGCACCCCCCCCAAAATGGGGGCCCCAAAAAACAGGGGCGCCCCAAATAGCAATCACCCCCCAAAGCCCGGGGGTCGTGCACACGGGGCATCCCCCCCCATGAGCACCCCAAGAACCCCCCAGCGCCCCCCCACGCCCCCCATGAGCACCCCCACACCCCCCAGCGCCCCCCCACGCCCCCCATGAGCACCCCCACACCCCCCCAGCGCCCCCCCACCCCCATGAGCACCCGCAGGCCCCCCCAGCGCCCCCTCACACCCCCCCATGAGCACCCCCAGTGCCCCCCCATACCACCATTAGCACCCCCGGACCCCCCAGCGCCCCCCCACGCCCCCCATGAGCACCCCCGGACCCCCCAGCGCCCCCCCACGCCCCCCATGAGCACCCCCAGGCCCCCTCAGCGCCCCTCCACGCCCCCTATGAGCACCCCCGGACCCCCCAGCGCCCCCTCACGCCCCCCATGAGCACCCCCAGCGCTCCCCCGCCCCCCAATGAGCAACCCCAGACACCCCCCAACGCCCCATCGCGGGGCTGCCCCGCCCCTCCCACGCCCCAGGAAGGGGGTGCGGCCCCTCCCTCTCCCCCCCCCCTCGGGCTGTGCCCCCGCCCCCCCGGCCCCTCCCACATCGCCCCCTCCCCGCCTGCCCCCCTGCCCGCTCCGCCCTGCCCGCGCCGCCCTCGCTGCCTGTCCCCCTCGCTGCCTGACCCCCCGCCCGCACCCCCTCATCGCCTGTACCCCCCCCGACCCCCCGCCCGCCCTGCCCATGCCCCCCCCGCGCCCCCGCCCCCGCCCCCGCTGGGTGACCGAATTCTTCTCCTACGAGACCACCAAGTCGGTGGTGGTGAAGAGCTGGGTGGTGGGGGCTGTCAACCGCGGCGTGCAGCTCCTCATCCTCGCTTACTTCGTCGGGTGAGACCCCCTCCGCCCCCGCGACCCCCCCACCCCGCGATCACCTCCCCTCGCCCAGGGCACCCACGAGTGGGCGACGCGGGGGGTGCCGCGAGGGGCACCCGGCGGGTGACGGTGGGGATGGGGGGGGGGGGTGGGGTGGGGGGTGAGTGGCGGTGGGTGACAAGGGTGTCAGCGCGACGTGGGGTGTCCTGTCGCGGGTGACACGACGGGGACAGCCCGTCGTGCGGGTGACACGGGGGGGGGGGCCTCCGGGTGACAGAGCCGGGGGCGGCGGGGGGGGGGGTGCCCCCGTGCCCAGGCTCTCCCCGCGGGGTGTCGGCGGCCACCGGCGCGGCGTGGGGGGAGGTGGGGGGGGGGGGGGCACAGGCAGGTCCCGTTGGGGGGGGGGGGCTGTCCCCACCATCACACACACACCCCCCCCCGCGGGTGTTGTCCCAGGTGGGTGTTCCTCCACGAAAAAGCCTACCAGGTGCGCGACACCGTCATCGAGTCCTCGGTGGTGACCAAGGTCAAGGGCATCGGGCGCTATGCCGGCCGGGTGCTGGACACGGCCGACTACGTCACCCCCCACCAGGTGGGGGGGCGGGGGGGGGGGGGGTCCCTCACTGCCTCAGTTTCCCCTCTCGGAAGGAGCAGGGTGATAGTGATGGATGTGTGTGTGTGTCCCCCCCAGGGCACCTCGGTGTTCGTGGTGGTCACCAAGCAGATCCTGACGGAGAACCAGGCGCAGGGCGTGTGCCCGGAGGTGCGGGGCTTGGGGGAGGGGGGGGGGTGTGCTGCGGGGGGGGTGTCACACCGGGCGGGCCCCCCCGCCATGCTCACACACCCCCCCCCCACGCAGAGCGAAGCCGAGTACCGCTGCACGGCCGACCGCGACTGCCGGGAGAAGGGTCCCGCCACGGGCAGCGGTGAGGGGGGTCCCCGCCCCTGGGGGGGGGGGGGTCGAGGGGGTGGGGTGGGGGGAGTCGCAGGGCCCCCCCCCCGAGCTGACGGGGGGTCCCGCAGGGCTGCTGACGGGGCGCTGCGTCCCCTACAACGGGACCCTGCGCTCCTGCGAGATCCGCGGCTGGTGCCCGCCCGAGGTGGACACGGTGGACGTGTGAGTGGGGCCGGGGGCGGGGAGGGGGGGGGCTCGGGGGGGGTGTGCCCCTCCCGCCCCGCGGCCCCAGGGACACCCCCTCTCCCCGCCCCCCCCCCCCCAGCCCCGTCATGCTGGAAGCCGAGAACTTCACCCTCTTCATCAAGAACAGCATCCGCTTCCCGCTGTTCGGCTTCGAGAAGTGAGTGGCCGCGGGGCCGCGGGGCCGCGGGGCCGTGGGGACAGCGGGTGGCTGACACCCCCCACACACACCCCGCGCTCCCCCCACCCCCGTGTCCCCCCAGGGCCAACCTGCCACCCCCCGGCAGCGGGGGGGAGCTGGGGCGCTGCCGGTTCCACCCCGAGCGGGAGCCCCTCTGCCCCATCCTGCGGCTGGGGGACGTGGTGCGCCTCGCCGGGCAGGACTTCCCCACGCTGGCTGCCACCGTGAGCCGGGGACACGCGTGGGGACACGGAGCGTGGGGGCGGGTCGTGGGGACATGGGGACACGGGGACATGGAGCGTGGGGGCAGGACGTGGGGACACAGAGTGTGGGGACAAGGGGACACGGCATGTAGGGACATGGGGACACAGAGCATGGGGGCAGGATGTGGGGACACGAGGACACGGAGCGTGGGGACACGGAGTGTGGGGGTGGGAATTGGGGACACAGTGGGGGGGGCAGGACATGGGGACACAGGGACACGGCGCATGGGGGCAGGATGTGGGGACATAGGGCTGTGGGGCAGGGATAGGGGGGCATGGGGATGCAGGGGCACAGGGATATGGGGCATGGACCTTGGGGACACCGTGACATGGGACATGGGGATGTGGGGAGACGGGGACATGAGACAGGGGATGTGGGGACATGGGGATGTGGGGAATGGGGACACAGAGATGTGGGATGTGAGGACATGGGGAGACGGACCTTGGGGACACAGAGATGTGGGGCCATGGGGACGCAGGGATGTGGGGACTTGGGGCGTGGGAGTGCAGGGATGTGGGATCTAGGGAACGGGATGTGGGACGCGGGGACGAGGGGATGTGGGACTTGGGGATGTGGGCACCTGAGGCCATGGGGCTGTAGGGCATGGAGTGTGGGGCGTGGGGCAATGGGGCGTGGGGCCGTGGGGCGTGGGCGAGCGCCCGCTCATGCTGCGGCCGGGGCAGGGGGGGGTGCTGGGCATCAAGATCGGGTGGGTGTGCGACCTGGACCGCGCCTGGGAGCGCTGCCTGCCCCGATACTCCTTCACCCGCCTGGACGGCCGCGCCCGCCCCCCCGCCCCCGCTCCCGGGTACAACTTCAGGTACGGCACGCGCTGCCGCGCGGGGACACACGTGTCACACGCGTGTGCACAGCCCGGCATGGCCCCCCTCCTCGTGTCCCCATGCAGGCACGCCAGGTACTACCGCTGGCGGGACGGCACCGAGCGCCGCACCCTCACCAAGGCCTTCGGCATCCGCTTTGACGTCCTGGTGTACGGCAACGTACGTGGGGGACTCGGGGGGCCCTAGGGGGGCCGTGGGGAGCGGGGACCCCCCCACCAACTGGGCTCTCTGCACCCCCAGGCTGGGAAGTTTGGCATCGTCCCCACCCTCATCAACACGGTGGCGGCTTTCACCTCCATCGGTGTGGTGAGTTGTGGCCGTTCTCGGCCCCTGTGTGGCAGCATCTCCCTGCCTGAGGGGTGGGGACTTGGGAGAGGCCCTGTGCACCCCACAAATATGGGGTGGGAGGGGGGAAGTGGTGCCCCATAGTAATTGGGAGGGGGATGGAGGAAGACCCCATAGCTGCAGGGCGTGGGGACAGAGTAAAACCCTGGTGTGATGGCAGCCTGGCTCCGCGGGGGGCTGTGGGGTGTCAGGGGGGTGCCCCATAGCACGGGGCCCCCACACCCCAATGCTGCCGCCCCCAGGGCACGGTCCTGTGCGATATCATCCTGCTCAACTTCCTGAAGGGAGCCGAGCACTACAAGGCCCGCAAGTTCGAGGAGGTCAGCCGTGGGGCTGGGGCCGCTGTGGGGCTGGGGCTGCTGTGGGGCTGGGGCTGCTGTGGGGCTGGGGCCATGCTGGGGTCAAGTCCAGGGGGGCTTCATCGGATCACGCTGGGGGATGTGTGGGGCTGGCTGGTGTGACAGATGTGCGGGCAGTGCCCCGAGCTCCTCCTGGCTATGGGGCAGGGACTAACCCGGTGTCCATCCCCTGACCCACAGGTGCCAGAGGCCAGCGTGCCCGCGCCCCCCGCCAGCCCCACAGCGTGTCCCCTCGGGGCGCTGGGGGGCTGCACCCGAGACAAGCAGTCCACTGACTCGGGCACTTTCTCCCTCAGCCTCTAGCCCTGGGTGCCGTGGGGCAGCCCCCCACCTGCCCCCCACTCTGTGGCAGCCCCCTGCCTGTGCCCGGCTGGGGGTTCCCCTGCACCCTCCCCCTATCCCTCCCAGTGGATGGCACCCCCTTTCCCACACTATCAATGGGACAGGGCACAGGGGACCTATGGGGCGGTGCGGGTGACGCTGGTGGCAGTGGGGACAATGTCGAGGGTGGCAGCAGGAGCACAGGGGACAGGGTGGCACCGGGGATGGCAGAGGGACGGGGGGGGTAAGGGGGTCAAAGGGGCAGGGTGGGGATGAGGGACATGGGATGAGGGACATGGGGTGGCCCCGGGGGTGGCAGAGGGGCACGGGGCTCCGGGAATCCCCCACAAGGGGCACCCAGGTGGGCACCAGGGCTGGGGTGCCCAGGGTGTGGGGATGGGGGTCACCCCTCTGGGTGCCACTCTGCTGTCCCCCATCACCCCGTGACCCCCCCAGTGCATGTGTGCCCCATGTCCCCGCAGGAACCCAACCCCCAACTGCAGCCCCATCGTCCGCAGCTGGGTGGGGGGCTGACCAGAACTCCCCCAGTGCCCCCTGTCCCCAGCATCCTGTCCCCCCCGTCCCCGGTGCCCATCCCTGGGTGCCCCAGTCCCAGTGCCCCCACCCACCCCAGTGCCCCCCTCAGCAGGTGCCACCTGGCCGGGGGGGGTCCCGCCGGGGGGGTCCCACCCCACATCCCCCCAGGTCCCCACAGCTCCCACATCTCTGTCCAGGGGGACTGGGAGGGCCCCCCAGGGCTGGGTGCTGCTTGTTGGTGCAGTAGGTCCTGCTAGGTGACAGAGGTGACACCCCACAGTCCCCCCGTTCACCTGCTGCCTCAGCCCCCCCAGTGTCCCCCCATACCTGCGACCCCCCTTGGCACCTCCCTGCTCCCAGCCAGCCCCATACTGGGGGGATGCACCCCCCACCCCAATAAAGCTTTGTCTTGCAGCACCCATCCATCTCCAGCCTGTGCCGGGGGGGTCAAGGGGTGGCTTTATGGGGGGGGTCTGATGGGAAGGGTTGGGGCACAGGGGTGGAGGAAGGGGGGGGCCAGGGTGATACCACCGATTTGGGGGGTCCCACGGGGCCCGGTATCAGGGTGCCACCACAGCCCCTGGGGAGGGGACCCCCCGCTCCCCTGCTGCCCACACAGGGGCCGTGCAGGGTACTGGGAACACCCCCGTCCCCAAATCTCCCCCCACTGTGCACCCCAGCGTGCTTCCCACTCCCCCACCCCCCATTACAACCCACACTGGGGGCCCCCAGGACCCCCACACACCTGCCCAGGGCCCAAACACAGAGATTGGTGCTGGAAGCTGACACTTTATTGAGATCTGGGGTGGGGGTGCAGCCCCCTGCCATGGGGCCAGTGGCAGGGGGGGGCTGCAGCAGGGGGTTTCCCTGGGGGTCCGCAGGGCTGGGGGGCACCGCGGGGGGGGCTGAGCCCCTCAGTACTCGCAGATGAAGGGCAGCCTCACCTGGCAGTTCAGGCTTCTCCAGCGCCCATCTGGGGGGGGGGGGGGGGGGGAAGGAGAGGAGGGGTCAGCCCTGGCACCCCACAGCACCCACTGCCCCAGGAACCAGCACCCAACCCCCCAGGGACCCAACCCAACCCACCGCTGTTGCCAGCCCGCCCCCCCACCCCCCCCCCGTTGCCATATCACACACCCCCCCTGCCCAGGACAAGCCCCCCCGGGTCGTGTCCCCCCCCTCCGCCAGCACCCCCGCCCCCCGGGGTGCCCCCCCGCCCCACTGACTGTTGGTGCAGAGCGAGGTGCAGTAGCCACTGTTGCGCAGCGGATAGCCACGCTGCCAGTGCGAGTAGTTCCAGCGGCTGCGGTCTGTCCACTGGCAGCACACGGACCTGCCCTGCGAGGAGGGGTCAAGGGCATGGGGACACCCCCCGGCACCGGGCAGGGGGGGGCCGGGGGCATGGCGGGCTGGGACCACCCGGGGTGGGCACTGGGACTGGGCTGGGGCACCCGCGGTGGGCACTGGGGACACTGGGACAGGGCTGGGGCACCTGAGAGTGGGCACTGGGACAGGGCTGGGACCACCCGGGGTGGGCACTGGGGACACTGGGACAGGGCTGGGACCACCCGGGGTGGGCACTGGGACTGGGCTGGGGCAACCAGGGTGGGCACTGGGGACACTGGGACAGGGCTGGGGCACCCGGAGTGGGCACTGGGACTGGTCTGGGGTACTCAAGGTGGGCACTGGGGACACTGGGACAGGGCTGGGGCACCCGGGGTGGATACTGGGACAGCGGGACAGGACTGGGGCACCCAGAGTGGGCACTAGGACAGGGCTGGGGCAACCAGGGTGGGCACTGGGACAGTGGGACAGGACTGGGACATGTGGGCTGGGCACTGGGGACAGCGGGACAGGGCTGGGGCACCCGGGGTGGGCATTGGGGACACTGGGACAGAGCTGGGGCACCCGGGAGTGGGCACTGGGACAGGGCTGGGGCACCCAAGGTGGGCACTGGGGACACTGGGACAGGGCTGAGGCACCCGGGGTGGGCACTGGGGACAGGGTGGGACACCAAGGGATGGGCACTGGGCACAGGGGAGAGGGCGGGTGGTCCCTAACCGGGCAGGGTGCCATGAGGCGGAGGGGCTGGGGGTCTCTTACCACGGGGCGGGTGATGGCACCGATCCAGACCTGCCCGCGGTTGGTGCGGAGCCGGGCCTGGTGCCACAGGCAGGCGTTGGTGCGGGAGCCGTGGATGGAGGCGAGCTGCCCGCGGTAGCACCGGGCACAGATGTACTGCAAGGGGACCCCCCCCCGCCCCGGTTACGGGGGTGTCCGGGGTGGGCACAGGGTGTCCCCTGCCCCGAACCACCCCCTCCCCCGGCCCCCCCCTGCCCACCTGGGCGCCGTGGAAGGTCTGACAGTTGTTGATGATGATGTAGCGGAAGGTGGTGGCACCCGAGGGGCAGGGGACGCTGAGCGCCTGCGTCTCGCTCGCTAGCGGGCACCGGGCACCCTCCTCCTCCTCCTCCGGTACCTCCAGCGCCGCGGCCTCGGGGCTGGCGAGGGCTGGGGACACCACGAGCGTCACCCCGGGGGAGCGGCGTGGTTCCCCGGGGTGTCCCCGTGGGGTGGGGGGCGTGGGGGGCACTCACCGGGGCGGCTGGCGGAGGCCGTGGCCAGCAGGACCAGGGCGAGGAGCAGGCAGGGCGGCATGGTGGGGTGGGGGACACTGGTGGTGCTGGGGACACTGACGAGGAGGGGGGACACCGGCACCCTCGGGAGATGCCGTGTCCCCGGTCACCCTCAGCCACCCTGGGGCCACCCCTGTGTCCCTCTGCCCCCCCCAGCATCATCCCACCCTCCCCACCTCCCCTCTGCCAACCCCACCATGCCCCCGTGTCCCTCTGCCCCCCCCCATCCCCAATCTCTCTCCACCACCCCCAGTGCCACCCTTCCCCCCCGTGCCCACCACTGCCACCCCTGGGACCCCTCTGTCCCCCAGGGACCCTGTGCCACCCCATCTCCTCCCCGTCCCCCTGGCACCCCAGTACCACCCGTGCCAGCCCCAGGGACACCCACCCTGGCCCCCAGCCCCGGCATCCGGGGGCTGAGCCCCCCCTGCTGTCCCCGCTCCTCACCTGGGACTTGGGGGGGCTCCACGCGCTGCAGGCTGGGGGGCTCTGCCCGCTGTCACCCTTATAGGGGTGACAGGGCCACGTGTCCCCAACCGCAGCCTTGCACCACTCCAGCCCCAGCCCCACCGCGGCCCCCACCAGCCAACCGCTGGGCACGGGGGGGCGGCACCCGGGGGGGCCCTGCCTGCACCCCGCCTGGCCAGTGCACAGGGCAGATTTGGGGAGGGGGCTGCAGGGGATGGGGGCTGCAGGGGTTTGGGGTGCAGGGACAGGAGGTGGGGGCTGCAGGGGGTGGGGGCTGCTGACATGTAGGGTGCACAGGGCATGGGGTGGGGGCTGTAGGGGTGGGGGTGGAGGGATTTGGGGTGCAGGGGCACAGGGTGGGGGCTGCTGGCATGTAGGGTGCATGGGGTGCAGGGTGGGGGCTGCAGCGGTGGGGGTGCAGGGGTTTGGGGTGCAGGGACAGGGGGTGGGGGCTGCAGGGGGTGGGGGCTGCAGGGGTGGGGGGTGCAGAGGTTTGGGGTGCAGGGGTCAGGGTTGCAGGGGTTTGGGGTGCAGGGGCACGGGGTGGAGGCTGCAGGGGTTGGGGGGTGCTGGCATGTAGGGTGCACAGGGCATGGGGTGGGGGCTGTAGGGGTGGGGGTGGAGGGATTTGGGGTGCAGGGGCACAGGGTGGGGGCTGCTGGCATGTAGGGTGCATGGGGTGCAGGGTGGGGGCTGCAGCGGTGGGGGTGCAGGGGTTTGGGGTGCAGGGACAGGGGGTGGGGGCTGCAGGGGGTGGGGGCTGCAGGGGTGGGGGGTGCAGAGGTTTGGGGTGCAGGGGTCAGGGTTGCAGGGGTTTGGGGTGCAGGGGCACGGGGTGGAGGCTGCAGGGGTTGGGGGGTGCTGGCATGTAGGGTGGACGGGACATGGGGGTGCAAGTTGCTGGGGTGGGGGGTTCACAGGGTGGCCCAGGGGAGGTGGTTGCTTGAGGTGGGGGTGCCCAGGAGAGGGGTGCAGGGGGCACGGACATGGGGCCTGCAGGGTTTTGGGGTGCCAAGGGGCACAGGGATGAGGGCTGCAAGGGGTGTGGGGTGCACAGGAGAAGGGTGCAGGGGGCCCAGGGGAGGGGGCTGTGGGGTGCTGAGTCGTGAGCCCCATGGGGCTGGGGAGGTGGGGGGGGTGCCGGCCCCGGGGAGGGGGGAAAACAGGGGGGGGCTGTGGGTCAACGGCCCAGCTGGACTCTGGGGGCCACGGCCGTTGGGGAGGAAGCGGCCCTTGGGCAAGCGCTGCCCGGCGGGAGATGGTATCAGCACCCCCCAGCACCCCCCCCAGCAACCCTGGCACCCCCCACCCACAGGACTTGCTGCACCCTACACATCCCCCCCAAGCACCCCCCACCCCTGGGCTCCATGCACCCCCCAGCAGCCCCCACCCCTGGGCCATGTGCCCCCCACTCTGCACCCCCTGTCTCCATGCCCCAGGGGTGCTCCATGTGCCAGGCAGGGTCCCCCCAAGGCCCCCCCCCTCCAGTGTCCCCAGCAGTTGGCGGGTGGGGGCCAGGCTGGGGTGGTGCAAGGCTGCGGTTGGGGACACGTGGCCCTGTCACCCCTATAAGGGTGACAGCGGGCAGAGCCACCCAGCCTGCAGCACGTGGAGCCCCCCCAAGTCCCAGGTGAGGAGCGGGGACAGCGGGGGGGGCTCAGCCCCCGGATGCCGGGGCTGGGGGCCAGGGTGGGTGTCCCTGGGGCTGGCATGGGTGGCACTGGGGTGCCAGGGGGACGGGGAGGAGATGGGGTGGCACAGGGTCCCTGGGGGACAGAGGGGTCCCAGGTGTGGCAGTGGTGGGCACAGGGGGGAAGGGTGGCACTGGGGGTGGCAGAGGGGACGGGGCACAGCGTGGCACTGGGGGTGGTGGAGAGAGATTGGGGATGGAGGGGGGGGCAGAGGGACACGGGGGCATGGTGGGGTTGGCAGAGGGGAGGTGGGGAGGACGGGGTGATGCTGGGGGGGGCAGAGGGACACGGGGACATGGGGTTGGCAGAGGGACACAGGGGTGGTCCCAGGGTGGCTGAGGGTGACCGGGGACACGGCATCTCCCGAGGGTGCTGGTGTCCCCCCTCCTCGTCAGTGTCCCCAGCACCACCAGTGTCCCCCACCCCACCATGCCACCCTGCCTGCTCCTCGCCCTGGTCCTGCTGGCCACGGCCTCCGCCAGCCGCCCCGGTGAGTGCCCCCCACGCCCCCCACCCCGCGGGGACACCCCCCTGGGTGCCCCCCCCGGGTGCCCCGGTCACCCCGGGAGAGGTGCCGTTGCCCCCCTCCTCCACCCCCCCACCTGGCCGGTGCTGCGTGCCCTGGGGGCTGGTGGCGGGTGGCAGAGGGACCCCCCCGGGTACCAGCCCTCGCCCTGTCCCCAGCGCCAGCCCCCCGCCCCCCCCAGGGGGTCCCCGCAGGCACGGCCAGGGACGGTCAGAGGCTGTACTACACCGTGGTGACCAGGCGCCTCAGCTACTCACGTGCCCAGGTGAGGGGATATGGGTGCTGGTGGGAGCCGGTGGGTGCCAGCGGGTGCTGGTGGGACCCGGTGGGTGCTGGTGGGACCCGGTGGGTGCTGGTGGGTGCTGGTGGATGCCAGCGGGTGCTGGTGGGACCCGGTGGGTGCTGGTGGGACCCGGTGGGTGCTGGTGGGTGCTGGTGGATGCCAGCGGGTGCTGGTGGGACCCGGTGGGTGCTGGTGGGTGCCAGAGGGTGCTGACGGGTACCAGTGGGTACTGGTGGGTGCCTCTGGGTGCCATGGGGTGCCAGTGGGTACCAGTGGGTGCCAAACTGTGCCCCGTCCCGCAGCGGCACTGCCGGGAGGTGCTGGGGGGGCAGTTGGCCTCGGTGCACAGCGCTTCCCGCAACGAGCAGCTGCGGAACCTGGCACGCACCTACACCCGCCGCGCGCCCTGGATCGGGGCTGTCACCAGCCGCACGGTGAGGGGTGCCCAGCCCACCCAGGGGGGGCTGCGAGTGGGGCTGGGGGCTGGATGTGGGGGGCCGGGGGGTAGATATGGGGTGCAGGGGCTGGGTGTGGGGTGCCGCAGATGGGTGCAGGACCTGGGTGTGGAATGCTGGGGCTACTTTTAGGAGGTGAAGGGCTGGGTATGGGAGGGCTGGGACTGGTTTGGGGGGTCAAGGAGCTGCGTGTTGGGGGCTGGGGCTTTTTTGGGGGGCAAGGGGCCAGGTATGGGGGGTTGGGACTGGGTTTTGGAGGGGAGGGGCTGAGTGTGGGGGCTGTTTTTTGGGGGCGAGGGGCTGGGTATGGGGGGGGCTGGGTATAGGAGGGCTGGGGCTGTTTTTTGGGGGCGAGGGGCTGGGTATGGGGGAGCTGGGGCTGTTTTTTTGGGGGCCAGGCGCTGGGTGTGGGTGCCAGGCACGGGGTGCTGAGGCATCGCCCTGGCAGAATGGGCAGTGGGGGTCGTACTGGGAGGACTCCAGTCCCTGGAACTACGCCAACTGGGCGGCCACTCATCCCCACCACCTCCTCACCACCTGCACCACCCTCAGCACCTACGGTGAGAGCACCCGCACCCCCACCCACCGCACTGGTGGCACTGGGAGCACAGGGCTACTGGGGGCACTGGGAAGGGGCACAGGCCACTGGAAGTAATGGGAAGGGACGCCAGGAGGGGGCAGTGGGAGGGGGCACAGGGCTACTGGGGGCAATGGGAAGGGGCACGGGGGGGGCCACAGACCACTGGAAGCGATGGGAAGGGGCACAGCACTACTGGGAACACTAGGAGGGGGCAGTCGCCTACTGGGGGCAATGGGAGGGGGCAGAGGGGCCACCCCATGGCACTGACGCTGGCCCCTGTCCCCAGACGGACTCTGGAGAAGCAGGGCCTGCTTCCAGCTGCGCCCCTTCATCTGCCAGTACTGAAGACCCCGGGGGTGCTGCCATGGCCCCCCCCGCCCCTGGGGACCCGCAGTGGCCCCTGTCCCCAACCCAGTAAACCAGAGGTGCCTTGAGGTTGTGTGTCTGTGTGTACCGGGGGTCCAGGGGGAGGGGGCTGTGCCTCCCAGCCCTGGGAGGCAGTGGGGTGCTCAACCCCATAGCACACACTGGAGAAGCCCCAGCGGCTGGAGGTGCTGGGAGGGAGCAGCACAGCGAGCATCAGGAGCATCGGTGTTTATTCCCTTCCCCCCCAAACACACCCCATCCCACCGGCACAGCACCCCCCCAAGTCCAACAGAAAAACGGGGTGCAGCAGGCGCTGGGCTGGCAGCGGGGGGTGTGGGGCTCAGCAGGGCGCCTCGGTGGGGGTCTCGGCGCCGGGGGGGGCTGCCAGGGGGGTGCCAGCCGCCTCCAGCTCCTTGGCTCGCCGCCGGCACTCGCGGGCCACCACCACGGGACTGACGAAGGCCACCAGCACCACAGCGATGAGCCCCAAGTTCAGCTGGGGGTGAGGGGGGGGGGGGGAGAGTGAGGGTGTGGGTCTGGAGGGCTGACCCCCCCCACACAGGGGAGCCCCTGGGCCAGCCCCACAGCCCCCCCGTGCTGGGTGCAGCACCCTCCACTCCCCACAGGGCAGGACCCCCGCCCCTCCCTGGGGCGGCACCTCTTCCCCCGTGGGGCAGGACACCCACCCCTCGCCGTGGGGTGGCTGTGGTGCGGCTGTGGGGCAGGAACGCCCACCCCTCGCCATGGGGTGGCCGTGGGGCCAGTACTCACGTAGAAGGGGTCCCCGCCGAGCGGGCCGCGCACCAATGCGACGCAGGGGTACTGCAGCAGGGCCACCAGCGCTGACAGCGCCATGGCCAGCCCGTACAGCTTCCCAAAATGCTGGGGGGGGAACCTGCCCGGCACCCCCCCGTGTCACACCGCCGCGCCCCCTGCCCCGACACCCTGTCCCCTGACACACACACCACAACCCCCCCCCAACCCTTCCACCATCCCCTGACACCCCCACCCTGACCCCGTCCCCCCTTGTGCACCCTGCCCCTCCCGCGCCCACTCACACAATGACCTCGTGGCCCCCCCCCCCCGCTCCTTTCTCCCCCGTCACACCATGCCCCCCTCGGCCCCCCCCCCTCACACCATGCCCCACCTCATGTCATGCCCTCCTTTGCCCCCCACTCATGCCATGCCCCTGCTCACGCCATGCCCCCCCTTTGCCCCCCCTCACACCATGTCCCCCCGTGCCAAACGCTCACGCCATGCCCCCCCCTCACGCCATGCCCCCCCCGTCCTCCCCCTCACGCCATGCCCCCCACTGATGCCATGCCCCCCCTGCTGCCCCCCCCTCACGCCATGCCCCCCACTGATGCCATGCCCCCCCTGCTGCCCCCCCCTCACGCCATGCCCCCCCCTCACGACACGTCCCCCCCGTCCTCCCCCTCACGCCATGCCCCCCACTGATGCCATGCCCCCCCGCTGCCCCCACCCCACGCCATGCCCCCCCCGTCCTCCCCCTCACGCCATGCCCCCCCTCACGCCATGCCCCCCCGCTGCCCCCACCCCACGCCATGCCCCCCCCTCACGCCATGCCCCCCACTGATGCCATGCCCCCCCTGCTGCCCCCCCCTCACGCCATGCCCCCCACTGATGCCATGCCCCCCCTGCTGCCCCCCCCTCACGCCATGCCCCCCACTGATGCCATGCCCCCCCGCTGCCCCCACCCCACGCCATGCCCCCCCCCCCCCCCCCCGCGCCCCCCACTCACGCCAGCGCCAGGAAGGCGGCGTTGCCCCCGTAGAGGAAGGAGCGGCTGATGACCTGCAGCGCGAAGGTGCCGAACTGCGCGGGCAGCAGCGGCACGGCCGCGCACACCGAGAAGAGCGCGCACAGCGCCGCGGTCACGGACAGCGAGAGCACGGCGGCACGCAGGTCTGCCAGCACCCCCGGGGGCCCTGCGGGCGCGGGTGGCGGTTCACGGCGGGGCACCCACGGACCCCCCCCGGGGACACACGGACAGCGGGAGCGCGGGTGCGCCCGCCGGGGTGGGGTGGGGGGGGGGTGTTCGGTTACCGTCGGGGCGGGGGGTCCTGTCCCGCTTGTGCCGGTCCAGGATGAGGCCGTTCCACGGGGCGCAGAGCACCCCGCAGAGCTGCGTGAAGGCGAAGGCGTTGGTGTAGGTGCTCACTGCGGGGACGGGGCGTCAGGGCGGGGCCGGCCGCCACCGGGGGGGGGGGGGGGGGGGCGGGGGAGGGTGTGTGCCCCCCCCCGGGGGTGCGTGTGCCCCCTCCCTGTACCCTGGTGGGGGTCTCCGCGGGCCAGGAGGTGCAGGAGGGGGTTGAGGGTGCCGATGAAGAGGTAATGGCGCAGCTGCATGACGGAGAGCCACACCACGTGCCACGCGAACAGCGCCGAGCACACGCAGCCCACGAAGGACGCGCCGGGGGGGGCGCCGCCTCCTGCGCGCGAGGGAGGGCGGGGCACAGCTGGGGACACGCCCCGGCCACGCCCGGCCATGGAGACGCCCCGCTGCCACACCCAACTGCCCCCCCCCCCCCCTGAATCCACCTGTGTGGCCTCGCCCCTTTAACTACGAGGCCACGCCCACCCTCTGACCACACCCACACACGGCCGCGCCCAGCCCCCAGCCCCACCCCCTTCATCTGCATAACCACGCTCGCCAGTTGACCACACCCAGGTAAGCCCACGCCCCGCCCCGCGGCCCCTCCCCCTGCATCTGCATCATCACACCCACACTCTGACCTCACTCCTGCGTAGCCACGCCCACCCCGCGCTCCCGCTATCTGCATAGCCCGGCCCCCAGCTCGCCCCGTGGCCACGCCCACCTCGCGTACCTGCCACTCACCGACGCGTCCACACCCACCCGCCGTGAGCCCACGCCTGCCCCACCCCCCCGCAGCCCCGCCCGCCGCAAACCACGCCCCCGCTCAAGCCCCACCCCGTCGCCAAGCCCCGCCCCCACCTCGCAGCGCGCGCGGCTCCAGGGGGGTCTCCTCGGGCCCCGCCCCCCCCCGCTTCTCCTCGTAGGTTCGGTACGAGCGGGACCGGCCCGGGCACCGCAGCCTGCGGCAGCGCCCGCGTCACCCCGCGGGACGGGACCCCCAAACCCCGCGGGACGGGACCCCCACCCACCGCTGGACAGGACCCCCAAACCCCGCGGGACGGGACCTCCCACCCACCGCTGGACGGGAGGGACACCGCGGGACGGGACCCCCAAACCCCGCGGGACGGGACCCCCACCCACCGCTGGACGGGAGGGACCCCCAAACCCTGCGGGACGGGACCTCCCACCCACCGTGGGACGGGAGGGACACCGCGGGACGGGACCCCCAAACCCCGCGGGACGGGACCTCCCACCCACCGCTGGACGGGAGGGACACCGCGGGACGGGACCCCCAAACCCCGCGGGACGGGACCCCCACCCACCGCTGGACGGGAGGGACACCGCGGGACGGGACCCCCAAACCCCGCGGGACGGGACCCCCACCCACCGTGGGACCCGACCCCCTAACCCCGCGGGACGGCACCCCCCAGCCCCCGCTGGACAGGACCCCTAACATGGGACGGGACCCCCAATCCCCACAGGACCGGATGGACACCCACCCCCACGGGACGGGACCTTTCCACCCCCCGCCGGATGGGACCCCCAAACCCCACCATACGGGACAGGACCCCCCAACCACCCGCAGGAGGGATGGGCACCCCCACCACGGGACGGGACCCCCAAGCGCCCCTGGGACAGCCACCCGCGGGGGCAGGCAGAGCCCCCCTACCCGTAGTCGTAGGCGGGGGGCAGTGGGTAGGGGATGTGGGTGCGGGGCATGAGGAAGAGGGTGCGCAGGAGGTGCCAGGCGCCGCAGGCCGCCATGAAGAGGAACATGGCGCGCAGGGACAGTCCCTGCTCGTACAGCACCTGGGGACGGGACAGGCTGACACGGGGACACGGCTGCATCCCCCCCCATGTCCCCCCAGATGTGTCCCCAACGTCCCCCCAGCTCTGTCCCCAACTGTCCCCCCAGCTCTGTGCCCAACTGTTCCCACTGTGACCCACCTGTGTCCCCCACTGTGTCCCCAGATCTGTCCCCAGCTGTCCCTGCTGTGACCTGGCTGTGTCCCCAACTGTCCCCACTGTGACCTGGCTGCGTCCCCCCTGTGTCCCCAGATGTGTCCCCAGTGTCCCCACTGTGACCCACCTGTGTCCCTCACTGTCCCCCCAGCTTTGTCCCCACCTGTCCTCACTGTGACCCGGCTGCATCCCCCACTGTGTCCCCAGATCTGTCCCCAACTGTCCCCACTGTGACCCAGCTGCATCCCCTACTGTGTCCCCAGCTCTGTCCCCACCTGTCCCCACTGTGAACCACCTGTGTCCCCAGATCTGTCCCCAGCTGTCCCTGCTGTGACCTGGCTGCATACCCCCTGTGTCCCCAGATGTATCCCCAATGTCCCCCCAGATCTGTCCCCAATGTCCCTGCTGTGACCTGGCTGCATCCCCAACTGTCCCCTCAGAACTGTCCCCACTGTGACCTGGCTGCGTCCCCCACTGTGTCCCCAGATGTGTCCCCAACTGTCCCCACTGTGACCCACCTGTGTCCCCCACTGTCCCCCCAGCTCTGTCCCCAACTGTCCCCACTGTGACCTGGCTGCGTCCCCCACTGTCCCCCCACCTGCGACCCAACTGTTCCCAGCCCTCCCCACAGTGCCTGGGGTGGGGACAGGCCCCTGGGGGCATCCAGCACCCCCCCCCTGGCTCTGCCATGTCCCCCCAACCCTGCACCCACCTTGATGATGAGGAAGATGGCAGACGAGGAGTCGAAGGCCCCGTTGTAGAGGGTGATGATGATGGAGCGGTACTTCCCAAAGAGGTTGCCCACCTGGCACAGACAGACACACACCCCCCCGCACCATCAGCCCCCCCCCAGCACTGCACAGGGTGCCTCAGCCACTGGGTGGGGTTCAGGGTGCCAGGAAAACTCACCTGCATGTTGGTGAGGATGAGGAGGATGCCGCCCACTGACAGCATGGACATGGCCGGGAAGAGCAGCACCGCCAGCTCTGGGGACACGGGGGTCAGCGGGGACACAGGGGGGTCCCCACCAAGTGCCCCCCCTGGGGATGGGGCACCCAACAACCACAGGGTCTCACCTGGAGTGGAGAAGGCGACGAGCAGGGTCCCGCCAGTGTAGAGGGAGCTGGGGGGTGGGAACAGCGGTGACACATGGAGACAGGGTTCTGGGGGAGCCACTGGCTCCCCCGCACCCCAGCACACAGCACCCCAATACCCCATGGGTGCCCCACCACCGCCTGGCACCCCCAGGGCGGAAGGATGTGGGGACACGGGGGGTCCCAATGGTTATGGGGGTGCCTCAGGGACATCAGGGAGACATGGGGGGCTGGGGGCCCCCTGGAGCAGCAGGGTGCTTGGGACATACTGGGGATATTTGGTGGCACTGGGGGGCAGGTGCCAGGATGGGCTGTGCCCCCAAAGGGCACGGGTGCCCCCCACCCCCCCCCCAGCACGGGTGCTCCCCCCAGCACCTGCCCCACCCTGCCTGGCTGCCTCGATAACCGCCCCGCTCCTGATAACACCCGGCACCCCAATGACAGGCACCCATGGGTGCTCCTGCCCCCCCCCGGCACCACTCACATGGCGATGAGGCGGGCGACGGTGGTGCCGAAGCGGTCGAAGATGAAACCCATGGGGAAGGTCATGAAGTTGTTCATGAAGGAGCCGATGGTGAAGACCAGGGAGAACTGCTCATCCTGCTGGCTGCAGTCTGCGGGGACACGCGCATGGGGACACGGGACACAGGGACACGCGCATGGGGACATGGGGACACGGGCATGGGGACACGGGCATGGGGACATGGGGACACAGGCACATGGACACGCGCATGGGAACACGGGCACACGGGCATGGGACATGTGGACATGGGCACATGGGCATGGGACATGGGCACACGCACATGGGGACATGTGCACGAGGACATACAGGCATGGGGACATGGGACACAGGGACATGTGCATGGGGAAACCAGGGACACGGAGACATGAGGACACAGGCATGAGACACAGGGACACGTGCATGGGGACATGGGGACACAGGAATGGGGGCACCGGGGACATGGGCATGAGGACATGGGCACGAGGACACTGGGGACATGGGGCACAGGCATGGGGACAGCGGGGACACAGGGCACTGCAGGGCATTAGGACAATGGGGACATGGGGACACAGGGCACCACAGGGTGCTAGGACAATGGGGACACAGGGACATGGGCATGGGAACACAGGCATGGGACAGCAGGGACACAGGGACATGGGGCACCATGGGGCGTTAGGACAATGGGGACGTGGGACATCACAGGGTGTTATGAAAACGGGGACACAGGGAGGCAGGCTTGGGGACAGCAGGGACATGGAGCGCCACAGGGAACAGGAAAATTAGGGACCTGGGGCACCATGACAGCGGGGACGTGGGGCACTGGAAAAGCTGTGAGCTGGGGCACTGGGACACCACAGGGCACGGGGACAGCAGGAATGCGGGGTGCCGGGGACATGGGGCACCTTAGGCCACCGGCACCTGGGGGACACTGGGCAGGGGGACAGCAGGGCCGGGGGGGGGCCGGGGAGCGTACCGGGCAGCAGGGTCTGGTTGGGGCCGGCGGTGGCCGCGGGCTGGCACAGGCCCCCGAAGTAGCCCAGGTCCTTGAGGACGAAGACGAGGGAGGCCCAGCCGAAGATGAGGCCGCAGAAGGCTCCGCACTCCAGCAGCCCCGAGAGGAGGGTCGCCAGGCGCTTGGCCACCCCCGCGCCCCCCCCCGCCATGTCCCCAGCCTGGGGCATCCACGCCTGCGGGGTGACAAAACACCGGGGGTTCGCTCCCCCACACACACATCCCCTGGGCAGGGGGCAGCGGGCGAAGAGCCGTTGCGGTCCCCGTTTTGTACACAAGTGTGCACACGTGCTCACACGTGGGCACCCCCACACCCCCCCACACCCCACCCCGCACCCACCTGCGCAAGGCCGGGCCCTCCCGCCGTCACCGTCGCCGCCGCGGAGTTTGGACCCTGGCACGGGGTGCCCGGGGTGAGCCGCGCACACCCTGGGCCCCCCGCACACCCGGCCCCCCGCACTAATCTCCCGGGAGCACCTACCGGCCCCCCCGGGGCTGCCGGTACCCGATAGTGGCTCGTGTGTGTGTGTGTGTGTCCCCCCAGCACCGCGCCCCCCCACTACCTCCTTATCTGTGCGCACCGGCCGTCCCCAGCACAGCCCCTGGGGACGATGGCACGCTGCCGGCACCCCAGTCCGTGCACTGGGGGGACACTGGCACAGCACACACACACCCCCACAAACACACACACCCCCCCCCCGGGGACACTGGCACCCCCAGGGTCCTGGCACAGCCGCTGGGAACCTGGCGCCGCTCCCCGGGGACAATGGCAGAGCCCTGGGGACATTGGCACATAGCCGGGCACGCCGACACACCCCCCGGGGACAGTGACACACCCCTCCCGGGGCCCCAACACACCCCCCGGGGACACTGGCACGGCCGTTGGGGACCCCGGCGTGGCCGTTGGGGACCTTGCCACACCTTCGGGACCCTGCCCCCCCCCCCCCCCCCCGGGACCCCGGCACACCGCGGGGGACCGCGACGTGACCCCCGGGGACACTACCAGCCCCCGGGGACTCCCCTGGGGACACTGTCACCTTCCCAGGGAGCCCCCGGTCCCAGGGCACCCCCTTTGTGGCCGTCACCCCCCAGCCCACGTGGCCGGGACCACCGGCGTGGCCCGTGGCTGGGTGTCACGGGCCCCCCGGCCACGTCCCCCGACACCCCCACCCCCCAGCCCCCCCGTCACCGTGTCCCCGTCCCAAGGCCTGTCCCCGTCCCCGTCCCCGCTCCGGCCGGGTGTAATGGCCGTTAATGAGGCCTCATTACAGCGGCGGCGGCTAAAGATTAACCCGCCCGGGCGGAGGGGCCGGATCCCGCCGGGGGGGCGGCGGCGGGGCGGGGGGGGGGGGAGCTGCCCGGCTTCAGCGGCCCCGCGGGGATCACCCCTAGATGCCCCGCCACGCGTGTCGCTGCCGGGGGCACCCCGAGACACCCACATTGGGCGCCGTTTGGCACTAAGCCTGGCGAGCCCCAGCCATACTGGTGTCCCCAAGCCAGACTGGTATGTCCTGCCCAGACTGGTGAGCCCCCCCCCCCCCCCCCCAGCCACGAGGAAGCAGGAGGAGCTGGGGGGGGGCCCTGGCACCCGTGACTCCAGCCCCTCCAGCCGCGCTGGCACTGCCGTGTCCCCCCAGTTCCCCCCGAGCTGTAACTGGGTGGGCGGGGGGGGGACAGGGGACGACACCACCACCACCCCCCCACACCCCCCCCCCAGCAGCCGGGACCCCAGCATCCAGCGGGCACGGGGTGGCTCAGGCCTCGCTCCAGCTGCTCCAGCCTCGTTTGCTTTAATAATTAATAGTAACGAAGGTCAGTTGTTCCCTGCGGGGGCTGCCTGGTCCCCAGGCCGCTTGTGGCTTCTCCAGAGGCTGCTATGGGGCTGGGGTGCGGGTGCCCGACGGGTCCCCTCCTCGCCCCACATCCCTCCTGCGTGGGGCAGGGGGTGCCCCCGGAGTGGGCAGCGGCAGCACCCCCCAAAGCGGGGGGGTGGGGGTGGGGGGCGGCGGCGTGGGGGCAGCCCCGGCCGTGGGGACTTTGCCCGCGCACGTGGGGGGGGGAGGGCACACGGGGGACGCACGTGCCCACGGGGTCACCGGGGCACCCTGCAAGACCCCAGAGTGCTGGGGGGGGGGGGGGGGTGTAGGGCACATGGCACATGGTGGCAGGGGGACAAGCGGGGGGGTGTGGGGCAGAGTCCCCCCAGGCACAGCCTTGCCCCACAGCCCCGGGGCAGACACAGCTCCCGGGTCCGGCCTGCCACGCACCCCCCGACAACCCCCCCCCCCCCGATCACCTCCCACTGCATCCACGCATCCCCCCAGCTCCCGGCCCCATGGCCCCCCTCACTCCCAGCCCCGCAGTCCCCGCAGCCCCACGCCCCCCCCCAGCCCCACGGCACCCCCCCATTCCTAGCCCCACGGCCCTTCCACTCCCAGCCCTGCCATCCCCGCAGCCCCACATCCTGCCGCTCCTCTCGGGGGGGGGGGGGTTGGGACCATCCGGGCCCCTCCGCTCCCGCTGGCCCCTCCCGCCGCCCGCAGCATCCCCGGCCGCTGCTCACCCGCGTCCCGGTGCGGCGGGGGGGGGGGGAACCGGCGCAGCCCCCCGGCCCGGTGCTCCCGGCGCTCCGGCGGCGGGAGGGGCGGAGCGGGGCGGCCCGGCCCGGCCCCGCCCCCCGGGCGCGGCGTGGAGGGGCGCGGGAGGCAGCCCCGGTGGAACGGCCCCGGCGGGGTCGCCCCGTGGGTCCGCCCCGGGAGGGGCTGTCTCGGCGGAGGGCCCTCCCCGCGGCACTGCCCACCCCCCCGGCGTGGCCCCCCCTTGCCATCCCTGTGCCCCCCCCGTGCCATCTCCGGGTGGGCCACCCGCTTACCTGATGTCCCCGAGATGTTCTCCAGCCGTGGCCACCCTTGGGCCACCTTTGGGTCACCCTTGGGCCACCCTTGGGCCACCCTTAGGTGACCTTTGGGTGACCTTTGGGTCACCTTTGGGCCACCCTTGGGCCACTGTTGGATCACCCTTAGGCCACCTTTGGATTACTTTTGGGCCACTCTTGGGCCACCTTTTGGCCACCTTTGGACCACCATTGGGCGACCTTTAGGCCACTCTTGAGTCACCCTTGGGCCACTCTTGGGCCACCTTTAGGCCACCCTTGGGTCACCCTTAGGCAACCTTTGGGTCACCCTTGGGCCACCTTTGGGTCACCCTTAGGCCACTCTTGGGTCACCCTTGGGCCACCCTTGGGCCATGCCTGGGCCATCCCAAGCTGTGGCACCCCAGAGAATCCCCTGGCCAGGCCCCCCCATGCCACCCCCCTGTGCCCCGCCAGGCTCTGCCCCCCTCCCTGCCCTGGCCATACTGCCACCAGCCTGTCCCTGGTACCTGTCCCACTGCCCACCTGGCCCCGTGCCCCACCCGGGGTAGCCCCGTCCCCCCCTTGGCTGCCCACGTCACATCCGCTCCTCCATCCGTCTGTCTTCCCGCCGCCCCATCTGTCCACCCGTCCATCCATCCGTCAGCACTTGCAGCCCCCTGTCCTGTCCCCACCCATCCCCACCCCTCCAGCCAGCCATTCATCTGTTCAGCCAGCCACCCATCTGTCTGTCCGTCATCCATCCATCTGTCCATCATCCATCTGCCCGTCTGTCCATCACCCATCCATCTGTCCATCATCACCCATCCGTCTGTACATCACCCATCCATCTGTCCCCCTCCAACCACCGCTCCACCCGTCCTCGCGCCCAGCCAGCCGTCCGTCTGTCCCCCCACTCGTCCCGCTGCCCGTCACCTCCCCTGTCCTCCCCTCCACCCATCTGTCTGCCCGTCCGTCCGTCTGTCCTCCTCTCCAGCTGGCCTCCACCCATTTGTCCTTCCACCGGCCCCATCGTGGACACCCACAACCCATCTTTGCCCACCTGGGCCCAGCCGGTGGGTTCAGGGCCCGTCTCCCTGCCCACCCCATCCCCAGGCCCCCGCAGGCAGGTGGGTGCATGCACCCACTGGTGGGTACGCTCCCCCTGGGCCCCCTGCAGATCCCACAGGGTGGGGCGCACCCCCCTCTCTCTGCACAGCTCCCGGGGGGTTGCTGCATCCAGGGTGGTGGCCGTGGGCCCGTGCTGGGGACGCTGGGGGCACCGGTGGGGCGGGGAGCGGATGGTGGCCCCCTGAGTCAGCCCCGTGCCGCCCACGCCCCCACCCACGGGTGCCCGCCGCGCCTGCCGCGCCAGCTTGTGGTATTTCGCTCGCCGGGAGCCGCGCCGGAGACGGCGCCGCAAACACGCTGCCGGTGCCAGCTTGTGCCGCCGCAGCCTGGCGTGGCCACGCGTGCCCCCCTCCCCACCCCACGTGGGCACCGGCGTGGGGAGGGGGAGGGGGGGACCGATGCAAGGCTCGTACACCCCACATCCCGCCGGCGCGGCCCCACGCGGGGGGGAGGTGGTGGCTGTCCCGGGTGGGAGCGGTGCGCTCGGCACCATGGACAGCGCCGGTTGCGGGACCGCGGACAGCGCCGCGGTCCCGCGTGGGAGTGGAGCGGGCACCGCCTCTTCCCCCTCCCTGCTCAGGACCCCCCCGGCGGTCCCCAAGGCGCCGGGCTCCCAGCCCCGCCGCACCCACCCGTGAGCAGCCCCCGCTGGGCCCGCGAGGGGTCCGTGCGGGCACCGCGGCCCGGCGCGAGTCCCGAGACCGTGGGCGGGAGGGAGGGACACCCCCCGCCGTGTCCCGCGATCATAGCCCCACCACCACCACGCGAGCCCCGCGTCCCCAGTGGAGGACACCCCCGCCCAGCCCCGCGTCCCCCCGCTGGCGTCCCCTCCATGGGTGCGGCCGCGCGTCCCCCTCTCCCCGCCGGGGGTCCCCCGTGGGCCCCCTCCCGCGTGGGGCGGGGCGGGCCGGCCCGGGAAGGGTTAAGCGGCGGGGCCGGCGGCGGGGGGCGGAGCGCGGCCGCCCCGGGATAAGGCGCGGCGCGGGGCAGGGCTCAGCCCCACCGGAGCCGCGGGCAGAGCCGTGCCGAGCCCGTGCCCACCCGTGCCCGCAGCCCACCCGTGCCATGCCCCGGGGCGGCGGCGGCTGCTGCTGCTGCTGCTCCCGGCGGCGCGGCGGGGGTGAAGGGGGCGAGCAGCCCCCCCGGCACCGGCCATGAGCCCCCGGGCAGCGGGCAGCGCCTGAGCGGCCGCCCCGCCATGCGGCCCCCCACGGCTCGGGACCTGCCCCAAGGTAGGCGTGGGGACGGGCGGGGGGGCCCACGGGTGTCGGGGGAACCCCGGTGTGCCACCCTGGCGAGCAGCAAGGTCCCGGCCGGGGGTGCCCCGCGGCTTTTGGGGCGCCCGCGGCAGCGCGGGGCGCGGGTGCCCCCGGGTGCGTGGGGAGCCCGGAGCGCATAACCCTGCGTGGGGGCGCGCCTCCGGGGCGCCCCAGGGCGCGCCTCCCCCCCCGCCCCGCGACCCGCGGGCTGCCCGGTGCAGCTCCGGGGCGCGCAGCCCGGCGTGGGGGTGTCCCACGACCCACGGGGCGCTCGGTGCAGCTCCAGGTCTCACAGCCCCGCCGCGTGGGTGCCCCGGGACCCACGGGGTGCACAGCCCGGGGTGTGGGTGCCCCGCGACCCACGGCGCAGCCTGTGCGGCACCGGGGTGCATAACCCGGTGTGTGTAAGGGGGGTACCCCGCGACCCACGGGGTACCCGCTGCCACCCCAGGACCCTTCAGCCCGGCGTGGGGGTGCCCCCCGCGCCACACCCGGTGCGGAGTGCCCGGGTGGGCACCGTGCGGTACCCACGAGCGTCGCGCCGATTCCGGACCAGGACTCGGCGGAGGGAGGGTGGGGGGGGAGGAGGGGCGTGGGGGCGCGGGTTGGGGGGGGTGGCAGGGGGGAAAAAACGGTGCCTGGGAACCGGTGACTTCAGCTCCCAACTGAGTCAGCCCGCGGCGAGGGGGAGTGACAGATGGGACGCGGGTGGGGGGCGCACGCCGGCACGGGGCGCCGGGGGAGGGGGGCGGCGCTGAGCAGCTGCGCCGGACGCCTCCGTGGGTGGGTGGGGGGGTGTCGTCCCCCCCTTCCCCTCCCCGTGGCGCACCGGGGGGGGGGGGGGGGGGGGGGCGGCCGCCGCGCCCCCTCCCCCGGTACCGGCGGCTGGGAGCATCCACGCATCCCTGGGCGTGGGGCCAGGCAGCCGGGCTGAATTATGGATGAAGCTCTCGGGTTGCAGCCGTGGGGGGGGTGTGGGGGGGGATGGACAAGGAGCGGGGGGGTGGGGGAGTGGGGGGGGGGGGGGGAGCCGGGGGAGAAGCGGCGGCGCTGAACACCCGGAGCGGCGGCGGCGGCGGCGCGTGTCACCGGCGAGAGCGTCAGCCCGCGCCCACGCGCGCCCCGCCCCGCACGTGGCCGCGGCACGCGCGCACGTGGCGCCGCCCCGTTGGCGGGGCGGGGGGGGGGGAGGTATGGACCCCCGGGGGGTGGGGGGCTCCCCGGGGGTGCGTGGCCACGTGGAGTGGGCAGGGTCCCTGGGTGGTCCCAGGGGAACGCCTCCGGGTGAGGGTGCTGCTTTTCAGTCCCGTGGGGCAGCAAGGGCCCTGGGGGGGTCTTTGGGGAGCTGTGGGGCTGTGATGGTCCTGGGGGGCTCCTAGAGGAGTCCAGCTCCGTGGGGTGAGCACAGCCTTGGGGGTCTCCTAGGGGACCATGGCCACGCGGGGGTCAATGGCCCTTGGGGGGTTCCCCTTGGGGGGTTCCTGGGGTATCACGGCCATATGGGGTGTGCATAGTCCTTGGGGTTCTCCTGGGGGGTCTGTGGCCATATTGGGTGGTCATGACCCCTAGGGGGTCCCTGAGGGACCACGGCCATATGGGTGGTCATGTCCTTGGGGTTCTCCTGGGGGGTCTGGACATATTGGGTGGTCACAGCCTTGGGGGGTTCCTGGGGCACCGTGTCCATATTGGGAGATCATGTCCTTGGGGTTCTCCTGGGGGGTCTGTGGACATATTGGGTGGTCACGGCCTTGGGGTTCTCCTGGGGGATCATGGCCATATTGGGTGGTCATGTCCTTGGGGTTCTCCTGGGGTACTGTGGTCATATTGGGTGGTTACGCACGACCTTGGGGTTCTCCTGGGGGGTCTGTGGCCATATTGGGTGGCCACAGCCCTGGGGGTTCCTGGGGCACCGTGGCCGTGTGGGTGGGCACAGCTCTCGCGGGTCTCCCCGCGGGGCGCAGTTCCCGGGGTTGGGGCTGCTGGGTCGGTGGGCGGGGCAGGGCAGGGCAGGGCGGGGCAGGGCGGAGCCCCAGACGACGCCCCGCGCTGACGCCCCACTGTGCCCGCAGGCGGGCGCCTGGCGGCCCTGCTGCTGGCGGCGTTGGCGTGGGTGCCCGGCGGGGCTCCCGCCTGCCCCGCGCTCTGTACCTGCTACGTCTCGCCGCCCACCGTCAGCTGCCAGGCCAACAACTTCTCCTCGGTGCCCGCGGGGCTCCCGCCCGGCGCCCGCCGCCTCTTCCTGCAGAACAACGTCATCGGGGCGCTGCGGGCGGGCACCTTCGGGCCCAGCACCGTCACCCTCTGGCTCTACTCCAACAACATCTCCTCCATCCAGCCGGGCACCTTCCGCCACCTGCCCGCCCTGGAGGAGCTCGACCTGGGTGACAACCCCCACCTCCGCGTCCTGGCCCCCGACACCTTCCACGGGCTCCGGCGCCTGCAGGCCCTGCACCTCTACCGGTGCCAGCTGGCCAGTCTGCCCAGCACCATCTTCCGCGGCCTCCACAGCCTCCAGTACCTCTACCTGCAGGAGAACGGGCTGCTCTACCTCCAGGTCTGCCCCGGCCCTGGGGCTGCCCCGGCCCGGCCGTGGGGTGCCCGGGGGGCAGGGGGGTGGTGGGTGCTGCCCGTGGGGGAGATGCTTAAAGCAGGGTGACGGGTGATGCCTTCAGGGCATGGGCTCTGTGATGGGTGACACCCGTGGAGCGGGGCCACGGGGCAGGGTGGTGGGTGACACCATGGAGCCAGGGTGCAGGGACAAGGTGACGCTCGTGGAGCCAGTACGTGGGGCAGGGACACGGGACACGGTGATGGCCATGGGGCAGTGTCACGGGTGACGGCAGCGGGGCAGCAACATGGGAGGGGGCTCTTGGTGATACGCATGGGATGACATGTTGGGTGACCCCCCATGGAGCAGGGACACGGGGCAGGGTGATGGGTGATGCCTGCAGGATGAGGACACAGGGCACGGTGATGGGTGACCCCATGGAGCAGAGACACGGGGCAGGGTGATGGGTGATGCCTGCAGGACAAGGACACGGGGCAGGGTGATGGGTGACCCCATGGAACAGAGACATGGGGCAGGGTGATGCCTGCAGGACGAGGACACGGGGCAGGGCTCTGCAGGACACCCCTGGGCAGGTCTCCAGGAGCTGCCCGTCATGCGGGGCAACGGGGCAGGGCTGGGGGCTCCCCGGTGGGGCCGCACCCCCCATACCCACCCCTCTCTCCCCCCCCACACCGCAGGACGACCTCTTTGCAGACCTGGCCAACCTGAGCCACCTCTTCCTTCACGGGAACCGGGTGCGGGTGCTGTCGGAGGGCGTCTTCCGAGGGCTGCCCAGCCTGGACCGCCTGCTGCTGCACGCCAACCGCCTGGTCGCCATCCACCGCCGCGCCTTCCGGGGCCTGGCCCGCCTCACCATCCTCTACCTGTTCAACAACAGCCTGGCCGCGCTGCCGGGGGACCCGCTGGCCGCCCTGCCCGCCCTCCAGTTCCTGCGCCTCAACGCCAACCCCTGGGCGTGCGACTGCCGCGCTCGCCCGCTCTGGGCCTGGTTCCGACGCACCCGCGTCTCCAGCTCCCCCGTGCCCTGCGCCAGCCCCCCGCACCGCCGCGGCACCGACCTGCGGCACCTCCGCCCCCGCGACTTCGACGCCTGCCCCGAGGAGGAGGAGGAGGAGGAGGAAGAGGAGAAGGAAGATGGTGGTGGTGGTGGTGGAGGGGTGGCGGTGATGGGCACCCCCGGGCGGGCGCTGGGTCGCCCCGGCACCCTCCCGGCCGCGCCGCCCTCCGCCTTCTACCGCGACGGGCTGCCCCCCCACGACCTGCGGGGACCCCAGCCCCGGCCGCCCCCTCCTTCCCGCGACTCCCGTGGCCCCCCCGGGGATGCCCGCTGCCCCCAGGCACCCTGTGGCCCCATGGCCGCCGCCGCCCCCCACCAGCCCCACGTCCTCCTGCCCCTCCTGGGTCTGCTCCTGCCCTGGCTCTGAGCACCCCCCCCGGCACCCCCAGGGGGTCCCAGCTCCTCAGGGTGCTTGTGCCCCCCTTCTCCCCAGGGGGGGCTCGTAGAACTGTGGGGGGGGCAGCCGGGGGAGGGGGTGCAGGATGCAGGGGGTGCCCCCCCATCCTGAGCAGGAAAACCCCCCAACAGGAACCAAAAGGTGGGAAATTATTTATTAAAAATGGTCTTATTTTGGGAGAGCGGGGCCTGGCTGCTGCAAAGGGCCGGGGGGAAGTGGGGGGAGCCGCTGCGTTTCCAGGTCACCGCCTGCTCCTCCTGAAATATTGATGGGACCGTGGCCGGAGGGCAGTGAGGCGTGCACAGCTCGCTGTGGGGACAGGCGGACGCAAGGGGGGGGGGGGGGGGGGGCGGGAGGGATGGACAGACAACCCCCCCCTGCAGTGCTGCACCCCGAGCCGCAGGGTGTGCAGGCAGAAGCGCCTGCAGCACGTGCCCGTCACCGCAAGGCCGGGTGACACGACACCCCGGGCAGGGTGCTGGTCCCGCTGGCGGGTGTAACGGGAGCTGCACCGTCACCCGCACCCCCCCACGGCCTGACCCACTTCCCGGCGGGCGCCGACGCACAGGCTGTGCGCGCACCACCAGGCTGCAGACAGACACACGGACGCTGCCCACCCACGGCCGGGGTCCCTTGGGGTGGGTGTCGCTCCAGGGGTGTCCCGCTGTGGTTGTCTTTCACCCAGGGTCGGGGCATCCCCGCAGAGTGTTGCTGTGCAGGGGGAGCTCTCCGGGTGTCCATGAGTGGGTGTCCCCTGGCTCTCCCTGACAGTCCCTCTGGGCACGTGGGTACAGCTCTGCGTGTTCGGGCTGTCCCCGGGTGTCCCTGTGGTCCCTCCCCGGGTGTCTCAGGGCTGTCCCTGCTCGGAGGGTCCGTCCCCAGCAGCTCATCCCCGGCTGTCCCCATGTGGGTATCCCCAACCAGGGCTGGGTGTCTCAGGGGTGTCCCCACATGGGTGTCCCTGCTTGCCTGACCCACTCCGGCTGCTCTGGGGCTGTGTCCCTCTGCGGGGACCCCCCCTGGCTGTCCCCAGGTGGGCAGGGAGGGGCAGAGCCCCATCCCCACCCCGCGGGGGATTACGAGGGGCTCAGCCCGGCTCTGCCTAATCCCGGGGATTACATGGGCTGGGCCTGGTCAGGAGGCAGGGGAGGGCGCCCAGGGGTGCCCCCCTCAAGGACACGGCACATGGCAGCCAGGGACAGCGAGGGGGGCTCCCCAGCAGCTTCTGCCAGGTCTGACGTGTACCCCAACACATCACCACGGGATGGTTTGGGGGCGGTGGGGGAGGGGGGGGCCGGTGGCAAGGGAAGCAAACCAGCAGGCACAAAGCCTCCAGTTTATTGGGGGGTCCGGGGGGGGGTCTCAGGTGGTGCTGGTGCCCTGCTGCATGCGCTTGAGGAGCTCCTCGTCCTGCAGCGACAGCTCCGTCAGCTTCTTGCCCATCCTCTCGTGGACCTCCAGGTACTTGGCCACGCAGCGGTCCAGGCACACGCTCTCCCCCTTTGACAGCTCCGCTTCCTTGTAGTGGGGGGGGACGCACTTTCGGTGGCACGCCTGCGTCATCCTGCACGGCACCCGTGCCGTCAGCCCCGGCAACCCCTATCCCCCCCACCGCCATCCCCACAGCCCCCACGTGTCCTCCACCCCCGGGCATCCACGGTGCCCCCCCATTTCCCAGGACCACCCCCCCACTGTCCCCCAGCAGCACCTCAGCCCCAAGCGCCAGCGTCACCCCAACGCCCCCGGCACCTCCCAGTGACCCCCCAGTGCCCGCAGCTCCCCCCAGTGCCCCGCCCAGTGCCGTCGCCCCCCCGGCCGGGCGCACCGGTTGTACATGTCGGCCATCATGTCAACCTCCAGCTCGGCGGCCAGCTGCTGGGCCCGCAGCGGGTCCATGGCGGCCGGGCCCGGCCCGGGGGGGGTCGGCCCGGCCCGGTGGGGCCCGGCCCAGAGGGACTCGGCCCGGGAGGGGCTGGGATCGGTGGGGGTGGGCTCGGTTCTCCCGGTTCAGCTCGGCCCGGGACCCCGTGGCGGCTCCCGGCAGGAACCACGTGGGCGCCGCGCTTCCGCCCACGCATCACATCGCCCCGCCCCGCCGCCGTCTTCGACCAATAGTAGCCGGGGGGGTGGGGGAAAGGAGGTGGGCGCCCCCAGCGCTGATAGGGCGCCGCGGGAGGGGGCGTGGCGACCCGCAGCCAAGGGGAGGCGGTGGGCGGGCGAGGCGCACGCTGTGACGGCCGTTCGCCCCGCGGGGGGCGGGGCCACCGCCGCATGGGGCGGGGCCAGAGCTGCGGGGGGGCGGGGCCAGCACCGGGCTCCGCCCCCGGGCCTGGGCGGTGGGGGCACCGCTCCTGCCGTGACCCCGCCGTGACCCCGCCGCCCTCCCCGGCCCGTGCCGTGCCCCCCACGTCTCCCCGTGACCCCCCGTGTGTCTGTCGCCACCGCATTGTCCACCCGTGTCCCCGCACTGTCCCCTCCGTGTCCCCCCGTGTCCTTGTGCCCCCTCCCGTGTCTCCCCGTGTACCTGTGCCCCCCTAGTCTCCCTGTCCCTGCCTGGGGCACACGTGTCCCCCCTCTGTCTCACCGTGTCCCTGTGCCGCCCCCGCGCCTCCCCATGTGCCTGTGACCCTGTGACCCCCGCGTGTCCCCTGGTGTCCCCCCGAGTCCCTCCCGTGTCTCCCTGTGCCCCCCCCCCCACGTCACCCCGTGCCCCCACAGTCTCCACCGTGTCCGTGTCCGTGTGTGGGTGTCCCGTCGCCCCCCCCCCCCCGCCCCGCGTGCCGGCCCCGGCCCCCACCACGCGTGCCCCGTGCCCCGCGGGTGGGCGGTGAGTGAAGGCGGCACCTGCCCCCGCCGGGTAAAAATAGCCCCGGGGCGGGGTGGGGGGCGGGGGGGGGGGTGAGGGGCCTACCCGGGGCTGCGGGAGCGGGAGCGGGACCGGGAGGGTACGGGCCGGGGTGGGGAGATTGGGGGGCGAGGTTGGGAGTTTGGGGGCCAGGGGGGCGGGAATGGGGGCTTGGGGGCCCGGGAGGGGCACATCGGGGCGGGGGAGGGAAGGAAGGAGAGTAGGGGGGTGGGGACGGGGGTTAGGCGTCGGGGGGGGGGGGCCCGGGGGGTGGGCGGGGATGGGGATTTGGGGGCCCGGGGGGGCTCGGGGTGGGTGGGAGGGGACATTTGGGATCAGGAGGAGGTATGGGGGGGGCGGTACGGGGGCACAGGGGTGCCTGGAGGGGGTATGGGGTGGTGGGATGGGACATGGGGGGGCGGGAGGGCAGTGGGGGTGTCAAGGTGGGAACATGGGAGGTTGGGAGGGGGAATATGGGGGTTGGGAGGGGGGTAAAGGGGGGTTAGGGAGGGATACAAGGGTGCTGGGGTGGGAGGGGGGGGCTGGATGGGGGGCCAGGATGGGAATGGGGGGGTTGGTGTAGAGCATGGGGGGGCTGGAGGAGGTGTGGGGTGGCCAGGCTGGGGTATTGGGGTGAGGGTTGGGGGCTGCAATGGGGGGTGCTCCGGGCAGAGGGGGTGCATGGGGGCAGGGGCAGGGTGTGGAGTAGCCTGGCTGAGGGGTTACGGGGGGCAGCGGGGGGCACCCTAGTGACAGCCCTGTGCCCCTGCAGCAGTGACTGCAGCAGCATGGAGCCCCAGGGAGACAATGACACCCCCACCTCGGGCACCCCCACCTCAGGCACCCCCTCTCACCCCCCCGCAGAGCCCATGGATGGGGGGGCAGGGGGGGGCAGTGGGGAAGCAGCAGTCCAGACTGACGGGAGGGACCCCCAGACAGTGGGGGGCAATGGGGGTGATGGCCAGGGGGCAGGGTCAGCAGGGGACACAGGAGGGGGCACCAGGGCGGCTCAGGATGGGGGGGGCGATGCCGAGGGAGCAGGGGATGTAGGGGGGGATACGGAGGGGAGCGGGGGGGGGGGCAACGAGGGAGAGGCTGCAGAGGATGTGGGGGGGGACACCAAGGCAACTCAGGATGGGGGGGGCGATGCCGAGGGAGCAGGTGAAGTAGTGGGGGATACGGAGGGGAGTGGGGGGGGGAGCAACAAGGGAGAGGCTGCAGGGGACGTGACGGGGGACACCAGGGCAGCTCAGGATGGGGGGGGCGATGCCAAGGGAGCAGGGGACACGGGGGGGGACACTGAGGGAGAGGCTGCACGGGATGTGGGGGGCGATGCCCGGGGTGCCGAGGATGTGTGTGGGGGTGCTGGGGCTGGGGGGGGTGCTGAGGGGGGGCCGCAGCAGGAGGCTGGGCTGGGGCTGGCAGCAGCGGGCAGCACCCAGGGCCGGCAGGTGAGAGGGGATGGGGGGGGGCACGGCCGGGGACATTGGGGTGGTGGGGTGGGCACAGGGGTGACAGTGCCAAGGTCAGGGTGACATTGCCAGGGCAAGGTGACATTGCCAAGGTTAAAGTGACAGTGCCAAGGTCAGGGTGACATTGCCAGGGAAGGGTGACAGTGCCTGTGCTGGCAGTGCCAGGGCAGGGTGACATTGCCAAGGTCAAGGTGACATTGCCAAGGGCAGGGTGATGGTGCCATGGCAGGGTGGCAGTGCCAAGGGCAGGGTGACAGTGCCAAGGTCAGGGTGATGGTGCTGAGGTCAAGGTGACAGTGCCAAGGTCAGGGTGACAGTTCCAAGATCAGGATGGCAGTGCCAGGGCAGGGTGATGGTGCCAAGGTCAAGGTGACAGTACAAAGGTCAGGGTGACAGTGACAAGGGCAAGGTGGCAGTGCCAAGGTCAGAGTGACAGTGTCAAGGCCAGGGTGGCAGTGCCAGGGCAGGGTGGCAGTGCCAAGGGCAGGGTGACGGTACCAAGGTCAAGGTGACAGTGCCACGTTCAGGGTGACAGTGCCAAGGTCAGAGTGACAGTGTCAAGGTCAGGGTGACAGTGACAAGGGCAAGGTGGCAGTGCCAAGGTCAAGGTGACAGTGCCAAGGTCAGAGTGACAGTGTCAAGGTCAGGGTGGCAGTGCCAGGGCAGGGTGGCAGTGCCAAGGGCAGGGTGACGGTACCAAGGTCAAGGTGACAGTGCCACGTTCAGGGTGACAGTGCCAAGGTCAGAGTGACAGTGTCAAGGGCAGGGTGGCAGTGCCAGGGCAGGGTGGCAGTGCCAGAGCAGGGTGACAGTGCTCGTGCTGGCAGTGCCACCCCGGCTGTGCCTGCAGGACCCCACCTGGCTGCAGGATGAGGAGGACGAGCTGTGGCCCGAGTTCCCCCCCTCCTCGTCCCCAGAGGGGGCCACCAGCCCCACGTCTCCCCTGTCCCCCACGTCCCCAACGTCCCCCACAGGTAAGGGCCATGCCGGCCATCCCCCCACGTCCCCTCCCCATGGGGGTGGACCTCCAGCCCCGTGCCCCAGGGATGTCCCCCCACATGGGACTCTGCCAGTGCCCCTTCCACCCCGCTGACCCCGCTTCTCTCCCTTGCAGTGGGCACCGCCGAGGACTCGGGGAGCAGCAAGAGGTGAGTGTGTGTGTGGGGGGGGGGGGCACAGCCCCACAGGTGCCCCACGGTCCTGCCCCACAGTGCTGTGTCCCCACGGGTGGCACCCCACAGTCCCCACCCGCGTGTGCCTGTGAGCAGCACCCACAGCAGTGCCCTCACCCCACCCACTGGGCCACCCGTGTGCCCGCAGGGCTGTGCCGGTGGGGGGGCCGCGGGGCCGGGTGCCCCCTGGCGCAGTGGGGCCAAGGCCGAGGCCAGAGTGGGCCGGGGGGCGGCCACGTTTGAGTGCCCGGGCACAGGGGCGCAGCGCCATCCTGGAGAAATTCGGAGGGTGAGAGGGGCCTGGCCCCACGGCGGGGCTGGGGGGCATGGGGCAGCGGGGGTGCTGGGGGGGGCACAGAGCAATGGGGGAGCCGTGGGGAAATAAGGGGTAGGAGGTGACTGGGGAGCCATGGGGCAGTGGGGGTGCTTTTGGGGGGCACAGAGCAATGGGGGAGCCATGGGGAAACAGGGGGTAGGGGGTGACTGGGGGGCCATGGGGCAGTGGGGGTACTGGCACAGGGACACGGGGCAATGGGGACTTTGAGGGGGCTGTGGGGAAATGGGTGGTACAGGGGGGCTGTGGGGGGCATGGGGCAGTGGGGAGTACTGGGGGGGACACAGGGCAATGGGGGGGGCTGGGGGGGGTCAGGGCCACTGGCTGCTGGGGGGGTTCCGTTGGGGCAGAGAGTGGCCGATGGGGAGTCACTGGGAAGTTTGGGCCAAGGGGGGCCCACACGGGGGGCAGTGCTGGGGGGGTGCGTGGGGTGCCCCATGGCACCCGGCCTCACCCGCAGGGCAGCCACGGGGCCGGCCCCACACCTGAAGAGGTTGGGGGGCACGGCCTCGGTGAAGGCCATGCTGCTGGAGTGGTGCCGCTTCAGGACCCGCGGCTACCAGGTGAGAACCGGGGTGGGGGGACACGGGCACCCTGTGGGGTGGCCGTGGGGCGGCCTGACCCCCCACCCGCTCGCGGCAGCACGTGGAGGTGCAGAACTTCTCGGGGAGCTGGGGCAGCGGCCTGGCCTTCTGCGCCCTCCTCCACAGCTTCTTCCCCGACGCCTTCGACTACAGCAGCCTGGAGCCCGGCGCACGCCGGCACAACTTCACCCTGGCCTTCGCCACGGCTGAGTGAGAGCCCCCCTGCTGCCCACCCCCCATGCCCCCTGTGCCCCCTGCACCCCCCCTGACCACCGTGTCCCCCCAGGGAGCGGGCGGGCTGCGCCCCGCTGTTGGAGGTGGAGGACATGGTGCGGATGCCGGTGCCGGACGCCAAGTGCGTTTACACGTACCTGCAGGAGCTGTACCGCTGCTTGGTGGCCAAGGGGCTGGTGAAGACCAAGAAGCGCTGAGGGGGGGTCCCCCGCCGCCCCCCACCCGTGACATCCCCCCCACCGTTTCGTCCCCCACCAGTAAAGGCTTGCAGTGCCAGAGTGTGGGGGCCTCATCTCTTGGGGGGGGGGGGGCACAGGGACACTGGCACCAGGTGTCGGGGGGATTGGCGTGAGCCAGCACGGCCCCACTGCCCTCCAAGGAGGGGACAGGCAGGTGGGGGTGGCACCCCCCCAGGGCTGGCACACGGGGGGGGCAGCACCTCCCCGCTGCCCCCCACCACCCCAGCGAGGCATCGCGTGGCCAGCGCAGGAGCGGGAATAAATTTATTAACTTAAGTACGGGGTGGGGTGGCCCCTGTAAGGTGCCAGACTGGGCGCCTGGGCCCCAGCACCCAGGTGGGGGCCATGTCAGGGTGCCCCCCCCAGGTATGGGGGGCTCAAGGCTGTGTGTGGGGGTCCGGGCGTGGCTCGGCGTGGCGGCAGGTGTGTTCCTGTGCCCGGCACTGGAAAACCTCGGGCTGGTGCTGGAGCTCACGGGCCAGATCCGGGCGCAGCACGCGCTGGGGGTCCGGGTTGTCAAGCAGCACCAGCAGGTCCTGCAGCACTGCGGGCACCGGGGGGGGGGGGGGGTGTGTGTGTGGTGTGTGTGTCAGGGTGGGCACCCCCCTGCCGCTGGGGACACCCCCCCCCTCCCACCCCCCCAGGAACCCACCTTGGAGGGCGCGGGTGGTGGGCACCCAGTGCTGGGTGGAGGTGAGGGGCTGGCAGACGATGCCGGAGGGGTCCACGCCGGGGTGGTAGATGCTGGTGCGGAGCGTGGCGCGGGGGGGCACCAGCGGGTGGTTGGGGGAGAAGCTCAGCTCGAAGCGGAAGGCGCCCGCGTTGTACGGGGGGTTGTTCTGCCGGGGGGGGGGGGGGACGGGGACGGGGGGACATCTCAGGCCTCCCCTGCCGCAGCACCCATCCCGGGGGGGTGGGGAAACACCCCTAACCCCAGCCCTGATCCCCCCCCGGTGGAGACATCCCACCCCCCAGCCTGAGCCCCCCAGGAGGGGAACCCCCACCCAGTGCCCCCCAGCCCAGGGTCCCCACACGGTGTCCCCAGGGGGACCCTTCCCCGTGTTGCCCTGATAGTGCCCCCCAGGAGACCCCCCACCCCCGTGCCCCCAGGGCCCATCTCCCCTCCAGGCCCCCTGTGTCCCCGTACTCCCCCCACGCTCGCGAAGGGACCCCCAAAGCCCCCAGACCCCCGTGCCCACGGACCCCCCCCCCGGCCCCGCCACTCACGGGCAGCAGAAGCCCCTCCCACCGCCGCGCGTCGCCGCCGATTGGCCGCACGCCGCAGGCCCCGCCCCACTGCCGCACCTCCTGCAGCTCCTGCGGAGGGGCGGGGAAGGGGGCTGGGTCAGGCTCGGACACGCCCACATGGGCGGGGTCGCTCCTGCCCTAGCCACGCCTCTATGGGCGGGGCATCACTGAATATGCATGAAGGCGGGGCCGCGCATCCTGGTATTCCACCTATTCGTGGGCGGGGCCTCCGCTCGGGCCGCACCCTCCAGGAGCGGGTCCGTCAATATGAACACGCCCCCAGTGGGCGGGGCTATAACTAAACCACGCCCTGTGCTGACCCGCCCCCGCCGAGGAAACGAAACCGGAGAAATGGGGAAACACCCCCCGTACCCCCCGCACCGGCACCGGCACCGACACCCCCCGTACCCCCCGCACCGGCACCGGCACCCCCCGCACCCCCTGCACCGGCACTCCTGGCACCCCCTGCACCCCCCACCCCCGCACCGGCACCGGCACCCCCCCGCACCCCGGCACCACCGGTACCCCTGGCACCCGCCGCACCGGAGAACACCTCCCCCGGTACCGCCCGCCCCGGCGCTTGACACCGGCCCCCCCCGCGCCCGCCGCCTGTTCCCCCGGTGCCGGTGCGGGGGTGCGGGGGTGCGAGGGCCCCCCGACCCACCTTGGCGATCCTCCCGTTCATGGCCACCAATGCCCAGCGCTGCTGGGCGGGGCTCCTCCCGACCACGCCCCCTGGGAGGTGGGGCATTATTATCCAGCCCCGCCCAAAACAAAGGGTTGTGGGTGGGGCCAGACAGATGTTGGGTGCCCTGGGACCACAGAGACGGGTGGGGATGAGGGTCCAGACAGGTCTTGGGTGCCCTGGGACCACAGAGACGGGTGGGGAGGGGCCAGACCTGCCCCACCCGGCCGTAGGCATGGCTGCTGTGACAGGGTGGGAGTCCCAGAGGTGTCCCTGCCCCAGGGAGGGGGGGGGGAGGGCAGCCTGCCCCACAGCGAGCTGGCCCAGGGGCCATAGGTTGGGGCTTTCCTGCTTCTGGGGTGGGAGGGCTCCTTGAGGACCCCAACCTCCCAGTCCCAGGCCCACCACCAGGCCCAGGGGACCATAGAGTTGATGTAAGAGCAGCTAGACTCTCCCAGAGCCACCCCGGGTGCTGCAGAGGTGTGGGGCAGGGAGACCCCCAGATCCTCCGGTGCTGCCGGGGCAGAGGCATGCTGAGGGCAGTGCTGGGGGGCAGAGGGGCTGCGTGGTGCCTACCCCATCCTGAGCAGCAGAGAAGTGGGGAGCGAGGTACCCCGGGGCGGGGGGGGGGTCACACCTCCTGGGCCTCCTCCTGGGTCACCGGTGGACCAGGGAGACACGGACAGGGAGACTGTGCTGGGGTGCGAGCGGCGGGACTGCCCGGTGTCAGCACGGGGACCGCGGGGGGGGTCAGCACCCCCAGGGTGTGGGCCCGAGGGGGTCGGTCCTCCAATGCTGGGATGTGGGTCTGGAAGGAGGGGGGGGGATGGGGACAGGGGGGGCGTGCCCACATTCTGCCCTGGGTGCCTCCGCCCAGCCGGGCCCCACTGGCTGCCCTGTGCACCCCCCCAGCTGCCAGACCGCCTGATTTACGGGAAGCTGCCCGCCGCCCTCCTTAATCTTTAACCAGGCAGGGCTGGAGCTGCCAGACCCCCCCGCGCCCGCCGGCACAAGCAGGGACCTGACCTGCCGGGCACCCAGGTGAGCCTAGGGTGCTGCCCACCCCTGCCCCCGCACCCAGCTCCCCGGGGGGGTGCCAGGCTGGGGGGCAACCCTGGGTGGGGGTGCAGGCAGTGTGGAGTGGTGGGGTGGGGCAGGAGGGTGCTGGGTGCCAGGGGAGTTGCTGGAAGCTGGGGTGGGGGTGCTGGGTGCCAAGGTGGGGTGCTGAGAGCTGGGGTGGGGGTGCTGGGTGCCAAGGTGGGGTGCTGGGAGCTGGGGTGGGGGTGCTGGGTGCCCTCCAAGCCCTTGACCCGTTGCTTGTCCCCCAGGATGCCCCCCGTGCCGCGCTGGCTGCCACTGGTGTGGCTGGTGGCCACAGCCACGGCCACTGTCACCCCGGTAAGTGGGTGCCCGGCTGCCCCTGTGCCCACCCCCCCCACCCAGGTGCCCCTGTACCCCCTTCACCCAGGTCCCTGCACCCAGGTGCCCACACCGGAGCCCTCTCCCAGCACACTGAAGCTGCTCAGACAGCACCAACCGCTGCTGGTGCCCACCACCACCACCCCAAGCACGCCAGGGGACACGGAGACCCCCACCCTGCCTGCACCCACCCCGCTTGCCCACCCCGAGGAGCAGCTTGGCTTGGGTGCCCCCCTCGAGCCCACAGACCCCCCCAACCCCGAGGCTCCGGAAGGGGCACCCGAGGAGCCGGGCACCACGGCCGGCGGGAGCACGGCAGGACCCAGCACCGCTCAGGGACCCCCCAGCACCCCAGGCGCCAGCGCCACGCCGTGCCCCGGGGATGAGGAGCCGGCCGAGGTCTGCGGGGAGCCCACGGGAGAGCAGCGGGCAGCTGTGGCCGAGGCGCTGGGCACCTTCGCCCTCCGCTTCTACCAGCGAATGGTGGAGGCGGCCCAACCCGAAGCCAACCTGCTCTTCTCCCCCATCAACGTCGCCATGGGGCTCTCGCACCTTCTGCTGGGTGAGGCGCTGCCTGTGGGCACCAGCACCGGCACCAGCACCGGGCAGCCTTGCTGAGCATCCTCCCCTCCCCATGCCCGCAGGCGCCCGCGGCGAGACCCGTGAGCGCCTGGCTGCCGTGCTGTCGTTCCCCCCGGCGCTGCCCTGCGTGCACAGCGCCCTGCGGCAGCTCGCCGGCGCCCCAGGCCTCTTCTCCGCCGCGCAGATCTTCCATCACCCAGGTGAGGTGGGCACTGGTGGGGCCGGGGTGGGCGCCGGGGGGGTACCGATGCCAATTGGTGCCGCCGGGCAGAGCTGCGCCTCCGGCCCCGCTTCCTCAATCAGTCGTGGCACCTATACGGCGCCCGCCCGCGGGCGCTGAGCGGCAACGAGAGCCTGGACCTGCTGCACATCAACGCCTGGGTGCGCGAGGCGAGCCGGGGGCTGCTGCCCACCCTCCTGCCTGCGCTGCCCCCCCAGCCCCACCTGCTGCTGCTCAGCGCCGTCCACCTCCGAGGTATGGCATCGGGACGGGATCTGCCCCAGGATCTGATCTGATCTGGGGGGTTGGCTCAGGGATCTGCCCTGGGATCTGCCCCGGGATCTGATCGGGGGGGGGTTAGCTCAGGGATCTGCCTCAAGATATGTTCAGTGATCTGTCCCAGGATCTGCCCTGGGATCTGCCTCAGGATGTGATCTGGGGGGTTGGCTCAGGGATCTGCCCTGGGACTTGCTTTAGGACCTACCCTGAGGGTTGAGTCAAGGGTCTGCCCCAGGTGTTGGATTGGGAATCTCCCTCGGGATGTGCCCCAGGATCTGCCTTGGGATCTGCCCAGGGGATTGGCTCAGGGATCTGCCCTGGGGATCTACTTAGAAGGTTGTCTGAGGGATGTGCCTTGGGATCTGCCCCAGGACCTGCCCCGGGATCTGTCCTGAGGGTTGGCTCAGGGACCTACCCAGGGATCTATCCCGGGATCTGTCCCGGAACGTGCCCTGGGATGTGCCCAGGACCGGGCGTGGGGCTGAGCCCAAGGTCGTCCCGCACGGCCCCCCAGCCTGCCCATCCCTGGTGCCGTGTCCCCGCAGCCACCTGGCGCATACCGCTGGAAGCCAAGCGGACGGTGCCGCTGCCTTTCCTGCTCCCCGGGCGTCCTCCCCGCCTGGTGCCCACCATGACCAGCAAGAAGTACCCAGTGGCTTCTTTCACTGACCCCCGCCTGCAGGTCCAGGTACCCCACCGCCGGCCAGTGCCTGTGACATCACTGCCGTGGCACTGGGGGGGGATAACAGGGTGTGATGTCACTCTGGTGGCACTGGGGGGATGCTGGGCTGTGGTATCGCTCCCCTAGCACTGAGGGGGAGGCTGTGACATCACTCCCGTGGCACGTGGGGAGGATGCCAGGCTATGATGCCGTTCCCCTGGCACCGGGAGGGGTGCCAGGCTGTGACATCTCTGCGGTGGCACTGGGGGGGTGCTGGGCTGTGGCATCCCTGCGGTGGCACTGAGGGCTGGGGGCTGTCCGCAGGTGGGGCGGCTGGAGCTGAGCGGGGGGCTGAGCCTGGTGGTCCTGGTGCCACAGGGGCCCCCGGGGGCACTGGGGGCCCTGGAGCAGGCGCTGGACCCCCCCCACCTTCCTGGGGCTGCTGCGGCGGGTGGCCAGCACCCCACCCCGGGCCACCGCCCTGGCCCTGCCCCGCCTGCGCCTCGACCAAGCCCTGGATGTGGTGGCCCTGGTCCACGACATGGGTAAGGCCATTGCCCCCCCGCCCCGGGGCCAGCCAGTGACATCACTGCTTGGGCTGGGTGGGCTGGGGGCGATGTCACTTCCTGCGTGGGAGGTGATGCGCAGTGATGTCACTCCCCGCAGGACATCACTGGCCCCTCCCCGCTCCCCATTCAGGTCCCATTTCCCAGTGTGTGTCCCCTGGTGTCCCCATGCCTTTGGTGTCCCCAGCGTCCCCCAGTACCCCAGTGTCCCTGGTGTCCCCCATGTCCCCAATGCCCCTGATGTGCCCCCGTGGCCATAATGTCCCCCTTGTCCCCGGTGTCCTCGTATTACCCCTGGTGTCCATAGTGGCCCCAATATCCCACATCTCCCTTAATGTCCCCCAGTGCCCCCCATTTCCCCCAATGTCCCCGGTGTACTCCTGGTGTCCCCCACATCCCCGGGGTCCCCAAGCCCCCCCCCCTTTCCCCAGCGCCCCCCGTGTCCCCACGGGGGTGGCGCTGAGGACGGGTGCCGCAGACTACGGGCTGTTCCTGGACGCGGAGCTGTGCGGGCTGGCGCGGGGGCCAGCGGTGGCGGTGGACACGGCGCGGCACCGGGCAGTGCTGGCTCTGGACGAGGCTGGCGTGGAGGCGGCAGGTGCCATGGCCACCTCAGTAGCCCGCACGGTGATGGTGCTTGAGGCCCTGCGCCCCTTCCTCTTCGTCCTCTGGCACGATGCCGGCGCCATCCCCCTCTTCATGGGACGCCTCAGCGACCCCCAGCCCTGAGCCCTCCCTCTTCTCATCCCTCCCTCCCTGCTGCTTTCCCTCCGGCCCTTCTTCCCTCTCCCCCTTGTCCCTACTTTCCTCCCTCCTCCCATCCCTCTTTCCTGTGTCCCTCCTCCTCTCCCTCCATCCCTCCTTCATTTCCCTCCCTCAACCCCTCGTCCTTCCCTCTCTCCCTCCCTTCTTCCCTCTCCCTCCCTCTTTCCTTCCAACCACTCTCCAGGCCCCATCCTTCCCTCTTTTTTCCCTCCCTCCCTCCTTCCCCCCAGCCCCTCTTCCCACATCCCCTTGTCCCTACTTTCCTCCCATCCTTCCTTCCCATGTCCCTCTTCTCCCTGCATCTCTCCTTTTCCCTCCTTCCCTTCCTCCCCCTCCTTTCCTTTTTTCTTCCAACCACCTTCCAGCCCTCATCCTTCCCTCTCTTTTCCCTCCCTCCTTCCCTCCCCCCCACTTCCTCTTCTCCCTCCCTCCCTCTTCCCTTCCCTCCTCCCATCCCTCCCTCCCTCCAGTTCTCCTTCTCTCCCACCCTCCTTCCCCACCTCCCCCATTTCCCCACCCTTCACTCCCCCCGCAGCCCCACAGGGCAGTATGAGGTCCCTGTCCCTCTGCTCCCCACCTCGTGCCTCAGTTTCCCCATTGGCTCAGGGCCTGAGGCCCCAATAAATGCACTGACCACTGCACGGCTCCTGCATGAGGGGAGGGGAAGGGGCACCCTCTGTGCCGGGGGGGCAGATTGGGGGCTATCAGGGATGCCCCCATCCACACCAGGGTGCCCACGGGGCATCCGGCTGCGTGCCAGGCATCACCCCAGGGTGCCAGGGGAGCCGGCAGCACCGTGGACAGGTGACATCCAGCACCCTCCTAGAAAAAAAGAAGCCTTTATTGCCCTAGAAAAGCCCCCGCAGCCCCCTGTGTGCTGGTGACGGGCACCGCACCCCCCCCGGGGGGGCACCGGCTGGCACTGGGAGCCCTCGGGGCACCGAGGAAAGTGCGAAGGGGGGGGGGCGCACCCACTGCCAGCACCCCGGGGTGGGGGTGCCACTGGGTCGGGGTGTCCCCGCCGTGCGCCTCAGTCCCAGCCGTTCTCCTTCACCATGTGCGACATCTCGATGATGAACTTCCCCTCCTTGTACTTCTGGCTGCTCTCGAAGGCCTGCTCCTGGGGCGGAGGGGGGAGACAACGTGAGACCCCCGCCCCCCGCCCGAGGCAGGGTGCCCACGCCACCGCCCAGGCCCTGGGGTTGGGGTGCCCGGGGTGCTGCCTTCGCCGCAGCTTTGGGGTGCCCACATTACGGGTTTGGGGCGCCCAGACGAGGGATTTGGGATGCCGGGGGCAGCACCCACGGGCTGGGGTCGGGGTGCCCGCAGCGGTGGTGGTGGTGGGTGCCGGGTGTGGGGGCACTCACGTATTTCCAGCCCAGGGTGGTCTTGCAGCTCTGGCAGAAGATGTCGGCCACCGAGTGCAGCCCCGTCAGCAGCAGCCGCTGCTCCGCCGGGCCGCAGCCCACGTTCACCCTGTGCCCGGAGAGCGGGGCAGTGGGACACGGACCAGACCGGCTCGGCACGGTTCAGTTCGGCTCTTCCCGGCCCAGCCCCGGGCCCCCCCCCGGTGCCCGCAGCCCGGTCCCCGCCCGCGGCCACCGCCCCCCCCCCCCCCCCCCCCGGTGCCGGTGCTACTCACACGGAGTTGAACAGGTAGGCGCGGCCGTGGCTGCCCTGGAAGGACTGCGGGGAACGGCACAGGTCACCGGCTGCGCCCCGTGCCCCGCGGACCCCCCCCCCGGAACCCCCGAGCCCCCCCTTCGCGTCCCCCCGCATCGCCGCCATGCCTCGCAGCAACACGGGGACAGCGAGGGGGGGGGTGTGTGTGTCACTCACGCCCTGGGGACACCGAGGGGGAGATGGTCACCTCCACGGGAGCACCACGGGGCGCGGGGGGGGGGGACGACACTGGGGTCACACTTACCACCACGGGGGGCACAGTGGGGACAACAGAGGGGGACGGCTCACCACCCCGGGGACAGCACGGGGAGGGGGGGGGGGAAGGACACGACACACTTGTCACGCCAGGGGCCACTGTGGAGGGGGACGCTGGCTGTCCCAGTGCCACCCCGGGGAAAAGCTCCCAGAACTCTGGGACATCGCGGGGAGGGGGGGGGGGCCGTGAGGGAGGTGCCGGGGGGACGTGGTCGCTGTCCCGAGTGGGGGAGGAAGCCACGGGGGGGATGCTCGCCGTCCCGGGGCCGTGGCCGGGGGAGGGGGGGACGCTGGCGGTCCCAGCTGCGGCGGGGGGCCGGGGGCGGGCCGTGGGTGCAGCGGGGGGGGGCACCTTGGAGATGAGCTCCTCATGCCTGGCCAGGTGGGCCCGGCAGTGCACGCAGCTGTAGGTGCGGTGGGAGCGGGGCAGGTAGCTGCGGAAGGTCCGGGGGGGCAGGCGGGCGGCGGGGGGCAGGCGGCGGCGGGGGGGGGGCATGGTCGGGGGCAGGGCCCCAGGGGGGCGCGGAGGGGCGGGGGGCACCGTGCACCCCCCGCAGAGCCGCTCGCAGGGGAAGCAGCGCAGCAGAGTGCCGAGAGCCGTCGTTCCTCCCGCGCCGAGGTCGGGGGGGCACCGCCGCCCCGGGCCCCCCCAGGTGAGAAGGAGGCGGAAAAGGGGGGGCGGCCTGCAAAGGGTTAAAAGGGGGCGGTGAGCGGGGGGGGCGGCACTACCTGGGCCCCCCTCCCCAGTATCCCCAAATCTCAGCCCCGCCTCTCCCCCTCCCCCCCCGCCCCGATGGCTGCTGAGACCGGCCCAGCTCATCGCAGGAGCGAGAGTGGCACCGCCCCGTCCCTGATGTCCCCAGGGTGACCCGGGGGGGCCCTGAGAGAAGGCGGGGGGGGGGCAGAGGGGAGCCCAATGGTCTGGTGAGAGGATGGGGGCGGGGGTCTGGGAATAGGGGTCCCGGGAGGGGATGTGGAAGGTCCCGAGGGGGGGTGACGGGGGTCCCAGGGAGGGGCTGGGGTCCCGGGGGCAGGATGTTGGGTGTCCCGGGATGGGAGGAGGGGAGCGCCGGGGGGGCACGATGGGGGTCTCGGAGGGGGACGATGGGCATCCCACGGGACACAAGAGCGGGGCCGGGGAGGGGCCGGGGGGGGTCCCGGGGGTCCGCCCGCCGCTCACCGCCCGCCGCGGTCCCGCTGCCGCTGTCGCCGCTGCCGCTGTCCCCGGGGCGGGGGCACCGGCGGGGCGGGGGCGGGGGGGGGCTCTGCGTGCCCGGGGACTGCATCACGGCACCGTGACTCATCCCCCGCCGCCGCGACGTCACCGCCCGCACCCCGCTGCCGTGACGTCACCGCCCGGCAACTCCGACGTCAGCCCCGCCGCCGGGGATGCGCTGCGGGCGCCGCCCCCCCCCCCCCCGAGGGGGGGCACACGCAAATGAGATGTAAATCAAGCGGGAGCAGGGAGCGTGTGTGTGTGGGTGTCCTGCGTGCAAACGAGATGCAAATGATATGCAAATGAGCCTCGGACCCGTGCCGGAGGATCCGGCAGGCATAGTCTAATCAGATGCAAATGAGACGGAGGGATGCGGCGCGGGGTCCCGGGGCGGTATGCAGATGAGATGCAAACGAGCCCCGCGGACCCATCGCCGCCCTCCCCCTGCGTCAACACGTCATCACGTCGGCCCCGAGGGGCTGCCATGGCAACCCCCCGCCGCCGCTCCCCCCGCCCAGCGCGCCGGGCGCGCCTCTCTGACCTCACTTCCGGCGCAGCCCTGCCGTCCGTTCCGGAAGCGCGGCTGCGGCGGGAGGTGAGTGAGGGGGCGGGCGGGGGGGCGGTGGCGGGTTCCATGGCAACGGGCGGGGGGCGGCGGCAGGGAGGGGCCCTGGGGGCCACCCAGGGGCGGGGGGCGTCCCGGCACGGCCCGGCCTCACCGCCCCCCCGCCGCGACGGTCAGGCCTGGCCCGCTGCCCCGTCATGGCGGATGATGGCGGCGAGGAGAAGAAGCAAGTGGCCAAGTTCGAGCTGGAGCGGGAGACGGAGCTGCGCTTCGAGGTGGAGGCGTCGCAGACGGTGCAGCTGGAGCTGCTCACCGGCATGGCCGAGGTCTTCGGCACCGAGCTCACCCGCAACAAGAAGTTCACTTTCGACGCCGGCGCCAAGGTGGCCGTCTTCACCTGGCACGGCTGCACCGTGCAGCTCAGCGGCCGCACCGAGGTGGCCTACGTCTCCAAGGACACCCCCATGTTGCTCTACCTCAACACCCACACGGCCCTGGAGCAGATGCGGCGGCAGGCGGAGCGGGAGGATGAGCGGGGGCCCCGCGTCATGGTGGTGGGACCCACTGACGTGGGCAAGTCGACAGTGTGCCGCTTGCTGCTGAACTACGCGGTGCGGCTGGGGCGCCGGCCCACCTTCGTGGAGCTGGACGTGGGACAGGGCTCCGTCTCCATCCCCGGCACCATGGGTGCACTCTACATCGAGCGGCCTGCCGACGTGGAGGAAGGCTTCTCCCTCCAGGCCCCACTCGTCTACCACTTTGGTTCCACCACGCCTGGCACCAACATCAAGCTCTACAACAAGGCGAGTGTGGGGAGCCCCTCGGGAGCGGGGGGGGGGTGTCTCTCTGCAGGGACGGGCCCGTTTTGGAGCTGTGCTCTGGAACTCCCTGCCCACCTGGGACTGTCCTGGGTGTTTTTCCACCAGGTAAGACCACAGTGTGTCCCCACCCTGAGTGCCGTGCTGGCTTCTGGGTGCTGTAGCTCGGCTGGGGCGGGGAGGAGAGAGGCACAACAGAGGCGGTGGCAGGGCTGGGGGCTCCCGAGGGGCCTCGGCTGAGCCCGCCTCGCTGCCCATGAGCCCCCACACCAGGCCCTTGGCAGGCTGTGAGTTGTGGCTGGCTGCGGTGAGCCAAGCCAGAGCTGTGGGTCTCAGCAAGCCGGTATGGCCCGCGGGGCTCATTCGCTGAGAGGGGAGCAGGGCATGGCCTGGTCGCTCCCATGCGGAGTGAGGTGGCCATTGCTGCGCAGCATCCCTCCCCTGCAGGGTGCCCCCCACCCTGCTGCCCACAGCCTGCGTTCTCTGTTCGCGGAAACGTAGGTGGAGAGGAGCCCAGGAAAAACCTGAAGACGCCCAGAAAGCTGACCCAAGTCCCCAGTGTCATCCTGCCGCTGTGGTTTAGTGACAGAAGCTGCTGCTTGGCTGAAGGACACCACAGCCCTCAGGACAGAAAAGCCATAGCGGAGCACCCTTGGGTGCTTGTAACATGTTTTAGGAAGGTCTTTGGCCCCCTGCGGCTGTCGGTGGAGGGCAGGGAGGAAGGGATGTCATCCCAGGGGCCTGCTCCTGCGCCTCAGCAGTTGATAACCGAGCGTGTTAGGAGCAGTATGGAGGATGGTTGTGCCCCGAAGGAGTGGGACAAGGCCTGGCTCAGCCCCTTCCTGCCCCTGGACGCCGTGCGGGGTCTGCCCGCTTGCTCCCCTCAGCTGCTCGCCCAGTTGGTGCCAGCACAGTGCCACTGTGGGGGTGTTGAAGGGGGTGGGGCCAGAGTTGGAGAGGGCCAGCTGTGGTCAGGGGAGGCGGGTGCCCCCCAAAAGGTCTCTGTGTCCTGATAGCTCCACCCTGTCCCCCCCGCACAGATCACATCCCGCCTGGCCGACGTCTTCAACCAGCGCTGCGAGGTGAACCGCCGCGCCTCTGTGAGCGGCTGCGTCATCAATACCTGCGGCTGGGTAAAGGGCTCGGGCTACCAGGCGCTGGTGCACGCCGCCTCCGCCTTCGAGGTGGATGTGGTGGTGGTGCTGGACCAGGAGCGGCTCTACAACGAGCTGAAGAGGGACCTACCCCACTTCGTGCGCACCGTCCTGCTGCCCAAGTCCGGCGGGGTGGTGGAGCGCTCCAAGGACTTCCGTCGGGAGTGCCGAGACGACCGCATCCGGGAGTATTTCTACGGCTTCCGGGGCTGCTTCTACCCTCACGCCTTCGACGTCAAGTTTTCCGATGTCAAGATCTACAAGGTGGGAGCTCCCACCATCCCGGACTCCTGTCTGCCCCTGGGCATGTCACAGGAGGATAACCAGCTGAAGCTGGTGCCGGTGACGCCGGGGCGTGACATGGTGCACCACCTCCTGAGTGTCAGCACCGCCGACAGCCCCGACGACAACATCTCGGAGACCAGCGTGGCCGGCTTCATCGTTGTCACCGGTGTTGACCTGGAGCGCCAGGTCTTCACCGTCCTATCCCCTGCTCCTCGTCCGCTGCCCAAGAACTTCCTCCTCATCATGGACATCCGCTTCATGGACCTCAAGTAGAGGACGAGCGGGCCTTCCTCCTGCCCGTGCCCGCTCCTCCTCCTCCTCTTCCTCGTCTGGCGGGGTCCCCTGCAAATGCGGGGGGACGAGCACAAGTGCCCGCACCTTGATTTTGTACTTTTTGTAGCGTTTGTTATTAAATCTCGAAGCCTTTTGCTGGTGGGTGGGTGTCTGCCCGGCGCGGGGGGGGGTTCACGGGTCCACCCTGGGGCGGGGAGGGGGCGGCAGAAGGGGGATCCCCAGCGGGGGGGGCTTGGTCCCGCGCCCCGCAGTGCGCGGCGCTGAGCCCCGTATCCCCACCTCGCCCCCGCGGCATGGTACGTTCCGCGCATGCGCGCTCCCCCGCCGGGCAGGGGCGCCTCCTCCCCGAGCGCATGCGGCCTCGCCTCCCCACCCAGCGCTCGCGCATGCGCGCCGCTCCTCCCGGGCGGTTCCCGGTGCGGTGGCCAATGAACGGCGGCGGCGGGGGCGCGCGCGACCGGCGGGCGGTGCGCAGGCGCGGCTGTGACGTCGCACGCAGCCGCCGAGCGCGGCGACGGTTCGTGCCCGGGAGCGCTGGCCGCGCGCTCGCGGCCTCCCGCCCGCCGCCGGTGAGTCACGTGGGCCGCCCGCCCTCCCCGGTGCTTTCCCCCCCCGCGGGCACCGGCGCAGCCCCGGCCGCTCCCCCTGCCTCGGCCGCCCGGTCTCCCGTGCCCTTCCCGGGGCCTGGCCGCCCCCGCGGCTGCCTCCCGTCTGCCGCCGCCGCCCCCGGGGCCGTGCCCTGGTTTCCCCCCCACCCTGCGCTGTGCTCGCCCGTGGACGCCGGCGGCGACCCCCCCCCCCCCCCCCCCGCTCGGGTCCCGGCCCGCCGAGCACCGCCCCGGCTTGGCCTGTCCCCCCCCCGACCGCCCCCGGTGACGGGGCTCGCACCCCCGCAGCGCCGTTCCGCACGGCCGCCCCTGCCCGCCCCCATCTCCCGTAACCCGGCCCTGCCCAGTGGCCCCAGTTACCTCCTGGACGGGAGCTCCGCTTCCTCCTGCCCCCCGTTTGCTGCGTCTTCCTTCCGCTGCGCCCCTTCTCCTCACCGACACCCCGCTGCCCGTCGCTCCCGGGGAGCCTCTCCGGGGAGGGCTGGACGTTGCCCGAGGCCGGGGCGTCGGTGGGAGCTGCGGCCCTGGGGGTGAGGGGCCGTTCCGGTGGGCGGGTGGGCCGTAAGCACACCCGGGGCGGTGGGCTGCCTGGGGCGCACCCCTCTGAGCAGGAGGAGACCGCAGCCCTGCTCCTTCGGCCTCAGCGCCCGGCACGTCTCCTTCCCAGCGCTGCCCGGCTGCGGGGAACGCTCACGTGGACGTGTTTGGTCTCCTGTACCCGGGACTGTCCCCGGTGCCTCTGAGAAAACCTTCAGGTCTTTGTTTTTTTGGAAGGCTGGCATCTGAACGCAGGTGCTTTGACTCTTACGGTCTGCCGAGGACCAGAAGTTAAAACCCCTCTCTCCAGTCCCGGAGTGCTGTCCCGCGCGTGCAACGTGTAATTCCTTCTCAGAGCGCGTTTCCGCGTTGCGTTCCCTGATTTTGGCAGGGTAATGGGTTGCACTAGCAGGTGTTCAACTCGAGTTTTCCTCAGAAGTCCCAGATTCTAAACGTAAGGTGTGCAAATCCCAAGTTACTGCATCTGTGTATTCGTCACATCTCCCCCCATTGAGATAAATCCCCAGCATTCTGCCCCCCTTTTCAGCTTGCTGATTTGGGAGTTGGTCGGCTGTTCCTGCATTTCTTCTGCTGCCCTCCCAAGTGCCTCCCTGGGAAGCAGTTTCCCCTGAATCTGCCGGCTTTTGCTCTGTCACGGATCTGAATTTGGGTGTTTAGGGAAGCAGGCTTTTCTGTACTAGGTGCTACTGATTTTTTGGGGGGGTATAAAATATGACTAGAGCCTTGTCTGGATCAAAATGAGGCGAGTTGATCTTGGAGCGTTTTAGTGGGCCTAATCTAATTATCACCTTTGCTACCGCCGGTTGAGGCAGCGGTTGTTCTTTAGCAGAGCGCTTTATTCCTGTTGGTTTCTGAGGTACGAGCCCTGACTGGAGATGGAGATGGTGGTAATTAGGTAGAGCTGACGGGAGACCTTTAACTCCTGTTTTAGAGGCCTGTTTGGGGACGTTTACATCTATCCCTGTGACCATTGTTTCCGTTGCTGACTGTTGCATCTCATAATGCGATGGCAAGAGGCTGGATTTGTTCCTCACTCGCTGCGGTGCACAGAGACATGGCTGCAATGGATGAGATGACATTCTTCCCTGCTTTGTCCATAAAATGGGGCTAATCCCATGTAAACCAGTGAGACGGGCAGAGGAAGGAGGATGGGAGTGGTGTAAGCCAGGCCAGGAGATAAGCACTGAGTGAATGCCAGCCTTCAAGCTGTTGTCTGCAACAGAGTATTTGTCCATTTTCTGTATCTTATTCTCTTTTAAAAACCTGTCTGTCTAACTGCGGAGAAAACACGGTTATGTGAGATGTGGGCCCTTTCACCTGAAGCCAGGAGGATGGCCGTGGAAGCCAAATTCTGGCCAGGTTTCCAAACTTCCCCACAGAGCAAAAGTGTCTGCTACACATTGCTGTGCATCCTTCTTTTGAATTAAAAGTGGGGGTGTCACTAAATTGTCTCTTTGAGGCGGGGACTCCTATTTACATACAGTGCTGAGCACAGTAGGGCCTGAACTCTGTATTACCATGGTACAGGTGATAAGAAAATTGTCTTCTATGGGGAGACCCCACAGCTTCATGTTGTGGTGGGAGTCCCGGTGTTTATTTTCCCCGTGACATCCAGCTGTTTGACGCTGACGGCTTTGCCTTTTAGTTTGTAGCCTGCATCTCAGCAGTCGATTTCCAGTCCTGTTTTCTGGGCTGAAAAAAGTCCTCCTTTGACTTGTTGCTGCCCGGGTTTGGTGAATGCAGAGACCCCCTGCAGCAGAGGGGTGCTGGCTGGAGCCTGTTCCTGATCTCAGGGTACCTCTCCATGCTGGAGGACAGGGAGGGTGGCAGAGGGAAGTGGTGGTCTAATACAGCGCAAAACGTGTGCTCCAGGTCACTTGTGCTGCTGGCTGGCAGGTTTGAACATTTCTGGACTCTCTGCTAGTTTTTAGAGTATTAAATCTCAGCAGTAGTTGAGAGCTGGTTGTGCAACGTCAAAATTAGCAGAGAGAGCCTGTGGAGGGAGAAAAAGGGGGTCCTTGATCTCAGGCTGGCCTTCGTGCTTGAGCTCAGCAGTGAGAGGTTGGGGGGTGCTGAGGCTGATGACAGCAGTGAGCTCTGGAACGGGCTTCTCTGCGTAATTCCCAGCTGTAGTTAATCAAAACACGATGGGAACAGGTAAAGCACATCCTGTCTTTGTGCGATCCTGGATCTGCCCCGTCTGAGAGTTGCCTCACGTGGAAGGAATTGCTTGTCTGTTTGACCTGCGCCATGGAAACCCGCCTGCTTTGGGGTAGGTGGCTGCCGATCGCAGTGAGGTGACGCATGTTTAGGAACCAGCAACTGAGAGTGAACTCTCTCCTCCCTGTGCCATTACACTCCCGTCCCCGGGGGGTGATGAAAGGCAGCTTGTTTAAGGGAAGCTTGTAATGTTGATGTCCGTGTTTCCTCCTTCCAGGGGTAGGAGCACGTTGAGGAGCTGCCGTGGTTATCGGCAGCAATTGAAATAAGGAAGGGAATGTTGTGAGCTGGTCACACATGTTTTCCCCAACCCAGCAAAGGTGGGGAGAGCCTGGTGAAGCGTGTTTTTGTGTCCTGTCTGGTGCTTTGGAAAGATTGAACCATGAAGTACCCAAATCTTCAGGCTACTTCTGGGTAGATTGCTAGAGAAGACGGTGAGAAAAGAGGGCTTGTATCAGACTGAGTAAAGCAGGGTGGAAGGTGCTGTAGGAAGGAAAGGAGCGTAGGGCTTCAAGAAGCAAGTGCTATGAGAAGAGGAAATTAGAGTGAGATTTTTTACAGGGCCTAAACTGAAGAAAAGGGGACTCAGACTGAAAGAAATGGAAGGTGGCAGCAGTCATGCTTGCAAACGTCTGGAGGGAAGGAATTCAAAATTAAAGGAAGTCTCCAGATACGGAGATGAGGGGAGATAGAAGCAACTCCTTGTATGAGTAGAGGGAAACCCTTGAAACTGGAGAAGAGTGGTCTGGAGATGGCTGAGCAGAGCAGAGCCAGGAAAATACTCTGAAAAAGGGGTGCTAGGATTGGAAAAAAACAGGTGGAATTCCTGAGGAAGAGGGAAAGGGGAGCCACCAGCGACACACGCTCAGTTTGATTGGGAGAGGACAGAGTAGGGCTGAGTTGAGGGCAGGTCCAGAGAAGCTAGAAGGGAGGAGTTGCTGGGCTGGAAGTGGCAGAGGCAAAGGAATCGGAGGCAGGAGCGGAGCCTGTGTAAGCCTCAGGTAAGCGAGAGGAGCTGGGGACTGTTGAGCAGGGAAGTCTGTGAGTGGCCTTTGTGGATGGGGACAAAGTGGCTAGAGAGGCAAAGGGTTTGTAAAGAAGGTGGAGGGAAATGAGGAGTTGAGAGGCTGGAGGTAGACAGGTTGCAGGGCTGCAGAAGGGGAAAGCTAGGGTAGAAAGCGTGTATTTGGGAGAACTGGTGTTAACGTGGCCTAAATCAGTGTAATCTCTGGGAAGTCACGGTGGATTTTGCTTGTGTTTCTCCCACACACCAGGGAAAGCGACAAGGATAGTCAGGGTGAGGTAAGCCACATAGCCCAGCCCAAAGAAAAGAGAAAAATACACCTTGAAGATGGCACAGGAGAAATCCAGGCACACTGTGCCGTGCTGTGCCCTCGGTGGCTTCAGCAGCCCGGATATTCCCAGCTGTGGGAGGATGGGACCTGCCGCCCCGCGGTCAGGCCACGCAGGCATCCCGGCTCTCGGGGGGGGCCGCAGGCTGTGCCTCCCCAGTGCCTGTCTGCCCGGGCCTTTCGGGGGGGGGGGTGGCCACTGCTGCAGGGCTGACGGGCTCTGGAGGGGCTCAGCACGCTGCGGGGCTCGAGCAGGGAGTCTCCGAGCTGTGTGGTGGCTCTGGGAGCCGGGTGGGCTCATCAGCCTTTTGTAGGTTTGATGAGTTGTGGAGTTATTCTTGGGTGAAGGCGGCAGGGAGCCAGGGATTATATTTGCATTGGGTGTCACTAATGACA